GAGCGTTGAACGTAGGCGCCGTGCTGACATTATTGAGGGCTCGGGTAGGTGACGTAACATCACCGGGTTCGCTATCAGGGAGGCCGACAGAGGCAGCGACTCGAGGACTGCTGGGCACATCGTGATCCATTTGCTTTGCAGGCATTAAAGGTCGAGAGCCGTTTAGTGTCTGTGGTGTAGGAAGGTGTAGGAATTGTGGATTAACACTTACGAATTTCCATGTTCTTGATGTGTTTCAATTACCCTTACGCGTTTGAAAAAAAAGCATCACTTACCCTGAAGCAGTGTTGGACATTCTTGTCAATATGCAAGAACTTTTTTAAATATTGCAGCGGCGAATCTTCGGTTAAACAAATATTGGCTGGGGCACCGTTAGGAATTAAGCCTGGGCGCCTGGTAACTCCGGGTGTTAAACCTGAAACAGTCACCAGTCACACGGATAACCAGTGTCTTTGCATTCAGCGTACCAGAGAAGACCCATGGTCATAGAAACTAACAACATACCGACACCGCCTGCTCTTGTGGGGCAATAGTCCTTTGAAAAATGCCAGGCATCTCCATGTTATCCAGTTGTCTTCGATGCCAGAGACAGCATCAGCCCGGTAAACATGCAGGCCGTTTCGGCTATCATCGATGAGCTCCAATTGTGCGAGCTCATCCTCCAGAGCAATGCCCGAAGCATTTCAGAGAATGCAGGGACTAGCGGCCAGTCCATTCACAGTCTTTGTATTAAGCACCTGATCGACAGTGAAATCTTCCTAGCGCTAAACTCCTGCAGCGGGAGAAACGCCCGTCGTCACTGGGTCTTTGACAAAATCAAGATGGTCCAGCAGGGACAATTATGTGACGACCCATCATCGGAAAGAATCTCATCGCCATATCGAAAGCAAAATCACAATGTAAAGCGGAGATGCTGACCTCGAAGAGCTCTGCTCTTTACGGTGAATTGCTGACAGCGCTTTACGTATTGCCGGCGATCATCAACTCTAGCATGCCTGCAGAAGCTTTCCAATTAAAGCTCAGGATTTGATACTAATAGTAGAGTCAAGGAACCTGCAAGCAGATCGATTGATATAGATACGGAGATGGGAAAAGATATCATCAGGGGGGTTGCCCTTAGGTCCTCACGTGAGGTTCCCATTGCTGATGATAGGAGGATTCGCTACCAATGCTGTGATGAGCCTCGAGGAATCAATCGGTGAATATCGGGACTTTCAGATTAGGGCTGCACAAGGCTCCTTCTGTTCTGTTCTTCTATTCCTCGAATACAGTATATATCTATATTGTTTATTTAAAACAGAGAATTGTGTATTATGTCTCGTAAATGTACTAAATTTATACTATAATCATCTATCATAGGTTTCTTGAAATAGATTATGCATGTCAATATTGCTCTCGCGTGTTTAAACACATGAAGATCTAACCAGAGTATATATAATTACGAGACATATCAGTTATATCGGGTTCGTTTGCCCCTGTGGGGTTGATGTCGCGGGATTGATTTCGCTGGGATCGATTTCGAAAGGCTAGCGCTGTGTCGTCGCTGGCTTTGGTTGGAAGATGTTGATGGGGACAAGGTGCTGGCTTTGGCTGCAGGAGAAGCAATGAGCATCTGGTCTGAGATGGCAATTGAAGATGTGAGAGCCTCGTCGGCAAGGGACACAGACTCAAGGTACCACAAACCAAGGAACACCGTTGACGACAGGATCGTGGATTTGCACGGGACGAGAGAGTACGAGCTCAACAGCATCAACGTTGCATCTCAAGATAGTCTTGCAGGATAGGATGTTTAGCGAGCAGCTATTTTCTCACACTGTTGCGCGCGTTGTCGTCGCGATGCTATAGACGAAGGAGTGGGGTCAAATGAAAGCGCCAAAGTGATTGCTGCACCCTGTGAAGTCGATTGGGAATAATTTCGAGGAGCGGGAGGGAAGGTCAAGTGGTACTAGAATTGGGATAGTGAGGTCTGAGCAGGGGTTTGGACTTATGTCTCTTCTCGCGAGGAAGAGAAGTTAGGCTGAGAGGCTAGATTGCTGGCTATGGCTAGAAGGGATGCCATATTTCGCGAATCACAAAGCATGCATTGATGTCGTTCAATTCACGAATGATGATATATATTTGAGATCCAAAATATGATCGCTTTGCCCTCAATCATAGAAGTCTGTAGGGTGATTCCAATCAATACTGTCGAAACAATCGAGAAAAGCTTCACTGTCCATTGGCATTGCTTCATGTCCATTCCCACTACAATTTATATATATATCATTCTCGACGGAAATCTGGCGCAGCTCCGTCTGTACCACGCTCTGGTAATGCCTGCTGTTCTTCATCGTTGCTAGGTGTCGCCCGGGTGTCAAGAGCTTCATCCAAAATGCGAGCCGGCATCTTGCTTACTTCGCCGCAGGAAATTGTCATCTCCGGGGCGTGAGGCCAATTCAAAGGTATGAGATGAGAACGCTCAGATTTCTAATTAACTCGGGCTGGTGCATGAAGGCCGGCAAGCGGATGCCTGTTTTGATTCTTTTACTTAGCTCTGCTGCCAAGATGCCTGCGCTTGTCACGCCGTAGATGAGAGTCTTCACATTGTCAATACAAAACTCGAGTATCGCAGCGTCACCGCGTAGATACTCACAAGCCAGGCATAATCTCTCTGCATCTCATATCTAGGAGTATGCTGCTCCACAACCACCATGACCAACGTAAGCATCTGCATTGTGGCCATGGCTACCTGCCAAGGAGTATTTGCACAAAAGTCTCTGGATGTGAAAGTCGCTGTTTACTTTCTCGAAATAGTTGGCAAGCAGCACGAGACAGGCTCCGAAAGCTTGTCCTGAGTCCCAGCAACTTCGTCTGTAGTGGAGATGAGCAGGGACATTATGCCAGGCTTGTTGGCAGCGTTGGAAGATGTCACGAAATTTTAGATTGGTCAGTAACGGATATCGGAATCGTGATGGACCTAGTTCAGCTTGTAGACCATATTTGCGCTCCTCGACCCAAGAGATAATTCTAGAATTTCCTCCCGAAAAAAGCTCATGATATACCGCAGACGCATGAAACTAGCAGGCTGGATGACTTCGTCTCGATTCCAGCCACCGGCATCAAGCTTAGAGAGTATTGCTTCCAATGCAGGACCTTCTAGCATAAGATCTTCATCAATGATATCCAAGGGCGATTTCATATCACAATAAAGCCGTGGAATCCTGGGTAGCCGCCCAAGGAAAGTGCACAAACTTTTGTCGGTCCTGTAAGCCGCTGCAAACATCTTCCTCCTACCTTCTTGAGGGAAACATATACTTCTGTCGAATCATGAGGTTCTTTGTGCAGACCCATGGCAAATATATTCATGGAAAGATCGCCTAGACGCTGCCAGACGAGGGGACCTAGACCAACGAAGGTTAGAGCATGAAGGAGACGTTGCTGAAAGCATAAAGCATACCTTAGTCTCCATAATGCATGGTGGAGAAAAGCAGATTTCCATAAAGATGCCAGATAAGGAGGTCGTCTACTACGGCGCCGTCTGCTCGACACAGCGCTACGCATGTCCTACTTGTCATCATCATGTCGTGTACGAACTTGGTCCGGTCGATGTCTTCTGCATTCTCGCTAGTCAGGGGTGAGGAATTTGGAGCTTTGACCATGGCAGATCGACCTGTTATAGCAAAAAAAAAAGCCAAGACATTCCCAACGTATACTCTGACCAGTAAACAGCGTATGGAAGTTGGCAGCGGTCGTCGAAGCAGGTACAATCAGTGGACGAAGAGTACTTTCTGTGATCTTTCGGGATAGAGCATGGTTCTTGGCACTAGGATCATGACCACTCTCTGCGTCGAGAACCTCTTTGATGTGAGGAAGGGCAACCAAAACCAGCGGAGATGCCACCGTGAAACTTGAATCATCAAAAAATGACGACGAACAAGATCTTCAAAGACCGAGAAGGGATGAAGGAGGGCGATGATCTTGTTCCCAGGCTCGAGCTGGTATTGATCTGCGCACGCTCTCTGCCGGCCAGTAAAGCCCCAGCTCTAGAACTTAGGACCTCGGATAAACGTCCACTGGCAGCGAGGCTGGGCGGCTCGTGATTAGCTCAAGCATTTGAGTCATCTTACGTAGGCGCCGAAGACAGCAATTGTTCCTTTGAGGAGATCCAAATCCGCTTATGTTTACAGTGTGGGGAATATGCTGATTTGGGATCTGATAAAACCTTCTTTCCCGACTGTCCAAGCCCCTATAGCAAACTGTAAGCCAAGATAGGCCAGCGTGTACACTATACCGTACCGTGGGGCGTTAATCGATCGAGCTTCTCCACACGGTCTAGTTATCGGCGCGGGATGATAGAAGCACTGGTCAAGGAGACCACAAGATCTGCATTCCTCGCAGTTTGAAATGCTGCGATCACATTTGATCTTCGACTTTCCGCATGGTCTCACATGATCTGCGTTTGCCATTACGACGTTTCAGTATACTGTGCTCCGGTTGTAGGTCGCAATCTGGAAAACGCCTTGTTCACGAAGAAGAGACCAAAGATTCAAAAGAAAGCGGATGCAGTTGCCAGACTGCCTGTGCCTTGAATAAGATGGGTCGGCCTGGAGGTTAACCTCGAGTAAAGGAACAAGCAAAGAATTGGCCAATAGAAGCTCATGTTGGCAACGATTGTTTAGCAGTGCCCCAGTCGAAGCTGACGGGAGCTGCTACCTCCTTTGCTAGCCAAAACCCAAATGTGGTTAGCAAAATAGCTCAAGTAGATCCTTTCGTAAGGTTCATGGAAATCAACCATCTTTACAATTACACAGCATGAGCTGCGTAAAGTATTCTACAGTTTTACTTACTTTACTCAACAATGGCCACCAGCGGCCAGCGGCTACCGCGCTTAATTTAAGTGGGGGCATTGTGTTCTAGTAGATAAGTCGACTTGGCGATTTCCTTCATCATTTTCATGAAAAAATAGTAGATCCCACAAAGTATAAGTACTGTCACCCTACGTTGAAAAAATAATTCCCGTCATGGCCGACACGGCAGCCGAAGCCAAGCTGAGGTTTCTCCATGCCGCAGGACATCTATATTCAGCCACTGCGCCGGCCACCTCTGCGCAGCTGATGCTCCAACGGCGCCTCGAGATGGCTGGCAGTGCCGGGCCCAAGGGCAACGATGGGTCAAGCTCATCATGTAAGGCATGCGGTACTGTCTTGATCCCGGGATGGACATCGCAGATTAGCCGAGTTGACAAACGAGCGTCAAAAATGGCTAATCCAAAACCTGGATCCAAAAAGCATACCCGGGGAAAGCTCTCTCCAATTGCGGACAAGTATGTACGGGTCAAATGTCTAGCTTGTCATCGCTTCGAGGATACGCCTTTACAGAAGTCCAAGCCAAGTAGTAACAGCGAGACGGCAAAGGCTACATCGCAGGCGACGTCTTCTTCAGATGCTAAGCTACAACTAGACCCAGAGTCAAGCCCGCTTGATAACTCTAGCAAGGCCAATAAGCGGCGAGAAAGGGCTCGAAAGAACAAAAGCGGACTGCAAGCTATGCTGGAGAAGTCCAAACTTCCTGCGGCACCTTCTTCTGGGTTTGGACTGGATCTTTTGGACTTCATGAAGCAGGATTGAAGTTCTTATCTGTCGCACAATAGATCTTTCAGTCTGGCCCAACATCCATTTCTTGGCTGTTTTCTAGCTCTTCGATCCGAATCAAGATGTCCTTCTTCCACACCTGGTACTCACGTCTTCTGTCATCACTGAGATAGTCTACCTGATCTCGCATCTGCAGACACGTTAGCTAAATCGTATGACAGCGCGGGAATGGGGAGGGAGGCCTCACCATCGTGCCTAAACCTGCTTGGAGATAGTCCTGTTCCAGCGAGTCTCGTCTGCCAATAGTTCTCCTTGTCACAGGCAAAAGGCCTCCTTCATCCGCTTCGTAATCGCCAGGTCCGTCCTCTACATCATCTTCCGCTCCTTGATCCAAGCCGACACCGGACCCCGGGGTGATGTTCTCAAACCAGTCCATCCGGGTCCACTTCTGGTCCTTGACTTCACGCATACAGTTGTCAATATCAACATTCCCGGCCTCCATATAAGATTCATTCTTCCTAGCAGCATTGTTTATGATCTCTAACGCATGGGTTCTCCGGTTTTGGTATTCTTTAGGTGCGGTCTCGGTACCAGCTAAGCGTGTCGTTACGAGGATGTAAACCGCGACTATCAATGCTGGTAGTTTGACCGCGCTATGCTGCTCTTGGGAGGCTAGTATAGAGGAAATGCCGGCGAAGATGTGATGTGGAGCAGCGGGAGCTCCCATCTTATTGCAGAGCTGGCGTATGACAGGCATTACCCATGCTGGAGCTTCAGCAGCGGAGGTTGATTGCCTACAGGGTGTCTTCTTCTGCCGCGTGTCTGGTCTGAGGGGCGTTGCCTTTGCTGAGGTTCTGGGCTTGGCTGGCGAAGACTGTGGTGTCAAGGTAGAAGTATTGTGTCTCGAGGGTCGGGCAGTCCGTCTTGTTCCTGCCGGTAGGGCGCTGTCAAGGTATCTGTAGAGCTTCTGGTACACCTTCGGGGGGCATGGTGGGCGAGGTTCGATCTTTGGTAGAGCTAGGGATTGCTTGAGTCTGTATAATACAATCAGCCAGCTAGCTCAAATTCAGCCAATCAATCACTGGGATGCCTCACACCTTTCGCAAGCCAGATTAGCGCAGGCGTAGGACCTTGCGATTTCCTCGTCCGCCTTCAGACTGCTTGCTTTGCTGCGTGATTGCGCGAGTAGAGCGACTGCAAGCTCCAGGAGCTCCGGCGGTAGAGGACCAGTCAGGGTGGGGATGAGACCCGTCAATGCTTGAGCCATAGATCTGTCCATCTTGGCCAGGCACCTGGGTCCTGGAAGCTGCTTACAGAAAGCTTAGGTGTACCGTGTACCCGATAAGGTGGTGCGGCTATTCTGTGCGTAGGCGAAACGCGTGCGATTGGAGCTTGGCGCGCGAATTGTAATGTAGAATGGCTCTAACTGTATTGAGCGGTAATTTATGTCACTGGTGTCATACAAGTAGAGAGTTAGCATATGCGAAACCCATGCCATTTCTTGGCATCATATCATCTCCCCAGTCTCCACCGCCGCCACGAAACTGGCATTCGTAATAACTCTCCATGTCTCCCCCCTCTCCTTCATAAATGATGGTAAATGGAAAATCAACTTGCTCCCTTCCTGTCAGGAATATCGAATATCGAATATCCTTGCCTTTGTTTTCCAATCGTACCCATTTCACTTTCCAAACGTAAATCCACGAAATGATGAATGAATCAATTCTGCTAGGATGCAGATCTTCGAAAGCGTCCATTTTGACGACGTTATGCCTGGCCTTCTTCGCCGTGAGTATAACTCCTCCTTCCATATGCTACCCTGTTCGCTGGCGCCCTGACGCCAAACTGCAGGATGAATATATTCACGGTCTCGTAAGCTTCTTGCCGTATCTCTTGCTCTTCACAAAATTGATATGATCCAGATTGTTCCCTCCTACCCTCCTGGTTGCCCACGAGGACGGGAACCCCCCAAGAAGAGGGTCTGTAGATGAACCTGCGTTCCATAGTCAGTAGTTGACAGTATGAAGTGCAATTCTGGACCTCGCCCATGCTGGCGGCTTTCGGCTTTGCAAACCCATTAGGCTCACGTCCTTCTCCTCTTTGATTGCTTGCCCTCAGATGTTCGCTGATATCATCAAGCTTTCTTCTGCTGGCTCGCCAATCGGAGTCCTTCGCGAAAGATTTTTCTGCTTCTCGGTCTGCTCTTGCTGGGGGCCGCGACCGTGATGCTCAGTCTTGGAACAGACATTCATGTTCTAGTCGTGAGTTGGTTCTTTCAGGATCTCTACGCCGCTATCATATATACCGGCGGACTGGTTCTTGTAAAGGATACGGTTGGCCTTGATGAGATCGGGAAATGGATGGGCTTCGTGCTGTCATTCGCAAACGCAGGATTTCTCATATTGCCAACTCTGGGAGGACTCATTTACGGCAAGCTGGGCGCCAATGCTATCTTTCTTACCATGGGAATCAATGTTATGCTCGATATTATACTCAGGCTTGGTATGGTGGAGAAGGCCGGTCCGAGATCTAACCACCTACCTGAGAATGGAGATAGGCAACCTGTGAGGTAGTGAATCCCACCGAAAATGACCCGTTGATAACAACCCCTGCTGCATCGCAATCACGCAGCGTTGAACACAACAAGCTTAGCGTCACACAAAGCTGAATGCCGAATTTTCTCATTCTGCGGGGAAGACCTACAATACTAGCGACAACGTACGGCGTCATGCTCGCACAGACACTCTTCACAAGCTTTGAAAAAGCGATGGTGTCCTCCCCATATTCGTTTAACAGATGTTTGGCTGGGGCTCCATTCATGCTGGTCTCATGTTTCTGACCGTCTCAGTCCCTACCCTTGTTGCTCCGTTGATCGGGATGCTCGCGGACAGGTATGGTCCTCGTTGGGTTGCAGCCGCAGGATTCACGCTAGCCTCAGTGATGCTAGCCTTGTTGCCTGAGGTCACCCGTAATAGTGCTGGCCAGATAGCACTTCTATGCGTGCTGCTCACGGTTCTTGGTAAGTTTGTGCGGTCGGAGGATTCGTGCTCATTGAATGAACTTATGACATGCTTCGCGTTTTCTCTCACTATCCCGCCGCTGGCGGCTGATTTGGCGTCCGCTGTCGAACACATCATTGGAGAAAACCCAGAGATCGGAGGCGAAGCAGGAGGCTATGGGCAAGCCTTTTACCTGCTCCATTGTGGCACATCGACAGAAGTGCTAACAGGTCCGTCGCCGGCTGGGTTCTTTCACGATACGTTCGGATGGAGGGTAATGGGCTGGACTTTGCCGGTGCTGAGTGCATCAGCTGTTTGGCCCATAGTAAGTCTTTTCATATTCCATACAATATAGGCGTCCGGTCGTTACTGCCCTGTTGGTGGCCGCGCCTCCGCTGAGACACTGTTCCTAGGCAGCGTTCACCGGTAATCAAGAGAGCGGTAGCAGAGAAGATCTTAACGTGGCATGACCTCCGAAGATATCTCTATTAACGTCATATGTCCTAGCCGTGCCTGAAAGTTCCATGGAGGACTGTTGGAACCGGACTATCAGCCAGCTAAGAGGAGACGAGGGTCGTGGCCTTTCACACGGTCTCGTGATATGGAATAGTAGCTCTAGCCAATAGTAGACGGACCCCTATCTTGAAATGATTGTAGAAAATTCAATCGAGTTTGTCATGCTGATATGAAGGTGAGATCCAATGTTGACTGCTTACGGCCGCTTTTTCATTTTAATTTAGACTACTCTTTGGCTCACTTTTGGCGGCAGAAGGGGTTCAGGAATGGAGACTAGGAGATTTGCTGTGCTCTATTAGAAAACCTGTCACTCAACTTTGAGACCTCTCCGTCAATGATTGCCGCAGATGCATTGAAATCGTCAGACACACACAGCCAATCCGCCCATTGTGGCACTCTGACACCACCCAAGCTATTCTCCTTCCCGTTCTAACTGGAAGAAGAAAGCCTTGATCACCTCCTACCGCTAATGACCCTTCCAGCATCTACCTCTTCTCACCTCCCAAACTCCGCTTCCAGATCCATTGCCCGCGTCACCCCCGCCGCAGCCCGATGATCCGTCCCACCCACAGTAGCCCCACACTGCGGACACCTAGCCGTCTGCATCGGCATGCCGCACTCGCCCACTGTGAAAGGATGACCATTGGCGCAGTAATACCAGTGTCCCGTGCCTTGAAAGCTCTGCGCCATTGCCGCGTACACGGCTGCCTTCTCTACATTCGTCACGGGCGCGTAGAATGTCGCGTCACGAAGCATTTTCTCTGCTCCGGACACTTCCGCTGGCATGCCGGCTGTTTGACCGGGGTAAGTGTCGCAAATAATGCGTGCGAGGTGGAGTTGGTCGTGGGCACGATTAACCAGGGTGGTCATGTCTGCATCGGAGACGCTGGCTGAGCGGCCGCGCTCCAAAGCGACGAAGCGGGCCCAGTATAGGATGCCTTCGACTTCGTGTGTGGGTTGTTGCCGGGATCGGGATTCCTGTATCAGGCTCTCGCAGTCGTTTCGATTGACGGCAAGGCTGAGACGAACGTCTCCGGGGTTCTCCCCTGAAGCCGTTCCGCTCACGTGACTGACAAAATCGGAGAGTATGGCGTAATCGCAGCGGAGGAGTAGCACTGTTGCTAGGAGCCGATTGCGGACTTGAAGTACGGAGGGTACGTCAGTGATTTCGGTGTTGACTCCACGATGTTTGCGGGCGTCTTGTATGAGACTGTGGATGCGGCTGATGGGTTGCTCTGCTTCGTCGACTTTTTTAAGAAATCTTCTGATGTCAATGCGGAGCAAGGAGATATCCTTGTATCTAGCATCTAATTTGAAGGTCTTGACAACGACCTTTATCTGTTCGTCACGAGATCCGATAAGTCTGATGGGTTCGAGGGAAAGCCTGTCAAGCGCTGAAGATAGCTGCGCCTGTCCAAGCAGCGGAGCTTTGGGGGTTTTCTGGTTGGTGACGGGCTCTCGGAGTTTGGCCTCTGCCTGCTCCATTCTGGAGGCTAAGGGAACAAACTGCGCGTTTGCCCAAACAATGAATTTCTTAGTCGCCTCGTCGATCCACGCTCGTCGAACTATGCGGCCATATCTATTGATATTGCGAAGAGGGCTACGGCACATGGGGCAATTTTTCAGCTCTGAGGTTGAGAATGGAACCGAGCTCGACTTCAATGCGACGATTGAGTCCTCAGCATCGGTGTCACCAGAGATGGTGTAGTACTTTGAAATCTCCATGTGGCCATCCATGCTTTCCAGGGTGAGAATGTGACCACAAGATGGTATGATGCATGGGTTTTCGTCTAAATCCGTCTCGGCGTAGGTGGATCCCATGATGTAATCAACCATCATGTCCTTGACCGACTCATCGGCGCACTTCTGACAGTATTGGACCTCTGGACATATCTCTCCACAGACAGAAGGACAACCATGACCACAATTCAGTGTCAACGAGCAGCGTTTGGAACATGGAAGCAGGTCACAGGGCACTGCGCAGGGCAATTTGCACTCGCCCCGGTGTGGACAGGACCAGGAGCATCTTTCGACGCAAGGAATGCAAGGCTCGTGGCACTTCTTACTGCACCGTGAATGGCTACACCGAACTTCGCACGGCTCCAAGCAGAGCCGACACGGCTTATCCCCATGACAAGCCTCGGAACACGCATGGCTGCAAGTGGTGTACGGTCTACCACATGGAGCCTTGCAGATACCGTGACTGATGCCCGAGGTACGGCCATCTTCACTTCGTGTGTTGCAGTCTCTGCAATTTTGTTTACAGTCGTGGCCACACCCGAGAGCACCGCCGCATGTAGCACTGCATGGATAATCTGGTGCAAGTGGAAGTTCATGGCAACGAACCTTTACAGTGTGCTTGCAACCTGGTATAACAGTTTCAACCGAGACAGGACATTGAAATGCATCTGGAGCTTGCGCTATGTAGCATGCCAACCGTGTTTGAACGTGCCCGCAAGATAGGACGACATTCGGCACCAGTTCACGACATTTCGAATCACAAGGGTCTCCGCAAAAATAACGACAGGCGTGGTCACAGCCTTTTTTGATCCTTTGGCAGCGTTCCAGACACCGAACGGCATTATGTAGCGGCTCGGAATGGCATTTGTTGATGCAGGCATGTCCGCAACTAAGCCGTGAGATGCATTTCCTGTTGCAGCCACCCTCGGGCGAGAAGATAGAGAAGTCGTCAGGGTTCGACACCTCGATTGGCGTCTCCTTGTGTCGGGGGCAACATAGCGCTAGAGTCTGGCCTATGTTTCCGTCCTTCTCGAGGATTGTGATAACCTTATCCCACATGGGGGCAGGACGTGCGGTATGTGTGTTGCCGATGATATACATTCCGTGGCGGGCGCGACTTAGCAAGACATTGATGCGATTCGACGTTTTGAGGAATCCACACTTCCTCTCGTCGTTACTACGGACCAATGAGATGACGATGACTTTCGCTTCTTCTCCCTGGAAGTTGTCCACACTAGCGATCCTCAAGGCGTTCAACAACGTCGTCTTCCGGATATTACCTTTAATTGCAACTGTCTCTTCTCCGCTGTCGTCCTCCAATCCCTTCGTCTCTAAGTCTTCGAGATCTCGGTCACCAACTACGATAGCGAAGGAGGATCCTAGGCGCTGTTTGAGCTTCTGCAACTGTCCCAAATAAGGAGTCAGAACTGCGATATCTTCGTTCCGGTAGGTGCCTTGGCGGACGAGATGGGACACCAGAGCGGCTGTCATTTCTACCTCCCAGGCATTAGACTTGGAAAATGACTGCGCCAAATTCGAGGATGAAGAATCCTCCTTCTCGTTATGATCGAGCCAGAAGAGACGTTTCCGCATTCCGTCGACTTCTGGATAGGTCGATACCGAGGGGTAATCTTGCAACTTGGGATAGAGCGTGGATCTAACCAGCTCGGCGATCGATGGGTGCATCCGACGCTGAACCTCCAGCGAACTGCAAGGAAGCTTCCCGTGTCCAGATTGAGGATGGACGAGTCTTTCGAAAAGCGAGATATCCAACGAGAACTTTGCACCCCTCGGATTGTCGTGTTGGAACTCGTATTTGTTGATTTGGGGCCTTAGCTGCTCGTGATCCCCAATCAGAATGACGTGCTCGACCGAAGGCAGGAGTGCGGTGAGCGTATGTGCTTCCAACACCTCACCCGCTTCCTCGAACACCACCACCTTTGCTCGCACTCGGCGGAGAAGATCTAAGTTTCGTGCCATGCCAGCGGTTGTAACTCCAATGACATGCGCGCCAAATAGGCAACGCAGATCTCGCTCCTGGTGGCACTTTTGAAGCGAGTCTCTGAGTTGATGATATGAATTGAGAACGTGTAGGAAACGGCGGGTGAGTTCTCGAGTGCTTTGTTGGACCCAGTATCTGTGCAAAGCTAATCGCTCGGAGCCAGACATCTCCTTCAAATTGACGCCGAGAAGCTCCGGAACTGGGCGACTCGAAGCAATGCGCTTGGGTGCTCCTTTGATCCAGCTATGCAAAATATTGAACTTCTTACCGCGGACCTCCTGGAATCCATGCTCGTCAACTCCTCGCCCGAAAAGTTGTTCATAATGACTATTGTGGTGTTCTTCGAGATATCCCTTAACATTGCTCCAGCGGGTTGAATCCATAAGGCCTGGCATGAGCCCCTCGATTTCGGCAAGAGCGATGTCTAACTTTTCATAAAGTTCATATATCTCATGACCTTCGACCTTTGTGGGCCTGACTTCCTTTGATATATGGTGGAGGTTCAAGTCCTGGAGGAGCTCTGATTTCGATCTCGATCCCAAACGAATAAGCTGCTCCACACCACCCTTGACCAGTTCCTCGAGAAGTTGGTCGAGAGCGTGATTCGTGTAACATACACATATTATTGGCCCAAGCTTAGCTTTATTACGATTTCCCAGCAAGGTCTTGATGATAGCGACACCGGTGTAGCTCTTGCCAGTGCCTGGCGGGCCTTGGATTAGCGCGAGGCATCTTCCCAAAGCGTCTATGACAGACAGCTGCTGTGCATCGTCGAGTGTGGATTTCTCACGAAGTGCGGTAAGATCGAAGGGCTGTCCAGGTGCAAGTCTCAGCCGCTCTCCTCCAGTCAATGTCTCTAGATTGAAGGTGAAGCCAGGCCTGCGCGAGTACGCAGGGGCAGGTATGTCAAGATCCCCTGTATGTTGTATATCTGGAGCTATGAGTTGAGAGAAAGGAAGATCGAGGGTACGGCTCATTTTTTGAAGAGCTTGCAGTGTTGGTTGGAAGGACGGTAGCAGAACTCCTGGAAACTCGACAAGTGAGTGTCGTAGCTTATGAGCCTTTCCGAGGTTACTGATGATCCAAGTGATATCTTCCGCATTATCCTCCACCGGGCTAAGCACCACCGTCGCTCGTTTCACATCCCGGAACAGATTCGGTCGCTCATCCAGAGCTCTGCGATATACATTTGATCGACCTTCACGTTCTTCCTCACCATCTTTTCTTGCTGGCGGAGGTGTCGGAGCAGGATCGCAAACAGAGAAGAAGATAGCACGACCCGTGGAAGAGACAAAGCATACAAAAGCATCGAACTGTAGCTGTTTTGTGTTCCTCCACCACTCTTCTCGCTCTTTAGCTCCTTTCTTCGCAAGTGCGGTAGGTTGGTCAAATTCAGCCACAACCTGGAGCCCTTTCTTCCGATCAAATTCCAGTCGAAGCAGAGCAACTTTGTGATAGAGAATGCTCCGAGCGCCATCTTTCTGTCCGTGCGATGGCGTTTGGGCGTTGAGGGGCTTGTTCAGCCGCTTACATTCTATCTGAACCGCGTCTCGGAGTTGACCAACTGTATCTTCACGTAGAAGTCTAAATTGTCGATCGAGTAAGCCCGCTAGGCCTGGAAGATGATGCTTCGTGGGATCGCTCGACGGTAGGTACTCCAATCGTGGGGACTGAATTTCTTCGGTACTCGGCAGGATCTTAATGTCGGAGATATTTGCATGATCGTTATCATGTCGTGGACCTAATTTAGATAGCGCGCCAGGAAGGTCTTGACCTAATTCGAAGACCGGTCGGTAGCTCCTTTGTTCTATGGCACGGCCCTCTGACAGAGGCATTGCTGCTCCAATACCAAGTCGTTGGCGAACACGGGCTAAGCTTCGGCTTCCGGCCTCGAGGAATTGTTCTGGAATTGTGGCTGAAAAGTCGTTCGCAATCGACGTGAGTTCGGTGGTGACCTGGGCGCTTTGGTTTAACTCAACAACTCTCTCCAGTACTGCTAAGCTAGCTGTTACCGCGATCGATGCCAGCTCTTCGTCTTTGGCTGTTCCGTCCGACGTAAGGCCACCAAGAGCGGAAGTGGTAAAGTTGAACAGATTGATAGCGCGACGACCATTTGGGCCGAAAAGGAAAGTAAAAATGGTATCGAGTGGTGTCTCTAAAATTAGGGACGACAGGACGTCCGGGTAAGAAATGGTTTGGAAAAAGGGGAGCGTTTTGTCCTTAAAGATACGCAGCTTCATTTCTAGCGTGGCCTCATCGGCTTGTTCATCTGTAAGGACCTTGACCATGGCCAAACCCTCCTCAGTCGCTAGCTTCTTGATAATCTGTTGCCCAGTCTCTGTATGCCCTTTGCTGGTAAGGTCCCAGCCCATCTTGAAGAATTTTCCAATCTCCACAACTTGGTAACGCATATTCTGCCTCGGTATAAGGAATGTCCACTCTCGATAGCCGTTTTCGACTTCTGTCAGTGGTTGGGACCTAGCGGTAGACTGCGTTGCATGTGTTCCGACACCGCTACCTGCCACACTTTCGTGCGAGTATTGGCACTGCCGCCCTTTGAAGCAACCCTTCGATGTCCCGAAGAATTGGCATGGTTTGCGTTGAGGTACTTTTGACGTGGGCTTAGACTCGTGTCTGAACTTGCATCTGTTTCCATACTTGCATTTCCCACGCATGAAATCGGAGCAAGGTTTACTACTAGACAGGCAGGATCAGACCATTTTCTTCTGTATCAAATTGGGTCGACTTACGCGCTGACTTCTGCCATATCGGCTCGGAAGATCTAGGCTTGAGGTCAATAGGCGGTGGAGTAGCGCTATTAGAAATCCTTGAATGCTGTAGAAGTAACACTGTGGTCGACTTCAAAGTAAAGCAAAGCTTAGTACCTGGTGCGGACCCTCCAACCGAGAATGTGTCACTCTTCGGAATTAGCTCGGCAGATTCGAGTTGTAGAAGACGTTTGCGACACTTAGTCAATGGAAGGTGGTGCAGCGGAGGTGAGTGACAGGTAATTCTCAGCAGAAGCACACTAGTCTTTCCTTCGTTCTTCGTAGAATGATATGCCTCTATCGGCTCGATGCTGAGCGAGTAGACGTAGTGCAACTTATCCGGCGAAACAGCTGTTAGGACTCAAGCCACAGATAGGATCATCAACCAATCAAAATAGTACCGAGTACGAGAGTACAATCGAGTGGCTTGAGCTCCGCATGACTGCAGTCTGAGTCTTGAACCCCTCTGCAAGATTTGATAAATATTTCGCCAGCGCTCAGTTGGCCTTTCGCATTCGGACCCAACTCTGCTTGACAAGATTGACGCTCTACGAGAATTAAACACCAGCGAATACATTCCTTTGCCACAGGTGATTTCTTGTGCAAGTCAGTCTATAGATACACGGCTACTGGAGTTCTGGTGAAGCTTGTGGTTGTCGGTGATCAATCAAGTAGCAAGTCGTCGGCTCTGGAAGGCCTCACAGATCTTTCTTCCCCTCGCGACAATGGGCGCGGCACACGTTTCGCCACGCAGATTATCTTCCGTCGAGCCGAGAAGTCGAGTATCACAATCTCAATTATCCCGTCGCGTGTGGCGGATTCAAAAATGAAAGAGAGACTTCGGGCTTTCAAGATCCACCTATGACTTCACTCTCAGGCGAAGAATTCTTACAAGTCCTTTCCAAGATCGGGAAGGCCACCGCACCCTGCTAAAGAAATTTTTTGACACTTGCTAATAGGCGTGCATTGTTATGAGTATACCTGCTCTAGGTCACTCGCTGGCCCCCGGGCGGTCCAGTTTTAGCGATGATACGATGAAGATCGAGTTGAGCGGACCGTCGAGACAGCATCTGAGTGTCGTCGATGTTCCTGGACTTTTCAGAACACCGACTCAAGGGGTATTGACGAAGGAAGACATGATCCTTGTGCGACATAGAGTCAAATCATATATCAAGGGTTCTTGGACCATTACTTTAGCGGTAATCCCAGCTCCGGTGGACATCGCAACGCAAGAGATTCTTAGCCTGGCCGAAGAAGCTGATCCGCTGGGTCAGAGGACTCTGGGCGTCCTTACAAAGCCAGATCTTTTGGACAAAGGTGGCGAAGAGCTTGTGATGGATCTGGTACGTGGGACCAAAAATAAGCTCAATTTGGGCTATTGCATGGTCCGTTATCGAGGTCAGCAAGACAAGGCTCCCTCCAGCACCGATCGTCACCAGACCTTCAAAGTATGGTGGAGATGAGTGCGGTTGTCGATTCTATCCCAATGGGCAACATACAACACACAGGGGAAGATATCCACGCGATTCTCAAATCATACTACAGAGTCGCTCGGAAACGCTTCGTTGACGTGGTCTGTATGCAAGCAGCAGACCATCTCTTTGTCACCGGTCCTGGAAGCCCTCTCAGACCTTTCACACCCTCGTTTGTTCATCACTTGAGCTTGGACAGTCTGATCTTGGTTGCTGGAGAGGGAGTTATTTCCAAAAGGACCCGAAGTGGTTTGATACACGAAATAGAGTGTTTGAGAGCTGGGAAGAGGATGCTCAGAGCCTAATATGAAGATATCGGAAGCTTATATGGTGGAAGCGGGCAGTTGGATTATTAGATGTTCTGGCGAGATGATTGTCGCATACAGTACCCAGGAGGATCGAAGAGGCTGCTTAAGTACAGAAACCTTGACTGTAAAGTACCCTAGTAAACGCGGCATGCGCGCCACGCTAAGCCTTACGTACAAGTTTGTACGACGTCTCATTCTTTCTACCCTTAGCTCTTCGATTTGATTGAGAGATGCGCATCCAGAGACGTTCTGATATATTGTCCTTCATTATTAGAAGATTCGGTATCTGTTATAGTTTGTCGACCTTTCAATTTTCCCTTCCGTGCTTTTCACAAGCAAACACATAACGGCTGACTACCCCGATAGTGAAGTTGGACAAGGGCGTCAAGGTCAAGACTGATTGCTGATTGAGATATACATGCTTCAAACTAGACGAATGGCCAGGCCTGAAGGCTAGACGCCATGCATGCAATCCGAGATGGCAAGCTGTAGGAATGGAACTTATGAAGCTTCTCAAGGCTTCGAGAAACAATGGTCTCCGGGGAAGCCTGATGTCGTGGTCTACAACAAAAAGAAACCGTGGTTGACTGTGATTACTAAGTTCAGAATGTAGTCCTTTTACATTCTTTGCGTCTCTCGCATCGCATAGCGTTCTAGGCAATCAAGGATAAACCAGGCAATTGCATTAGATCGGGTGAGGACTCATGGCGAAAGTCATCACGCTGCGGCCTGTGTCTGCTTTTTACCCCTATTGTTGCATTGCAAAATAATCCGGAGAATACGTCAGAAAGGCCGAGGCCAAAGAGTGCATGATAGCGAATCAGAGATAGTTCATGCAGCTGCCCGGAATGCCACCAGTCTGATCAGACCACGAATACTGGATGAAATGCCACACTCTTTCAGCTATGCCTCTGATTTTGACAAGGTCACCTTCCCCACTGCTTTATAAGAATCCCGTTTGCTGCCATTATGCTCACAGCGCATAGTTTAGCCGACTGATATCAATAACGATCTATGGCAGCACTCTCAATGTCTCTCTTGCCATAAGGGAAGTACTGTGTACATTTGCGATGCTGGAATTCCATGACGAAGGTACTTTCGAAGATTTTCCAACCTCGTTGCAATTCAGATTTGCTCTTCAGCCCCGAGAGGACACTCAGTGCATACCTCGGGACATTAGAAGCACTAGTGGCGAAAGCACAGGCGTTGTCCGGGTCCCTAGGGGGTCACGAGGCGAGCTAATCTTTAGCAGCTTGGGCACGGTTCAGCATGGCATCACCCCGCGGGATGCACAACTTGCGGGGTCAACATGGGCTGCGATCCCAGTATTCACCGCCTTTCTAGGGTACTTCTCTGCGTCTCTCGATAACAGCTCCGGGACTTAGGAGTGGCACTCATCTCGGACTGTAACTTTCCCGAATCGCGTCCTTCTGAGACTGTCACTCTGCCTTACCATCTACCTCAGCATTCATTGTCGACATCATCTCATAAACTCGCAATCAAGCCTTTCTTTGCCACTAATCTAGCTTGTCCTACTCCCTTTGAGCCACCCTGATACTCGGACTTTTCCTATCCGTTCGCTACTCACACGGGTACTTTCGCGCTCCGAAATTTGCCACGACGACCACCTTTCCTAAACACTACTAGTCCGCATAATGAAATTACTATGCCTACGTCCAGCGAGATAACCTGACGATGACGACATAGAGCTGCTCGAGGTTCAACACAAGCGAAGGACCAGAGCCAATCAACACAATCCACCACCGGAGAGTCAGACCCAGGCTACGCCGTCACGCAAACACCTATTTCAGGAAGCCCTCCATCATTCCCGCACAAAGACCCTTTCCAAAAACGACACGAACTCAGAGAACGAACGCAACGTCTAAACTTCCCTCCATGGACGAGATCATGACGAACCCCATGGCCGAGCTCACCGAAAAGGGTTTCGTCAAGCTGCCCTCCCTGCGTCAACTCCTGCCAAAACGCGACCCCACACCCGAGCCGGAAGAAAACATCCCTCGGCCTTACTACAACGAGTATGGCCACTGCGACGGTTTCGTGGCATGGTGGGATAACAGAACCGGCAAGGGCATGATCATCGATCATCGCTACGGCGTGGAGCACAAGATTGAGCTCAAGGACATCAAGTGGTCCAACTACGGTGCGCTGGTTCCGGGGTCCATGGTCGAGTACGAGTACTCCGATCATGGGCTCAGCAAGGGAGTCAGCAAGGTCTGGGTCGTGTCTGGATGCGAGTACGTGCTGTGAGTTGACCCTTCACTCGGATCTGTCTCAATGGGGTGACACGTCCTTGGACTGACTAGGTCTGTATAGGTATGCGGACGCATGGAGGGATGATATGAAGTATTTCTACATGCAGACTGAGAAGCGAGAGTATTATGAGCGATCGACGAGGGGAAGGTAGACAGGAGGGTTTTAGCACAGGGGACAGATCAGAAAAGGGTGTGCATTAGAATAGGGAAATGCGTTGGATTGCGCCAGCGCTGGTCAAGGAGACCAAAGCCAGTGTGTGCACTCAGGCAACAGCTTGTCGGACAACAGCGATGGGGAATAGTCAAACATGGTATTGGCCCAAACGTGACCCTCAGGCCGATCTTGAGTTCGTAGAATGCATAATCATTTGGACCCTGCTCAACTCATACATGTATGACTGAAGCCCCGTCATAGACTACCGATTTATAGAGTACCTGTTGACTTCGTCGCCAATCCTCAAGTATTCTACCGCTTTGAGGCTGCCTCTCATCACAGGCCACGAGCCAGCCCATCGGTTGGCGGCCTCCGTGGCGTTGCGCCACGGGGAGAGGAGACTGATCGATGGATCTGCACTCGGACTAGTGACTCATGTTCGCAATCTAAGCTAGGTATCTGTGAATGTTGAGACGTGAAGACTATTCAGGATGGGTGTATCTGCTGAGAAATGGGCCGATGGTGCAAAGGAATCGAAAACAAGGCTTGCCATTGTCGTTTCTTTGCATTCTCGTATCAAATCTTTGAACAAAGTTTAGGTTCTGTCCGGTCACTCTCTCGAAGGCCTTGTGGAGAGCAGGCTACAGAAATTCGCTATTTATCTCACGCCCACTGGAAGTGCTAGATGCAAGTGAAGAGGTTCCAGAGCACGAAGGATCGTCACCCTCGCAACGGCTCATACTATCAGATCCCTAGTCCATCATTGCAAGTAGATTACTCGCTTCTCATCCACTCAACATAACGCTCATTTCCCGAGGATCCCGATTCCATAAGGTTGTCAAAGTCCTCCTGGGCCCCTGGCTCTCCATACCTCTTGTAAAGCCTCATGGGCCACGCCTCAACTACAGTGTTTTTCACCTTCGGCTTCATGCCCGTCTTTTTGACAATGGTTGGGAAGTCTAACATCCGCTTGTACTGAGCCCACAGTTTGTCGTAGTCCCGGACGAGGTCCTTCGCGGCCGAAGCCCTCAAAGCTGCAGGATTATACGGGTTTTGATTCGCGGGGAGTTTGGATGGCAAGAACTGCGATATCTTCTGCATTCCTGTCATCATGGCTTCGATGTCATAGCCGCGGGCCTGTGCCGCCTGTTCGGCCGCGTTCATGAAGAGCGTAATGAGTGTTGCGTGAGAGCTTTGCTTGCGGTTCTTGAGTAAGGGACCGAATGTTGAGAGCGATTTTTCAAGACCGATGTAGTTGGCATCGGCAATGTTGGAGATTTCGATTCTGTCGAACGCAGACTCTTTGAGGCGGTCATCAAGAAGAGAGGGTAGTTCGGTCGCATTTACACAGTACATGTCCATGTGGATCTTCATTAGAGTGGTCTTCTGACAAAAGTTTTCGAGCAAGTCCCGTATATGGAAATGCAAGTGGCCATAAATATCTTCCTTCGGACCTCCACGTCTGACTCCTGATGCAAGAATGTCCTTGAGTGCCCAACCTGCCAAGGGGTCCGCTGAGTCTTTGAGGAGCCATGCGCCGCTATCATTGTCGAACAATGTCCTTGAACCTGTAAGTTGTGTCATTGCTAGGAGGAGTATCCACTTACGGATTTGAGGAGGTGTATCCATCCGAGCAAGACCCAAATGGCAGAAGCATTCCACTTTCTTGCATCTTGTGGGAGCATACACGCCTTGAGGGAGACATCGTGAAGAGCCGGCGCTCTCGGTAATCCACCCGAGTGTCGTTAAGCATAACGTATTGTCGTTCTTCCTCGCCTTTCGAGACCGGTTGCTCAGCATCAAACAGTCTCAGGATGAGATTCCATTGCTGTTTATACAGACGTAGTGATAACATCCGTGTACCAAAGGTCCATGTCTTGTGTAGGAGGACGTCATCCTTCTTTTGCTCAATTTTCTTCAGCACCTCTGCAATGAGCGGTCGGACGCGATCCTTGACATCCTGCAACATTTTAGGTGTCAGCCGAGCTGAATACCAGATATGGAGGATGAGCACTGCTGCGATGACTGGAGGGAAAACCAGTGAGGTGAGAAGCATCACGACGTTGCGGGCCACAACTAATTGGTCTTTGTCGTTGACGACGCACAGGCATGTGCCACTGTAGTCGTCTGGCATTCCGATGACCGACTCGATGATGTTCCGAAGATCACCGGAGGCAGCGAAGCATAAATTGAGGTCCTTGTTGTGCTTTGTTCCTTCGTTATGAGCCAACTTCAGGACATCGAACGCTGCTATATTGCCGTAAAGAAATCTCAGATGTCCAAAGCTCTCAGATGGCATGGCAGTTGACATGAAGGCCGGCCGCCGTCCTTCGCTGGCCCAGGTTGGCTGCCAACCAGGCTTCCTCAATGCGGAATTGCAATCGAGCTTGTGCTGAGGCCAGTGCGTAACTTGGCATCCATAGCTACAGTACTGAGAATACTGTCAGCGCTAAGGTCGACCTCCCTCCGCCTGATGATAAAGAGGGTCCTTATCGTAGCATACTTGAACCAAATAACACCTTGAACAGATGAGGTTGGCCTGGGTGACACAATTGACAGGGCCATCGACCCCCTCTTTGACATTTGCGCAAGGAATCCTGCCCTGAGCTAGCTGGCTAATGTTTACTTCTAAAGACATTTCCGTCGAGGTCGAGGGATTGCTGGCGGAAGATGATTCGTCACATTCCCTGTGCATCAAATCTATAAAGACATGTGAAGGGTGGGATGTAAGCCAAGCAAACTTGAGGTATCATGCAGGGTTCGGATTGCTCCCAATGATGCTAGGCTAATTTGGGGCCCAATTTGCTCCCTAAGAGTCGAAGACGCAAATTGTCTATATGGATGATGTAGATACTGTTGTTTTCCCTACCGTTAAGAATTTTCTATGGGCCTGAATCACAGGTAACCCGAGCCAAAATAGCCTGAAGGACAATTGTCGCTCCAGTAGGGAGCACATCTCTCTATATGCTTGTGGTGTTTGCGTCCCACTCGTGCTTGCAGTATTATGAGCCCTTTGAATCGAGGAAACATCACGGAGTAGAAGGCTTCGTTGAACTCTGGGTTCTTGGTCTTGAAACCCCCTTGGGAAGGCATGACGGCGACGACAGCGAGGTCCTGAATGGACCTATTGACGAACGAAGGTCAATGACACCAAGATCCATCGTGAGATGACTACGCCTTGGTTCAAATTACTCCACTAATAAAACATCGATCATAAGAAAAAAAGGGTAGAGCAACATACCATGATTTGAAGATAATGGAAACTTTTAGCTTGCGTAATTATATCGATTGTGTGATCTTGAAGAAGGTACATTTTGAAGGTTCGAATTTCTAAGGTCTAGAGTACGAGTAAGGTACTACGAGTAGTACCTTAGGTGAGGCGGATCATGTCGCTCAAGGGCAACTACTCTTTTTTCTCAACTCCTAGTTACTGAAATAGTATTTCAAACCTGAATCTTTTGTATATAGCATTCCTACTAGATGTTCTCGCGACTCTAAATTTCCTAGTTATTCTGAGATTCGACTTACAGTTGTGAAGTTGGTAGATGAAATCGATGCGTTGCGCGACAGAACCCATTGCCAAGACAACCAGAGAGAATTCTGACTACGCTACTCTAAGGGGTAAATACCCTTTACGTTATGTATATACTAAGGAATGGCGGACGCGCAATTGAATTTAATCCGGATATTTAAGTTTAACTGAGGATTAAGAACTTTTATTAAACGCCGAAGGTTATGGTAGCCTTTTTTTAATATATATTAAGTGTTAGATTAAACGCGTAGTATATTAAATTTAATATTAGTGGATATTTTATAATAAACTTTAAATTGTAATATTAGTAACAGTTGATATAATTCATCCTAAAAACGGCGTAAAATAAATAAGAGACAAAAAATATAATTAATGATAATTATATAGGAAAAAAAAAAAAAACAAAGAAAACCCAGACAAAAAAAAAAAAAACTCTCTAAATCATCAATTCTATGGTTCTCAGTCTCACACTCACACCCTCTGTTATATCATTTGTGTTTGACTTCATACTCTAGAATGGATGTCCACTTGACACTATTCAACTCATACAATATACATGTATGACTTAAGCCCGTCATGGTTGCTCAGTTGTAGAGTAGTTGCCGTGCCTCTGTCTCAGTAGTCGCCTTCCTTCCTCGCCAACCTCTCATCGTTCCACCGCTCTGAGCTCAATCTCCTGAGATCTCTTAGTCGAAAACCCATGTGATTAATGGAGAGCTCACTTGGCTCGAACACTTGATACTCGAGGTCCACGAGAGCGTCATGGTCACCTGCAGTCGTTCCATATGACTCTGAAAAACTAATTATAAGATGCACATCGCAGTCGAGGGTTGCGTAAGAATCATCTCTAACGATTCACCATACCTTACTGACGAAGAGACAGGGCCATGGCACCCTCCACGCCATCTACGCCTCCGTCGAAAAGACCTGCGAGATCAACAAGTGGAAGGGCATTGACCTCCTCATCATCGGCGGCGACTTCCAGGTCCGCCCTCCCTCCAGGATCGAGACTGAGCTATATCTAACATGCTCAGGCAGTCCGCAATAGCTACGATCTCAATTGCATGTCTGTACCCCATAAATTCCGAGCTATAGGGGATTTCCACGAATACTACAGCGGCGCCCGTCTTGCCCCCTACCTCACCCTCTTCGTCGGCGGTAATCATGAAGCCAGCTCCCACCTCCAAGAGCTATACTACGGTGGCTGGGTAGCGCCCAAAATCTACTACCTAGGTGCTGCCAATGTCGTTCGCTTTGGAGATCTACGCATAGCTGGGCTCAGTGGTATATGGAAGGGTTACAACTACAACAAGCCCCACTTTGAGAGGCTGCCGTACAGTGCGGATGAGATAAAGAGTCTGTACCATGTGCGGGAGATTGACGTGAGGAAGCTGTTGCTGTTGAGGACACAGGTAGATCTGGGGATTAGCCACGATTGGCCGAGGGGTGTGGAATGGCAGGGTGATTGGAAGGCGCTGTTCAGGAAGAAAGACCTCTTTGAGGCAGATGCTAGGGCTGGGACGTTAGGGAGCTCGGCGGCAAGATATGTGATGGATCGGTTGAGGCCGCCTCATTGGTTTGCGGCGCATTTGCATTGCAAGTTCGCTGCGGTTGTGGACTATGGCAAGGAAGCTGGGAGCTTGGAGCCTGCCATGAACGGTGAGAGTACCAATGGCATAAAGAAGATGGAGGAGAATCAAAATGATATTGAGGACGAGGGCCCTCCAGCGGAGCCTCCTACTCCCGCCAAGAATACCGATGAGATAGACCTTGATATCGACTCTGACGATGCCGCAAATACAGCCCAAGTATCAGCGAACCTTCAAGCGCCTCCAGACTCCTCTATCATAACGTCGGACCTCCGCTCACAGCTCCCCGCCTCATTCGCGCGCCCCAAGACCCCTCAGCTATCCAAAAACGCGCCACCACCTCCTCCGCCGCCAGCGATCACGAACCTCACGACTAACTTCCTTGCCCTAGACAAATGCCTTCCCAACCGCAAATTCCTCCAACTCCTATCTATTGACCCCCTCGCTCCCTCAACCCCACCTGCTCCGCCAACTCTCACTTACGACAAGGAATGGCTAGCCATCCTCCGCGTCTTCGGCTCTCAGGACCCGCACCTGCCCTCTCCCCGAGATCCGGGCGAAGCAGTCTATGCACCTTTGATAGCCAAGGAGGAGGAGTGGGTGGAAGAACATCTGGTCAAACAGGGGAAGATGGCGGTGCCAACGCGCTTTGATACCACGGCGTTGGTGTATGACGGCTCTGCTATCGGCAGCGTGGGCAGAGAGCAGCCGAGGGAGTACACAAATCCGCAAACCAAGGCGTTTTGTGAGATGCTCGGTATGCCCAATCATTTCGAAGCCAGTGAGGAGGAGAGAGAGGAGATGAGGATGAACAAAGGGCTACAGATTCAGAGCGAGATTTCTAGCGGTGGCAGCAGAGGGCGCGGAAGAGGTGGGGGTGGGGGTGGGGGTGTTCATAGGGGTAGAGGCGGAGGAGGGAGAAGTGGTGGGAGAGGGCAGGGGAGGGGAAGGGGTTTTCGATGATTGGCTGCTAAGGCCAAAGAGCGAAGCAGACTCGATCGTAATTGCATGGCTGCTGAAGATATCTTTTCTACGGCCGTGGGGCCTGGTCTAGCGTCTATTCTATGGCCTTGAAGCCTGCTTTTGAGATACCCAATGGCATCAAGTTGCTCAAGCAAATGTCTCAAGGGCTGTCGCTGAACGGTTCCAAGATTTGAGGGTCTCATCCCCTGCTTCTGGTTGAATAAGGGGCTTGCTGCCTACCAGTCATGAATGTTCAAGATGACATCGAGCCTGAATTCTCGCAGGAGGTTCAGTTAATTTTCCTCGAGACCTGGCACAGTCCAGTTCAATACCAGATGCTTCGAGTGCGATGATGGGGGATGCAGTCATGGCCTTTCGTCTCCATTTCCTTCATGGTATCGTAGAGGAAGAAATCGATCAGGATAGCATTGAGGTGCGTCTCCGGGTGCTGACGCCGAATCTCCCGCCTCAGAAGCTCGACGCACCAGATGCTGCATCCACGCAATTGAATCTCCCACGGGTGACCGCTCTCAATGGCTCTCTTTTGCCGGATGTGAGACTCTAGAGGTGGACTGTACTGGAGGCAGCCGAGTGAGTGGAGCATCTGAGGGATTCTGTAGTCTGCGAACATGGTGATCTGATCGATGTCGTGGAAAGAGCCAAAGCCTTCGCCTTCGAAGCAGGCCCAGAGGTCTGCGACTAGGATCTGTGTCCGCTTGTGGAAACGGACTGTGGTGTCTTCGAACCTGTGACGATCGTCCAAGCAGGGGAAATTGTCAACGATGAGTTTGACTAGAGCGGCAGCAGATCCTTTGCATTGCTCAATGCAAGTGGTAAAAGTCCCCTCAAACTGGTCTCGTAAGACGTATCCAGCCTCTCGTAAGCAGTAAATCCTGTCTCCCAGAAGAGGCATTGGCGGGGAATTGGCCGACGTTCTGAATACATGCTGGAGTAAAGCATCGGTGCATTTCCCTTCATTTATCCAGAAAGATGGGCTTGTTATCGGTATTCCTGAAGGCCGCCTCCAGTAAGCCTCCACCCAATTGAACACATACTCCAACCCGTACCTTCATCGAGAGCTCGCTGGATGGCCGCAACAAGGCTCCAGTAGCCCGTCCACGTCTTGCCGCGATACTCAACGGCGTACTGCTCGGGTAATGCACCGTCGGACCAGAAGCAAAAGTTGAGCAAATCCATAAGGAAAATGAAATCCACGGTACTTTCATCCTTGGCTTTGGGATGCAGTTCATGCTTCGACCAGTCTCGAGTGCTGTATTGCTTTTCTTGTATCAATGTCCAGATCAATGAAGCAGCGACCTTGGTCCCTCGCATGTCCAATGCCACGTCAGTAGAATTGTCGTAGATGTATTCCGCATCCTCCAGGACCCCTGTTTTAGCAGGTCTAGGCGAACTGTTGCCATCTATGCCCAGGGATTTGCGGAGGAGCTCCAAAAGATCGGAGTCCACCTCATCGTCTGACATTCCGAGAACAACGAATCCGGAGAGGTGTCATGCAGTGAGTGTAACCTTGATACGGCAAATGCTCCGAGAAGTTTTAATGCAGGTAGGATGCCTGCCTTAGGCTGTGAAACCGAATTTTCAACCCCAATATTCTAAAAAAGCGCAAACATAACAACAACATAAAGCCTCCAAAGTTAGGAAAAGATAGTGTACAGAAGGACAAGATTAAGAAGGAGTGAGAGAAAGGAGTGACCGAAAGCGATCTGATAACAGAAACTCTAAATACGATCAGATCCAGGTGCGCTAGCGGCCCCCGTATGTTGTACTAGCGGTAAGCGCGTCTTTACAGTAAAGTATGTTGTAAGCTTTACATTTGAGGAGTCAAAGTGATCACTCTTGTTATTCCTCTTCATCTTACTCCCGTCTTTCTTACTGTCGTTCCTTTTGTTCTATGTCACCCTCATATAATCTTTTCACCAATTACTCTATCAACTCTCCCTAACCCTCCTAAGTACCCCACGCAGCCATGGGGCGAGATCGATTCGCAAAGCAGTCCTTGGGCTATCTATACCCTAGGATCAAACAGGTTTGTTCTGTCCCCCCTTCGGTTGTCAGCCTCTACTGATAGTGGCATTCATCAGTCTCGCATTCTGATGGTCGGCGCTGGAGGAATTGGCTGCGAGCTGCTGAAGAATCTTGTTCTCACCGGCTTCGGTGAGATCCACATCGTTGATCTGGACACCATCGACCTCAGCAACCTCAACCGTCAATTCCTCTTTCGTCAAGAGCATATCAAGAAGTCTAAGGCTTTGGTGGGCTATCATACTTTACCATTGGGAAAACACTTGTTCATACTTCATTCAGGTCGCAAAGGAGAGCGCCGCCAAGTTCAACCCTCACATCAAGCTCGAGGCGCACCATGCCAACATCAAAGATCCTCAATTCAATATAGAATGGTTTCAGAGCTTCGCACTTATATTCAATGCCCTTGACAACCTCGATGCGCGACGGCATGTCAACAAGATGTGCTTGGCTGCGGACGTTGCCTTGATTGAGAGTGGTACGACGGGATTCAATGGGCAGGTTCAGCCCATCATCAAGGTTAGTCGCACGAATGTCTTGCAGTGGTACCAAAAAGCTTATCTTTTCAGGGCAAAACCGAATGCTACGACTGTAGTACCAAAGAAGTGCCCAAGAGCTTCCCTGTCTGCACTATCAGGAGTACTCCCAGTCAGCCGATTCATTGCATAGTGTGGGCGAAGAGCTACCTATTCACCGAATTGTTTGGGACCAGCGAGGAGGAAACCCCCGAATTCGATCATTCAGAGGACAGTGAGAACGCTAAGGAGATAGAGAACCTTAGGCAAGAGTCGCAGGCGCTCAATAGCATACGGCAGTCGATGGGTTCGGATGACCTCGCTCGCAAAGTGTTCGATAAGGTCTTTAAAGATGACATCAATCGATTACGGAGTATGGAGGATATGTGGAAGACAAGGAAGCAGCCCAACGCTCTTGACTTTGATGGGGTCTCAAAAGGGGCATCTGGAACAAAACCATCTGTTGCGCAACATGACCAGAAGGCGTGGACGGTAGCCGAGAACTTCACTGTGTTCTGTGACAGGTACGTACTCCTAAGTGCAAGTGCTCGTCGGATCCGCTAACGTGATCAGTCTTCGCCGCCTGAGTACCCGACTGCAGACGTCTCAGGCTCGATCTGAAGCCGACACTGCAGCTCCTGTGCTCATGTTCGACAAAGATGATGAGGACACCCTCGACTTCGTCGCAGCTAGCGCCAACCTCCGCTCTATCGTTTTCGGGATTGAGTCAAAGTCCAAGTTTGATATCAAGCAAATGGCGGGTAACATCATTCCCGCTATTGCGACAACAAATGCCATTACCGCCAGCCTTTGCGTCATGCAAGCTTTCAAGGTCATGCGAGGAGATCTAGACAAAGCTAAAATGGTCTTCCTCGAGCGCTCGGCTGCCCGTGTCATCAACAGCGATACCTTGAAGCCACCAAACCCCAATTGTAATGTCTGCGGTGTGATGTCGTCGACCCTGATTCTCGACCCTGACCGAGCAACGCTCAAAGATCTAGTTGAAGATATCCTGAAGACGCAACTGGGCTACGGAGATGAATTCAGCATTAACAATGAAGTCGGGACCCTGTACGATCCAGACCTAGATGACAATCTGTCGAAGAAATTCAGCGATCTCGGAGTGAAAGCAGACAGCTTCTTGACCGTCATTGACGATGATGAAGATGATCCTCGTGTCAACCTATCGTTCGCTATATTGGAGAAGACCTTACCGGCAGACACCAAAGCCGTTCAGCTTCCCAAGAAACTCGACATCGCCCGTAAACCCAAACATGCACCAGCTCCTCTCACCAATGGGGACACCAATGGCCACGTGACAACCTCGCCTGTCGGTACGAAGCGAAAGCGAAGCTTAGAAGAACCTGAAAGTGGTCTACAGCAAGGCCATAAGCGTGGCAAGATCCATATGCCTTCCAAAGCCATCGGCTTCCAGGACGATGGTCTGGTTATCGCTGATGACTCAAACGATGGAGCAATCGTCATCGACGATTGAGTCTAGCTTTCTACGATCAGGTTTACGTCGTTCATGAATTTCTTTGCATATGAGGTGTTCTTTCTCCCAATCTCGAAAAGCGATACCAGGAGCATCGGCGGAGAATTGGCGCTATCTACAGGAAACGGACTCGCGTCCAAATCGCATGGCGTATACCAGGGCGTCTACGGTAACAAAGATCACGCGCGACTTGGACATAGCTTGAGATTAATCCAGACTTGAAGAAGATAATGCAGACTCGAAGAACAGAGCATACGGCATACTCTTGTCTGCCTTCTCTACTAAAGCAAAGATAGATGCTAGACAAATTACGTTCTTGATCTAACCATTGCCAAAGCTATTCAAGAAGTTCTTTGTCCTCCCTCCCATCTTCTCAGGCGTAGACAATAAAAGACATCCAGAGCACGCTAGATAGAATGCCAAGCCCTCGACCCTCCAACATGGTGTTTACCTGCATGTAATAATACCGTTGTTTTGGGTGGCTGCGTTTTGTATGGGCGCCACATAAATAAGGCGCGCGTCGCCGAGACATCGTTGTCGTGTCGCGACCTCGCTTTACTTGCATGGGGCGGTAGGCGGAAGGCTTTGTCCGCCTGTTGCTCCTTGGCGGAATTTGTTGGGTGTGCGGGTTGGCGGCCACTATGAGGTTTCGAGACCTCGCTGTCGCCTTTCTGGTGGGGCTTCTGATAGCCCCGGGCCCGGGCTTGTACCGCTTGGCGGAATTTGTTGGGATGTGGGTTGGGTCTCTTGGGGGGATCTCGCTTCGTGAGGGGGGGTTCTGGGCCTTGGGGTTTCCGCATCTTTGCGATACCGCCTGTCTATCTGTTATTGTTATTGGGCTCCTTGGCCTTTGACCCTGCTTATGGCCGTTTTTGCGTATATAGCCCTGCGAACTCGCTCCTCGATCTCTGTCTAGTACCCGCTTTTATTGTGAACTTCGTCTTATCTTATTCCTCGCGGACTTTGAAATGGGGCCTAAAGAGCTTCGCTCTCTGGGTTAGGGATGCTTTATTTTCGCGCTTGGTTTAGGCGGGTTGCGTTGTCCCTTTGGGTTTTTTCCTTCGTTGGTCGCCTTCTTTATGGGAGAAGGGGGAGGGGGCTTCGGGGGCGACGACCTAGCTCGAATGGTGGGCCTGCTTTTGCATGTGTAGCTCTTTTTTAGTGAATTGTGTCTTGCTTTGGGTGGTCTTATCCCTGGTTTATACATCGAGCTCCTTCTGTATCTAGCCCTTACTGGGGGCTGGGGGATTGGCTTTATGGTTGTTTGACGATGCGTGTGGGGGGGGGGTGGGTTCGGTTGGCTGTCCTTTTACTTTCAGATGTGGCTGGTCGCCTATGGCCTGGTCTTGTTTTGACCCTCCAACATCTGTCACCCCCCTACAAACAAACAACCTTTGTTTTCTGAACCTCATCAGTCACACTTGATGATACTTAGAATCGCTAGCATATCTAATCAACTTCATCATCCACTTCGACCGACCCATCATGCACTCCCACCTCGCTACCTCCATCTCCATCGCCCTTCTCACCCTCCTCCCTACAGCTCTCTCCCACGGCCACCAGGTCCCCATTTCCGACGACGCCGACTGGGCAACGCGTCATATGGCCGAAGAACATCACATTACGAATCTCGATCCCTCCGCTTTCTTTACCTTGCACGACTATGATTCGTCCGGCCAATGGAGCCCCGACGAGATCCGACGAACGTACGGGCTAGATGACGAGAGCGCTAAGGATGTGCCGCAGGAAAAGAAAACAAACGCTGTACAAGAGGTTATAGGGATGTTTGACGAAGACGGGGATGGGGCCATTAGTAGGGAGGAGTGGATGGATGGGTGGGTGAAGCATGGGAAGAGGTTGCCGGACTTTGGGGTAGGTTGTCACAACCGTTACAATAAGCATTGGGCTCGGGCTTCAAGATGGGTCAAGACAATTGGGAGAGTCGTCCTTGGATCTCAACTGTCTTGATGCCTTCACACTTAGGATGTCCACAGGGCATACTGGGACCCGTGCAGAGTCTTTTTCGGCCATTGCTATGAAGAAGGTCATGAAGTCTATGCTAATCCTTGATTCCAATGTCAGACTGGACCCGGACATCATGGCGATGACGAGTATGAGTACGAAATCCATCATTTCGAGAAGTTTCATGATGAGAGTGGGTCGCTCCTTCCTAAAACCCTTCTCTGCTACCGTCTACTAACGGGGTCGACTATCGATAGATACGAGAGAAGAAGACCTCACGCATCCTGAAGACATCGCCCATTTCCGAAAACATGATGAGATGGATGCTCAGGCAGAGTACCAGGAGCAAATGGACCGAATGCCCATAGTGGAGCAGAACATACCCCAGAAGTTTCGGCGGTACTAGAGGCGCTGGTAGTCATCGGCTTTTCTACTTTACGTTCACTGCGCTGTTTTGCTGGATCAAATTCTGGGATGCTGCTGGTCGGTATTTCTTCGTCAACTATTCCGTGACGTACTTTGTACTGTAGGTTAGTATCCTGGTGTTGGCTAGAATGGGCGACCTGTGAACGGGGCTCGCATGATCAATTACGGGCGCATTGAGCTGGAAAAGCGATACGCAAGGGCTTGGGCCTACGATCGAACGCACGGCCGTCTCTCAGCCGTGATTTATTGCGCCCTTTCCTTCATGCGCTTCAGCGCCAGTGTTGCCATTACCCTGCTCTTGAGACATGCACGAATTTGGAGGAAAATTGTACGCCCTTGGAAAGCTGTCATCGAGTTCAGAAGCTCTGCAGCTGAATCTGTTGCTACATTATGGTCACAGAATGCATCTCTCTTGGACGTTGCGGCTCTCAACCATATCAGCTATCCTTGCCTCCTTATGCATACTCTCCAGTGCAACACCTACGTCTTTCACAATCACCAAAGATGGGGCCAACCATGAAGTCAGTGCCAAAGCTGTGCCCGGCCCACTTCGCAACCTTCCAGCACTCCCCCAAACCCAGTCTATCAGCAACCGCGGCCTCTCTTACGGCTCATGGGGCAACGGCTGTACGTATTTTCGGAGTTCATCTTTCCTCTTCTGGACCAGATCTAGAGCCTCGAGACAGTTCCTTGAGAATGTCTACTCTGTATACATGTTCCAAGGCTTAACACATACCCTCTCGGAAAGGCAATGCTGACTCTGAAACGATAATCTAGGGTCCTCTCGCTCCAACACCTACGTGAGAACCCCTCCACGGGTCACTTCTGTCCCAACAAGAAATACCGACTGACCCCACAACCTCCCAGTCCGCTCTCCTCCCCGTCCTCCCCGCCGCGGCCAAGCTCTCCCTCTTTTACACCAAACTCCACCTGCTCTCTTCCTCCTTCCCACCCACTCTCTCAGCCACCGCCCCAGCAATCCTCGACGGTATAGCGGGCCAAATGGTGCGGTTTCAATGCGGCGGACTCGAATTGAGTTTCTTCAGCAGTACCCTGATCCCCTGGAGCTTCGTGGCTACGGTGGCGGCGAGGTTGAGGCAGAGCACGGCGAACGGGTTTACAGGACTGCACGGGACGGTGTTTGAGCATAAGGCGGCTGGGCTGGTGGTGTTTGTGACGTTGGTGGCGGCGGGTGTGCCGGTGCCGGGGCTGTTGCCACGCTAGGTGCGGTGCCTTTTGGTCAGTGGATTGGGTGTGGAGTACGAACATCGTGAGCTAGAATATGATCATTTTTATTCTTCGATCCTCCAAGTTTTCTCCTTTCCCAGCGTGGAATCGCTAGGCCCCATGCGCATGGTTTAAGGGGCAACATCCTGGCTATAGGAGCCTTCGGCTATTCGATGGCTTTGCGAGTCTATGCGCACGAGCTGACCGGTTGAACTTTAGACAAGATGATTATTGTATGCGAACCTTCCCTGTCAAAGAACCTTCAAACCGGTTGAAAGAAACGGACGCGCCCTTTCCGCCAAGCGACACCCCAACCTCCGAGTAATGAAACGACGTCGGTTATGGCTCGAGAATTTGCTGTTCACTCGCGCTGATATCTTACGAGCATGACTGCCATGGCCCTTGACAGTTTTGAGCCTCCGGAGCTGGAATGGTCATTCGAACTCTCAACCCTGCCTCTTGGCTCCACCGTCGAGAACCTAGCCTCATTCTAGGTATTCGCCTCGGAATGTACGTACCGGGGTACTGCATTTTGCGACGACAGCCGCTCCAACCAGGGTGGTGCAATGAGCTTGGAATAGCAGGATCTGAATACATCCGTGAGAACGGGAGGTGCCTGCTTCCTAACCCGGAGGGTTGGTGATTCGACGATTCCTGCGGATGCATTACATACATACACATCACGGGGATTATCAGATATGTTCCTAGAGCGTCGACGATTGTCTCGGCCCTGGCGATGAGCTATCATCGTCTGCCTTCGCGCAACGTGCCTGCCTGTCGCTCAGCCAAGGTGAATAGCAACCCACCCACCAAAGTCTGCCACACTTCGCAGTCGTATGTATGGACCGTGCGTGGTGGATAGCACGTTCTCAGCCTTGTGCTGGGTGGACGGATTTTACATTCGCTGCGGTCAGCTAGCCCCGCGCCTCCTGTGCGCCTGCTGATATGTGTACCGCTTGCCGGCGTTCAGTCAACCGATCGTTGTTTGCTATTATCCTTAGTGGTGAATCCCTGCGGCTTTGGTGCTGAAGTCGGAGGATGGGAGTAACATCGTTCAATGGGAGGATGAAAGAACGAGGCTGAAGGTTGCGCAGCCGATGCAACACTAGTGGAGGTAATCATCTTCGGTGGGGTTCAGGCTTGGGTCCGCATTTGTGCGGCAGGGTGAGTGCGGAGCACGTTGAGAGAATGCTTTTGCATCTGCACTCGTCCAGTCAAGCATAGAATTATGGACCCCAAGCGTAGAGTCGCTCTGTCACTTTCCAAGCTAGGTCTAGGCAGATTGTTGAACATTGGGGAGGAAGAAGTTTTATCATCAAGGGGAAGGGCGTCTACATGTTTGCCACACCTAATATTACGGGAGATGAGAATCCAGTTTTGGACCTTGTCCTCCTCTCCACAAACTCCCACATGACTGTGCCCATGGCAGGAACCCCAACGATCGCGGACACTGTCCATTTAGTGAGCAGCGTCTGTCTGCCAGATAAGCGCACCGTGACCAAGCGTCTTTGCAACGCTCTACCCTCCCCTCTACGCCGCATCCCCGACGACGAAACCGGCAAACGATGCAACTTCGTTGTCTTTCAAGGGGACGTCTTCAATGAATCCCCCTTCGTCAAAGGCCCCTTACCTCCAAGCCTCCCGATATCCTACCCGGACCGGATGCCCCGCCGGTCACGCTCCTGCCAGTTGAGTACGACGACTACGCCGTTTCCGGGTATCGCGAGTTCTGCAACCTCCGCGCCGAGGGTGTCATCTCCGAGGCTGTACGCTTCCAGGTCCCGCTCCCGACGCCACTCAACGTTGTAGGCAACCTTGGTGGAGCCAGCGTGGAGAGCGACCGTTGAGCCCATGTACGAAGAATCTTTATTGGCCGCTCTGGGACGTATCCAAGACCACATTCCCGCCGGTGATCTTGCTGTCCAGTGGGATGTTGCGCAGGAACTTGCATACCTGGAGGACGTGGCCTCGAGGCCGGCATGGTTTATACCTGTGAAAGATGGGATCTTGCAACGCGTCTTGAGACTTGCTGCCGCTGTGGACGAGAGTGTTGCGCTAGGCTTCCATCTCTGCTATGGTGACCTGGGACAAAAGCATTTCGTTGAGCCTACAGACACGGCCGTGCTGGTTGATGTTGGGAATGCGAGCTTGAAAGGTGCCACGAGGCCCGTCGATTGGATTCATTTGGCCGTTCCCAAAAGTCGTGCCGATGCGGCGTATTTCGCTCCATTGAAGCAGCTCGAACTGGGTACTACGGAGTTTTATCTTGGACTTCTGCATCCGGAGGACGAGGAGGGGACGAGGGAGAGGGTCAAGGCTGCGTCGGAGTTTGTCGGAACATTTGGGCTTGCCACTGAGTGTGGGCTAGGGAGGTCGTCGCAGGCTGAGTTGGATAGCATTCTCCGGGTTGCGAAGAGTGTGACGGCTCCTAGGATCTGATGGGATCCTGTGGCATGCTGGTGTGGTCGGCGTAGCTTCAATTCTCAATAGTATTGTTGCAATCAGATGAAGCATGGTTTGTTCCTCTTCTCTTGAAGCGTGTGCAATTGCTTCGTAAGTCCCTTATCTCCCGATTGCGAAGTCGAATGAACTTTTGTAACTCCATGTATAAGGCATATTTACGGGGTTCCGTCGCAAAACCCTCTTATGGCGCGCATGCGTTCAACCAAGACAAGTTAAGAGCACCGTGTCCCTCAACAGGCTATGCGGGTGGCACCTGGATGACTTTCTCATGGCTATGTCAGTGATCTTTAGCAGCGTTTCTCTCATTTCGACTAACGTAGTCTCGAGCGTGACTCTATTAGCAAACTGCTCCACCTCTCTGGCCTCCCAGTAAGCCACCCTCGTCGGCACTGAATCCCACAACGTCAATCGACGGCGACGAACGCATGGCCACACAAGCGAATAACATAGTCGCACTGCATGTTTGTCCGAAAGACCTAGGGTGAGTGGATGTTGTTTCTGAGAGAGGGGTGTAAGGCATTGAAGGCCATTTTGGAATTTCTTTGAGGAAATCAAAGTAAGATCTGGGGTATAATTGATGGAGTAAGGGTGTTTGAGAGGGGTGGGTTAGGCGGTTCTCTGGGCGCTGGCTTTGAAGGCCTTGCACTGTTTTCGCTTCATGGGTCCATGGAGACAATTAATCCTGGACCGAGAAATGACGGATAAAAGTGTTATTTCTGCATGATATGCAGCCGCACGGAACCTAATCGAGCAGCTTTCATACAGAAGCAGACATAAAATGCGACTTGCATTGTTCGGTCGAGCTCGCATTCCGCCTCAAAGCACCCTGAGCTTCTCCATTTCGAGATTTGGTCAAGCTGGTATTGCGGAGTATGGTGGGAGCACATCCATATAGCGCCAAGAATGCAGGCTAGGAAAGACTTAGACCTTGTCACTCAGCACATGAAAGAGAATTCGACAAACACTCTTGAGATTTGTCAACTTAGATCAACCCTGAAGCCACCCATCCAGCGCACTTCTGCTCATCAATGTCTCTCTAAAGATCGTTTTGCGACAGAACCAGCCTTCTCGTTTCTACGAAGACTCACCACACATCTGATGGAGGTTTCTGGACAGCCGTTTGCTCTTCCGGACCATCATACTTTCTGAGAAGATCAGTCCACAAGTCGTCTCATGGTCTGCGTAATCATGCTGTACACAGTCCTACAAAGGTATTTGGAACAGAATCCTCTGGGCAAAAAAAAGCTCATTGTGCAGCGTCGTAATCTCGGATGAGAACTCGTCAAGCTGCTTGTAGCTTCTCGAGACTTTCGTCGTCTTCGTCGATGAGGGCCGGTCTTCCGAGTGCAGCAGGTTTGGTGGCGACGGTCATGGCTGCAGTAAATTGTCGACTCTCGGAGATTGCACCGGATTCGCTAGGTCAGAAGTGTTATTCCGCGGATTCGGCCCATCCGCTTCGGACCTGGCGAGCTTATCGGCCTCCTTCGGTAGACCACGTGAGAAATCCTTGGAGGGGAAAATGGAAACGCCAATGAGCAGAGAGCTTTTCTGGCTCTTGAGTGCTGTGTTAACGACGCGCCCCCTCGTACCCGAGTCATTTACTGAAGACGATTTTGCAATAAGGTCCATATGGTCTAGACCCAGTCGGTCTTAACCAGTGTTCCAATTCCTAGGATTGGCAATGTAATTCAACATTACATCCATTCTCTTGAGCCGGACGATTGTGACAAGTCCTGGGCTTCGTAGCGTCATTCGATCTGAATGACCGAAGCTTTCCAACAGAAGGTCGCATTGCACCTTTGCTCCGAGATTGGTCAGGTACAGCGATGTGAGTGCAACGACCTTTGAGCTTGAACTATTTAGAGAGAGGTTACCCCCTCCTTTGGTCACGATCCGTCTTCAGCACAAGCCAGATTTCACGGAATATACACGCCATAGATATCGGCCCCACCACCACGTCTTTCCCTGAGCCCTCAGCCATTCCAACATGGGCAACTGGTCGACGGAGGAGGAGGTGGTCGTACTGTACTACGCCTCGCGTGAGATCAGGTACTGCACCATCATCGAACTCCTCCAGCATAAATGTCATACCTCTGTCCACAAAAAGGCAAGTCTCACCAACCGGTTGCGCAAACTCAAAAATGCCTCTCAGGACGCTGGTCTAGGCCAAATGCAAAACACGACGATTAACACCGGTCAAGCTCGACCATGGGATCGAAAGGTCGTCGATTCGTGGCTTGTCCGCATGATGGAGAAGGGCAAGCTGGAGAAAGTGCTTGAATTTGATGGTGCGACTGCCGCCATCATTGAGCCGGTAAGCACTTTGAAACTACGCAGCTGCTTCTCGCATGCTAACGAAGCTGCGGCAGGACCACGACATCGACAAGTTTTTGGATACCATGACTCTCAATGTCTAATAATCTGAGTTTCAGCGGTGGAGCAAGACACTGAAGGAGAGTGAAGCTAGTATCTGGCGGCTGAGGGGTTGTTGATGATGGTGCTGTGGGATTGCTGCTGTTATATTGCATACGTCGTGTGGGGTTTGGGTATCTGCGAGTGCTTTCCGTCATGTACTGCACACTAGAAGATCTTGTCGAAGGATCATCTTTCGCGCAAGAGAAGCTTATGGCGCTGAATAATTAAATACTTTCCAAGACAAAAACGGGGCTTTGTATGCGACTCCGGTAGCGTGAACGAATATGAACTGTCTCCGCCTTGAAGTACCAAAACGTTTTGGATTCTCTAGTGAGGTTGAATTCGCACAGCAACATCGGATATGACCCATTTCAGGATTTCAGGCACGGGATCCAATCCTGAAGATTGTCACGTCTATTCAGCGTCGAAGCCATCTCTGCGTACCTTGACTGGTACATGCCGCGTCAAAAGGGCCACCTCGCAGTCCATCCTGCTATCTCTGTCAATCGAAGCCCTTTCATAGAGCTCTATCTTTCAGAGCCGCGGACTCTTCGAAAACCGATTTCCAAAGCCTCAACAGTCATGTCGGAGTCTAACAATTTTATCCACAGACCGACTAAATCCGCGATAATTGAATCTTGCCGTCGGACGATGGTCGAATCTGCAGTCATGCAGCCTCCGACGAATATCCGTTCTTCAGCTAGTCACTTCTCGAGATGCCCGTGACCTCCGTGGATCTATCTCGGTCGTCCCCAGGGTTGGCGATTTCCTACATCGTAGGCCTACCTAGTTCCTGACTCTCGTGGATTGACCCAAATTCAACTAATGTCGTCTGCAACACGCATCACCAATCAAATTTATCAAGAGTTCAGATCGCTAGTTGAACGGACATCTCATCCAAGACCTTGACATCGAATCCGCTCATTGCCAGCGCACAAACGGCATGTGCCATAGAGCTCTAGCGTAGATAAGCACACTCATTCCTAGACTGCTGATTCTAGAGTTTGTCCCTGTAAAGACACTCTATGCAAGCTGGGCCTTTTCGGTCCTCATTGGTCTCCCAAGTCGTGAGCTTAGCGATGCTTTTCAACAATAGCCTCGTTTCTCGGGAAGGATTCCTGCCCGTTGATCATGGCTTAGTGGCGCCGTTCGAGCTCATGGCCGAAGCAATGAAGCTATTCGGCAGGCAGGTCTTGACGACTCGCTTGTTGTTCCAAGAGAAGCTAACCAATTATGAGATTCGTAACCAAAGGAGATGAGACATGAATAAAGGGTCGCCTGTCGTCTCTCTCAGCTCGATCACCAAGGTCACTGTTCCCTTCATACTCCCAAAATGCCAAAGTGGACCATCGAAGAAGAGATTGTTCTCCTATACTACGCCTCACGTCAAGTCAAATACGCTACAATTGCTGACATCCTTGCGAAAAAGTGCCATCCCAATGTCCGCACCGTGAAGCAAATCACTCACAAAGCGGCGAGACTTCGAAAATCATGTGGTCAAAAGGAGGTTGTCCTGCGAGCTTGTTGGGCTGCGTCTGATCGAGAATGGGATCGCAAGCTTGCAGATCAATGGCTTTTCAGCAGGATGGAGAAGGCTAAGCTGGTGAAGTTGCTGGAGTTTGACGGTGAGACAGCGGCCATAATCGATGAGGTAAGTGGTTTTGAGGACCTTTGGCGAGGTTTCGTGTGCTGACTACTCGACGACAGAAGAATGACATTGACAACTTCGTGGACATCATGTTTCTCCATGACGGAGAAACGGCGGATCAGCCAGACCAGCCCGAGAAGCACGAAGCACGAACAGCACGACACAATCTTTGATCCTTGACAGGGCAATGAGCGCAGATATGGTGTTTGCAGACGTGTCTCATGCAGAACGTATAGCGGTCTTTCGGCGAAGTGCAACACCATGCAGACCACTTGTTTATGTAGACGTCTTATGCTTGATAACCGGGGTTACAAAAACTGCAAAGAAAGAGATCGGATTTGAGAGTCATGTACCTAAAATCTCTTGCAATGGAGGTGAAAGCCCATAAACCCCGGCGTGACTTCCTCATGACCTAGCAATCAGAGAAGCTCTTGGGCCTCATGACCCATTAGACTTTCCACTTCTTGCCAAGGTGCGGGTATGCCTGACTGGTCCTTGGGGTTTTGGGCTCCCCAACGGCTCCAAACTTGGATCACGGTGCCGATGAGTTCAGACATGCTAGATGTATCTCCCCCTTACCTCATCCTGGAGGCGAGATGGATATATCCAGAACGTAGTGCATTACACCAGGAGCGTAGCTCTTGACTTGCTCGACGTGTTCGCATTGAACTCTCCACTTTTCTGTAGGCTCATGCACACAGTGATTCCCAACTAGTCGATTGAAAATGCAGACGACTTCTTCCGTTCTGCCCTCTATGTCTTTTTTCGCGATATTCTCGTGCGCATGAATCCATCCTCCTGTAGGGTCGAGCACTTGCACTGCTACCTCCCAGCTGTCTTTCGAAGAGGGTAAGAGGCCGCAATTGACATGTCGGACGGGAGGGATGCTGTCTTTCATGGCAGCTATTCTCCTTGCTGCGTGCTCATTGCTTTCTTGAAAGACGATTAAGCGTTCTCCTTGGTTGATAGTCTTGTTAAATGCTTGACCATCTGTGATGACTTCAACGGCCCACCTATTCCTCTGCGCTCCCCTCATTAGCCCCTCAACACTCCATGGATTGATCTCCCAGCACAGCACTTTGCCAACCCCGGCCTTAGCATAGCTAAAAGCGAAGTATCCAATGCCTGCATAGAGATCCACAGCACTTGTCTCCTCTGGCCGACTTCCCAATTGCTTTTCCGTCAGTGTTTTGAGGCTTAGGATGCGTTTTTTTTCCGAGATGTTGCCACGAGAGAACATCGTATAACGCGGAGCCCAAGTCTGGAAGATACCGTTCTGTTGAGCTGTGCACCAGAATGCCGAGGAGAAGTCCGCGATAGTAGGGACATGAGTCATCGATAAAGCTGGCCCAAAGTCTCCGTATAAAGGTGCTAGGCCTGTGGGAGAGCGGAGAATATTCGTCTCTGGGTGTCCTCCGCCTTGGGCCGAAGCTTCTTTTGAAACACTTGCAAGTATCGGAGCATTAAAAGCGATATGCGATGTTTTGAAGTCTCTGGACAGAAGACACCAAAGAGAAGAAAAATCTTTGGGAATACTTTGACCTTTCGAGGCAAAGATGGACGATAGCTTCGATAGAGCAGTAGGCGGGAGAAGGAGAAGAGGCGGATAGATCATGTAGGTCCAGCTGTAAGACGGTACGGCATCTCTGGTGAAAGGCCGCTCGGCTTCCTCACGAGGCAGCTGATGAAGCCAGTAGTCTATTGTCCGAGCTAAAGGGTTGATGGTAGATGTTTCGCTCGCAGATGGTTGATAAGAACTCGAGCCATCTTCACAGACTCTGCCAGACCCGAGGAGGCCACGAATGTCATGGGTCTGCTTGAAGGCGATTATGCCAATGTCTGCTTCACTCTTCACTAGCCCAAGCGACTGGAGTAGGTCCAATTTTACAGGTAAAGTATCCGAGTTGACTCGCTCTATGCCCACGGAAAGCTTAGTAGAGATGAAAAAGACATCAAGTGGAGGCTCGATCGAAGTCCCCTCGAAGTAGGCATTTTGTTCCTCAAGTCTAGCTGGTCTGATCTTGACGGTCTTATCTAAAATTCCATGCGCTTCTAGGGCGTCTTTGATCTTCTTGACGCGTGTTTTCGGAACAATGAGAGCGATACGTGATGTCGAAGTATCGTCAATTGGACCCCTACTTCGATGACTGCCGAGTCGTTCGGAATCATTACCTTGCATGCTTTAATGTGTTCAAAGAATGAACCGAGAATCTGGGTCTCAATGGCGTCGTGAAGTCGACATAGCATTTGAACATAGCACCACGATTACATTGCTAATGGCACACTGAAGGAGGGATCAAAAGGACTGGGTACGTCTGGTGTGGGTAGTAGGGATGATGAATCTATGGAGAAGCCTGCTGGAGGATCTAAGGTACCTTATCGACCCTATCGAGCCACCATACCACATATGGTTTAGCTGCATAAGACCTCAGGAAGCGCCTTTCAACTCGAGGAACCTCTATTCATAATAGGAATTAGATGTAGACCAATTACTGATGTAGCTACCATACGTGGTACTAGCATACAAGTCTTAGCCGACACCTGCTAGACATTGCTGACTTTCCCGGCACGCACATCCAGCCGTTGATCCGTGAAGACCCCAGTACTGCTGCGGTACCGATAGACAGCAGGACTTGTTTTGCCACTGCATTCAAAGCAAGCAGAGTACTGGCCCAATATCCACAGACCTTCCATCTTTTACAAGTGCGCGTCTTTCGGCTAGAACCGATTGTGCATCGAAACTTAAGAACCACTCCCGCCCCGAGTGGTCCTCAACTCCCCAGCTAGCCAGCTTCCACAGATTGTCATGCCTTTCCAAATACCGCGTGACGTAGGCTACGATAAACCCGCCGCGTCCGTCGATTACGGCTAGAACCAAGGGACGCGTGGACCTGTCCTGCTTACAGCATATAGAGAACCAGACATTTCGCCTCAGCGATCCAGTCTCGGCCAAGAGGGTCAGCCTTCGACCCTGTTGAGGATGGACAAGGTAATTGCCCAGCTTTGATACTGGATTCCGGAGCTTCTGAAGGCTCGGCTTGTGATATTGGGCCCTCAAAAGCTGGACCGTGCAACTGACCAGATACTTCGGCAAATATAGCTCAGCATATTTGTATTCTCGGGATTCACCGTCTCCTCTTTCAGCCAGGTTGGGTACCAAGCCCGAGGCCGATTGTCTCAAACAGAATGGGAGCGCCTTCGACAGCGATCCAGGCAATACCTGCCGCATTTTATTAGCCAGATCAGCATCGCTAATGGTGAAATGCCAAGCGTACCAGTGTAGACAATAAGCTTGGTGATAACCTCCACATCGTATCGTACTCTAGGCTTTTCAAGCTTTGAGAACATCTCACGCTCTTCTCTCTCATCTTGTCTTCTTTCTGAACTTGGCCGGCGGCTACTAGCTCCTGACGCAGTCCCAGGGGTCAAGGGCGTATACAAAACTTGCTCAGGTTCAGTCATTGACTTGTAGAGGTCCAGATTGGACGTTGCTGGTGTTGGCAAGCCAGCTGTTGGGTGTCTGCTCGAAACCCTGTGTGATGTCGAGATGCTAAAGTAGCCAGGCCCGTTTTCTTCCGAGCTGCTTTTCTCGTCGATCCTTGGCGTTGCCATGGTCATTTCTGACTTGCTCTGTCTGCGACGTTTGTCGCGGTAGGCTAGGGTCTCGTAGGCGTCGGCTTCAGATTGGGGTCCCACTGATACTGAGCGACTCCTGCGAGGATGACGAAAAGAGGTAAGCAGTGAAGGAATTTCAGAAACCGCTGGTATAACATTGTCATCTTTCTGATTTGGGACCTGTTGGTATTCTCTGAACGCTAGTCAGCACACGGTGTAATGAATCCGTAGGCACATTGGACCTACGAAGCCTGTACAAAGAACCTCCTTGGTAGGCTCAACCCAAGCATCTCTACAACCCGGAAAATTGGCGGAAGTGACTTCAGTAGAGCTGGCTTCATGACTTCTCTCCACGCGAAGACCATTAGAACACCAATGACGATGCGCGCGATCGTTCTGGGCCAGCCGAGAGCTTCGAGATCGAATGGCACGGTTGCAAGAGCGGGCTCGTTCCAAGCACGGCCGCTCCGACCGAAATGCCAATTGCCCAATTCAACGCCGATCATAACTCCAGCAAATGCGACGCTATCATCGAAACATGGGCAGTCATCAGCCGGCTCTGGATGGATGCGTACGAGGACCAGAATGATTAGAATGACTACTGTGGGCGCCTTGAAAGACCCAGTATGTATAAAATGATCAAAGCTGTCACCATATAGACATTGAACAATGGAAAGTGAAGCACCTAGTGCACTGCCGACGAGTACATCGAAGAATCCATGCATGCCACAGTAGAGTCGTCCAAATACTATAGAGACAGCATAGCAGCAAGAGGCGGCCTCCAATCCAATCGTAACAGCAGAAGGTACACTTGAGTCGGGGGCGTGCAACATGAAGAGCGCATAGACTGCTACAGACATTGCGTTAGTTGAGTGAGTCGAGGGAAAGCCGTATTCTAGAGCCGCGGAACGTGACATGGTAATCCGGTTCAGAGGAGGCGAAAGTGGGCGCGGCAGACACCACATGTCCTTGAGAAAGCCACTAAAGAAGACTCCTGAAGCAAGCACGTGTACCATGCCTCTCCCCAGACTTGTGTAGCCGCACCAGAAGAGTATTGGTAAGAACACCATGAAGAAAGTATGAGTTCCAAGGTTCGCCGTTATTGAAAAGTACGTGTCAAGAGCTGGAGATCGAACGCTTCTCTGGATGACTGCTAAATGCGGTGTCTCCCAGCGTACTAAAGGAATGAGTCGTTTACGGGGTATGTAGCGCCATAATGGGAGCTTCGTCCTGTCTAATTCGCAGTTTAGCAACGCAAGCGACTAAAGCATCTGTAATACATGCTCACAGTGGTCCAGGCCCCGCAATCCCGCATCCAGCTTCTCCACATTCGTGACCACGTTCAGACTGGGCAATGGCTGCAGGAAGCTCTCTGGCTTCGACATCGTTCGATCAGCTTCTAGAGCATCGGAAGTCATGATTGGTACAGCATCGTAAGAAGACTGCGCTCTCCTACAGAAGGTAAGAAAAAAAATGCGCCGCAATTCTTTGGGGAGGATTGAGCAAGATCGAGAAAGCCATGAAAGGTCGACTGTCGCTAGCGTAGCCGCGCGCGGAAGCGGCTCCGATAAGATTGTTGTTTAGCCAACGAGGCTGCGTAAATACAAGGAGCTTTGCGAACTATGGGAAACGAAGACCAATCTCATATCGCACAAACTTTCCATAAAGAAGCCCGCACTACATAAGATCTTTGTGTATATTTCGAAGAGCATTCCACGGCTTTGTGGGAGCGTTCCGCAACCACTAGCATCCCATTACGCAAGCAATCCTACAAGACCAGCTTCAAAATGACAGAACAAACATCATACGAGAATTATGACTTCCTACGGCGAGGCTCGAGGAGAAGCGGTGTGGTGGGCTCGCAATCTGGATCGATATCGCCACATCGGAAACCAGTCAGACAGCAGAGCACGCGAAACAGCAACGGCACCATGAGCGCTGCGAGCTCGTCAGATAGGGTATCGGCAGGGACCAACATCACACAGCCACCAGCATACTCGAAAAAGTTTGTAGTTGTAGGTGATGGAGGATGCGGCAAGACATGCTTGCTTATAAGCTACAGCCAAGGCTATTTTCCTGAGGTGAGCAATAAGCCTGAGCATTAGACAAGTGAGGCTAATTCAGACTAGAAATATGTTCCTACGGTCTTTGAGAACTACCTTTCACACACAGAACATAAACCTAGCGGCAAGACAGTTGAGTTAGCACTATGGGATACCGCAGGCCAAGAAGAGTATGATCGCCTTCGACCACTTTCATACCCGGAAACCGATCTCCTCTTTGTCTGCTTCGCCATCGACTGCCCCAACTCATTAGAGAACGTCATGGACAAGGTAAGCATGTCATCTGTCGCATTGCGGTGACTCTCATCTGACATGTAATCACAGTGGTACCCCGAAGTCCTCCATTTCTGCCCCACGACCCCCCTTATGCTCGTCGGCCTCAAATCAGACCTCCGCACCAAACGCGCCTGTATCGACCTCCTCAAGACCCAAGGCCTAACCCCAGTAACGCAAGAGCAAGGTCAAAATGTCGCAAGACAAATGGGAGCCACCTATGTCGAATGCAGCAGCAAAGAAATGCTGGGCGTACATGAGATCTTCGATCTTGCCGTGGACACAGCGGTGGGCCGAGAAATACAGATGAAGGAGCGGAAGCAGACTCAGCAGTCGTTCGTTGGAAAGGGTGCAGCCGCAGGAGCTGGCAGGGAGAAGAAGTCGAAGAAGAGAGAATGTCGGATTCTATGAGGCCCCTTGGTCGAAGTGGGCGCGCTGTTACCAGCCCCCTCTCCCCTAACGATCTTGCCCGTACACGGTTTTTGAAAAAGCGCCGTCAGGTCTCTGTGCGGATTAATCCTCCCATTGTTCATGTTCCTGCTTTACGGCCGCAGAATAACGTATCTTGGCGCTGCCGGCGTTCCAGTCGGAACACATAGCTTTCATCCACATAACAATGCATCTCTAACCCATCATAACAGCCTCTCCTCGCTTGCACGAGTCTCGAAGCGGGGACACGCCGTGCTCGTGTAGCTCTCGCCAACTCATCACCCCAAGTCTTATCTCATGTCTCCATAAACTCATAAATCATGACAGATCTCTCTCTTTCTCCTTCTCCATATTACTTTCATCGTCCCCTCCCCCTTTCATCCACCTTCTCCGCCTCTCCAGCACTCTCAACTTCTTCTTCCTCCTCTTCCCCACTCCCTTCTGTCTCCCCCTCCTTACCCTCCCCCCCAGGCTCCTGCGCCATCACCCCTTCGAACTGACTCCACAGCGCCTCCACCGCTCCGAATTCGTTGCCGACGGCAATTACGCCCTCCAGTGAGCGATTGAGCTTGTTCATATTTTGAAGGACATTCTCGAGGCTCTGTTCGGTCGGACGCGTCAGTAGAGGTATGTTCTAGATATGAGGGGTGTGAGTGAGCAAGAGAGAGACATACAATGGCAATCTCCCCCACTAACGCGTCACGTTGCTGGAAGAATGGGGACTTTGGGGCGGCTTGAGATGGCTGCGTGGTGGAGCGGGAGGCCATGATGTTGGGCAAGAGGGAGCTGTTTCTGATGAAGGGATCACTGAGTCTAGAGTGAGGGACTGGAAGACCTGAACTGAGGGGCTGTTGCTGAAGTAGGCCTTGCTACGCGTAAATTGTGTACAGGGGGCTGCACCGAAAGGCCAAGACTTTTGCGCCAAGATCTCGGATGACCCTGGATAATGCGCTTAAATCTGCTTCGGAATTGCGCCTGAACTGAACCCCTGTCTGGAGCCTATTGCCTTTATCAGACCTAATAGAGATCCCGAACGTTCCACTCCCAGGAAATAGTCATGGGGCCCGAGACCGTCCCGTGTTACAGGGGCGCCTTCCGAGAGTAGGGTTAGGGCCGTGACTAGCGCTGTACTCTTGAAGGGGCATTTTCCTGGCGGGATGGTTGGAAGAGTATTCATCACTCGGACAGGGCGCTGGATCACCTCTTGCTGGCGAGATCCTGATAAGCAATGCGGAAGTCAGGAGCGAGGCCGAGGCATCAGTAGCTACCGCTGCATTTACGTTGCTAGGTCGCTACTCACATAATGTCCAATTGAACCTTTTCGCAGCCATCGAACCATTGTGCAGCCTCTTCCGTCAAAAGGTCCAGCGCTCCGTTAGGATCAAAGCGATTCAACGGCGTATGTTGGATTAGGCCCAGCCGTCTGTACACACCAGGCACTCTATCATCTGCAACCAGTGCCAGGCCAGACCACCTGTTCCGCTGTCCCAAATCTATCAAAAAAGTATTGACGTTACGCTCATATATGTCCGATTCGCTTTGAACAAAAGAAGCCGCCTTTCCCGCCTCTCCCGCATCTGAGTAGTATTCGGCGAACTTCCAATTGTCCGTTCCAGACATACATAAGTCAAGTTTGTAGACTGCGAGCTCACGGTGGTAAAATCTCCGAATCACAGAAGCTTTGAGCTTACCTTCAATTTTCAGCCTACCGAAATTCACTTGACCGTACGGATCATAGCCAACAGCTTCCGCTTGAACATCTGTAATCTCAAGGTCAATCCTTAGGTTTTCTTTAGGCCTTGAAAACATGTTGAGAAAAAGGACCCGATCATCACAGGCCGCCCAAGACCAGGACGGTGCGTTCTGTTTCGCCCGCCTTAGGCTCTTGGGCTTGTGGACGCTTTGGTTTGGCGTGTACCAGGTTAAACCGGTGAGTAGGTCTTCCTTCCATAATCCGGCAAGGTAAGTGTCGTTGTTCATCTTCTGAACTTGGTAGGCTAAACCTGAGAGCGCGGGTAGCTTGTCGTTTCCGTCCGTGAGCTTACATTGAGTATAGGTGCCAACGATGAGATACCAGAGTGCACGCAAATTGAAATCATCCAGTGGCGCCGACAGAACCCTCTTCGAAACAGTTGGAAGGGCTATCTCAACCCAAAGGTATAGCAGATTCTCGTACCATTCCACTGACTGGCATTCCCAGTACATCTTCCCGCTACCAAAGTACAAGATTCGCGGAGACAGCAGCCTCTCTTGCAGTATCCAGGCGCGAGTCGCCAACGGCAAGTCTTTCTCTGGCCTTGGTAGAGGGCTGTCATAGTAGTCTAGGAAGCTTATGGTAACTGTACCCAAGACTTTGAGATTCCTATCTCGCAGCTCAAGCTCACAAGGCTCCACGATGGGTGCTGGTCGCTCGCGAAGGAACCCTGCATCGGTATTGTCTGCTGCTGGTCCAGCGATTGTGACGATGGATTGACGGAATGTCTGCGCCATCCGAGCACACTCTATCTGCCAGTCTCTACTGTCCCCCTGGATAATACAGAAACAATCTATCCATAGACACCGATAACCTAGACGACGGACGGCTGTTATGGCATCCTGAAAAGTCCTCGGTAAGCTCACAAAAGGGATCGCTTGAAGGTACCTGTTGAATGATAGAGGATCAGTCACTGGAGGCTTAGAAGTCCCCCAGCAGTGGCTCAGCGCCACCTATTTGCCTTGTTGGCCTTTCGTCTCCACTAGTCGAGGCTCGATAGACCCATCAGGAAGCCCAACGTCAATCAATCTGGTTGGGAGTTCAGAATTCGATGCTTGAGAACAGCCACGGTGTGCGGCAATACATTGTTCGATCCATTGCTTGCCCAAGTCGAAGTCCGAGTGCGCTCCAATTGCTCTGCCAACAATTCGAGTGGGCATATCCGTGCTTGCAGACATGCTCAGCCAGGGCAATACCTGGTCTTCGTCAACATCGTCATTTGCGCCTCCTTTGCCGCCGTTGCTATTAATATCTGTCGGAGCCCGCCTCAAGTAGAATAATCCAGAATAGCCGTCTTCAAAGGGAGCATAGTTCTTGTCCAGATCTACTGCAGTAGCCCTTATGACAAATCTTGTAGTTGCTCTACGATCTCTCTCGTCTTGATAATTTTGTACGTCTTCTTCTGACCATATCATCACTCTCTTGTACGTGTCAAGAACCGTCGCTCTGAACAAAGAGCACAGCGAACACCCTTTCAAGGCGGAGGTTGTCAAAGCGATGAATGTCGGCTGGTGCTCCTCACCAATTGATTCCCCTTCATCGTTTAAGAGTTCGAATATGTTAAGCGATGTGCACAGCGTACAAAGCATCTTGTTTATCTCGTTGAAGTAAGAACAGAGTCTGGCGCTACCTGAGAGCCTGTTTTTGAGCGAGGCGCTGCAGATAGTCAAGTACACGCCTCCCTCCATTTCTCGAGATGCATTGAGCTAACAACTTCCGGATTAGCTTGATGAAGATTAAATCAAGGCAGCTACTACGCGTACAGCCCCTACTTAGTAGGCGTATAGCCCCTATCTACTAGGCGTACAGCCCCTCTAATCGAATTAGCGGCCGCGCGGAAGCTAATAGATACTAATCGTAAATAGTAAAGAACCCGCATAAGCTAACGGACACTAATCGAAAATAATAAAGAACCCGCATCTAGTCTCTTCGAGATTCTTATGAAAATACTTGATGGTAGCAAGGTAAGCCTTTTTATATCTCTTTCTATAGATTTCTAATATCGAACGGTTTCAATTTATCGATTAGTAAGATCTTTAAATAATTCCTCTATAGCGATAGCTGATTAACTAGCTATCCTCTCTATTTACTACTAAAAATACGTTTATTATATTTAAATATTTACTACCTATTAGCCAGCTAATCTTTCTATATTTAAAACGTATTAAATATAATCTTATTATTCTATATATAGATTTATATAATATTATCTCGCTATCAGTATATATAAAAGAATAAGGTAGGGCTGAACTTGGAAACCTTGAATTTGTATGTGCAGCCAATCATAAATTCAGGGTCACTACGCTCTTTAGTTAGACCGGCTGAGTCAGCCCGCTAGCCCTCCCGAGCTCCCTCATCAAAAATTTGTATGTAGAAGTTTTACACTTTGAAATAACCAGCTCCCTACGGATGCTATTACTTCATAATTTCGTAAATTATAGAGCTTAGTGTACGCTTTCTAACGCTGTAAAAATAATGAAGTTTGGCCTACTATTGGTGGATGAAATGAACATTCAAATATGGTAGTTATGGTAGCCACACCAGACGCGTCCGGGATCGGATAATAATCCTTCCACCTGTTTATGTAATCATTATTCTTCCACCACTCTATTAATTCTACCAATTCCACCAAAATAAACACAATCGTCCTCGATACCCCTCGCGGAAACGTTACTAAACGCTTCAGGCACGTATACCCCTTTTGCCCGCCTCTTAGAGCCCTTACTGACGCGAATCCGCTACTGCTGGCAATCGAGGCCGCAAGCGAGCCCAACAGCTATCTACTACTGCTCATAAACGCGTTAGAAAGCCCTCAAAAAGAGCCCGAACGGATTTACAGCCATCGTCCTCCCCTACATACTACTCGACCAGCCGCTCAGTCAACACTACCTACCCTATCAGCTCAGTAATCCACTCAGTCAGCCACTCAGCTAACCACTTAGTCTGATACTCTACAAGAGGAGGAGCAAGAGGAGGAACTACAACAGGCAAATGCGGAGAACACTGCGGAGAACACTACGGAGAACACTGCGGAGAAACCAAGCGGCAACAAGGCCACCATCGTCAAGAACACGGCTCAGCTCTCCGAGATCCCACGTCATATACTCTCCACGGTTCCACATCAAATCATCACTCAGCAAGCGGAGAACACCACTGCAATTTAGCCTGTCATCCCCACTGCATTAAGGAGTAAGAGAAGGAACTACAACAGGCAAATGCGGAGAACACTGCGGAGAAACCAAGCGGCAACAAGGCCACCATCGTCAAAAACACGCCTCAGCTCTCCAAGATCCCACGTCATATGCTCTCCACGGTTCCACATCAAATCATCACTCAGCAAGCGGAGAACACCACTGCAATTTAGCCTGTCATCCCCACTGCATTAAGAAGTAAGAGGAGGAACTACAACAGGCAAATGCGGAGAACACTGCGGAGAACACTATGGAGAACACTGCGGAGAAACCAAGCGGCAATAAGGCCACCATCGTCAAGAACACGGCTCAGCTCTCCAAGATCCCACGTCATATCAGTTATCCACTCAGTCAGCCACTCAGCTAGCCACTCAGTCTGATACTCTATAAGAGGAGGAGCAAGAGGAGGATCTACAACAGGCGAATGTGGAGAACACTGCGGAGAAACCAAGCGGCAACAAGGCCCCCAGCACCAAGAACACGGCTCAGCTCTCTAAGATCCCACGTCAAATCATCACTCAGCAAGCGTCGTCAGCCAGTCACTTAGTCATCCACTCAGTCAGCCACTCAGCTAGCCACTCAGTCTGATACTCTACAAGAGAAGAAGCAAGAGAAGGAACTACAACAGGCAAATGCGGAGAACACTACGGAGAACACTGCGGAGAAACCAAGCGGCAACAAGGCCACCATCGTCAAGAACACGGCTCAGCTCTCCAAGATCCCACGTCATATGCTCTCCACGGTTCCACATCAAATCATTACTCAGCAAGCGGAGAACACCACTGCAACTTAGCCTGTCATCCCCACTGCATTAAGGAGTAAGAGGAGGAACTACAACAGGCAAATGCGGAGAACACTGCGGAGAACACTATGGAGAACACTGCGGAGAAACCAAGCGGCAACAAGGCCCCCAGCACCAAGAACACGGCTCAGCTCTCCAAGATCCCACGTCATATGCTCTCCACGGTTCCACATCAAATCATCACTCAGTAAGCGGAGAACACCACTGCAACTTGGCCGTTCCACATCAAATCATCACTCAGCAAGCGGAGAACACCACTACAACTTGGCCTGTCATCCCCACTGCATTAATATGGTACATCACTGCAATAACGTCATAAGAGGAGGATCTACTATCACAGTCAATTGGGCCTCTATAGGAGGAACATCGGACGATATATATTTGGACGAATTGAAACCGTTCGATGTCTACAGCTATTTCATTATTCGAAAGATTTCACTGCGGCAGGAGATATTGTGGGATTCACACCACTAATTAGCACGTTGTCTCCATTTCTTTCCGGTATTTCGATACTTCTTGCCATAAGGACGTGGCCTTTCTCTGTTTTTTATGGGCAATTATTACGAATCAATCCTCCACACTCAATACACCTTCCTAATTAGGCCTTAGCGCGCCCCTCTCCGTACATATATGCCTATATGTAGGTTAAAAACGCATAGTAAGCGATCAGAGTTCGATTTGACTTAGGGCTAGGGCTAAAATTCGATTTGACTTAGAAAAATCCAACTCCATGAATTTAATTCATGGGCCTTTACTTGTTCTTATATAAGATTACAAGTAAAGGCCCATGAATTAAATTCATGGAGTTGGATTTTTCATTTTTCTAAGTCAAATGGAGTTGGATTTTTCTAAGTCAAATCGAATTTTAGCCCTAGCCCTAAGTCAAATCGAACTCTGATCGCTTGCTGTGCGTTTTTGACCTACTTCCACTACTACGAAATTGATTTAATCTATGTGGTATGCAGGCACATATATGCGAAGAGAGGCGCGCTAAGGCCTAATTTGGAAGGTGTATTAAGTGTGAAGGATTGATCCGTAATAATTGCCCACAAAAAACAGAGAAAGGCCATGTCCTTATGGCAAGAAGTATCGAAATACCGGAAAGAAATGGAGACAACGTGCCAATTAGTGGTGTGAATCCCACAATATCTCCTGCCGCAGTGAAATCTTTCGAATAATGAAATAGCTGTCAGAGCAAGACATCGGACGGTTTCAATTCGTCCAAATATGCATCGTTCCGGAGTGATGATTTGATGTGGAACCGTGGAGAGCATATGAGGTGGGATCTTGGAGAGCTGAGCCGTGTTCTTGACGATGGTGGCCTTGTTGCCGCTTAGTTTCTCCGCAGTGTTCTCCGCATTTGCCTGTTGTAGTTCCTCCTCTTGCTCCTCAATGCAGTGGGGATGATAGGCCAAGTTGCAGTGGTGTTCTCCGCTTGCTGAGTGATGATTTGATGTAGAACCGTGGAGAGCATATGATGTGGGATTTTGGAGAGCTGAGCCGTGTTCTTGGTGCTGGGGGCCTTGTTTCCGCTTGGTTTCTCCGCAGTGTTCTCCATAGTGTTCTCCGCAGTGTTCTCCGCATTTGCCTGTTGTAGTTCCTCCTCTTACTTCTTAATGTAGTGGGGATGATAGGCTAAGTTGCAGTGGTGTTCTCCGCTTGTTGAGTGATGATTTGATATGGAACCGTGCTTGGTGCTGGGGGCCTTGTTGCCGCTTGGTTTCTCCGCAGTGTTCTCCGCATTTACCTGTTGTAGTTCCTCCTCTTACTCCTCAATGCAGTGGGGATGACAGGCCAAGTTACAGTGGTGTTCTCCGCTTGCTGAGTGATGATTTGATGTGGAACCGTGGAGAGCATATGAGGTGGGATCTTGGAGAGCTGAGCCGTGTTCTTGACGATGGTGGCCTTGTTGCCGCTTAGTTTCTCCGCAGTGTTCTCCGCATTCGCCTGTTGTAGATCCTCCTCTTGCTCCTCAATGTAGTGGGGATGACAGGCCAAGTTGCAGTGGTGTTCTCCGCTTGCTGAGTGATGATTTGATGTGGAACGGCCAAGTTGCAGTGGTGTTCTCCGCTTGCTGAGTGATGATTTGATGTGGAACCGTGGAGAGCATATGACGTGGGATCTTGGAGAGCTGAGCCGTGTTCTTGACGATGGTGGCCTTGTTACCGCTTGGTTTCTCCGCAGTGTTCTCCGCATTCGCCTGTTGTAGATCCTCCTCTTACTCCTTAATGCAGTGGGGATGACGGGCTAAGTTGCAGTGGTGTTCTCCGCTTGCTGAGTGATGATTTGATGTGGAACCGTGGAGAGCATATGACGTGGGATCTTGGAGAGCTGAGCCGTGTTCTTGGTGCTGGGGGCCTTATTACCGCTTGGTTTCTCCGCAGTGTTCTCCGTATTCGCCTGCTGTATTGACTTCTCTTGCACTGGCTGAGTGGATTGGTGTGAGACCGTGGAGAGTAGGCCTGTTGTGTCACTGCTGCTGATGACTGTCTCCGTAGTGTTCTCCGCATTCGCCTGTTGTAGATCCTCCTCTTGTTTAACTGAGTGCGAGGGTACCGACGCGTTTATGAGCAGTAGTAGGTAGCTGTTGGGCTCGCTTGCGGCCTCGATTGCCAGCAGTAGCGGATTCGCCGAGGGGTGGCCTGGGGGCGTCAGTAAGGGGCTCTAATTGGGCGAGGGGTACCGAAGACGATTGTGTTCATATTGGTGGAATTGGTAGAATTGGTAGAATTGGTAGAATTGATAGAATGGTGGAAGAATAACAAACAGGTGGAAGAATTATTATCCGATCCCGGACGCGTCTGGTGTGACTACCATGACTACCATATTTGAATATCCATTTAATCCACCAATAGTAGGCCAAACTTCATAATTTTTACAGCGTTAGAAAGCGCAAAGCGAGCTCTAAAATTTGAGGAATTATGAATCAACTGTATGTATCGCAAGCTGAGTACTTCAAAGTGTAAAACTTCTACACACAAATTTTTGATGAGGGAGGCTCGGGAGGGCTAGCGGGCTGACTCAGCCGGTCTAACTAAAGAGCGTAGTGACCCTGAATTTATGATTGGCTGCACATACAAATTCAAGGTTTTCTAGCTCAGCCCTACCTTATTCTTTTATATATACTGATCTCGCTATTCTTATATAGTATTATCTCGCTATTCTTATATAATATTATCTCGCTATTCTTATATAATATTACGAGTAAAGGCCTATAAATTAAATTTATAACCATTTCATTTAATTAGAGCTATCGAGTAAATTTAATAAGCGATCTTTAGTAAGCGATCTTTAATAAGCGATATTTGAATTCCTTACGCTTTAATAATTATAAGATAAATTTTTAGAATTCTTAAGAATTCGGAAAGCGTAAATAGCGCTTTAAAATTTAAAAAAAATATTTAAAATTTTAAAAGTTATTACTATTGTGAATAATATATACCTATTTTTTTAATAAGGGAGGCGCGGAGGGCGAGATTTTGATGGTTGCGGACGCTAATTTATTTACCCGCGATGACTCAGTCGATCTAATTAAAAAGCGTAGCGAATCCGAATTGATGATTGGCTGCATATTTAGCGATTTCGAAATGGATAAGATTGCTTGGCAAAAAAAATCGCGCCCCCTCCGGCTTTGCCACCAAAAATCCAAAAAATCCAAAAAAAAATCATGTTTTTCTTATCTAAATTTATGAATATTAATTATTAAGAAGTCTTTTCTATATAAAATCTAGTTTATTTAACAAGTTCTATTAATTTTTTTTATCAAGTTTTTTTAAATTGAATTTTTATTTTTATTAAGTAAAGTGACGAAGTGAACGTACTCTTCTATACAAAATCAAGGTTATCAAAAAGATTCTCTTAAAATTAATCTGAAAAAAAAAAGTAATAGAATTAATAAATTAGTATAACTTTAATATAAACAAGATTAATGAATAATAAAAATTCATGAATCTAGATAAGAAAAACATGGTTTCTTCTAAATTTTTATATATTTTTGGTAGCAAAGTCGGAGGCTGGGCGCGATTTTTTTTGCCAAGCAATCTTATCCATTTCGAAATCGCTAAATATAAATTCAAGGTTTTCAAGCTTAGCTCTATCTTATTCTTTTATATATATTAATCTCGCTATTCTTATATAGTATTATCTTACTATTCTTCTCTTATAGTCTATTTAATTTACTTATCTTATTACTTTTCTTATATAATATCTAGTTATCGAGATAGCTACTATAGCGGTTATAAACTTCTTTATTATAACGCTTATAGTATAAAGATAGATATAGAGGTAGATATAGAGGTAGGTATAGAGATAGATATAGAGGTAGATATAAAGATAAGTATAGATATACGCTCTAATTCTTATTTATTAAGCGAGGGATATAGGTAGACGATAAGGTGAAAGTTAGTTCTACTATTATATTCTACTATAAAGATATTCGATAGAGACTAGATACGAGTTCTTTATTATTTCTAATTAGATTTTATTAGCTTTCGCGCGATACTAGGCGTATAGCCCCTCTAATTAAGTTAGCGATCGCGCGAAAGCTAATAAAATCTAATCGGAAATAATAAAGAATTCGTATAAGCTAACGAACACTAATCGAAAATAGTAAAGAACTCGTATTTAGTCTCTTCGAGATTTTTATAAAGATGCTTAATAATAATAGAATAAGCCTCTCTATATTGTCAGGACCAGCATAGGTGCGATATCAGTATGGGTGAGGTAGAATAGGATAATAAGGCTACCGAACTATGTAGGTGGGAAGGAGGCATGATATAGTAGGAGATGCCTCCGCCAAGGCCCGCTAGCCATAGGGCTGAGGGGTGTGTCAAGGGTACGCTCGTAACACTACCCCCCCCTCTCAATAGCCATGGCCCCCATGGCTGGTAGACCGGAGATGCACGCCCATTGCTTGCCCTATGTCTCCAAACATCCATAGTCCGTGTAGGCCTCGACCGGAGAAGATTTGCCGAGGTGTAGTGGTAGTAGGCCGAAAACATCGGATCGCATGCTGGTCTTGACTGTGCCATCCATGCCTGCCATACCCACATTGTCCTGCAGAGATCCTGGAGATATTGGCCATATCTTGCCTGCGTGCCAGCAAGATTCTCCGAGTTCTTCTCCTTGCCCAGTCTTCTTGTCATAGTCCTCCACTTTTTTCGCCTTCAACACCTACTGGCAGCCTGGCCTGGGAGCTTCACTGTAGATTTGCCCTATATCTCCCATGCTCTTGCCATCAAGTCCATCGATAGAACTAAAGAAAATCCAACGCATGCATGTGTCATCCTCCAACACCTGTTGGCAGCCTGGCCTGGGAGCTTCACTGTAGATTTGCCCTGTGTCTCCCATGCTCTTGCCATCAAGTCCATCCTCCGTTCCATACCCTTTGCCTTGACTCATAGCCATCTTGCTCCGTAGTGCTATCTATTGCATCCATCCGCCTTGTAAGCCTACCGCTTCGACTGCCGGTACCCCGTAGGCCTACCCGTCCTAAGCTGCCATAGCGAGTACTCAGCAGCTAATGACCTGACTGATATAGACCACTTCCGTAACTCAAGCACTTGCCGATTCGTGGGATTTGGTAGGGAGGTAGGGAAAGAATCGAATATGTTGATGTTGAATGCCATTTGGTAGCAGGCTCACTATGTGTGTTGTCGACATGCTCAGTGAAGAGGTCGAATCGTAGTCGTTTCGGGGCTGTTCCCGTCGCCATTGTAGCAGGCTCACTGTGAGTGTGGGGGTGTTGGCTATTTCTTTCGATTCGCTAGCCGTACGAATGGTCCAATGCCTTGTTTATCCCTCGACCACTGTTTGCCGAGTCCGATTCGCTATGAAATCGAGTTACCCGTCTGGTGGGCTTACCCAGGGATACGATGTCTCATCCATTTAAGGCGTCTTGACAAAGCCCCTGCCAGCGCATTTCTTTGAATTCGTCCGCTAATTCGAATGGAGTGTGTCCGATTGCGTTTCTCTTCGCCGGGTATACGAAGGAGCCTTATTATAATGTCAGGACCAGCATAGGTGCGATACCAGTATGGGTGAGGTAGAATAGGATAATAAGGCTACCGAACTATGTAGGTGGGAAGGAGGCATGATATAGTAGGAGATGCCTCCGCCAAGGCCCGCTAGCCATAGGGCTGAGGGGTGTGTCAAGGGTACGCTCGTAACATATATCTCTCTCTATAGATTTATAATATTAAATAATTTTAATTCGTTAATTAATAAGATTTTTAAATAATTTCTTTATAGCGATAGCTAATTAGCTAACTACTCTCTCTACTTATTATTAAAAATATATCTATTATATTTAAATATCTACTATCTATTAATTAGCTAATCTTTTTATATTTAAAATATATTAAATATAATCTTATTACTCTATATATAAACTTATATAATATTATCTCGCTATTCTTATATAATATTATCTCGCTATTCTTATATAATATTATCTCGCTATTCTTATATAGTATTATCTCGCTATTTTTATATAATATTACCTCGCTATTCTCATATAATATTACCTCGCTATTCTTTGTCAGGACCAGCATAGGTGCGATACCAGTATGGGTGAGGTAGATCAAGGATAATAAGGCTACCGAACTATGTAGGTGGGAAGGAGGCATGATATGGTAGGGGATGCCTCCGCCAAGGCCCGCTAGCCATAGGGCTGAGTGGTGTGTCAAGGGTACGCTCGTAACACTACCCCCCCCTCTCAAATAGCCATGGCCCCCATGGCTGGTAGACCGGAGATGCAGGCCCATTGCTTGCCTTGTATCTCCAAACATCCATAGTCTGTGTAGGCCTTGGCTGGAGATGATTGAGATCCCGGAGATGCAGCCACATCTTGCCTTCGTATCGGCAAGATTCTCCAGGTTCTTCTCCCGTCCAGCCTGCCTGCCGTAGGCCTTCGAAAGAAGTGAATAATTTCATCGCATGCATATGTTTTGTGCTCGCTGAAAATCCATAAAAACAAAGAACTTTTGGTGTTAGTATGCCAGGCCAAATTAGTACCTTTCTCCGGCGGCGGCGGCGACAGCGATAGGAGATCCCGCTAGCGCATCGTCGATAGCACTTTACTGTAGTATCAAGGGCCCTCAATTTGACGAAGATCCATGAAGAATTGAATGAATAGTGATCAAAAACGCAGTCTGGTGCCGAACAGCCATTTGATACTCACTTTTGCAGTAGTGAGGAAATCCATGGATTGACGCGATCTGATTGGTCAATTGCTCCCGAGCCGAACCGAGCCGCGGGCGCTAAGACTTTAAATCCAATATCAAATGGCTTTGATGTGAGTCTCTCCATGCGATGCCACATAGCCGGTATCGATCAAGGCTATTAACGGCGACAGTGAGGTCCATAGGTGACGCACCATGGCTTCGGAAGGCGTTCATGCATATGACAACAAGGGGAGCCTGATTGGTGGGCCTGACATGAGGTAATTGTTCAGCAACATGGGCCCGAGGAATCGATTTGCGAATGTGAAAAGATGAGGCTATGGCGAAGACATCGGACGGTTTCAATTCGACTGAAAACGCGATGTCCGAGATATTGCCGGGTCGCTCATAGGAAGCCCTGGCAACTAAGCTCGTATGCTTCATCGACATCCATACCGGGTTCGAAGTATTTACCATGCTTTTGTGCATAAGCCCAATTCTCATCTACAAGATCCTCTACCTCAACAAGACTTAAACCCTGTGTATTGAAAGTAGGGCGAGTCATGATCGAGTATCCCTTCTTTGCGTCAGCCTCGGCCTTTGCTTTTGCGTATTGCTCCGCGAATCTTTTAGCCTTCTTCTCGGCGAACTCCTCAGCAGATTGTTGATATTGAAGCTGCATTCTTATAATACGTTCCTTTAATTCAGACACAGTCCAATCCCTTGCTAATAGATTAATTGAGTCACATAAACGGAGTTCCGATTTCTTTCGTATATCGTTTATCAGACTGTCATTCCTGAGACTATCATTCCTGAAATTATGTTCGGCATATTTGATGAGATCACCGTAGAATTTGAGAAATGGTTGACTTCCTTGGCTTGTTTTGTCGTAAGCATGTTTAAAGGTACTCTTAAGAACGGATAAGGGTACCTCATACACGTTGCATAAATGATCTAGAAGATCATCGACTGTAGAGTACGAGCGATATCGTCGTCTGGTAGACACGTGCTGACTGGCTTCCCTCTCTAAGTCTCGCTACAACGTAGGCAATTTTGAAAGCATCGGTGGGGAAATGATCACCATTGTGGGTAAGCTTGTCTCGGATTCTCATTTTCCAGTCATCAAATGTTATTGAATTAGTGCCTGTGAAGACAGGTGGATCTGGTAGCCTTGGGCTGAGTGGCTGTCTGAGTGGCTGTCTGACTGGCTGTGGTGATATTGGCCGATGTCGGTTTGCTCTGAGTGCCTCGAAATCTCGTGGAGTGGGTGGTGGTGGGGACGGGGGTGGAACAGAGATCCCAGGCGAGTTTTGGCCCTGCGTCTCCTGTTGTTGTCCTGGTATCTCCTCTTGATTGGTGTGAAATCGCTGATAAAGATCCTCAGCAGATAGAGAGCGCTGCACACGTGGCATATGGAGTCGTGGTGAATTTGGAGGTGAGTATCTTCTATGTAGGTCGTCGTATGTGAGGTAAGGCTGGCCATGGTATGTAGGTGATCGGCGATGCGGAGGGACGTATTTTGGTGTTGATGTAGGTGGATTTGAGTGAGAATTTGAGGAACTCATGATGTGTTGAATGTAGGTAAGAACGAAGTGGAGAAGATAGGCGTAAAAATGGCGATTTTGGCTAGGCTTCCCCGTGGAGGTTTATTGCAATATCGAATAGTTCCTTGTCGAGTGGAATGGAGAGATCTCTGGAACTCCGGTACTGTGAAGGCGTGCGCGAGTCGAGAAAGGTGGTAGATCTCTGTGTTGAGTGTTGAAATTTGTTTCTTCGCGGGGGTCTGCAACACTCGTTTCTTGACCGATCAAGTCGTCGTAAAGACTATGAGTACTCTGAGTAGTGTCCTTTCGAATGGTAGAAAGTCCGCCGGGGGTCTATTGATTGATGATAAACTTTTTGCGGGGAACGGAGCGGAGAAGGATTTCTTGTATTCGATGTAGGGGAGTCGTTTTTTGATGGATTGGGCTACCGTTGATGATGTAGGTTGTTTGATGTAGGTTCTTTCGAATGATGTAGGTATCTGATGATTTGGATGTGTGGTGGGGTTTCTGTATGGTAGAAATACCTAGCGTTTTTTTATCAGGCTCGGTCGCTTGCTCCGAGCGAAAAGGGCTGAGTGGTGTGTCAAGGGTACGCTCGTAACATTCTTCTCTTATAATCTATTTAACTTACTTATCTCGTCGTCTTTCTTATATAATATTTAATTATTAAAATAACTATTTTAGCAATTTTTAAAATTCTCTCGCTATAACGCTTATAGTATAGAGATAGATATAGAGATAGATATAGAGATAGATATAGAGGTAGATATAGAGGTAGATATAGAGATAGATATAGATATACGCTCTAATCCTTATCTATTAAGCGAGGAATATAAGCGAGCGATAGAGTGAGAGTTAATTCTACTATTATATCCTACTGTAAAGACATTCGATAGAGACTAGATACGGGTTCTTTATTATTTCCGATTAGATTTTATTAGCTTCCGCGCGGCCGCTAACCCGATTAGGGGGGCTGTACGCCTAGTAGATAGGGGCTAAACCCCAACTTAGGGGGTTAACGGAAAAAAAACCCAAAAAAAAAAAAAAAAAAAAAAAAAAAAAAAAAATTCGTCCAAAAATGTACCTGTACGGCGCTAGTAGCAGCCCTAACCCTGCTGTCGGAAGGCAACCTTGTGGCGGGAACCCTCGAACTGTTTCTTAGAGGTGTATAGGTTGAGCTTTGGAGGCTTCTATTGGGCGCGATATGCAAATTGGCTGGGACCAGTCCGAGGTGTTTCTAAGCGTATTTTCCAGGCAACACTTCAGGCGGGGCGATATCCGAGATCTTGGCATAGGAGTCTTGGCGTCCAGGACTTTTATTGCCGACCTCGGAAGAAGCAGTCCATTGTGGCTTTGAAGACTGAGAGAGCTCCATCTCATGTATCTGAGGCCTTGAGAAATATTTAAGTCACCAGGACCGCGGAGTACTACGGTGAGATCTTCATGGTCATTGTACAGATTGTTCTCGGGTATCCAGCTGAGATAAATTTCTTCGCCGAGACACACTCTACATCTTAGCCAAGGATCCTCTCGGACGTGGGCAGTACGTTGAAGAGGCTAAGCACGTTGCAAAGATCTTAGAAACACAAATCGCGATCGGTTGGGAGGAAGCGAGTGAAGCTTATTGCACAAAGTTGGGGACTGTCCGTGGCCACACGCAGGCCTCGCTGTTGTCGATAGCTTTTATGATGAAAAAGTCAACACAATTCCAAGCTCCCGAGCCTGATCGTATTTTGCCCGAGTGGATCTGGAGACTGCGGACGGCGTGGGCTACAACACAAACTTATGATAGAATTAGAGATGGCATTGGGGATAAGATACTAAGACCTCTAGGTGGGTAAGTCATATACACTGGTGCTTGAGACAGCCTCAACGAATTTTGTGTGCATTTTTAGCTTATAAATGTGCGGAACCCTTCTGACAGTACTTCCCACAGGAATTGGGGCAGAAAGAATGCCCGGAGGGTACACTCTGCATTATTTCCAGTACCAAATCCTTCGGGCTTACACGTGATAGAACGTGAACGGGGAATGGAGGTTCGAGCGACACTCTCGCCCTATAGTTGAGAAGACCTCTGCACGTGCAAACGAGTTTCTGTACCATAAGTCCGTGTCTTCCCTACATTGATATTGCTAACATCTTGGAGGGGTGAATTAGTGTATCAATACCTGCCCTTGCCGTCTGCTAGCTCCATACGACTTCTACGCCTACAACCAGGTTCTTTACCAATGCCGGTACAATGTCTAATGTCCACCCATGAAATTGAACAAGCTCCTGCATTCCAAGCCTTGTCTTATACGTGGGGTCAAAAGATCGAACACCGGATTGGATGCGATGATGTTGAACGCAATAGTATTAGGGGCGGTGGCCATTACGTATCCATTCATGAGAGCTTATGGTTGGCGCTTCAAAGACTGCGGCACGAGACAGAAGAACGAATCTTGTGGATTGACGCTATATGTATCAGTCAAGTGAATAACGCCGAGAGAAATGACCAGGTTCTATTGATGCGGAAGCTGTTTCACAAAGCTGAGAGCGTTATCATTTGGCTCGGGGAAGAGTCGCATGACAGCGCCGTTGCTTTTGATTTAGTTTCTCGCATAGTCGCTGCTGCTGCCACTGAGCAGGCGCGTAGCCCTGTTAACGCCAAACAAGTTGTCAAAGCTCAGGACCTCGGCGGCCTGGCTCTTCTAGAGTACTCCAGCCCAGCATGGGAAGCCCTAAATTCCTTGTTCTGGCGTCCTTGGTTCAGTCGTGTATGGGTCATCCAAGAGGTCACGGTGGCGAGAGGCGCCTCGGTTCTATGTGGGCCAAGCCATTGCCAATGGTGGCATCTCACTACGACAGCAAGATATATTGAAGACCATTCTTTGACTGCGATAACGCGTGTCGACCCACAAACAGCCATCAAGTTTGCAGACCTTGGCCAGAGATTTCGTGAAGGACCGCCCCATTTGCTCTTGGAGCTGCTGTCACAGGCTCGAGATAGCTATTCGACAGATGACAGAGACAAGATTTTTGCTCTACTTGGTATTGCTGGAGATGCAGAGTACAGCTTGCTGAAACCAAATTACAAGAAACCCTTAGTTGACGTTTACACTACTTTGACAAAACATTTGATCGAAAGAGATCGGAGCCTTGATGTATTGAGCGCTGTCGAGGATCGACAATTCCGCTTGAAACGAGACCGAGAACTAGACAAAAAGATCGAGGGTCTCGAAGGAAATGAGCTTCCCATGAATAGTCAGCTTCCGTCGTGGGTGCCAGATTGGGAAGTGCACAGGCCCTCATCTCCGTTCGTACTACATCCAGCATTTGCCACAATGAAGGCAGCTGGATCAACACAGGCATCGTGCACTTTTTCTACTGATGGTCTTACATTGCTTTCCCGCGGAATCGCGTTCGATCAAATAGCATACGTGGGCGATCCCTTCATGGAAGCGGTGCCAGCTCCAAGGTCACTTTTTCCACAGCCACCCACAACTAATGTCAGGTTACGCACTCGAATTGCTCATACTGCGATAGATTTCCTAACGGAACAACGTGGAAGACAGTGGGAAAAGTTGGCCCGCGACCTCAAAATTTATCCTACAGGTGAAGACATCTTAGACGCTTTCATCAGAACTCTAGTTGCAGGCGATGCTTCCTTCCTCGGCCTTCCACAAGAGAGGCTGCGGGCCCATTACACTGCTTGGCGTAAGTACTGGCGTATAGCGGGCGTGAACGACCCAAACTTTGTCCATACCGCGTATGAGAGGAACGTCGCAGACGAAATAACACTGGCAACCCAGTTCCTGCAGGGCCAACTCAAAGCCGCTTATGGCCGGCGATTCTTCACCACCTCAAATAAATATATGGGATTGGCTCAGTCGGGAGTGCGAATAGGTCATGCCGTTGTTATTTTACATGGAGGCAGGACGCCGTACTTATTGCAGAGGGTAGGTAGCAGTGGATACAGGTTCGTAGGGGAGTGTTACGTTCATGGACATATGAATGGCGAAGCACTCACTAAGCCGATACCGGAACAGGAATTTGCAATTCGGTAGGGGCGTTTACAATGTTGAAGACCTTGATCCATACATGATATAGATTTCAGGTTGGAGATTGGATTGGTGAGACGAAAGCAGATCAGAAGTAAGGCTCGGGAAGATTGAGACCCTGGCTCCTGCGCATTGACGGCCTCAGAGGCCAAGAGAGGCGGCGTAAGGTGCAGGCGGCTTGCAGTAGCTCGACTCTAATGCATGTCGCAGTAGGTAGCCCTGCCAATCGATGCAACTCAGTGGGAATAGGCAACACCATTTTTGAAGAAGAAATACATACCGTATGTTTGAGAGAGTTCGAGAGCGAGATGTTTGTGCAGCTGTGCATTGCAGCGTTTATTCAATGAACGCACGAAAGGTGTCACTGTATCAGAGGCGGATACGGAATCAGGCATGACTAGCTGCCTGAAAGACTGTTATGGACCTTTTCGAAGAGCTTCCGTATATGCTGGGTGTATATCGACGGAAGTTGAACTCTGCTGTCCGAATGGATACACGCTCGAAAGCAAAGGCAGCCCCACCATATCACATCTACACCACATCTCCACATAACAAAGCCTGTCTGTTAGGACAAGACTCTACAGATCACAGTAATCGCAGAGCGGGAGAGCAAAAGCTTCTCGAAGCGGTCATCAGAATTGACCTCTCCTCTGCAGACTGGTATGTACTCAAAGAGACGGCAACTACAGATCTACTTTTCCGGCTTCTCCGACTAGACGTTGAAAAGGGACTTGAGCCGCAGGCTTTCCTCGCCGTGAGCTACCGTTGTCCTGACGAGACTTGGACTCGAACGCCGGTCTGCCGTGAAGCTTCGGTTCCCGAATTCTATCATCATCTTACATGCGCATTGCTCTGTTCCAGGGATTCCAGCACCTAGAAGGAGTAATGGATTGATCAGCTATGATGCATCGCACAGCATGACATGAAGAAGAAGATAATCGCAATAGGGGCTATGGATGTTGTATACCGGAACACGAGAGCCATCATTGTGGCTCTTGAGGACGTACAGCTGAGCCGGGAGGCAGCAATGGCAATCAAGGATTCGACGGCATCGGCACGGACACCTCTGACACGTATCTCAGTATCGTAGCAGATGCATCCACGACGATTCTGACCCCGTGATGGTTCACTCGAGCATGGTGTGACCACGGATTCCTTGCTAGTAAGGGCTATTTTTTCCTCATAGGAATAGATGATTGACCATCAAACCGCTTCACCACACTCAGGATAGAAGGTGCGCTCTTGTCGGAGATTGGCACGGCGGCAGCAAGATGTAGAGCTTCGACAGTACGCACGACAGATGGTCAAGCCCAACTGGACAAGATCTTCGCCGGTGTAAAATTGGCGGCACATGATGCGCGCTTGTGGGAAGATCGATGCTAGTACCAGGGCGGCTGTACTCACGACGTCGACCGCGGGACATGGTGGAAGCTATGTGCACGTCTTCTCCCGCAATTTCGCCTTGAATTCAAGATCATGGTTACTCGCGATTTCCGCGGCAGACTTGAAGATAGACCAAACGCCTCCGGGGCTTTTCCATCCGCTGCTCGCTCTTATCGAATACCTTGTAGTTGTAAGGGTTTGGCATGGGCACCGAATTGAATGAATCTTCGATATTTGGGACAGGTGAGGAGTCACGCATGCTTGGGAATGAGTTCTCTGGGGAAGAGGAATTGGGGTAGTATCGAAGGATCAGGAGCGTGACGCGCTTCTAGCTGTCCCATTTGATTCAATGTCAGATCAATTCGCACGGATGAATCGAACATGGATCCTCAAGGAGGGAATACGTGGGCATGTGAGGCTGACGTCCAAGACGAGACTTGCAGGAAAGCATGCTCCGGGGACAGTGAATTGAAGGATAACGAAGATCCAGCGAAACGAGAGAGATCTACGGAGTTCTTTTTCGGTATCCATTCTTCCCAACCGGCACCCTTTGTCAAAGGATAACGAGCACCGGGTCCGCGAAACAATCGGTGAGACGATGCAGGTGTAGTGTGACTCTAGTACTCTATTTGGCTCTCGAAGCTCTCGTCATCGTACCTCTCGGCCCCGGTGTGATGCCACCAAGCCTCGTCTTTGCCCGCAAGGCATACGACTCCATCGGCGGCGACTCCTGAGCGCTCTCGGGCACACCAGAAACCGAAGACTCAACAAAGTTACCCGTATCCTCTCCTCCAACGATGACTTTCCGCCCAGCTCGGTAGACGTAATCCACAGCACCTGTAGCGAAACCCCCCTCGTGACCCAGGGGTTGCGTGATGCAGAGGGAATCGATCCGGTAGGGTTCCGTAGGTCAGAGACGCGGCTTGAGAAATGCATTCCACATCGCCGGGGTCAGCGGCCGTGTCTTCTTCTAGAGGCGACGGGTGTCCGAGGCGGTCGTGTGGATTCCCGAAAGAGGAAATGACACGCGTGGCTCAATATCATGAAATTACAGGCCTCGTCGTCGATCGTTGCGCTCACAGTGCCGACGTCGAGCTGTGCTTGCGGGAGCTTGAAGGTGAACTTCTCCACGGCAAGTTTCCTCAACCCGAACTGGCCGCTTGTCTCACGGTCGACCGTCTTGAGTGCCTTCCATAACGCGTTCTCCATAACGCGTCCTCCTTCTGCATATATCTTGGTCGAAGGGTTCACCATTCTTCGTTTCGCCTGCAAACCGACCTCGAAGACACGAGGTGGCTTGCAATGGACATCTGATGGTATTCGTAAGACATTTATCACTTGCTCGTGTTCCCGGACACAGACGTCATCATAATCGCTGTAAACTTTGATAGACATCTTCGATGTGAGTATGTCAGTGTTGAATGAGGAAGGCAGAAGCCGGAGCGAGCTCGGTAAGTTCGGCTTGTCATGGAGAAGGACATTTGTAGGGCTAGGGTTGTTGAAGTACAAACAGTACTCCAACCGTCTCAGACTTTGTCAATGGGTCACGCAAAGTTTTTGCTGCCTGGGCTTGAAATGTATCGACTCACAGTCGCTAGGCGATGAAGCGGCATACTGGACACCACGAGTGGATGAGATCGTGCTGCAGGTAGCCGGAGATCCCGATACTCACGGTCGAGGCAGACAGACACTTACGTCTGAAGGATCTCATGAATATTCCAGCACATTCTACTGGTCAAGCAATGCAAGCCGTTTTGATAGAATTGCCTATGCAAGGGTCATTTTCATGGCTGTATGCTATACGGCCGTCACTGCAGTCGGCAGGATTGGAGCTTTTTGATGGAAGCTTCTCACCATACATTGACCACGGGCTCAATAGTACCATCGTTAGGTCCTCTCAAACACGATTGTCATTCCTGGTACAATAATAAGCGACGGAATTAGGTACAGTATCAATGTCGGAACCTTTGGCAGTTGCGCTCGAAGAAACAGTCAACACGGTAAGAGATCATAGCACTTGTCTCGCGTCTCCCTCAAGACATAGAGTAATTGACAGGCCGCAACAGATTCACTTCCCAGCTAATGCACGCACCATGCGAAGCTTCTACCAAATTCCAAAAACCGATGATAATAATGATAGCCCTTGATGAACCACTCGACGTGCTCGTTGTTAACAACTCATGAGCATTCAGGCAACTTTGACTCGTTCATTCAGTCTTTAGCTCTTGGACCTTGGCGGTGGTGGCAGCAGATTTCTCCTCAGTTAAGGTCGAGCCACGAAACGAAGACGCTTTGAGGGTCTTCCCTTCTGTCGCACTGTCTTCAAAGACGTCAATAATCTTACTGTCGATCGCTTTATAGGTGCGGTACTGATTCCACCAATTCTGATTTCGCCTTTGGGGAAATAGCGCCCAGTCTATCATTGTGTCTTCCTCCTCCTTATTTAGATGCAGCATGGCATACGCTTCACCGCGTCTTCCGTGCCGATTGGGATGCTCAGACCTAGCCACTTGTAAAGACTTCCCCACCCCATCGCCCACGGTGCCAATCCCAAAGGCCGTCAAGACAGTAGCCGAAACGGTAACGATTATTATGGCAATTTGCACCACCAAGACAGCTTGTCCGACGGTAACAATAAGACCAACAAAAGCAAACCATCCCATAGCTCTTGCGATAGCGTAAAATGTGGGATGCGCAATCTTGGGCGTGGACAGAAAGCAGTTGACGACCACGTTGCGAGGAGCGATGACAGTGGTAGCCTTTCCATTCGCAAGAATAATGAAGGTTCTGACAAGATCATGGGAGTGAATCGAGGTATCAGCAGCCGCTCGATCAATGGCATCCCGGTTTTGTGCAACGAGATAAGCCCGAATGATAATTCCAAAATCCATACAAAGCGCAGATGCCAAGCCATAATAATCCCCAACAAGCAATGACAGGGCCAAAATGCACGTGTTGACGATGGTTCCAATCGCCAGGGCTCGGTGTCCATGATGGCGCGGGTAGGAGCGCGTGCTCCAAACAAAGAGAGAAGTGTTCTGGGAGGGATGTTGGGCGAGAAGCCACCGGGAGAACCAGCCTGCCAACGAGGTCGATTGAATGGCGTCGGATATGTTGTAGAGAGTATAGCCGTGCAGAGGATCCACGAATGCATCTGATGGTACGACATTTCCACCGAGCAAAGACATCCAGGATACTAGGGTGTTGGCCGAGAGTGAACCAATCTCACGGGACATCTCGTCAGCGCCCAGCATGGTGAGAAGGCCGAGAGCATCGAGACGAAATGGTGACCAGGATCTCCAATGCTTGAGAGGAGCGGCCATTGTGAAAAGTGTTGTGTAAAGATTCATTAAGAAGTCGGGAAAGGAGGTGATGAAAGGGGGGGAGTGGGTGGGCATTGTTGGTAATGTTTCTGAGGGGGGGAAGTTGAATACGTAGACGTGCATAGAAGATGAATGGGTGAAGCGTGGGGGGAGAGTGGCGGAGCAGATTGGGTGTGCTGGGAGGATAATGGGGAGGGTGGGATCTGCATGCATTTGAATGACAGCATCAACCTCAGCCCAGTGTGCGGGGCAAGAGTGCTCATTGCGCTTATTTGGCCATTAACTTAACAAATTTACTTCAAGCATTGAACTGCTGTCCTTGCATTAGTCTCTGAATCTGACTGTTGTGCACTACCCGATCTTGAGGCGCGTTACTTTAATCCTATTGAATATCAAGCGCGGATAAGTGGTTCGGACTTCGGAGATAGCAACTCAGCTAACTGTGATTTTAATGTACATGGTATCTTACTAGTACATCGGCAAAATGAAGCAAAAAAGACTTGTCGGACCCGTCTTCGAGCCCTGGGGCGTCGGGCGTCGGCCGAGATGACAGACAGCTTTAGCCCCGGGGTGGGACGGCCCTTCCGGGTTAGTGCTATTATCTAGCAGATTATTGCTAGCACTGCCCTTCCATTCTTTTCCCAGCTGCTATAGATGCCACACTCTCTTCCATGGAGAACGAAGACCTTTGCCAAGCCTGCCAGGCTCTCTTCGTAGAGGTAAAAGATCACCAGATGTACAGACACACGCTAGGAGGCTTTTCAGAGTCTGCAACAAATGGATGCCGCTTCTGCGCCATCCGCTGGGACAGACTTTCACGTGAACAGCGAAATGAGATTGTGAAACATGAACACCGGATTGAGGTCCGCCACTGGAAAACAAGGCAACCAATGCTGCGATTCCGCTATGGCTCTCTGGTTGCCACGCTGGAATTCTTGCTCTTTCCGATCGAGGGTAGGTTGGCCATGCTATAGAAAACTGGATCTGATGAATCGCAAGATGCCTCGGCTCTTTGTCTGACGTTTGCTTAGATGTCAAGGACCTTGTCTGCACTACCGTTGTTGCTAGTTCCACAAGGCTTTCGGAGTCCTGGCCGCAAATAAAGCGCTGGTATGAAGATTGTCTGCAAAATCATTCCAGATGTCGTTCACTATCGAGCAGCGAGAACATGTACCCAGCACGTCTTATTGATGTCGGTTGTGGCCAGGAGGTTGAGCCACGTTTATGCGAAACATCCAACCTGAAAGTGGGATTCAGGTATCTGACGTTGAGTCATCGCTGGGGCGATCATAGAATCTTGTGTTTGCGAACAGACAATATCGAACAAATGCGCAGGAAGGTGCTCGAGCCGGCGATCTCTAAAACCTTCAAAGAAGCCATGCTTGTCGTCAAGGCATTAGGCGAAAGATACATCTGGATTGACTCTCTCTGTATCATACAGGACTCGCCTAATCGATCTGATTGGTTCGAAGAATCTACGAAGATGCACGCCATATACGCTAATGCGTTCTGCAATATCTCAGCTACTGGCGCCGTTGATGGCAGAGATGGATGCTTCTTCGACCGTTCCCCGCTCCTTGTTCAACCATTGCGAGTTGAGATTGCTGAGAGTGAAGAATTAACTCGCGGTACTTATCTCTGTGTAGATTGGGACATCTGGTCTAGCAATATTAATAACGCACCGTTGGCTCGTAGGGCTTGGGTTGTGCAAGAGCGGCTCCTATCAAAAAGAGTAATTCACTTTAGTCAGCGGCAAATCTTTTGGGAATGTCGAGAGAGACAGACCTGCGAGATCTTTCCCCATGGCATGCCACCTCAACTTCAACAGTCGCACGAGGCTATTTATAAAGGAATTGACCCCGATGTTGAAGGAGCCCGGGCTAGGGAGCGCCGTGGACTAGTATCCCATCCCGAGCTGAACGTCTATGAGCTATGGAATTCGATAGTCGAGGCCTATACCCAGGCAAGCCTTACGATGGAAGACGATAAGTTCGTTGCGATCATGGGTCTGGCGCAGCGTATTCAGGAACTCTTGAAACAGAGATACTTCGCTGGTCTCTGGGAGAAACATCTTGCAGACCAGCTTCTTTGGTCCCCAGCTGGTAGCCAGGGGATGGTCAAACCACAAAAGTACATCGCTCCAAGCTGGTCGTGGGCGTCCTTTGTTGTCCCTATCAAGAGCCCCTGTCTTATCAGGGATACAACGGACGACAATACACTGATCCAGATAGTTGATCTGGATGTCCAAACGATCAACGATCATCCTCTAAGCCAGGTCACTAGCGGCTCGCTTACTCTTCGAGGATCATTGGTAAGGGGTAGGATATGGAAAGAGATCCTCGATGGGGGAGGTTGGGCGAAGTGACAATGTTCAAATATGACATCTACGACAACGGAAAACTCGAGCAGGTAGATTATATTCCGAACCTTGATGTAAACGAACCTCCCGGTAACGTATACTTTCTGCCCGTGAAGAGCATAACGTATAAGACCATCGGAGGTGTACGAGCGAGGGGACTGCTCCTGCAACTCACTAGGCAGTGCATTCGAGAGTTTCGGCGCGTAGGAACATTCCAGGTCAGGGATCTGAGAGTGCAGAACGCACACACACAGTACGTTCCACTAGTGGATGGTGATCCGTTGAGTGCAGACGATATCTGGTTGGACGGATTCAAATTAGACGGCAAGACATTAGATACCTTGACAATCATATAGACGCATTCTGCAATATCTGAACAACCGTGCAACCCAAGTTGATCCGATTGACACCAGCGGACAGGATGGCGCAAATGCATCGGTATCGTCGTCCCACGGACTCGTCTTCCTGACACTGCCACCCATCCGGCGAACCCGGCACCAGGGTAGTCAAAGGCTACGGTGCAGTCATACTCCCGAAGCCAAGCCAACCTGAACCGGGCGTCTCACGGCCCTGATGCCCGTCTCGGGCCGGCCGACGTCGAGGGATTGGTACGGACTCCGACACTAGAGTACCGATCGAACGTCAGCGGCGTACCTTGTGGGCCACTCTTGCAAATGCGCAGACTGGGGCAAGTCGGTGGGAGTACAGTGTACAGTATTTAGCACCGTTGATGATGTGTAATCCAGGTAGATCACAGGCGAAGGGGCCGGGATTTGGCCCCCACGTCATCCCACTCATCGCGTTTACATGAAACACTTCGGTTTGTGGACTACGTTGGCCCGCGGGGATATGCTGGGTGAGCAAATCATGCTCCTTGAATATTTCGACAGAACGCCATCCAAGTGGAATTAATTCATGACTAGGATAATTACGTTCGACACCATTGATCGACTCTGACGCCGTTGCGACACCAGTTCGAATGAACCCTTAGCTCGTACAGCCACTCGAGGGGGGCCAAGAAAGCCAAAACCTAACCAGCTTCTGGGTCCCACTCCCACCACGCTTGCGATCTAGCTGACCGCGCCGTTCCTTGCACCGCCTCAGTGACGAATCGTGGCGGCCTTATATCTCCAGGGACCTTTGCACATTCTTCCTTTCCCCATCTCATGGATTCTACGCACCCGCACCACATGATCGCTCTCAAGCAAGTCAAAAGTTGGGCGCCGTTCAAAATCGACGCCCTCGGGCTGGTCACCCTCCTCGGCGCCGGCCCGGTAGATCAAGCCGTCGGCCGCCTTTCGCGGAACCGTTTCGTGGACCATCTCCCCTTCCTGGCCCTCAACGTGGTCGCCGGCGATGACATCAATCAAGCCCAGCCGGGCTACGCGGTGTACAATTTCCGCGACGCGGTCGTCACCTCGCAGCTGGCGCCGTGGTTCACGAGGTGGCTGGCCGCGCAGGATGTCACGCAATGCTCGTCCTTTTTACACCTCGCCTATGATGCAAAAGGCGCATCGTTCTCGCGCTGGGACAATGCGCTCTCGATCATCGTCTCGAGCGTGGTGCTGGTGTCCATGGTGCTGCTTGCCGGCCTGACGGAGGACTGGTGGGCATTCGTAAACGCCGTCTCATTGATCATCTCGGTCATGTGCCGGCGGTGCATTCTCCACGAGTTGGTACATTCGATTGATACGGCGGTCGGTACGGTGCCCGAGCATGATCCGGCGCGGATAGGTGTGAAATGCCTGGTCCAATTCCCCGACGGCAAAGCTCTGACGCTATTCACCTCGCGAGGCATTTTGACGAAGGTGCTTCTCCCACGACCGGCACCCCTTCATCATCGCCGCTATCACCTGGCTCGATACATAGCGTGGCTATGCTTTGGCTTCCACGTCATCAGTCTCGGCATGAGTGCACTCGCGAGTCAGCTTGCTACCGTTGTGGTCCTACTGCTCTCAACGGCACTGCTAGTCTTTCGTGTCTTCGCCGTCGAAGATCGCATCGGGTCGAAGATGAGAGTCCGGCGTTTCGACGACCAAGAAGGACACGGATCTTACCGTCGTACTTATTCGCGATTGAAGTTGACAGGAACGGAAGAGCAGTCTCTCGTTGCGTGGAATTTGGCTCCTCAGCGGACGAACGTCGACTGGTGGAACAAATATAGGGCTGGGCTGGCGGACCCTAATGGTACGCAACTATGTAAGTTCCTTGACGATGTGTTGCCAAAGGGGGAAGCAATGGCGTGGCGATGAATTGCCGATGGACTTTGGCAGTAATTCGAAGACCATTTGGGCGTCGAAGTCAGGGACCCAGGTGCTTGGTTAGCAGACTTTAACATGGACTTGTCACGATTGAGGGCAGATGCTCTTGGCCAACCCATTGGCTATGATGTATCATCTGAGGCTCTTGGCCAACTAGCTTTGTCACTGTTCCCGCCTCGAACCTACGGACTAGCGTGGCAATGCCCTGCGGGCTCCCCACATGCATGCATCCCATTAGATTGCCTTATCTAGATAGATTTTAGTAATGCTGTAGAGGTCGGTAAGCAAAAGTCCTGCACATGCCAAGCCTCCTGCGCCAAGGTACCGGATAACGCCCCACTTGAAGGGTTGCCTTGCCTGGCACCCTGGACGATGCGCCGTGGATCCGCTTCGGATTGCGCCGGATCCGCGCCGAATTTGGGGCTTATGCCGCTGTCAGGCGCATTAGAGGTGCCCCAGGCCTCTCTTGGCAATAATTGTTATTTTTAGAGTAAAAGATAGATAGATAAGATATCTCTTACGTGCGCGCAACGCAGAGAGTACCGGTATTATACAAAATCTCAAGCTGCCCTGCTTTACAGAGGCTCGCGGTAGCAAAAACTTGTACACCTCCAAAATCGTGGGGGCGTTAAAGTCTTTATACTTCTAACGACTAGTTTCGAGATCTCCTTCGTGTATGGATTCTAGTATTACCTCCTCTACAAAATTTGTCCCAAAGCTTTCTGGTTGCTGTAGTCGTTGGTGGCTGCGGCGAATCTCGTTCCGGGGTGTCGGCTTTTTCTACCCGCGGCAGGCACTGAAAGTCCTGGACAGCGCTAGTGGAGCCCTAACCCTGCTTTCGGAAGGCAACCCTGTACCTTGGGGCCCTAGAACTTATTCTGAGAGCGCATAGGTTGAACTATAGGGACTTCTATTGGGCCTCATAGGGGCAATGAGCCCCAAACTGGGCTCCGTCCAGGCGCTATTACGAAGCAGATCTAAGCGTATTGTCCAGGTAACCCTTCAGACGGGGCTCTATCCGAGATTTTGGTGCTGGAGTCTTGGCGTTCAGGACTTGCCGTGTCGACCTCCGTAACATTGAAGAGACTCGATACCGCTCAGGCAAGAGTGATAAGCTTCCACCTGGGTTTGGCTAGTATCCACACAGCTTCGTCAACAGGCTCCAAGACCCTCTGTACTCTATGCGCAACACTGCTGTGAGCTTCCAGCTCGACGAGAAGAACAACCAGCCCAGACTTCAAGTTATATTTGCCCGGTTTGTAGGAGGAATACCGGCAAAGCACCACAAAGTCAAGGTTGTCAGGTCGTGCTTGGCGCCATTTGCTGTGCAGGTAGATGAGTCCTACAGAGGGTCCACTGGTAGAAGTCCGGATGACGAGTCGATCATTACCCCAGCGACTTTCCCCGCGGACGCCCTCTCTGTCCACATGCAACCGTGCAACACTGGACCAGAAGCGAATGAAGTGAGTGAAAGGAACTCCCCGTGGATCCAGAGAATGGAGGGATGAGACTGGTGGCACATGGTCCGGTTTCCACTTAAAAGCAGACACAGAGGCATCATGGCTGGTTGCTTCCTCATTCGCGGTATCCTGCGCCTTGATGTGAATCGCTTCACCATCTTTGTTGATCTTATACCATTGTATCTCTCGAATTATGCTCCGAGTGTCTCCAGTATGACTGGAAAGACTGTTGTTAGGACCTTCTCGCCAACCAAGCCAGGACCAGCTCGGGAACCCTTGCCGTCTGCGCTCTGGGTAATGGTTGCCGAACAACCACGTTATCGCAATATCGAACATCGATTCCGGCAATCCCCAGTGGAAACCGTCAGAGAACTCTGGGCGGAGTATGTTAAGTACACCTTGAAAGGCGTTCAAGCCGTCGTATTGTTTCGTCAGGTCTCTGCATGCGTATCCCTGGATACAGGTGCCATATTTGCGCAACGGACACATGTCTGCAGTAGGTTTGCTGAGATGGCGGCGAAGATCCATTCGTTCTTCCTGGCTGATGTCAACGTCCGGACTGTGTGAGGATCTTTCCAGGACAGTGTCCTCATAGAAGATAGCCTGACCGCATTGGAAAAAAGTTTGGTAGGGAGTAAATATCAAGAGGCGCTTGGACAGAATCTTCTCTTGGAATGTCCATCCCCTTGAGCTCCACTTGCTCTTGGAGACCGAGGCTAAAAAAGGCCTTTGGGTGGTCATGAGGTGCAGACCTTGAATCTCTGCTTCGTGCTGAATTACCGAACGTGAATTCTCGCGCACGCCTGGAAGAGGGGCGTAGGCATTGTCGCCGCCAGCAGCCTTGGAAGATATTAAGATCATTGCAGTCTAAGGCCACTGGTGAATGAATGCATGCACTGACCACTATTGTAAAAGCAGCACAGCTGTAGATCTGGTTCATACTACAAATTTGACGGGCTCTGTCCTCTTCGTCGTCCTGCTTTATGCATAAGCCATCGACCCACAGATAGTGTTCACCAAGTTGTTCGCAGAGATACATCGCGTCTTTGATTGTGGTGCCAATATCTGCATAGTCATCAGAAAGACCCCCTTCTTTTCGCAGTCTTAGATAATGCTTCTCTTCCAGCGTCACTTGAACCGAATTACCCCAGACATAGCTCAGCGCTACGTATCTAGGATGCGGAGGGGGATCAACAACGCAGCGACGCTTGACGTCAATAAGTCGTAGCGCGAAGCCGGGGTCGAACCCAAAAGGTGCGGGAGTACAGTCATGGCCATGTTGATTCGTACAAAGCGACAGCCATGATAGCAGCAGCGCTTGATCAACACACGTCGAGCCAATCTTTCGTCCTAGAAGGAGTTGTTTGTCCTTGCTCTCTACGCGCTCGCCAGAGACTTGGACTCCATGGCCGTATATGGTGCCATCCCTATCATGACTCCAGTCGTTTCTACCTACGATGAGAGCGAACCAGATTCGAGCAATTGTCGTCTTCTCAGCACCGAACGCCTCTGCTCCAATTGTGCCATAAATGTATGGTTCAAAATGAACATAGGTTGGGACTTCGCAAGTGAGTTCCAGTACTTGTGGGTCAGTTGACAAGCTTGACAAGATTAATGTGCACAAGGGGCACTGAGTTTCGTCTCTTATTTCTTCCAGTCGTCGCAACGTTTGCTGGTATCGGATGTCATCGATGCTAAGAGGGAAAAGCTTTCTATGCGAGAACCACCTTGAACAGAAATCGCATAGCTGGGCTTGCGGGCTTTCCATGACCTCCGGTGCAGTCTTGACACCATTCAGAGAGGAGACGAGGCCTGCTTTTGAGAGTACCCAGAGCAGGTCCTGGGCCTAGGCAGAAGGGTCAGACATTAACCTCCATCCGAATGACTGGGTGCAAGCTGATATTGGACCAGTATAAGCAGATTCTTTCATTAGGATATACCTCGTATGACATAAAAAGAGACTGGGAAAGATGCGGCGATTCTTTTTCCGGACCTGTAAGCGTCGCTAAGCCCCTTCGGGTTAGCACTTTCCGCTTACTCAGTCGGCGGTTCAATTCAAAGACCCTAAAGTATTGTCAGATTACGGCACCCAAAAACCACGACTGCGTCTTTCTAGCAGTCGTACCGAAGCAGAAGCCGAGATTCGATTAACGATATCTACTAGCTATCGACCAGGCTGGATGCAAGTCTACATCATCAGCCCTCTCGGGAAAGCTTAGGATGGCCCAAACTGCCCCGTTGGGGCTCTTAAACTAGGCGTACCGGTATTCCTGGAAACGGAGTCAGACAGGTTGGTTTTGAGAAAGCGAGGGGAGCAGGAAACCTTGCGAAGTGAGTTGACGTTGAGCTCCGAAGGCATTGTTGATCGGTCGTCTAGTCGTCTTTGGATCTTGAGGTGATGGCTGGGGAATTATGAGCAGTGCAAGGGCTGGGAAAGGGCAAGACGCCAGGATAAAGAAACAACCGCTGAATAATTGGAAGCAGACTGGTTACATATTATAAGATGGCAATCTTGTTACATGAAGAAGAAGATTTAATCACCCGAAGCTGAGCCTGGAGAATCAACTTCCACCAACCACATCAACAACTTCCGCCACCCTCGATGTCTACCACTATGCCATCACAAAGCTCGGCTGCCAGAGTCCAAACCCCCAGTGCCGATAGTCGGTTGTCCCATTTAAAGGAGATGAAGGATTTGTCTGAAATGTCGGCCGGAGGTCATACTGAGATCGAGGGGATGCAGTGCTTAGTGCCAAGCTAAGGGAGTGAGGGTCGGCACACCCTTCCTTGGGCCTCCCGCAGTAGGTACTCTTGGTTCGATGGGGGGTACTGTCCGTGGTAAATTTGATCTGCGTCGAAGAAAAATCCTTCACACTCTGGAGTATCGAAGCTGTCAATTCCGTTCTCTGCGAAACTGCCCTAATACACATCAAAGTCAACCTGTATTGAAAGATGTTTCTCATAGCTTTGGTTGTTAAAGTCTACAGAAACCGGATGCGACCGCTTTAATAAAGTATGCATCCAAAAAAACACCTCACACCATTGCATATATTCAAGAATCAGAGTCTAGACTCAGCTACGATCGACTGCAGCTCTCGAGGGAGAACTATGAGGATTGTATCCTCTCCAGCTGCCCTCGTCAGACTTAGATACGGCTTCGGTTCCCCCTCTCTGATGTCGAATCCAAGCGCTCTGCTTGTTTCAATTAATCAAACAACAACAACAACAACCACACAACAGTAACTCCCCACTAGATCTCTTCTACAATCTTATCCTTCACCGAATCATATTCAATCAACACGCAGCCGCACAAACTTCTCTCTTTTATAGCGCTCTTTGCCATTGGTGCACAGGCTCTGCCTTCGCTCCCGAAGGGTTTGTATCTCATTCCGAGCAAAATGATACATAGGAGTAAATCCATTAACACCTGCTCGCCAATTCTTTGAATGTCCGTATTAATGTGGACGAAGCCTCGAAAGGAGCGATCGGGAAACCCGTTGAGGACTGGGGCAGGCAGCCCGGAGGAAAGACCAAGAAACGCACGGATGCCGTCGCGGGCTGGGGGAGACAGAACCCCAATGTTGCCGAGGGAGCAAAGATCGAGAAACGCGCTGATACCGACGAGGCCTGAAAAGGGAAGACTGAAAAAGGATGATGTGGCCAATTCGAAAAGGGCTAGTTTGAGAAGGTGGGCAGTGCGCTCCAGCAGTACTTTGTTTGGTAGAGGGCCATAATTTGGTGTCCCTTGTTCGGAGCCGGGAAACCATAGCACTCCCAAACAGAAATCGATTTCTCAACATCTCGATCAGTAATACGTGACTATATTCTCGAATCTTCATAGATCTTAGATTGCGTATAGTGATCAAGTCGTGGAGTGTTAAACACTTTATCAAGAAGGCGTTCGATTTATTCTCGACCAAGTACGGTAATTGAAGTAATAACACAAGGAGGATTAACTACTCGAAATATAGCCTCCTTCAGAGTATATAACTTATTTACTCACTTTAACGAGCAACTCGGGTAAATATAAGAATCTATCACCCGACTAAGCCAGCTCTGAAGCTAACTCCTCAAGAATCAAAAACCTAGATAGAGCATTATAGTAACGTTTCATCAAAAGAAAAGAAAAGGAAAAAAAGCCCCCTCCCGCTCAATAAATTCGAACCGCAAAAAGAAACCCGTCGCGGACGACTAACGTGAGAACGGTTCAACGCGCTCAATCAATCTCTAGGCACCCGCACTCAACCCCTAGGGCCAAGCTCCCTCTTTCTTTCCAAACTGATTCCTACAAAAATCCATATTCCACTATAATTTCTACACGTGCAAATCACCATAACACCACCATCTCTCTATCCCACCCCCCTCAACACTCTTAATGGCGAACTTCGTCTCTAAAATCTTACCAAATTCCATCCCATCATCGTAAACAAGCGGACCAACATGGCCAAGAAAGCCCCAAGGAAACCAACCAGGTACCCAGCATCAGCATTCCGTAGGGCCTGGGGACGCGGCGAAGAACGACAGAAAATCGCTGCCGGGACCCATTTCCGAACCATCACACCCACCACGATCTCGAACCGGATGAGCTGCCGTGGAAGAAGGAGATCAAGCTGAAGGCATTCCAAAGCGCCTCCAGACCCTGGCTCATCTCACGGAGTCAGACAGCTGGACACGCCTGCTTTGCGTCGAAAGTGTCTGCGCCCAATCTCTTGGAGCAGGAGCGCAAGGAGGCTTTGATCGTGACGGCTACGATTCCTTCATGACGTTCCCGTAATAGTGTATCGGCAACACGACCAAGCTTTTGAGAAGCTTACTCGTAGGGTGAGAAGCGAATTTTCCTCCTACCTGTGTAGGGGGAACGTTGGAAATGGTGGCATCGGACACTTCCAGGTGGTGCTGCGGACTATTTCGCGACGATGCGGTGGCATCTCTCGGTCGGTACTGCAGACGTGGTTGGGGATAGTGACGGAGCTCGGCCTGGGGTTATTAAGACATGGGTGGTTCTTGCTTAGATAGAACATGAGGGTGGGAAGTAGATAAGACTCGCAGTGGTTCTCTGGGTCAGGGATCGCGACGCAGGAGCAAAAGCGGTGGTCGCTTGTCTACCTGGCAAAGTCGGGAACAGTGTCGGCGCTGGATTCGCATTCTCCGTTCGTATAGATTTATACGTGTTATATTTCTCCTCGCTGTTGCGCAAGTGCCTCTTCTTCCGCCTGAGAGGCTAGAAGTGAGTGAGTTAGACGTACGAGGTTCGTGTGACGAGGGAGGTGGAAACAGTGAGAGGTTGGTCACGTGCTGGCGGAGGACTTGAAACGAGTACAATGTCTTGCTGTCATCCCCCACTCACTTTCGTCTATGTAGTACCCCTGACAGAAAAAAAGTCCCTTTCAGGACCTATACGAAACACCACAGATAACAACTCGTTCTCTCTCTCTCCGGCAACAGACACCCATACTCAGCTCACGAGTCCCGGCAATAGCACTCACACCAACAACAGCCGAGAATCCAAGCCTTTCACCTTTCCGGCCTCCACGGCTCATCTCGTGGCGTCTGCTCCAGCCATTTGTGCAAGGCCGAAGCTTCGCGTTGGCCGCTGTCAGAACTCGCCTCGCCGCTGCCGCCCCCGCTTCCTCCACGACCTTGGAGGACGGTTGTCGGACCTTGGCCGCTGCCTGCGGATGTCGATGTCAGGGAGCCGTGGGTGGCTTTGTCAGAGCTGTTGGGTTTTGGTGACGGTTTGTCAAAGGTCTTGGGCTTCTGGTTCGTGAGGGCGGGGGGGTTTGCCTTGGGGGATTTTGTTAATAAGGCGGGATCTCATTTCAGTACGCATTGAAGTGCGGACCTCGTTGGGGTGCTTGCTGCTGGCCATGATGGTACTTGCTGTATCAGAGTGCGGAGGGGTGGGTGGATCAAGGTAAGAACTTCTATGTATTTAGATTTCGAACTCAAGGCTCATAGTGCTTAAGATGCTCCTTTACTTTGCTCAAGAGGATCCCATGGTTCTTATTTTATAGCCATGAGTAGGTTGCTGTGCCGTGAGAATCCATCTGCAGGGATCTTTTGTAAAACCATGTTGGAAAATTCCAGGAAGGTCGTTCTCCGCAGAAGACTTTTGGGAAATTTGTTTCCATTGGCGGGGTGTACGGAGGTGACCATCTGCGAGGACAGCTGTGTGCAAGGAACTTTCGCGAGATCCTACCCACAATGGTAATAGTTATCTGTTAGGACCTTTTGGGAGACACACCCACTCCACTGGGACATCGTGCTGGGACAGATGCGTAGAAGCGTTTTGGTGCAACCTCCTCTCGAGTGACAGGATTGATGGAGAAGATATCTGCCAGGAACTTCTGTAAGAGCCTTTCCATTGGCGAAAGCCTGAGGCTGGCACAAGTGACGCATAGCGTAATCACATGCAGGGAACTTTTTTAATGTGCCGGGACGGACATGTGCGTAGAAGCGTTTTGATGCAATATCCTCTCGAGTGACAGGATTGACGGAGAAGATATCTGCCAGGAACTTCTGTAAGAGCCTTTACATTGGTGAAAGTCTGAGGCTGGCATAAGTGACGCATAGCGTAACCACATGCAGGGAACTTTCTCAATGTGCCGGGACGGACGTGTGCGTAGAAGCGTTTTAGTGTAACATTCTCTCGAGTGGCAGGATTGACGGAGAAGATATCTGCCAGGAACTTCTGCAAGAGCTTTTCCATTGGTGAAAGCCTGAGGCCTGGCACAAGTGACGCGTAGCGTAGCCACATGCAGGGAACTTTTTCAATGAGACAGAGGTTGCCACACCTGACGGGTAGCCATCTGCAAGGAACTTTGGTAAACAGGCTCTCACGGGGCGGATGCGTGGGAAAGTTTGCAGCCGAGTCTCTCGACTTTTACATTTTAAGGCGGAGGATGAGATGTAGCCCAGAGAGCGGTCTGGTAAAGACGGCTTCATACTAGCACATCGTGCGTCAGAGGCGTACTGACATGATCTGTGATCAAAGATATCCATTGGGCGACGCAAAGTGATTTCATCGGCGTCGTCGACATTTCCCCATTGGCTAAGATCGAGAACGAAGACTAACGCGCAGCCAATGGTGGGAGAAGGTGGGAGCATAACACTCGCAGTACACCGTGAGATAGGTATTGTCAGGGTGTAGATCTCTGCATGAAATGATATCAAAGAATAATGCATCATCAGAACTCTAGCCTTTAATGGCGACATAGTGGCTCTTGGCATATGCATGGAACTTCTGTTTCAGGCGAGTCAACCGTTCTTGGCTAGCTCTGAAATTTATGCATGGGACTTTCGTTCCGCCAATCATGATCAAGCGAGAGCGCAGGACACAGCCTTGTCTTTTCATGAGCATAAAAAGCTCTTCTCCTCACCTCTTCCACAATCTCACTGTCGCAAAGAGCCAAAGGCCAGTTTTCGCACTGCGGCCCTTGAAGTGTTTTCACGTTGACCCACCAAATTCCACCGATCATCTTTCAACTTTAATCGTCCTCTCTTTCCTTTCAGCCTATTGCTATGGCATCTATGCCGTACTCCTCAAACGAGGTTGGGACTCTCGTAGCTATGGCCGGCGCGAACCCTATCCACGCTAATCCACTGAGCTTCCCTGATCATCAGTCTGCCTCTTACCAATTCTCTCCAACCTTTCAGCCCGATCCATTGGCAACCACATTACACTTCCCCAACGACGTCAGTGCCCCAATGACTGCACCTATTACTGAACGAAGTGGCTGGGCCGCCAAACAGGCCTGGGCGAGACACCAAGCACTCATCAAACAACTTTACCTTTACGAAAAGAGACCGCTTGCAGAAGTCATGCGCCTTATGGAAAGCCAGCATGGATTCAGAGCGACGTTAGTATTTCGTGCTGTACTATTTGTTTCGAGCATCGCTGACGTTCCGTAGGGTCAAGATGTACAAAACGCACATCAAGCAATGGGGACTGGACAAGAAGAACAAGGACTTTGAGATGAGAGCGGTTGTGCGCAAGAACAAGCAGCGAGCCGATCAGGGAAAGGGCTCTATCATCCGTATTCGAGGCCAACTTCGGGATTTCGCGGAAGTTGTTCGCTATTGGAATCGAAGAGGGATATCGATTGACGATATCATCGCTCGACGGACGGCATCTCCGACACCTGAGGCTGTGGAATGTTTCACTCCTGTACCCTCCCCTATCCTGACGCCGGAGGTGCTCGCAGTACCAGAGCGCATGTTTCGTTGCATTCGGGATTATTTCGAAGGCTCCTTCGAGTCTGGGACATGGGTCAGGACAGATCCCAATTTTCGGTGCTCCACCACCAAGGATAAAGAGAACACAGACGAGTGTCTGGCAGGTCTTGTCATTCAATGCCAGTCAGCTTGTTTACTGTTCTCAAGGAGTATGTTTCAAGAAGCAGGACAGAATCTGATCGCTGCCACTGCAAAAATCAAGCAGATTCTCTCAGCAGAGCTTCCCATGAGTCTCATTGAGTTGTTTAGACTGATTAATTATGTCCGCCGCGAAAAGAGAGATGAGATGGCCTTGATTGTACTTCGACAATTCTCTGCTCTAGGTAAAGTGCTGCTAGGCAGTGAGCATCCTCTCAGTCGTATCTGTGAGTGGCTTGACTCAACATCTCCGTCTGGGTTTGATGATACTATTGTCAGATGCATAGAAAGTATTGTCGACCAATTCGAACGCTTTGTTGGTCCCATGCATACGTCAACACTGTACGCTCGTTTAATTTACATTGTGGTAGCGAAACCGAAAGGGAATGCCGGCATTCAGATGCTGCAAAAGTTGCTTGACGAGTGTAAAAAGACATTGCGGCCACACGACTCTCGGATCTTGCTGGTTCGTGGGTACATGGCGGAGATATATTTCCTTAAAGGTTACTTTGTCGAGGCCAGGACCCTGAGCCAAGAAAACATTGCCTGTTCTCAACTTGTTCAATCAACGAACGCTAGGTTTTATGAACAGAACAAAAATCTCTACAGGGTAGCAAGGTCTCAACACGCTCTGGGCGAAGTGGACTTGGGAATAGCAACTCTTCACAAAGTGATTGACTCAATTGTGTCGAGATTTGGCTCTCAGGACTGGATGTTACGACGTATACTTTTGGATTTGGAAGACTGGTATCTCGAGCAGGGTCGTTGGAACTTTGCTGCTCAAGCGCGAGACTGGTGGGAGAAGCTACTGGAGTCGATAGATGTGGATTGAAACGGAAATCCATCCTGGCTCATTTTGATATTCTCAGTCAAGCCGTAATCTTATATTCCTAGCTCCGTTGACAGTCCCAGCATTCTGCGCGTCTCTACCAGTAAGGCGATTTTCCAGTCCGGAGAACCTATCCTCAACCTCAGCATGTAGCATTGAGAGAAAGAGCAAGCAGAGAAATACAGCCTAGCCGGATGCGGCACGCTTTAGAGTAACCGCATGCGCTTACCGCGGCTGCATTCCGTCGCCGGACCTCCCTCAATCCATCGCCCGAGATCCTACCTACATCAAGAACCGCAGAACCAACCCATCTTTCGCACAACGCTTATGCTATATTATTGAGCTATAGAAAGTAAATACATGTATTTAAAGCATTTAGTAAGGTTAATACCTCTTTAATTAGCTTTAAGGAACGTCTATACTCTTATAACTATATCGAATAAGATTAGCTAGCTTTAATAAGACTATAACAACCACGATTTTAAGAAGCACGCATTTATGCTAAAGTTGTTGATGAATATTATACTAAAAATAATAGATAAAGGCTAGAAATTATTAATAAACGAAGTAGCTACTATCCTTAGAATAGCGATAGTATTTATAGAAAGGGCGAATAATAAATTTAAAATTTAGATAGTCTTAGACGAAGTATATAAACTAGTTATTAATTTAAGTAACTAAGATAGTAATATAAAGAAAAAGATTACGTATATTAAGTATTAGATAGCTAGTCTAAAAAGTAATATATCGATAATCAGCTACGCTAGCGTATTAAGCCGATTCTTAATATTCTCCTTTATCATTAAAGAAATTTCTATTATATTATTAGTAATATCGAAATAAGGTTAAGCACTATATAATAAGCTAAATGAGATTATTATAAAGCTATAAAATGAGATAGTAAGTAAAGTATTAAAGGGGAAGACATTAAGCGAGATAATTACGATAATTAATAAATATATAAAAAGTATAAATACTATAAGAAAACTTATTAGAACGGCTAAAAGGCTAGCGAGTGGCGATATATATATTATAGTTACAAATAAGAAGGAGGCGAATAGACTAAGAAAAGTAAAAATTAGACTCTAAAGATAAGTGATAGCGCGAGAGTGATTACTAAAACGTATAGTCTTCTACTCTATAGAGTAAGGATTAATATATTTGATATTAAAGATATAGTTATGGTAATTAAAAGGGTTTAGAATAAGAATATTAATATATTAAGCTTTAATATAGTATAGCTAAGCTAGTTTAACGCGAATAAAAAGAATTATAATAAGAGATTATTAATTATCGAATTAGTATCTCTAGAGAAAGGAAATAGAGTATTAGAAGAAGGCCTAGTTATCGATTCGAAACTATATAGCTATTACGTCTATAATAAGTAGTATAGATCGAAGTAATACTTCGTATACTAGAAATATAGTTATCTATCGATTATATACTCTAAAAAGAATTACTTAGTATATGGGAAATACTTAAGAGAGTATTATTATAAAGACTATATAGTCGATACTCGTAAATATTTAATTTATAAGGGATTATATAAGGCTTAGAATAAGGTATATATAGTAAAGAAGAGAGAGATAGCGAGAATAAGAATAGCGAGATAATAGATTTCTTTACGATTTATAATAACGAAGGAAGTATCGATTAGCTATTAAATAAGCGATTAATTAAATAATTACTTTTAAAATATATTTAATTGTAGATAAAATGAGGAATTTTTCTTAAAGCTAATATTCACGCGTGATAAGTTAGTAGGTAGAGATAGAATAGTTAATAGAAGAGGAATTAGAGCGTTGGACCTTAAAAGAACTACTATATCGAATCTCTAGTTGAGTGAAAAGAGATATACTTTTATATTATTAATAAGGGTCTTATTTAGAAATAGATTGCTCTTTAAAGTAGTAGATAAAGCTAAATAATATAAAGACGATATAGCGATAGAGGAAATTAATAATCTCGAGAATAACAAATAGCCTCTAAGTTAAAAGAGTGGTAATAAGAGAATTACGGTCTCTATCAATGGGAATAAAAAGAGATATATTCGATTCATCGATAATTAAGAAAAGAAGAATACTTAGAAAGGGGATATAAACTCTATAAACTAGGCGAAGCGAGTAAGTAATACTAATAATAATATCGAGAAATAATAGTATACTTTAATTAGCTATTAATACTATAATATAATATAAGGAAATCTAGAACGATTATAATAGAATTCTTTAATAATAAAAAGATCTATAATATCGATATAGTAGTAATTTAGAAGCCCTAGAGAAATACTAATATAAATATATTATATTATCTTCTAAAGAATAGATTTAACTTAATCTACCCCTATTATAATAATATATAAGTATGCTTTTATATTAATAAGAGAATATTACTAAAGCAATAATATCTATTATATTACTTATCGAACCTCTATACTCTTAATATTAAGTTTGAAAATAATAGAATTATACGTATATATAATATCTATAACCTCGATAATTAATAAATAGATAAACTTAATGAATTATATAAGATACTTATAAAGTCTAAAGATAATGAATAGATTATACTAGACGACTTTAATCTTTATTATATAATATAAGAGAGATTAAATACTTATATCGATAAGAGAGTAGAAGAATTAATATTTATAGCGAAAGAATTCGCTATAGAATAAGCACTGCTAGTAGAAATGGTAATATATAAAGAAAATTATTAAATAATAATAGATTTATTATTCGCCACTTTAGTATTAATAGTAAATGTCATTAACTATAATATCGAAAATGATTTCGAAAGTGAATCTAACTATCTTTTAATTTTTATAAAGTTTAAGCTAGTTATAATAGAGTTAGTATTAACGATATATCGAAACTTTAATAAATTAAACGTCGAGGTTTTAAGAGAGATACTCGTTTAAGCTATAGTATCGAAAGAGTATCTAGTTAATCTTTAGAGAAATAGTAAAAATCTTATTAACGATAATATCGATTATTAAGTAATAGCTATTATTAACTCTATTTAAGCGACTATAGAGGAGTTTACTTCGATTATTAGATTATTACTATAATTTAAATCGAGATTTATACTAAAATATAAGGAAATATAAAGGCGTTATAAATCGCTAAAAAGAAGTTGAAGAATAACGCTCTTAAAGAAAGTATAAGATAAGTATAAAGTCGCTAAGAACTTTAAAAATAATCTAATTAAGAGAATTATTAGAAAGGCGTTTAGAGAGTTCGTAGTAAAGGCGTATAAGTCGCTATAAATAATATAAAAAAGATTAAATAAGTTAGAAAATAACTTATAATATAGATATATCTCTCTTTATTATTTAATAAAGATAAATAAGAATATAACGAATTAGGCTTAAAGGTAGATCTTCTTATAAGAATATTTTTTCTATTATTAATATAGATAAAGTTAGATAATATTAGCGCCGATATAACGTACTTATAAGCTTATTTAATAAGTATAATTATTATAAATAAGATAAGAAAGATTATAACGTAAGTATTATTAAAGAGAGCCTTAAGGGGAGACGCGATCTTTAATCTAATTCTTAAGAAGATTCTAAAATCGTTACTTTCTTATCTATATAGAATATTTAATATATATATAACGAACGATTACTACTTAAAGTACTTTAGAATATTAATAATAATTATTCTTTCGAAGTCGGATAAGAATTATTTAATTTCTAAAGAATATCGATTAATAGCTCTACTTAATACTATAGAAAAGATAATAAAGTTTATTCTTATTAGAAGAATAGCGTATCTTGCGAAGATATATAAACTTCTATCGGCTATATATATGAGAGGCCGTAGATTATAATTATATAAATACGGTATTTACTATCTTCTAGAAAGAATATATTAAATCTAGAACTCTAATAAAGTAACTACGATGTTACTACTAGACGTTTTAGATATATATAATAAAGTCTCTTATTCTTAACTACTCTATAATCTCTAAAAGCGAAAAATCGATATGAAAGTAGTTAATTAAATAGAATTATTCTTATCTAATAGAATAACGATACTGAAAATAAGCGAATATTTTATATTAAAGACTCTTATAGCAATCGAAATTCTTTAAGAATTATCGCTATCGCCTATACTTTTACCTCTTCTATAATTTAAATCTTATTAATAAATATAATAATTATATCGACTTAGAAATAATAGTTATCGACTTTATAGACGATATAGATCTTCTAATAATAAGAGACTCTATCGAGGAAAACTATAACGCACTTTATAAAATCTACGACGAAGTCTATATAAAGTGGGTATTACGATACAAATTGAAGTTTAATTCCAGCAAATATCAACTACTATACCTTAGTAGAAAATAGAGATTCAGCTTAAATCATTCTCTATAACTTAACGAGAGGTAATATATTAAGATGAGACGCTTTATCCGCTATCTAGAAGTCGAAATCGACTTTAAACTTCTATAAAGTTATTATAATAAGGAAATTCGATCTAAAGCTACTAAAAGCATCGATATATTAATAAGAATTATTAAATTAATATAGAGTAGTAATTATAAGAGTATAAGACAGCTCTATTAGGCGGTAATTATTCTATAAATAATATACTATTACTTAGTATAATACTAGCCCGAAGATATTATCGATTATAATAAAACTTATCTCTTATCGCTATAAAGAATTTAATCTTAGATAAAAAGAAAGATAATTAAAGCATTTAAGATTATATTTATTTTAGCACTTGATATAAAAGTATATCTTCTATTAGTTAAATAATAGCTAGATAAGATTACCTCGAAAGTTATCTTATAAATTATTACTAATCTAGTATATAGCGAGATTATTAAGTTATATTTCGAGCGATAAAAGTTTAAAAGAAAATCTAAGAAGAATAGAAAACTAAGTCTACTGAAGCGATATATTAATAGATTTAAAGAATAATATAACGATATTAATAAGATTAAGAAACTACGCTTTTTCAGCGCCGCTTTTAACTAAGAGCCTTTTAAAATAATAATTTATAAGATTAAGAAAGTCGTTAAAGAACTAGTTAAAAGATTGATTAATAAAAGATATATAATAATATATATAAATAATAGCGGGATTAATAAAAAGGTAGGAGTATCAGCTATATCGTTAGATATTAATTCTACTTTCAGTATCTATTTAGACTTAAGTAATTAATATATAATATACTTAACGAAGCTATATAATATTCTTTAAGCTCTAATTATAATAGTTATATATTAAATAAAGCTATAACTTAATAGAGTTATAGTAAATATAAATAATCAAATATCGATTTAGGCTATCGAAGATTTGGATAAGTATTTAAGATAGATCTATATAATATAGATAGTATAGATTATTAATTCGCTAAGATATCTCGAGATAATAATAGAATTATACTAAATCCCGATATATATTAATATCGATAATAATAAATAGGCGGATAAGGAGGCGAAGAAAGTTACTGGCTAGCGAGAGCGAGTAATTTATAATAAAAGAATAAAGATAAATACTAACGAAATAGCTTAATTATTAATTATATAGATAAGAATAATATCGATAATTAAGATAGCTATTAAGGACTACGCGATAAAATAATAAACTATTAAATAGGCTAATAAGAAGCGAGGCGGTATTCTTAGAAGGATTTAATTAATACCGTCGAAATAAATATAATTTCTATATTCGAGAGTTAAGCGCACTAAGACGTCGCTAATAATATAAATAAGAATCGAGAAAATAGGTTTTAAGGCCTTTCTTTATAATTAATAGATATCGAATATAAAGAATAAAGAATACGAGTGTAAAGCGAAGTAGACGACTCGATATATCCTTTATAAATATAGGCTATTTAATAAGAAGCGAGGAATATAGTAGATCGAAGAAAGAAGAAAGATGAAAGAGAGGGTTATTACTTATAAGAATATGCTAATAAAACTACGCTACGCCTCTATAGCGACGGACTTTATAAGGAATACTAAGCTTATTAGACAATATTAAGCCCTTAAAAAAAATTAAAAAAAAGGATTCCTTAGGGAAAGGGTTAAAAAAAAAAAAAAAAAAAAAAAAAGAGGGGCATTAAAAAAAAAAAAAAAAATCCCCCAAAAAAAAAAAAAAAAAAAAAAACAAAAAAAAAAAAAAATTTTTTTATAGCCTTATTTATTTAAGATTATATGATTGGCCGAAAGGATTAGATAGATTTACGTAACTCGCATAGTCGGCCACTAGGGCAAGACTTCAGGGTAGTATGATGTAATCAATCAATCAATCAAAAAAACCGCAGAACCAACCCCACAAGACCGAAGCAAGATCCGACGGACCTCCAGATCCCTCAAAAAAAACCTCGGCCGGAAATTCCAATCCATCCCCCCCCCCCCCTTCCAGAAATGCCCCCCCAAACCGAACCCGATCCCCAAATAGTACTCCCACTCACCCTTCCCCCAACTCACCCCCACTTCCGATCCCCATCTCTGATCAAAAAAACCTTGCAGCTTTCGACGAATCTACGCAACGCGAGAAAGGTGTGGGGCGAACGCAGTCCGCAGTATGCGGCCTGCAGACGGGTAGCCGAGGCGTATGTGGGGGCCCGGGGTGCGGATCCGACGACGACGACGACGACGGGGGGGTTGGAGGAGGTGGTGGGGAGGATGGGGGGGCTTGCTGTGGGGGATGGGGATGGAGGGGGGAGGGGGGTATGAGGGGTTGCAGGAAGGTGGTCCGAAGTGTTGGATGATTGTTTATTGAATGTATTGGGGTCCCGTTCGATCAATTTTGAAACCCATTCTGACAGAGACGGAGACGTAAACATGCATGCTTGGATATCTGGAGTATTATAAAGACCCGAAAATTCTGCAATTGTTGGATATCTCGCGCACTGAAGCAAACCAGATAACGCTTTGCCGACCCAGAGAACCCTTCCGTGGAATGAAATCGTCTCTTCGTGAATGCCCCGAACGCCAGTATTGAGCAGGAAATGGAGAAGATGAATGTTGTTACAGATAAAAGCTGTCTCGGCAGCTCCCATCCCAGAACTCTTCCCCACGGTGCGTTTCCTCTAGGCTGCTCTGAAGCACTTTATTCAATCAGCGGCTTCCTCGTGGACCCAACCATTGTCATGCCTAGCGTATGCAATGCGTTGTAATCATTCACGCGGATTATTGTCGGCGCAGGGAGCATGGGATTATCCGGTCTGATGTTTCCGGCATCTTTTGCGGCTTGCTCGATGGCTTCCATTTCTTCCTTACAGGCGGTGTGGTCGAGCGGACAGACGACGATCGGTTGGCGGAGTAGAATGTCTTTTGCGGAGGTCATGTGTGCCTAGGGTATATTAGTACGAATATAAAGAGCAAATCTGGGAATCGTTAAATGGTAACGCACCTTCACAGTCAGGTAGTACTCGATCTTATAAAGACTGCCTGTTGTCGTAAAACCGCTGACCGAATACGTGGGGAAAGCCTGCTTCCCCCTCGGTATTACCCCGTCGTTGTCCCTGAGATCCTTCGCCGGGAAGACTAATCCAAGGTTCGTGAAATACCCAGCTTCCGGCATCTTCACACCTACTGTTTGGGTTTGCTTCGCTAGCGTTTTGACTTTTCGTTGCGGTTCGTCGCCTTCGTGGTTGTAAATGATTTCTTCGTCAATTCCAATCGTTATCTTGTTTATCGTTACTCTCTTCGCTTTGTTCAGCCAGTCGGGGTTTGGAGATAGTTTGATGTAGACGCTGACGGGATCCAGAGGACCGTATGACCATCGAGGGAGTGATATGCCTAACGTGACGAGGTGGTCTGTGATTCTTTCGGCGGACTCTGGCCTGTTGTACATGCCGAATGTGGAAAGGGTATCGTATCTCGATATTGGGACTGGGAAGGCGTATTTTCTTTGCTCTGTATGACCTTGCTGTACCATCACCACCATCTCGTAATATGTTTCTGCCGTCCTGCTGCCTAACTGCAAACTCGCTGGCGGTACCCTCCGCGCCGTCTCTTCTCCTCCTCTTCCAAATGGAATAAACAGCACAAAAGGTAGGTCCATCGAGTAAACGTTCTCTGACTCTTTCCCTGCTGGACATCGAAATAGCAGCATTTCCTTCCCAACTATGTCCACAAGCTCCTTCCTCGGCGCCGCTAGATGCTTCTTGGTTACCGAATCTGCGGAAGGATGTATGGTCTCCCGCCGTTGAAGGTATATTGTCACTAGCGATATGGCGACTGGAGCGGAGTATCCTTTGTCGGGCCGTATTTCAACCTTCCCTTCTACTCGAGGCTGTAAGTGGTACATATCAGCATAATCCTCGACAGAGATATCGCCGCGCTGCTCCAGGGAAATCCATTTCCCCCATTTTCTTCTTCTTCACTTACCAGTGTAGCAGATATGCCGGGATATCCCACGAGGTATGCGCTGTTTGGCGGGCCACAGACGCGAACGAAGGCTGTCATCGCGGCTTAGACGTTGCCTTAGCCCGCCCATAGCATGCTGCGAGACCTCTCCGCAATAGTACCATCAAATGTTACGTCCGTCCTTGCTTCCGGAGAGAAGGTATGCCCAGATGTTCCTCTTGCGACTCAAGCTGAAAGTTGCCGGCAGGGATGTTGATCTGCAAGACACAAGGGAAAGTCCAAATAAACGCAGAAGCAAGAGTGAAAAAAAGTAATCAAGATGGCGAGCAGGTCTTGGTATGTGCGGGAGTGGGGTATGACAGGTCTGAAGGTACTGAGATTGTTAGAGCCTTCTCATGCAAGAATCGAGTAACCGACCTGTAGATTGCGTTGTCGAGCGCCAAGCCAAGCCAAGCTAAGTAAGCTCAGGCAACTCCACCCCAGCTCCACCGGCGGCTAGGCCGCTTCTAGGCCGCATAGAATCCTGCAAGGCTGATGCTTTCTTCCATCTTTCGTCGAGCTCATATGAGCTCTTCACGCAGCATGATGGACTGAACAACGAGGCTGCTTGTCACCAGCCATGTCTGTGACACTCCATACCACCGTCGGTGACATCAAAATCGAGGTCTTCTGCGAATCCGTCCCCAAAACAGCAGAAGTAAGCATTCCACCGTGCCTCCTACATAAGCTCCTGTCATGCTGTCCCTGAGCAACTTACACATGTTACTAACGTCCGCTCAGAACTTTTTGGCCCTCTGTGCCTCTGGGTCTTACGACGCCTCTCCTTTCCACCGCTCCCTCCCATCCTTCATGGTTCAGACCGGCTCCCCCGCATCCGCCTCCGCAAAAGTCAGCACTTCAATCTGGGGCACGGATTTCGAAGATGAGATCCGCCCATCCTTGCGACATAATGCGCGTGGAATAGTGGCAATGGCGAACAAAGGGTCAAACACGAATGGCAGTCAGTTCTTCATCACGTATGGATCTGCGCCGCATCTAGATGGGAAGAATACAGTGTTTGGAAGGGTGATTGGTGATGAAGGGATGGTGACTTTGCAGAAGCTAGAAGCGAAGGAGGTGGATAAGAAGGGAAGGATGCAGGGCGATATAGTGAGGATTGAGAGGGTAACGATGCATGCGAATCCCATTGCTGGATGAACGATATCAGATTTCTTTTTTCTCCGGACATCTAGCCCTGATGATAGGACTTCGTGAAACCCGGGCAGGTTGCGAAGCACACTTTCTCTTGCTATAACTGTTGCTGGCCCCCCACATGTTTGCGTATCAATACAAACATGGCGCTGGAAGTGATCATTGCGTGGGTCTGCATTCTCGGGCGGAGCGCCGCCACCACAGTCAGTTTCATACTTCCTCTGCTCCGAATTAGATTCTTAGGAAGAAAGCCATCGTCTCCTTATAAAAAGGTGAGTCTCTTCCAACACAACACAAGTCCACGTCGAGCTTTTTGCTCGCGTATTTCAAGGCCTTCTTCCTCAAACCCCGCTTCAAAGCACACTTTGCCGCATCATGATATGCCAGTGATTTCTCATAAACAAGCCCTTCTTCGTTGATCAAGTTGACAAGTTCCAGGATCGCAGACCGTTCATCGCAGTGACCGTGTTCTGCTCTCGCAGCTGGCGGGTCATTTTGATAGTCTGCGATCTCGTGATCGAGATCTTGCATCTGTTGGCGGCGAACTTGGCTACGAATGCCAAAATCGGTGTCGGTTTGGCAAGCAGGGCAACGGCAAGTGAAGACGTACGGCTTGAGCTCGCGTTTCCGTTCCTGAAGCGTGCGAATCCCGGAGCAATAGCTAACAGTGATCTCTTCGCCCTTGGAAATGTCCTTCACAGCATGCACCGTTTCCCGTTCGATGCTGCTATTCCACGAGTAGTGGGCATTCGGTATGCAGGAGTGATTGATCCTAGCTGCGTCTAGGCAAATGCAAGTACCCGATCCCATCTCGAAGCAATTAGCTTCATATATGCTGAAACGGAGGCTGCAGTCAGGTCTTTCGGGGCAATGCAAAGCCATGAATTTGAACCGTTCACTGGCTGGAAGGTTGTCGAACGCTTCGAAGATATCATTTGGTGCGTATGGATCGGACCAAGATACCACAGGTCTTTCGGTCAAAGAGAAAAAGGGTTTTTCTGCAAGTATACGTGTGCCTTTTCGAATGTCTTTGGCAGCGAACATCCCAAGCCCTTTGCCGGGTGACCCTTTGATGAGGTAGAGAGTAGATTTTTCGACATTGCGACCGGCAGCTGGGGTGAGGTTTTTATCGGCCTTGACATTGCTTGACCTAATAGTCTCGTACTGTCCGCTATGATGTTCGGCTTTTGTAGCTTCTGCTTGAGCAATAGCTTTGCGCTTTTCGAGCTCGCCGGCCTTCGAAATCATGGAACGTGTTTCCTGTGGAAGTCTCAGAATCATCACTACAACGGCACTAATACACCGTACCTGTGCAAGAGCAAGGGCATTTCCACGGATCTGCCTCTTCGTTGTGAGCAGTTTTTCTCGGGGTGGGTTTTTTGGGGGAAGCTGTCGCTGTCCCGTCCGCACTCTCTTTTTCCCACTGAGGCGAGAGTCAGAAGCTGCGTCGGCGTCTTTGAGCTTGATGTCAGTTCCGCTCAAGCCATGCATTTTCTTCGGAAGCGTCAGTCACTCTCAACAACAGCATTAAAACGGCATACCCTTACGAGAAATGCTCCAGCTCTATGGAGCTGCCTCTCGGCCGCGGACGACTCGTATCCCATGACGGGACGGTTGAACGAAGAGACCGACGGCATGGTGATCCGTCAAGGGTATTTCCGGATGCGTTGGTTGGGAAGTGAGGGTTTGCGGAAAAAGCTCACTTGTGGATTTGGTCATTGGATTCACTTTTCAGGAGCAGCTGCGAGCAGTTTGGGGAGTGGGGAAGAAGCAAGGATTACAGGGGATTGTTTAGGGGTCAACATGTGACGCAAATGCTCTTCCTGCTTCCACTGGTCTATCCTCTGCGATCTCAATCATACATGTTTCTGCTTTTGCCCCGAAGTCTATGCCATACAAAACGCTGAACCGCTAGATCATAAAGAAGCCTATGCCAGTGCCAGGTATGTACATAGCGCCGCCATCTACTATCAACAAGCCTAGATCTATGTCCTGTTCTTTAGGGCCTCGCCGTCGCTCCACTATCTTCGACCCGGAGCGGACGAGGGGCTATGACCCATTGTTTTGAGCCTTAGTGTTGCCTATCCCAGAAGACTCAGCAGCCCCCTCCGGCTTAGGACTTGTCTTGCCTAATTTTTCTCTGACATATTCGCCCTTTTCGTTCAGCCTCGTTTTCATATCTGCTAGTCCGAGTTCCTCCTCTTCCTCTTCCGTACGCTCATATTCCTGGGTTCGGACCTTTGGATCGTTCCCAGAATCATCCAGATCCAAAAGCTGACAATAGCTATTGCCTAATGGATCCTCCATTAATATGGTGTACTGAATCTCCCCCTTGACTGCTTTGTCTAGCTGGGCGAAGAATGTACCCCATTCCTTCTTCGTGTCGGAAGGCATCGAATCTGTAGATACCTCGTCCTCACCAACGTCAAAGATAGAGCCTTTGAGGTCGTCACGGATTTGTGTCACAAGACCTTCAACAGTCGTGAATCTTCCACCCATGGTCCCCGGCGTGACTTCAACTCTGCACTCAGGAATCTTGAGTAGGCATGTCTCCGACTTGAGGATATCTCGTCCAAGGTCTTTTGCATCTTTGACGTGAAGCCAGATTCTCTTCCCACTCTCAGGGACTTCGCCTCCAGTCTTGACATCGTTCGTTTTGTACCCGCACACATCGCAATGGGTTGTTGAGACGATGACTTGTTTGAAGTGTGGGATATGCACCATCTGGACCAGCATATGCGCAGGCTTGGCGCAACCGGGACAGAAGACGGGCAAGTCGTATGTTTGGCCTTCGAGTATATCCACATCCTCCATACCGCCACCATCCTCGGGCTGGAGCTGAGGCACCATCTCTGCTGAGCCAACGCCTTGCTCTTCCGAGGTCTCGCCCAGGCCCAAAGCCTCGTTTTGCTCTGGTGTCCGTGGATACTGTGAGTGCGTATATTTGCCTTTCGTCTTGGAGTCGCTGGGCGAGGGCTCGATCCAAGAATTACCAGCGGGATCGTCAAGAGAAATCGTGAATGGGAACTTGCCACCTATCAACATCTTGATGAGTGACTGAACAACGCCGTCGATCTTTTTATACAGCTTCGGATCTTCCTTCCTCCTCAGCTTTTGATCGCCCTCGAGGTCTTTCAGAACTTCGCTGAGTATTCCCTCAACGTTCGTCAGACGGCCTCGTCCAGCTGGCACTTCGATCAACAAGTCTTCGATCCGTAGGATGGCTGTATCACTCTTGACGAGTTGACGCTCCAGGTCATCTAGACTGCTGAGCTTGAAGGCATATTTTGAACCTTGCTCTTGAATTTCTCCTGCGGGTTGAATCTCGTTGTTCTTAAGATGGCAATGCTCACAGTAGAAGGACATGAGTATGATCTCGCGGAAGAATGGGATTCTTGTGAGTAGTAGTCGTGTCATGCCCTGTCACGAACGTCAACCAGCTTTACTCGCAGATGGAAGCCAGGTAATAACTCACGTTCTCATGGCAATTCATGCACAGACTTTCGATCTCGTCCACAACCTTGACTCGATCGTCTTCAGCAGGCTCCTCGTCATCGCCCAAGTTGAGTCCGAGAACTTGCTTGCCGATCGCAGCGAAGAGGTCGTTGTCGTCATTCTTAGCACGCTCGGTGTTGAGGTACTCGTTGGTGGCACGGTCTGCCATGTTCTGTGTTTGAGAGGAGAGGATGTGGTGGTACAATGTTCACGTTCGGGGGTTACTTGGATCTGAAGAGCTGCCAGCAACCGAAGAGCTGATTTACAGGAGCTTTCTGCAACACCAATGAGCGCGCCTCTCAGTCGAAGTGAAAAATGAAATGGCAACGCCACGCCTCGTACGAACTGCTTGAAAGTGTGAAAGTCTGTGGGCTGGGAAATTGACGTACGAATACTCGACGCTATGACACAGTAGAAATCTAAACGATGTCGGGTTGTGTAGACTGGCCGCGATGTAACAACTTGCGTCTCACGCTGCGAGAAGGACGAAAAAGTAAAGACTGAGACGCTCAAAAAGGTGGGTAGATACACTCGTCGTTGGTATATCTCGCGGCGCATGAAGGGGGCTCGATTATTGAGGCGGGCCAATGAACTTCTTTATCAACACGACGTTTTTTTTGGAGGGGCAATGACGAGTGATCGCCAGCTTGTCGGGAACCATATTAGCGGCCGAATGCTTAAATTTACGAGTATGTCTTGGCGCGATGGGCGCTCGCTGCTAGCCGGGAAGCCGCCTTGCTCCCTCAATCCCTGGTCGCAGGTTTCGATATTGTCTTACTGGTTTGACATTATACTGCTGAAAATATGTGGAGCTCTTTTCCCCAAGGACGGAGGCTGCCCATTGACTACTTTACTTACCTTATCAGTTGAAAACTCTGTACCACTAACTCTGGAAATGATGTTAAAACCAGCAAATGAAGTCCAAACGCTCAAATTGGCAAATCGAAGCAGCAGATGCGCGGGCCATTGTATTTCTTGCTCGCTCCTAAAGCTTGGTTATGATTCTCAGCGGCTTCACTTCTTACAAGGAAAAATTCGTCCTCACTTGCGGCGTTCTCTTTACATTGTACAGCATTCAAAAGTCAGGTGCTGCTACATAGCCTGGGCCCAATCCTTGCCCCGATCATGAAACTGATGCAGCGAAAATAAATAGCCGGTTTCATACCGATTTCCGCGGGGTTTTGTGCCACAGGGACTATCATTGTTTGATGAGTAAGGCCACTACCTTTTAGGAGATCATAGAGGGCCTTGGCAAACCTCATACAATTGTCTTCGCAGCGTGATGGATTGATCTTAGGACCAGATTTCCGCCTAATAGCGCTGATAGTAGACACCTGCAGTGGCAGGGGGCCAAAGGGGCTGTATGGGGTAAGTATATTTGGTCCGCCCTGTCGAATGGAGTGCTTTTCCCGGCTTCGAGGTGGTGGTATCCCATTGTCTATGGCATCAACGGAACGGATTAACTGAATCCGAGAATGGGAATTATGCCGGTGAGGATGAAAGCGTTTTGAATCTCGCCAATTTCACAGCTCGACAGAATGGCGTTTTTCTTTTCTTTGATGGTGTACGGGCCTTGCTTTGCTGTAGACTCTCGCGATAAAGATCGAGTGCCGACTTGGGGATGCGTGATCGTTGATGCAAGTTGACCATCTCTGGCAAAAGCTCAGCCTTGTATGAAGTCTAGGAGACATCCACGCAGTATTCAGATTCGGTACCCAAGGCTTAAATCATGCATAGCTTGAAAGTCTCGTTCCGGAGCTGATTCAATCATGGTGCTCTGGCAATCAGCCCGAGCTAGGTGGTATTGGGCACGCTAGAAATTGCATATAGGACCTGACCTAGTACAAGGGTTAGAAGAAGTGGAGGCTAACCTAGATGGATCTCTGTATGCTGATGCTTGTACAAGGTATCTTGCGTACGCTAACAAGCTGCAAGGCGCGAATGACGGCAGTGAGCTCAGCCCTCTGATTTGTAGGGGTGCCGTTCGAAGCGAGGGCGCCGTACGTGTCCCATCCGTTGGCAAGAGTGGGGAAATGAATGCCGTATCCGCCTCGAACGGGCTTGGCCTCATGGTTTTGAGCGGCTTTTCCGTTGGACAAACAGCAGCCATTAGTGAAGATAAGCAGCTCACTGATCTGGACAGGGGGAGGTGGTGAAAGCTGAATCACCCATCCTTTCTCATGGAATTGTTCCGGAATGAAGTACTCCCGTAGAAAATCGCGGCTCAGGACTGCCACGAATTGTGTTTCATATTCTTGGCGGCAGAAGACATGGTCGCAGATCAGGAATCCTGGCGAGAAGAAGTAGCCTTGATGCATGAAGGGGACGCGGCTTAGGCCATCGACCTTGGACTGAGGTGCTGTTTGGTCGTTCAGCCAGGATTGCCCTTGCATCATGCCGAAGGTGCTTGTGAATGCGCAGCGTGATATTCCATTATCCGCCAGTGTGGAAAGTACACCTTTGGTCCTTTCGAAAACCTTCCCGCGGACTTTGGCGTCGTAAAAGGACTTCAGTAGCAGGTTCTTATTCGTGCGGAGGATACAATCACTTTGAAATGTGTTGGAGTACCTGCCTCTGATTTGGGATGAGAGACCTGGATGCCGGATTGCATGTGCAAAGCGGAGATTCCTGGAGGCAGATGGAAGGCGCTCAGTGGCTCGAACTGCGTAGGGGGGGTTTTTTAAGGGTTTTTGTTTTGGTGGGGGGTGTTGGGGGTTGGGGGGGGGGTGGGGGGGGGGGAAAGAAAATTGGGGTACCTGGTCACTTGTACCAGGCAGCAGTCATGAGTGGACCAATTTGAAACAAATTAGAAGCAAGCCCCGTGGCGCTAGACTCCACGAGTTGGGTGATAAATGGTCGTAAATGCCAAGCCTGTCTGAGGCAACCTTTTTCCAAAGACGTTCTTTTGAAGGAGATGATGTCCAGTTACAATTAGTGACATTTGTACTACTACCCGTCCCTCCACCTGCGTACTGCCATCTCTTACTCCACTCCTCAACTTAAAGGTGGTGAAGCCTAGTAGGAATGACTGGTATGGAGGATCCAGAAAGAGTACCTATACACGTAATCACATACACCAATGCGTAACATCATCATTGTTTAGGCTTTGATGTCAAAGTAGGAGACTTATTGTGTTGAAGCTCCTTCCAGTGTAAATCAATATGCTGTTGTAGATCGAGCTACATTCTTGACGAGCCCTGAGCAGATGTGGCCGGAATCATGGTGAAGAAACGAGAGTTGATTGCAGGTAAGTTTCCATCAAGCTGTTACTATAACTCCTGGGATGTTAGAAAACGTCGCTTATGCTTCATGTTGTGGGGGTAGCCGTGTCAAGCCTGCGCCCGAGCTTTCCGATGCTTCGCATCGCCCGGAGAGCATTCCCGCCCGTCTTCAACCTCCCGGACAGCAAAAAGTGAACTCGTCCACATCTCCATCTGAGCGTAGTTCAAAAATGCGAAAAATTTAAATTGAACAGGGTGGGATTCGAACCCACGCTCTTCCGAACTACGGATTTCAAAAGTAAGCACTACATTTGCCTAAACGTAGCGCCATAACCACTCGGCCACCTGTCCATTCGTTATTTCGTCATGAAACAGGAATAATTGTTCCTAAATCAATTTATATTCATTTTTTTTTAAATAATTTCATCTGATCTCAACCCTACCTATTTTAGCGCTCCGAGACATGAGGTAGTCTAAGCTTATCATCTTAGAGTATCGCATGATTTACTGAGGTCGACACGGAAAATCCTGCGGCCTATACAAGTACGAGTACGCCAGGACTCCTGCGTCAAGGTATCGGATAGAATAACATCACGCCTGAGAGATCACCAGGACGATGCGCTTAGATGGCAACCGAGTGTGTAGAGTCAGGTCGTTCTACAATCGTGACTACCGGTTAAAAACATTCAGTTGACGCTACAGCAGGGGAGTTCTGGACGCAAAGGTCTGGGACTAGGGAAGCGTGCGATGCCAAAGCCAAAGAGCTTGTTGGAGGCAGAGTCCTACTTGTGATCGCGCAGGGCAACTGCAGTTACGCCGTTTCTGCTGAACCGAACTTGATTTCGTCATCCAGTTTCGACTTGAGTCTTTGATGCTTAGACCGCAGATTCCTGCTTTGGCGCGGGAAGTATACGGCTTCCTGGCCCCGAACGTCTCATTTCGTGGGCAGTTGGGAGACGATAGCAGAGAACCCCTTTTCGTCTATGCTACGAGCCGGATACAGGATATTAGCCATCTGGACTTCATCCTTACAAATGCAATTCCCAGGAATTAAAACCAGAATCGCGCATGGCGAAAAATGCTTATGACAGACGTAGCACGGTATATTTCACCCTCCCTCTTCCTTTCCCTGTTGGGCGGATTTGGTCTCTTACCACGATACTGATTATGAGTGCCATGAGTCCGAGCTACATCAAAAGGACGCCATAGCGTTACATTATTTAGTGGCTAATTGATTACATTTTCTTGCCCTCTCATGAAGCCCCTCAAGAGGTCGATTCAGACTACCGCGAGAATCTAGCCAAAGTCACATGAAAGAGCTGCAGGTACTATTCCGCTGTCTACCGTCTCGCTTTCATCAGACCGCACAGGAATGTCTTGACTCAATGTAGGCAATTCAGTCTCTTCCAATTGTTTTCTTTCCTCGCGATTTCACGATTGCGTTCTATGGTTGATGAGACGTCGTGTCACTTGACTGGTGCTATTGACTCGGCAGGACCTGAAATTCGCCCTTTCGGCCAGAATCCATATTCTCTGCAAGCTCTTACGGGTACGGTCCATCTCATGACTGGGTGGAGGCGATATGATGATTACGGCACTCTACATGACATCTTTTGCCGCGCGTCCCGAGACGAGGTGGGAGACTTATCTGCAGAGACGATGGAGACAATCAAGAGTGCGAATGTCAAGGGCTTATTGCTGTCTCGTGGGTTCACGAGCCTGCTTGCGAACAAGCCGCAGGTCACATCTATCCGTGACGATGTAACAGGACTTTCCAATATGCTATCTCTGGATGGAATCCTCGTCAATCCGGGCACAAGGTTTGATGACCCTGACTGTTTAAAAGGGAAAAGGTCTCAGGCACGGACAAGAACACAAATAGAACATGATGTTGAAGGGTTGAGATGCCAATTACTGGTAGAGACTAAGACAATTCATCTTCTGCTACAGCAAAACACAGACTTTCTCTTGCCCCGTCCTTTGGGAAGGCGAAAGCATAAAAGTATCAGAGAACGCCAGCATCGATGAGACCTCTCTTAAGGTCACGAATATCTCCTAGTCTGGGTAAAGGTTTTCTAGCGTTGAAAATCTTGTGATTGCCCGAAGTCATTCGAGCGTGCGTCTCATTTGACGCGCACACACGCGGCTGCCCATCCCTAGCTTCGAATCTTCACCCGGTACTCCGGGTTGGTGAGCAGCGGCGCACGGCTGCGGCATCCAGCATGGCAGTGCCTTGGTTTGGTCCATGTTTTCGATGAGACCCTGGAGACCGAGAAGATTCGCAGGGCGGTTTGTGACAAAATATTCGGCGAAGTCAATAAAGAACTCCTTGCTAATGCTTGATAGGTCAGGCATTGGTCCGTCCTTGTACTCGTAGGCGATGAATCCAGCACTGGTGATGACGAGAATATGTCCATGCACAGTGCTAAGATCAACAGCATCGATTTCTGTCAATTTGGTCCATCGGCCGCATGAATCTTCTAAATTGCTTCCCTGCATGATAGTATTTTCCGGTACCTTGAAATGGCCATCGATCAAAAAGTCGTGACCTCGTATGTAGATATAGGTTTTAATCAATCTCTCTAGAGTAGTCGGTATCAGTGAAGACCCAGGGATGAGGTAGAAGCGCGATGTTGGCCGATTCCCGTCCCACTAATACCCTGAAGATGCGTTTGACAAAGGTCCATACCCACAGACCTACTCCATGACGTCTTGAAAGATTTCGTTCTTGCAATGCACGCAGCACACCAACGACATTTGCCACAGAAGTATGACTGAATAGTCGAGCACGAGCGGCAGAAGGCTTTCGGATGCGATTCATCTCCGGCAATATCTAAAACGGTGCCAGGCTTGAATCTTTTATCTCTGACACCGCAGTCAATGCAGAAACGTCCACTAGAGTACGCGCCGTTTCTGCTCTTCTTCGCGCCAAGCTGAGAAACGGTGAAAGCAATTTTCGGTTTCACGCGAAGGCATGAGAAGCAGGCATAGTTTTCGCGATGCCGCGGGCGGAGTTCGACCTGATGGAGGTATTGCTTGACTTTGAGAGGGTCGAGTCTGTAGAGAGAGATATGCGTATGGAAATATCGATTGGTTTGCTTCAAGGCAATAGCGGCTGACGGATGTAGGTTGAGCACGATGTGGTGCTGGAGCTCTGTAGGCAAAGTATAAAGATTGAGATTACTACCCATAGCTGCTGCAAACACCAGAAACGCTGTTCAAATAAAACGACCTAGAGCGGGATTTGAAGTACAACATAACGACACAATTTCGGTGTGAGTGATATATCGGCAGGGTGTGGTTATAGTATCTACTTGAAAAATAGTGGCCTTGTTGCCATATCAAACGCGTTTCTTACCTGACACCGCGTAGGACGGCGGTCTCTAGAAATTTCCTTAGAGCTTCATGATGGTTCAACGAAGGAAGCAGCTTAAGCCAAGCGGCCCAGAGAGGGATAGGCCAGAAGCTAACCTGTTCCTACGGAGCTGTCCTGATACAAAATCGCCATTGGTAGCTTTGCCAGCGGAAATTCATGGTATCATAACGAGCCTTGTAATTACACCACTAAGCAATGCCATCCAAACGTACGGAGGCTATGATGCTAATAGTATTGTTCTAGCTCGTTCAACCCCGAGACCTCAATCATCTTTGTTGTACGTGCAAGACCTTGAGTGCCGTTGTCCTCCCTACACTCTACCACACCATCGAATTGAAGGTTCCGCAGCAATGGAGTCGGCTCCCTTCGCTAGAGAACCTTCTCGCATCTTCATCGGAAGGCCTCAAGTATACCAGATCTCTGAGGATTGTTCCGAGACAGTACCGTCAAGACGTCGTCGAGAATGAGCACGAGTTCGGAGACGAAGAGGAATCTGTAGCAGAGACCGAAGTGGACGATGCAGAAGAGGAGGAAGACGGAGAGGAAGACGATGGGTTATTCAGAGTCTATCGTCCACGCACTTCAGCTTCCAATGCTCTGAATGCCTTCATCCGCGTGCTTATAGCAAAACTTCCACCGCAGCAGCTCCACACGTTCTGGTATGTATTCCCCCCTCTTGGCATGCAATCTTCTGCACTAGCCTGACTCTTGGGCTCGTGCGCTTTAGGTGGGAACACGATTGTCCACTCAACACCCTTACTTTTTCGATCGTGCTCAAGCACCAAGCGACCTCACTCCGCACCCTCAACCTCAGAGATTATACCGGTAATTGGAGGAAAGCGGACCTAGCAAAATTGACGATGGGGGGCTTAACAACTCTCGGTATCGATGAATTGGGAAGGGGTGATTCATGGGCAATAGAGTTGCTAGCGAGGAATTACCAAGAATTGCGCAAATTGCGACTCGGCAGCGAAATGGATCTTGTCACAGAATATGCAGAGGATGGATGTTTGGATTCTAACGAGGACGGCCGCTTCCAACTCACCGAGAATTTTGCAGAGCTCCTGAAAGACAAAGTCGCGGCTTTGAATGGACCCTCCACTCCTGTTGTACGGCTTGATTCCCTGTCGCTGGTTGGGCTCAATCTCTTTTATTTCGCCAAAGGCTGGATCGAGCCTGTCAATGACTTCACCAGTTTGAGCATGCTGACACTCGAATCATGCGCTTGTGTGGAGGCAGCTTTTCCTTTGCTCATGGCGGTAGAGGCTGGTAGACGTAAAGCGAAGAGCGCTCTTCGGCTCCATACTTTTGCAATACGACACGAAAACACCAGCGATGAATTCTTGCAGGGACTAGAAAGCTTCCTGCTCTCATTGAAGCCACTCACTAATCTTCATGTACTCTTGGAAGGTTGTTATGAAAGGGATATCGAAATGGGTAAAGTACTGAAACTTCACGGGAAATGCTTACGATCTCTTGTATGGCAACAAAGGACGAGGCCAAGGAGTAATATGCTCGCGGACACTTCACTCTTTCCAGACGACTACGAGGAATTGAAGCTTGTCGCAAAATATTGCACTGGGCTCAAAGCCTTGGGAATCTCGCTTGATTGGGCAGATATTGCAAGGTCCGAAGATAGCCATGAAGAGGTAAAAGCAGTAGCGGCTCTGGGTTATGCATCCATTTTTATGCTAATCTCACAAAGATTGCTTCTTCATTCTCTCAATTGAGTCAGCTTCAGACTTTGAATATACGAAATCTACCAGCGGCATCGACATCTAGAACCTGGCTTCCCACTGATTACATGATGGAAGGCCTAGCCACAATGCTCCTCAATATCGTCACCAATAAGACGCGAATCGAGCAAGGACCAGTACTGAAAACCCTAGCCATTGGCGCATCAACGTATGGGAGTGTCAGGGGGGCCATGAGCCATTATTCTCCAAACAGTAACTCAACATTCCTTCAACTTCGCATCTACCACGTAAACTACGACTGCCGATACCGAGATCTTATCTCTCCGAAGTTGCACCTGATAGCAAGGGGGACGGCCGCTGATGCATGGGGTAACGCCGAGAATCTCGACATATTCGCGCTGTATTGGCTTGACGGCGCTCCGCAAGACCGCCAGACGCGTTTTTGACACGAGTATGTCTAGTCTGTGCTTCAATATGAGAGTGTGGAAACTTAGCTTAGAACAGACACTCAATAAAGAGGCGTCCTAGAAAAAATCTAATCACGTGTTTGCAGTTCTCTCATGTGATAGGAGGTCCTCTTTAGGTCCATGAATCTCTGCGACTCCTACATCCCCACATTTTCCATGACAACAGTCGTCCCATTCTTTACATTCTTCACTTAGTCATAAGCATCACATTGACAGCGACCACCCTTTAATATCTAGACCTCTTACACCCGCAAACCCCCTCCTTTTTCCAACGACGTGCGCTAATGCCTACAATGAGCATCTTCCTTTTCCTCTCGTTCAGCAAGTCTCATTAACGTTCCCAGTCCCGGTGACTCGACACATCCACCCGATACACCTATGTAGATCTGACCTCACATCTTCTCAAGTCCTTTCATGGTCTGATTAGAAAACGATCGAGCTAATTCAGGTAGCTCTCGAGCCCTGTACACCTCTTCTGCTGTGTGACAAGATCACACGGCATTCCGGTGCCCTGCGGTGCTGTATGTACGATGTCTTCTCAAGTCTCTGTTCTCTGTTCAATCCATTTCTTCATCGGTACGCATGGAATGAGACAATGCTAGCTGCCACGTCCGCGCCCTCAATATTCAACTTCTATTCACACACCACATGATAAACTCATACGACCTGTTTGTCATCAATCCCCACGGCTTCAGGTCAAAGATATACCCTATCATCAGGGCCCTGACACCCAAAAGTTGCAACGTCAAGAGCATTTTGGGGATTGGAACGCTTTGTATTCACCAGAAACCTTGACGCATGCGGTTTGGTTTCTTCAGCAGAGTTTTGGAAGAAGCCGTCTGTCTGAGTCTCGTGAGGGCGATTGGGAGGAAGATTGGTAACGAGATAATTGCGGCAGATGCTACAAATGCTGGGGATGGAGTCACGCACACATGATAAACTCGTGATACGATGAGTTTTAATGCTCTGGGCCCAAATGCGAACCACTTGGAGTTGAAGAAAGAATTAAAAAAGAGCGGGGGAGAGTTTGGGGGGGAGGGTTGCTTTAAAATATCTGCATATTTTACACTCACCTGCTTGTTTGGGGGTTTGATAGGTCTCCATGATTCGACATAAGAGAGGTGTGCCGTGGGACTTGGGTAGTTTGACCGCCAAATCTCCCTTTATTCGTGATTTTGGTCCTTGTTCTTACACAGGCGCGGTCACAACGACTGGACGACAGTGATCCAGCCAAGTCTTCGTGCTGTGAGCAGAGCCACGCACAGCATGCCGACTCCTGACTTCCTGCCCCAATCCCAAACCCCTCCTCCCACCTTTTTCCTCCTAGCGTACGTAGACGCATCATCCCAGATCTAAAAGATTCGATCGGTCTTTCAGACTCCAAGAGGTTCGATAGCCGGGCGCAAGACAGCGATGGAAGGTGTATGTATAGCTAGTAAGAAGTAATGACGATATGATCCGTCGGTGCGCTCAAAGTCTGCTTATCCGCCAACGGGACCAGTTCCGCCTGTACCGAATTCGGGGGCCAGGTCACATCCGTAGCGCTCCCGGAGCCCATGTACGCCTTGAAGCCAGCTGTAGCCTGGAAGAACATGACAACGTCTGGAGCACCATATGGGAAGGCCTCTACACCCATGTTGATATGAACCAGGGATCCGTTTTTGCCTTGTCTCAGATACTGTGGGGATTTGAGTAATTGTCTCTTGATTGGATAACTGAGAGTTTTCCATGCCGAGTTTGCCTTCCCAAGGGAGTCTTTCTCTCCTGAGAGATCGCTACTATTGGCGGGGCCGCAGGTACCGTCGGATATGCCGTATTGGTAGCTGACGTCGTACCACGCCATGCTTTGGTTCAAGAGGTTTATCTCATTGCGGGCGCCCCTAAAGGTGTTGTTTTTTAGCCAGGCTGTTACGGCGCCGTTGAAGTGTTCGCCATCAAAGCCTGTTGCTTTAAAGTCCTTGGTCTGGCCGGAGTTGAGCCAGAAGCCTCGATCTATGCCGCAGATTGTTTCGTTGGGAAAGGTGCCCGTTCCGTTGGAATATTCCACCATGTAGCAGATGTTTTCTTTGGAGATGTTTTGAATGCGAATGAGGGGCATTGGAGCGCAGAATGAGATGAGGATGGCGGCCAGCGTCAGAGTCTTTTGTAGGAAGAGCATCGTCCGTGGTGGATGTGTATTTGAATAAGCGACGTTCTCATAGAAATGGTGTCTGTGTACGGTGGACGTGTAGTGCCTCAATTATGAGCTGCGGAGATATGGGTTAGAGCAAGTGAAAGCTTTGTAAGTGATATGGGGAGAGAGAGATTTTGAATAAAAGAAGAAGGGAGAAAGCTGTCTTATATACCAACAGAAGAAGAGCGAAGATTATGAGAATTGTTCGAGATTGAAACAACGCCAAGCAGTGCATGGCCAAACATACAACTTGATACAGAGAGACTGGTTTCTGTGTTTAAAGCTAGGGTGCTCATCAAGTCCTGTATGTGACATACATTTAACGAGACGTAGACTTAAAGGAGAAACTTCTTTCGACCATTTTGCTTGGTGGACGCTGAGTCCCACTCAGCACACTGCAAGGTTTAGGACTTGATACACAGGATTCAGTTTCCATCTGCGAGGCAGCACAGTGGGTTCTTCATTGGGCACCGTGTGTGACATCGAAGCCCGCGACTCAGATGGAAGAAAGAACCAGGTTCTTCGAGCAGCATCTCTTGTGCTGCACGGAAGTCCACTCAGCACAGTGCTAAAAGTGTGACTTGATACACAAAGACTATTTTCTGTATGGGAGAAAGGCAGCACATGAGGTTCGTAGTCAGACATTATACATGAGATCGACCCCTGGGCCGCAGATGTGCAAGAGAAATCCTCTTCAGGGCAGCTTTTTCTTTTTGCGAAGCAGCAGACCTTCACAGCGATCCTATCATTCTAATGACAGAGTCACAGAAAACTCAAGACTTTCTCTTTCAAACAGACTTGTTTCATTGCTCGTTTTCAGATGGTGTCTGAGGACGGAAGATGAAACAAAGCAGTCGAATGCTTCCAGCGGGGTCTCTTGCCATGTGCACTTGAATGGGCTATTGCTCTGTGAACCGGCAGTATAAAAGCGAGAGAGTCCTCCGATCCGGACATCTGTCAACGTTTCGAAAGTGTTTTTTGAGAGTTCTGTTTTGCTCGAAACGAAGCTAGTGAAGTCGAAACGGTTCCATCCACCATCTCCCAAAAAGTGCAGGCATAGGCAGTGCTTACATGTAGGGCTGTTTCAATGGCAGGGCCTCTGGACTTTCGAAGGCATTGAAAGGGTTCGAACTGATAAATCCGTCTCTCCATACCTGTTGTGGTTATTGTGTGAGATCCCGGGAAGAAGACTCATGATGCTGTCGAGAGCGCAGCCTTTTGGGAGGCGGAGCTCTCGCAACCCTATCTTCGGCAGACTTCATCAAAGCAGAAAGTAGACAATGTTATGATTCCCAACCATTGGCTGTTCAGTCTTGGTTTCGTAAGAGCGACTCGGATCTGGAGAAAGGCTGCAAGACTACATGAGAGCAGGGGGACCGGGGCATGAGCAGCATAATTCATCAGTCTCGAGTGTTGCAAGTTTAAGACTATATCTTCGGAAGTGTCACGCATTTTCGGCGGTAATTTCTGATTTGGAAGATGACGAAAGATGTTCGCCTTGGACGACCGCTTTGTAGCGCCAACTTTGTTCCCTCCTCCACAAACATGGCGGACATCGACGAAGACTCTACAATCAGAGCGACCCCAGACCCCACATACACAGACCTCTCCGACGAGACGCAAGACTTCCGCTTCCTATCCACCCTCTCCCAGTAAAACTCCTCCCGCACCTCCCCACTTTCCCCACCTCCAGCTCACATCTCTCCAGACCGACAGACCACCCCACCCTCCCCCGCCGCGGCGAGAAAGACTTCGAACACCACGGCACCCTCTCCCAAACCGACACCCTCGTCGCTTCCCGCAATGCCATGCACGACGCCCTCTCCGTTTCCCGCACCCACAATCCGAAAAGCCTCATCGTCGGCCTCTACGATCCGAGCGATGACTCGACGACCATCGAGCAACCGAAAGGCCCGAATCTCAGGACGATGGGGAAGGCGGATTCGCGGGGCAGGTTGAGCTTGTTGCCGGAGGAGACGCTGTACTTGGTTGAGAGGGGGAGTCTGGATTTGAGATGGCGGGGTGAAGAGCTGGAGGGGCTGCCGTTGAGTTTGCAGGCGGCGTACGCGTATCTACTTGGGAAGCGGGGGTTGACGTTGGAGCGGTACACGGTCTATGCGGGTTTGAAGAGGAGTGGATATGTTGTGCAGAGGGGACCGGCTTGGTATCCCGAAGACTACGACGGAGACTTTATCCCGCCGAGGGAGTTGGAAAAGCCGAAGCCACTGGGGCTGTTTGCACACTTCTACAAATCCCTCTTCGACAAGCCACTCCCGGATGCAGCTCCTTCGGGACCACTCGTCACACCGGGCTTCTACCGCAGCTACGATTCCATCTACCGGCTCATGACTCTCATACCTGCCCACGATCCGGCCGAGCCTACAGACCGTGAATCCCTCCGCTCTTCAGCCTCGATGGGCCATCCGACATCTCCTACGCACTCCCGCATCCGCCCTGCCTTCTACGTCTGGAAACCCACTTCCGAGTTCAAGAAGTCTGCCCCTCCGCCTCCTGACTTTCGGATCGCCGTCATCAATGCTCGCGAGGAGAGTTTCCCGGTCCTGGAACAGCTGGACGACTTGCTGCAGAGTGTACCTTACGACCCACCACCACCGGGTAGTGAGGGGCAGACGTATAGGCGTGTGAAGCATGGATGGCGGAATGTGCTATTAGCCGTTGTAGACCAGGGGGTTGTGAGTTATATGAGGATTGCGGATGCAGGGTTTGGGAAAGAGAAGGTTTATGAGACTAGAGGCAGGGGGCGTGGTGGGAAGAGAGGAGGATTCCATGGAAGGGGAAGGGGAGGCGGGAGGGGCAGAGGCAAGGGAAAATGAGCAGGAGTGGGGAAATTGTGCTCCGCAGTTCATCAGAAGACTTCTTGGGGAAGATAGAGAAGAGTTTGAATGAAGAGTGGAGAGTTGATATACCATCGTCTATAGACGTTCGGCCCATGGGGAAGGAGGGGACGAACGCATATGCTCAGATGGGTAGTAGTCACGAAGCAGATGAAGCTCGGCTCGACCCTGGAGAAAGCTGCTTCATGCTCATGATTCAATGACTCCGTGACCTGGGTATAATGAGTGATCGATCGACCCTCTCGACCTTTACCAAATCTTCTCCCCTGTCACCTCTTTCCGCCTCTCCCTCTTCACAATTCCTCCATCACGGGACCAAGACTTTCCATCTCGACACTAGACATGCAAATAATCCGCCGCCATCAACAGCTCCAAGCACAACTCCGGCGGTATCTCCATGTCCGGCACGTCCTTCTCGTCCTTGTGCTTCAGATTGTAGTACAGATACTCGCAGACCTTTTCGAGCACGACGCCGCTGTTCCAAAGACGCGTAAGCCGGGCTAGAGTCCTCGTAGGCGAAACCCGTAGAAGATCAAGTGGCGGAGACTGGAGGGGGGGGGACGTACTTGATCGTGCCCAGCGTGCACCGGCCCGAGATTGACTCGGCGAAGGAACCTGCGCCCACATAGACATCGTCAGTATAGATAGCCGCGTTCGCGGGGATAGAGTGGGCGTGGGCGGGCCGTGGAGCGGGGAGACCGGAGTGTGGAGTGGGCGCGCACTGTGCGGATCCAACATCTTCTTGACGGTCCCGGCGACGCAGGCGGCGTCGCGGCTGACGATGAATTCGAAGCCGTCGTTGGATATCAGCGTCACGTAGGGCGAGGAGGAGGCGGCCATGTTGGGGTTCGAAGAAGAGGGAGAAGAAGAAGAAGAGGGGACGGTGGGAGGATGTTCTTCGCGTCTTGGAATCTGGGGGAGCCGTGCTGACGGAACCGAGGTACTGCCGCTGGCCCTGGGTGCCAAGGCGCTAAGGGGCCGTTATCTGTTATTCTTGCCGATACATAAGTCAAGTACATGGTGGCTTTCTCCTAAATGCTTTCTGAGGAGCGCGGAACGATTTTGCGAGGCGTGAATGTTTTCGTTCGAGCTCTAAGATTTCTGTAGTCATTGCAGTGGAATCAATATAGACGGCGTCAATGTAAAACCGAATGCCACATTGGACATTGTCGCTTCCACCAGGCTGTGAAACGGTCAGGAGAATCTCTTGTAGCTTGGGCTGGACTGGTGGCTGATCCCGGTCTATGTCCGTAACAGCAAAGGAGATCATCAGATAGGCTGTTGCGGTGTAGCTTTTGTTTCATTCCTTCACGTTGCTTCAGTCGCCTTTTTTGCTGCATCAGAGCCACTTTTTCATTTTCTGCAGTGGGAGGTATAGTCGCGGTTGCAGAGCATGTCTACACCTGACGAGAATGAGATATCTATATGCTTAGAGGCCCTGTGAATTGGCATCTGGTGGAAGGGACAACAACAGCACCGGGCACTGTTCATAGCCCATCTCTAATAGTCTTAGGCCATGCGGAGTCAAAGCAAGAACGCCTCGTCTGATATTTGGTCGAAGACTTGGTATGCATGATGTTGGAAAGCAATGACGCCAATCTCCAGTCAGGTATGAGACCACGAGAAACGCAGCAGCGTATAGCGCCTGTAGCAAGGACGACTTGAAAAAGTAGTCATCATGAGTTCTTTTGACCCTTGATCAGACTCGCAAAGGTAACTCTGCAAATACTCCGCCCACTCCATTATCCTGGAGACATTTCTGGTGCTTCTGAAATCTTTCAGCCTCCCCAAACCGGGGACCTTCGATAACGTTTCTACCAAAATCCCACGTAAGCCCAACGCCGATAGCATTGGTGGCATCATGCATGACACAAATTCATGCGGGTTGTGCTTGATTGCCTTACCACTTACTTTCGCCTATCTTTAGCGACGCTGGCCTCCAGATTTATAAGAAAACCTAAGGTAACCGTGCTTGGCAAAAGAAGCGAGAGAAGCCGCTTTCCCCGATTCTTCCGATAAGATGTTTATCCGAAAGAGCATTGCTGCATGGCAATTACATGCGTCTGCATCTATGCCAAGCGTTGGAACTCCGTCAAGGGATACTCCCTCTAAGGGTTGTTACTGAGTAACACCGAGCAGTGCCCAGTGTGCGGTATAGATATCTGGGACTGTCTCAAGGAAAGCAGTCGAGATAATATCCTTCGATGCATCTCAACATGCACCGAAGTGCTGTACTTATAGGACTGGCTCATGAGCAGAAGGGTCTCACTCTCGATTTCAGCCTTGAGCGTACTTCACAGAAGTGTGTTCGTTGGTGAGGCTATAACCATGCATACCTCTAGCGATGATCTGCCGCATGTTCTCCGGAACTAGCATAATCTTACCCAACTCACGACGCACCTCGCATGATCGTGCATGCAAAGTAGCCTAGCCGCGGTCAGCTGTAAGAAACTGGTTGAGTGAAATGGCGCAGCAAGAAGAGAGAACGCCTCGAGCCTTTCATTCCCATTTCCTGGGAATATGTGTGATCTGTCGTACATCTTAAGCTTCCCTTCGGCGCGTACTTGTATCTCATTACACATCTTACCAGCGTTTGTTGGGGCAGTATAAAACAGGATGGCTTCGGTTGTACTTCCTTTGTGTCTTGTTGCCCTTGCAAACGTGGTTCTGGGCCAGGACTCGACGCCATCGCCGGCATCAGCGGCGCCGAGTATTTTGACAGCTTCTGGCTCCTCGTATGCAACACACATTGTGACTGTGGGAAAGGTATGCATGCTCCGGGTCTGCAAATGAGAATTTGGAGAACGCTGATAGTGCTGTTACTTCTAGGCGCTGAACCAATTTGACCCTGACTCATTAATAGCCAATGTGGGAGACGTGATTCGTATGACTGTATGAAAGTAAGAGTGGTAGCTGCTGCTTATGCCAGATTCGCAGAATTCGAATTCTTCCCACCAAACCACTCCGTTGGTCGCGCGGAGTACCAACAGCCCTGCATACCGTATGAAGATACCGGGGAGAACAAAGTCGGATTCTGGTCGGGATTTTTCCCGCTTGATAAGATCCTTCCTAACGTCAGTGATACTCCGAGTGGCTATATTGCCTTGCTAAATCCGCTCAACAGCCGCCAACATGGAATCTGACCATCAACGACACTGAGCCCATCTTTCTTTATTGCGCAGCTCCTGGTTCATGCATCAACTATCAGATGGTTGGGGTTATCAATCCTGTAGGCTGATTCCGCCCAAACCTCGATATATGGGTGTGTTGACGATCAGCAGAACGACTCAGTATCGCTGGCCACGCAAAAGCAAGATGCGGCTAATGCGCAGTACATGCTAGCACCTGGAGAACCTTTCCCGTCAGAAGCGGGGGTGCCCTCGGGTGATGTCAACCCGGGAATCAATGCGAATGGTTCGACCTCTCAGCCGGCATCTACGCAGGCAACGTCTTCTACCGCTTATGCCTCGCACACGCCCGAGGCGTCTTCTCACAAATTATCGACTGGCGCCATTGTGGGTATTGTAATTGGGGGGATCGCAGTGGCGGTCCTAATCGGAGCCCTATTCTTCCTTCTTGGACGCCAAAAGACCATGCTCCAATTCATGAGGCGGAATCAGTACCAGGCACCCGGGGCACAGAATCCGCCAGGAGACCAGCCTGACATCAGATCGCCGCCGCCCCAGATGACTTCGTTTCCAATTGCTCCAGCAACACCATATTCGGGAACGCCCAACTACCACGAATCTGCTTATGACACCCCTCCATACACAAGGCACGCAGCACAAGATCCTCTGGCCACTCCACAGCCTCCAGTGGCTGAGCTGCCCTCGCCTGCGGAGAAGCACATGCAAGAGTATATCAGCTCCAAGCCTCTGGAGATGGAACAACATTCACAGGAGCCTTACCAGGACAGCAGAGCGCCAACGCCGCAACCGCAGGCAGGGCCAATGAACTTCTGGGGAGGGTCGAGGTCAACGAAGACACAGTATGTTACCGACAGGCTTCGAAAGGTACGCAGTAATGACTAAATGTTAATAGAACGTCTGAATTGTCAGCCGAGTCGCCAAGTGTAGGGAGGAGCCCAAACATGTCCCCAAGCAGGTACCATCCTAATAGATGACAAGAGATCTTACAAGCTGATGTCTTATTTATCATGGAGTCCTGTGGGTTTTGCAAAAGGGACTTGGATAGTGGCTAGGAGGAACATTTCTTCTTGGTCCACATAATAAGTAACAATTTGTGATTGTAAGTGCTGGTCTTGCAAATCTTGCTATCTTTGTGAAGGCTCGGCTTTTTTGACTGGTAGAACATCGAATTCTACCAGTCTGATGCTATCGAGAATACGTAAAGTATGTATTGCGTCCCGTAATCCGCCCGTGAGCTCGGTGGATCGGAATCTTTCGTCTGCGTGGCCCACATGGCGAGTGATGGATTCTTGAGTGATGTAATCAAGTGGTGGCAAAGGACAAGGAGCCAATAAGAGTTGGGAATTGGCATTGTGTCTTCAAGTCACTTCAAGCCTCAAGCCGCCGCCCGGACGGATAGGAGGAGCCGCGGGTTGCCTTGAAATCAAGCTAGGTAGGTAGCTTCTTTATCCAACCAAGCTTCGACGCTTAAAGTGAGTCCTGTTCCCGATAGTTTTAGGACATTTCCGACACTGCGGATCAATTGCATCTTGCGTGGAGCAGTCTGGCCTCCTGCACACCTTCAATTCCTGCCAATTGCGCGCGATGACCGATAGACAGATGGCAGACGCGAACCCCCTGTTTCCTGAAGAAATGCTTGGCCGATCCCAGGTGGCCACGCCATGCCATGCCATGCCATGCTGCACGGCCCACAGGTGAAGGTTGAAACTTGTAATGATGCTTCCCATGCTTCCCGTGCATCATGGTGCGACATGTTCCTTGTCGCCACGAGTTTCTCATGTGCCTGTTGGAAAAAACGGTTTTGTCGTCTCAAGGAAAGTTTCGCGAGCGTCTGCAAGCCATGATGCGTCAATGTTTAGAATTCCAAATCTCTCCGGCAAATAGGACGACACAGTGCGGACACACAGTACCGACAGTCGCAATCCCTATTGAATAAATAGCCAACAAAGAAGAATTTCTGCACTGTTGCAGTAGATTACTGAAAAAGGTGCTGCAGGCAGAAGTGTTAAAGCTTCGTGAATGGTCCCTATGGTGTATGTTGTATGTTGTATGTTGTATGTTATCATATGGTAAAGATGATACATGATCAAAAGCCGGGTACTGAAGAACACTTTGTTGAATTTAAAGTACCTAGTGGGCGAGGGGGTGTCCAAAGAGTCTAAGGGACTTAACCATCTGTACGGTGTACCTCTCGTGGATTCAGAAGGGAGAAAAAAAAAAGGGGAGAAAATCAAGGACTGGTGGAAATACCTATTAGGTACCTTATTTCTGGAATCTGTAGACTTTACTTAGAGTAAACCCCCGTAACGCTGCTGACGCCTGGTGACGCTAAGGGGAGGTGATCCCGTTAATGGGTCCCCCCCTAGATCCCTTAGGTCCCCTATCCCCAATAATTCCCAAAAAACACTCCGCTTGCAAAAGTGAAAGTTTGAAACGACAAGTATCGTCACTACCTGACATCTTGCTTCACCCTTTACCATCTTCTTCACTTCGCCATATCACTGTATCACTATTTGCTCGCGGAAAAAGAACAAAGGGACTCCAAATCATAGCTTCCACCACTTCGCGACACCTGCACCCTTTCTTTGATGACTCGGGATCGGCCGCATTTGCAGCAAACCAATCATCTCCATCCTCCTAACCCACCCACACGGACAAAAGCACACAAACATGCGAGATTGTGCTGCATCAAAACCAACCCGGTTGCGATATTGTTGAACATATTGCTGTCGCCCTTCGCGCCCAAACGGGCGTCACAGGAGGAATGGCCAGCTCACCGCCTTCTTCGCCCTCTCCGGCACGCCCAATGAGCGGAGTCTTCCAGGCAGCCCGGAGCCAGAGCCGGATGAGTTACAGCAGCAAACAGGGTGGAGGCAGCAGAAATTCAGACGAGGATGGGAGACCAGCCGTCTCGGTCAAAGTCGGTATGCAGCGATGGATGACGGTAGGAGTGGTAGACCAAGCAGTGCTGACTTGGTATTGTCGTAGCTGTACGAATCCGTCCACCGCTGCGACCGAATGATCCAGGCTTCGAACTCATCCCTCAGCGCTTCCAGAGATCCATGGTTCACGACACCTCACCGAGCAGCCTAGCCATCGAGTCACCACATGGGCAAAAACTCTTCCTGTTCGATAGGGTATTCGGAGAGGATGTCTATCAAGAGGGCGTTTGGCAATACGTGAATGAAAGCGTCGAGGCCTTCGTGCAGGGTTACAACGTGTCTGTCCTTGCCTACGGACAGTCCGGTTCCGGAAAGTCTTACACGATGGGGACATCTGGCCCTGCTGAGCAGAGTGATCCTCGACTCATGGGTAGGTGATACCAATGTGGCGACAAACATCACGAGATGCGGATTCGGCCAATCTTTCCTCAATGGTGCTCGGCTAATGCACGATTTGCTAGGTGTGATTCCCCGAGCCGCCAGCGCGCTGTTCGAAAAGCTTGCAGGGCCACCGACACTGCGAAGAAGCGGATCTTCTGGTCTTCGCACACCTACCCGCTATTCAATGCACTCGACCGTGGGGCTGGCAGCAATGGCAAAGGCTCAGGCACAGGCAAGCGAAGACAAGAACTGGCAGATGAAAGCTACATATGTTGAGGTTGGTTTTCGCAACTCCTGGTGAATCTAGCACTACTCAGAGGCTTTTTAGATATACAACGAGCAACTGCGAGACCTGCTAGTACCAGAATCCGTACCTCTGGCCGAACGGACGACTGTGGCGATCCGGGAGGACGTAAAAGGTCGCATTCTCCTGACCGGGCTCCGTCAGGTCAACATAAAGTCCATCGAAGATCTCCTGGCAGCTCTAAATCTGGGATCTTCGATTCGGCAGACGGACTCGACCGCTCTCAACGCCAAATCATCTCGCTCCCATGCAGTGTTTAGCATTAATCTTGTTCAGCGAAAGAACAAGGCGCACACCCCCAAAAAAGACAAGAGGCTCTCCATGCCAATAGAAGCCATGACAGGGGCGGAAGATTGGGTTACGATTGACAGCAAGCTACATTTCGTCGATCTGGCCGGGAGTGAAAGATTGAAGAACACCGGTGCTTCAGGAGACCGTGCAAGAGAAGGGATTTCCATTAACGCAGGTCTTGCAAGTTTGGGAAAAGTGATTTCTCAGCTTTCAACCCGACACTCTGGCACCCATATATCATACCGCGACTCCAAGCTTACCCGAGTACTGCAGGATTCTCTTGGTGGTAACGCAATTACATACTTGATCGCCTGCGTGACACCAGCGGAATTCCACTTGAGCGAAACCTTAAACACCGTGCACTACGCACAACGGGCCAGGAACATCCAAAGCAAACCCCAGATTCAGCAAACCTCGGACGAGAGCGAAAAACAAGCTGTCATTGACCGTCTCAGAGCAGAGGTCTCATTCCTTCGTGATCAAATCAGTCATTCTGACCGTCGGATGAGTGCGCCTCATGAGCGAGCCGAGCGGCAGAATGAGAGGGAGTTAGATCTCGAGAACCATCTTCTCGACGTCCAGGAGAATTACACTGCCCTCAGCCATCGACATGCGAAGCTCATCTCGGAGATCACCAAAGCAAGGGACAACGAATCTGGAGAGACGCCGACGCTCACAGAAGCAATTGGAGACTCCGCGGTCGAGAGACTGAAGCGCTCAAATTCATTCGCAGAGGCAGTGGAGCAAGTTGTAATTGAATATGAGAAGACTATCCAAAGCTTGGAGACGTCGCTTTCGAACACCAGATCTTCCTTGGCCACCACGGAGAGTACCTTGCTCGAGAAAGAAAACAAGTGCGCCTATGTTGAAAGTGTGAACCAGCAACTTCAGACTCGACTGCACAAGCTGATGGAGCGGGATGCTAACAATGAGCAATACCTGCACAACCTAGAGGCTAAGCTCGACGGTCAAAGCTCCGGTGACGAAAAGTCTGCAGCACTTGTGATGGAATTGCGTAAAGAAATTGCCCGGATCCGTGAAAACGAGTCTCAATGTGAGGATTACATAGCTACCTTGGAGGAGCGGCTCGCCGAGGCGGACCAAGACATGGAGCTCAAGCAGCGTGAGTTGGATCGACTTGAACATGTCATTGAACGCCAGAGGAGCCTTGGGAAGCTAGATAACCTGCTGTACGAGTTTGATCATCTTCACACTAACGGTAACTCGAATGAAAATCAGGCTCCAAGCAAACCTCTGACCAACGGCGTGGCAAAGTCAGCCGCAATGTTCACTCTTCAAGAAGCGGCAAACATCGCAATCCCAGAATCAGACGACGAGGAGGAGACTGGGTTCTCCCTGAGGAAGCAAAGCTCGCAGCTACCAAATGGATTTCAGGCAACCCGGACCGTTAGCACGGCAAGAGCCAGTCCCGCTTCTCATTTAGATACGGAGCACCAAGGTCTTGCGCAAGCCAGGTCCAACGTCGTAGCAGACAAGCTCCAAGATGTCACCCAAGAGCTCTTCGATCTTCGGATTCAGCATGAGTCAACCGTGAGCGACTTCGAGATGATATCTGCAAAGTACGATGAAGCATTACGTACACTCGCAGAAATGCAAGATGCCGTCGATGAAGCTCGTCACCCGGCTGCAGCAGAATCTGTCGCATCCCCAATATCTACACGACCGACATCTTTTTTAGGAGACGCGAGGGTGAATGGGCTAAAAGATGGGGGACAACTACCATCCTCGCGGTCACTGTCATCGGAATTGTCCTTAGCTGGGGATTCAAGCACTTCCGTGGAGCCGTCAGCGGACGGCAGTCCCCTCAGGAAGATTACTCCTGGGGGTTGGAGCCGAATCTCACCTCGTGAAGAGTCTTTGATGCAAGAAGTGGACGAATTGAAGAGGGCCCACGTTGAGAAAGATGAAGGCTTAAAAACCTTGCACGGCAGATACTCCGAATTGCAAGAGCTACATGTCGAAACGCTGGACGTCGTTGAAGAACTCAAGGCAGAAGTTCAGAAAGCAAAGATGAACAACCCACAATCGCCGACCTCGTCTGTGATTAGGCGAAAATCCAGCCAAAACGTCATGACGATAGACCGTGCTCACCGTTCGTTCGCATCGCTCAGAAACATCGCCGCTGACAACCTTGACGACAAGCCTGATACGATGCAGAGCTTTGAGATCAATCTTAATACAGCAATGCATGAGCTCCATCAACGGTCAGAACGGGTACAGCTTCTCGAAGCCGAGCTAGCAACTCTGAAAAGGGAAATGGATGCAAAGGCGACGATGATATCTGGCCTCACACGAGAGCGCACTAGCATGAAGACATCGTCACCCATCGACATGTCCGTTGTATCTACCTTACACGAACAGTTGTTGCAGAACGATACTCAGATGAGGATGCTGCAGGAAAGACATTCGAATCGAGAGCAGGACTTGGTCGGCGAAATCGAGTCACTAACGAGGTCCTTGGAACACGCCGAATCGGCCAAATCAGCCATGCCAGGATATTTCCCCGAGACTCCAGCTACGACTATCGAGTCGAATGACAAGCAGCTTGGCCACAACATGCAGCCACCGCAAGACGTCGCGAGACTGCAGGACGAGGTCTCCCAGTGGCAGCAGAAGCACAGAACAGCCGTCGACTCTATGCAAGCTTCCGAGAAGAGGCTGATATCCACTATCACCGACCTGGAAAGCACCTTGGCCAGTGTCGAGACGATGCGTAAACAAGCTGAGGAGAAGGCTCGGGAGTCCGAATCTATCTCGGCTCATGCGGCAGATGAGAAGACTGACCATGTCCAAATTATCAACACTTTGATCAAAGAGATTGACGGGCAAAAGGCAACCATTGATTCACACGTGGATAGAATTGCAAGACTCGAGGAACTACAAGCAACAGCTCGTGAGCAGGTTGACACGGCAGCACGCTTCAGAAGCGACAACGAAAAGGAACTTGACTCGCATCGTCAACATATTTCGATGCTCGAGCGGCAGGTCGAAGAGCATCAGTCCACTGTTGAATTTCACAAGCATGGTCTGAAATCTTTGCATGACTCACATTCGCGCGAATTGGATGGTTTGCGCTCAAACATCGGGGAGCATGCCGCAGTAAAAGCAGAGTTGGACCGTAATTTCCAAGAAATGCAGGGTGTATATACGGCCCAAGTTACCCGGCTCGAGACAGAAGTTATCGACCTGAGGACTCAGCTAGAAAAGGCTAATAGCAACCTTGCAGACGAGCTTCGGCTGTCAAAAGCAAAGTGTGATGAGATGGACCGACAGCGTAATCAGCTCCAGAAAGAGATCCAGACTCTCAAATCTGAGATCGCAGCAGCCGGGAAGTCGAACGAAACCAACATCGCCGAGCTGGAAACGTTCAAATCCAGGAACGAGAGATTGGAAATCATCAACGATGAATTAGAAGAGCAGATCAAAAACGCCTTCGACCAACAGCAAGCCAGTACCAGTAGGCTGTCTATGTTGACCAACAACCAACCTCAGATCAGCATTCTCGAGAAGCAATTGGAAGCCTCCCAGATCCAAGTGGAGCAGCTACAGGTATGTCGGTCTCCAAACCATCCTCCTTTCCACGTTATTGACTCTAGCAAAGACACAAATGCGGGAACTCCACCAGCAAATGCTCGAACGCTCCCTCTCAAACTCCAACATCCGCAAGAGTGGCTCCGTCGCCACCCTTCCGTCACCCCCACCGGCCATCCCGCTTCCCCCACTACCCAACTCCGTCACTTCCCCCACATCCGCCACCTTCTCCCACCACTCGCCCAGCACTCAGACCGCCGACCTAATCTCCCAACACAATGTCCACCTGGAAGAAAAAGACGCCCATATCAAACAAATGGAAAAGCATCTCTTTGCCGAAAAACAACTCACGGCCACCCTCGAAGAAGCCCTTGTCGATCTCGAGTTCCAAACGAATAAGAGCAAGCTTGACATGGAAGCTTGGAAGAAGAAGACGTGGGCGTTGGAGGATGAGAACAAAGACCTGAAGAAGGAGAGGAGTGGGGCGCGCTATAGCGTCCAGGCGGTGGAGGAGGAGAGGGACAAGAGGAAGGAGGCGGAGAGGGCGAGGGAGAAGTTGGAGGAGAGAATGAGGGCTGTGGAGGGAAAGAGGAAGAAGAAGGGAGGGGGGTTCAATTGCTTCTAGAGCTCTCCTCCTCTCCTCATCCGGCACGGAGACAGATCTTTTGGTGTCCACCTCCCGGGGTCCCCTCGCTTTGCCCGTTACGATTTTCCGACGTCCCGATATCATTTTTTCTTTTCTGTCTTCCTGTCCATACTTTCATCAACGCGCTCGGAAATATACCCCCCCCGCTTTCCGTTTACCTTGTACCTATACTCTCAGTCATCTCGCCCTCCATGGCGCATATCGAGGCCGGTCGGTCATAGATTTTTTCCCCCTTCTTACTGGGCGTTTTTTCGTTCGGAGAGGCTTCTATCTATCTATCTATCTATCTATCCATCTATCCATCTCCAAGGCCGTGCGGACAACATTTCTATCCTTTCCGGGGCGTCAGATGTATGCTTGCTTGCTTGCTTGCTTGCTTCGGTGCTTGCTTGCTTCGGTGCTTCCGACCTCTGATGTCCGAAGCCGATGGCTTGGCTCGTCTCGTTCTCGCTTTCTTGCAGTCTACTTAGAGAGTACATCGGTGGCGTTTTTGGCTGCGTCGCTTCGAGTGAATGAATGAATGGGTGGGGTCGATGCGGGTTGCTTGAGGGATGGATGAGGAGCGTGAGGGGATGGATTGTTCTTCTTCTGCTCGGGGGTCGCTCGACTCGTTTTGATGGGTCTGACGGGGTGAGGATGAATGATTCGGGTGCTGATGGCTTTGTGCAGATGAGAGGGAGGGGTTGGTGCAGGTGGGATGGATGGATGTTAGATGTGGATGGGGCGGATCAAACGATCAATCAATCAGTCAGTCAATCATTTTGTAGAAGAGTGGATGTTGAAAAATGTGGATGTGCAAGACGGAGAGTCAGCTTGTGACTTGATTCCTTCACTCTCTCAGCAAGGTTGTAGCGAAATATGTACACCTGTCCCGACAAGGGTGGACATTAGAAGCAAAAAGTATCGAAGCGAATAAGGCTCTGCCCTCCATAATAATCTCACGAATCCCTCCTGCAAGCACGAGTGATACATAGCCAGATGAAAAATCCTCCTTCTCTCCCTCTCCCAGTTCTCACAAATACATTGCCAAAGGACTGATTAGTCATCCCCTAAATAGCAACCACGTTCCCCTGGTACCTCGACCCGCCGCTCGTGATATCCACGGTACCCGTCTTGTTCAGCGTCTGGCCGTTGATGGGCCGACTAGCGGTCAAAATCTGCTGGCCCATCTTGGCGGGAGAATTGAACGTAATCGCACTCTTGCTAAGGAATGACGGCGCGTCCATGGAGGTGCTATACCCGCCGGAGCTGAGATAAATGGTCGCTGGCTCGGAGAGGAATGGCACGACGTAGACGTTGTCCGCAATACTCGAGGCGTTCTCGGGTAAAGGCCAGGCGTTGTCTAGATAGGTGTCGTTGGTGGGGATGTTGTTGACGGGCTGGGGACGGTAGAAGAAGAAGACGTCTTCTTCGTCTGCGGTGACGGTTACGTTGGTCTCGCCGGCTTTGTATGTGTTGATGAAGAAGGTGGACATCTTGAGGAAAGCGCTGTGGTCGAGGTTGCCGTAATAGTCGGCTTTGCTCGGCAGCATGAGTTCAGCCTCCGGGGTAGTGTCCGCGGGGCCGATGTAGTGAGATTCGCCAAAGTCATTCCAAGAGATGACTTCGATGTAGTCGGGCTTTAGCTTCAACAGCTCTACCCAGCGGTCGATGTAGATGTTGGAGTCTTGCGCGTTCAGCCAATTAGTCTCACTGGCGAGACGCTTGAAGAACCATGGGGCTACGCCTGCCATCCAGGGCTTGCCGCTGGAGTCGCGGGCGTCGGCGAAGGTTTGGTCGACGGCAGCTTCTTCAGAGGCGGAGAGGGCAGGATGGATCCAGGTGAAGAGGCCTGTGCCGCGGTCGGGGAGCGAGGCCTCGTATGCGCCGTCCTGACCGAGGGAGCCGGGGAGGAAGTTGACGCCAATGTTTTGTATGTTTAGCTGGTCGATGACGTTGGTTTGCCAGTTCCAACCTGGGGGGTTGACTTCGAAGGAGCTGAGGAAGATGTTGCCGGCTGCGTCTTTGAGCTGGGCAGGACTGTTGGCGTAGAAGCTTGTGATGTTGACGACCTGGGCTACGTCGTACATGGTGGTGGTGTCGATTGTGAGGAAGAGCTTGAAGCCTAGAGTTGAGGCGGTGTGGTAGAGGATGTCGAGGTTGGTGGCGAAAAGGGCAGCATTGTCCGTGTAGTCAATGGCGAAGGCATCGAAGCCGGCGGCCTTGGCCATGTTGATGTCTGTGCTATAGTCTGGACTTGAGTTTCCGTTCAGACCTGGGGGTGCGAATTGAATCATGTAGTGGGCGAAGACCATGGGGGTGGTCGCTCGCTTGGACAGGTGGGTGTGGGCGTGAGTGTGAGTGTGATGGAGACATGATATTGAGGTTGCGAGGGTGGTGAGGAGGACGGCGTAGACGGCTGCCAATGCTGATGGATACATTGTATGGTAGCCCTTATTGAATCGGATGGAGAGATGTTATGATAGGTACTCGAAGAGTAGCGAGATGCGGGAGCTGAGTTTATGGAACCAAGGAGTGTATTTGTTTCGACCAGCGAGTGGTATCAACTGAAAAGAGCGACTTTTGGTAAGGACCGTGTGTGAAAGACTGAAGAGTCTTGGAAAGAATTGGGGTTAAATATGAAGAAATGAAGGAGAGGTTTGAGAGAGAGAGAAAGAAAGAGAAAGATAAAAGATAAAAAGATAAAAGACAAGGAGTGGGCCTTCACAACCTTGCCGCCATGGAATTGCAGGTGACTGCAGCTGAGAATTGTGAAAGGATGCACAGGAGTGGTTACAAAAATCCCCTTATTGTTTCAAAACGCCCTTCCTTTGTTCTTAGCGCCACCGGTGCCTGCATCTTGGAAATTATTCCCAGATTTCTCATGCAGGGGAAACTGCTCGGTTACCAATCAATTTTCAATCTTAGCCCCCGCCTTGGCACGTCATCGTCCGGGAACCTACTTTACTTTACGTGGCTACCCACGGTACTAAGTAAGATTACCTCGGATGCTTGCTAGTTGCTAATGTACTAAGATAACGAGTATTGAAACTCTAACCTCGATTGCAAGACGAAGCAAAAAAGGTGAAAGCAATTTAACACTTGGCATATCACCCACATACATCCAATGGAACGCAAGGCAAAGAAGCAACAAGACCCGAAAATTCCACCCAACAAAGCAAACAACATCGTCTTCTTCCACCCCGACCTCGGGATTGGTGGTGCCGAACGCCTCGTCATCGATGCAGCAACCGGTCTCCAAAAGCTAGGTCACAAGATCACTATCTTTACATCCTACCGAGACCCCAATCACTGCTTTGACGAAGCTCGAGATGGCACGCTCGACGTTCGCGTGCGTGGAGACTGGCTCATCCCTGCTACAATCCTTGGTCGCTTCAAAATCCTATGTTCTATTCTAAGACAAATTCATCTATTAGTGGCCATCACCTGGAGCGGCGAACTGACCAAGCTGAACCCAACGGCTTTTTTTATAGATCAGTTGTCGGCGGGCATACCCTTCCTGCGATGGTTCTGGGAGGATCAGAAGATTTTGTTCTATTGCCATTTTCCGGATTTGCTGCTGGTGCAGGGGAGGAAGACCTGGTATACAAGGATATGGCGGATAGGATTCGATTGGTGGGAAGGCTGGGGGATAAGAGGGGCTGACAGGGTGATAGTCAATAGTGGCTTTACAAAAGGAGTGGTGGAAAGTATATGGGAGGGTTTGGGTGGTGAGAGAGGCGTTGGGGTTATCTACCCTTGCGTTGATACCAAAGGAAATGAAAAGGTCGAAGGAGACAGCAAGCCGCTATGGAAAGACAAGAAGGTGCTGTTAAGTATCAATCGATTCGAGCGAAAGAAAGATGTCGGTCTCGCAATCAAAGCATTCGCCGGCCTGGAACCAAAGGATCGAGAAGGTGTAAGGTTGGTCATTGCAGGTATGTCCAACATCTCATATGATTCCTCCCCTTTGCGTGACTGTATCTCAATCTATACCAGGAGGCTACGATCCCCAAGTTCGCGAAAACGTCCTCTACCACCACTCCCTCGAAACCCTCGCCACCTCCCTCTCCCTCACCCACGCCACCACCAAAACCCTCGTCTCCGCCCTCTCCATCCCCCCTTCCATCTCCATCCTCTTCCTCCTCTCCGTCCCTTCCTCTTTAAAATCCTCCCTCCTAAACTCCGCTCGTCTCCTCATTTACACCCCTTCAAACGAGCACTTCGGCATCGTGCCTCTGGAAGCAATGCTGGCGGGCGTTCCGGTCCTGGCGGCAAACAGCGGTGGGCCGTTGGAGACGGTTCTGGATCCGGAAACCGGGTGGTTGCGCGATGTGGACAAGGTGGAGCAGTGGACGGATATCATGAAGAGGGTTTTGGGCGAGATGTCGGAAGAGCAGTTGCGGCAGATGGGCGTGAACGGGAAAAGGAGGGTCAGGGAAGAGTTTTCGGAGACGAAGATGGCGAAGCGGTTGGATGAGGAGATTGAGGCGATGGTGAAGGGGAGGAGGGTCTTGGCCACCGAGCTGGCCGATGTGGCGCTGAGTATCCCGATTTTGGCGGGGTGTTTGTTCACGATCGGGGCGGTGATACGGGCAGCTTACAGCACGCGGTGTATCACTATGCTGGAGACGTCGTTGGGCTCGTTGCTCATAGCCGTAGCTTTTGCGGGCATCGTCGGGGTTGTTTATAAATTACAGACGCACGAGTCTGCGTTCCGATGACGATAATAAACACGGCCAGAAGTCGTTCTGAGCAACCAGCATCCGACATCACCCCCTGACCCACAACAATCAAACCCAATCAAACCCCTACGGTCAAAAACGTAGGTAACAGTGCACCATCTCCCATTCCGACACAATCGTCACTTACCAATCCCGAACGACAGGGGATCCTTCGAATCGACGAGTCAACTCATCATCATCATCATCATCATCATCCTAGCACTCGGGACCCTGTACCCTATACGCGATCGCATTCCGCACGCCCCCTCCCCCCCCCTTCCCTTCCCTCCCCTTCCCTTCCCTCCTCGGCACGCCACCCCGCGCCCCACCACCTACCAACCGACGCCTTCTCCGGGACAGCGTTTTGACAGATGGTATTATTATGTGGCTTCTTCGGCTCCGTGTGCATACCAGCTTTGCATTGTGGCTTTGCGGCACTGATGCCGAGGGAGCCGGCCGGGCGTTTGTGGGGGGTTTTGGGATTGCTGGTGAGGGTGAGGTTGGCTGGTGGGTGGGGGGGGGTTGGTCGGCGAGTGAGGGTGAGGTTGGTTGGCGGGTGGGGGTGAGGTTGGCTGGCGAGTGGGGGTGAGGTTTTGCGGGGGTACTTTTTCTCTCGGGCGGTGTGGGAGGTGATAGTGTTTGTTGGGGGGACTGGGGAGGAGGGAGAATAAGGAGGGGGGGGGGGGGGGGGGGGGGGATGGGGATGGATGGATGGATGGATGGATGGGAAGGGAAAGAAATGCATCGCGGGCGTGTGTGGACGTGATGGCTTCCAGGTCCCCGCAGGCCTTCTCAGCCCATGGGTAAGGTTGTACTAGTACGTCTGAGACGGAGTGCGACTCACAGGTGCTATGTATGATATGTCTCCAAACCGGTGTTGGAAAACTCCCTCTCAAATGCTGACCGACACATACTGCGTGGGAGACATCGCGGTCGGTAGGGATCTCCATCGTCCATCTCGAGGATCTGTGAGAGATTGCTGCAGGACGATGCGCCAAGAATGGCTTTCGACGACGTTTCCCGCGCCCGAGAGCGGCCGCGCGTGCGAGTCGGAGGCGAGGATTTTGTGGTTGGGGTACCGGGGCTTGATCAGCCTGTGGGTATCTTTTGCGGTCTTCATTATGTGCCGAGAGACCACGGTGTGTTTCTCGTCAGTGTCTCTGAGCTTAGGTTGGCTCCTCTTATCGAGAGGGTCTCTATGGTGTTCTTTTGTCTTTCTGTAATAGTGGGGTAGAGGGCTGTCTGCCCGTATGCATCTTTCGCCTTAAGATCAGCTCCTCAATATCAGCTTTATAGTGCGGCTGTATGGCAGTCATGGTCGAACTTTGAATTGCCTGGTGCAACACTGGCTCTCCCTTGCCCGGGAAAAGGTCAGTCCAGCCAGTTTTCGTGATTGCGTTCACATTGGCTCCTTCCCTTTGAAGTAAAGTAACAATTTCATAATGATGACAGTCAACAGCTCGGAAGAGAGGTGTTTCGTCGTTCTCGTTCCTCGCTTCGAGGTTTGGGTTGTGTTCCAGGAGAAGCTGCAGTATACCGCTAGAGAGAGACCCGCGTCTATCCTTTTCATACTTGTCTCCGATTTCTTTTCTCTCGTCAGCAAAGTTTTCACCCCATCATAGTTGTTCTTTCGCAATCGCCCATTGTAGCGCTGTCCATCCATTGTAGAGGGTGGAGATCATCTTCTAGCCCTGTACGTAAGAGGACGGAGACCACTGGCTCAGGTCCGCTGAGAACCGCGACTGGGAATGCTGTTTGTATGGCACGACGATTACTATCAATGCACAGATCCATTTTCTCTAATGGTAATAGGATGATATGCGCATATCCGTTGCGTGCAGCCCACCATAGCGGAGATCGTGCATACGGTATTCATCACTTGCAAGCACCAGAGTTGGATCACGATTAAGAAGTGGACAGGAAAAGCGCATAACCCCAAAACGTGAGGCTACCATCAAGCTGGTCATCCCGTGGGGACTGTGGGACCACTGATCATGGTCAACTGAGTAGACGTGGAACCGTGGCCGGAATTTGGCTTCTTGCGGCTCAGAGAGGGTTGGTGCTTTTTCTAGGCTTTCGATGTCGTGGCTGGGTTGCAGGGACTCGAAACGACGAGTCCACTTCGAGGCTTTGGAGTCAGCATTCTCCCCTAGAGAAGATCCGTGAAACATGACGCATATTCTGAAAGTAAAACGCTCTTGAAAGACGCCAGAAAATCCGAGTGTCTTGTCTCCGTTCAATGTAGGTTGAGTCGATAGGGGCAGCCGCAAAATTGCTTCGCCCCTCTATCAAGGCAAAAGTATGAGTACGCGATCAACAAGTCAGCGTGTTCGATAAGCTATGCTGTTCCCAGATCTACAACTAGTCCCTTTCCTTGTTGTTGCCAAGTAATTTCAAAGGCAACCGACGCAGCCTCCTATCATTGAACAGCAACCCAAAGATGGGCACGAAAGTCAACACCATCAGGCCGAGCGTGATGGACGGATAGAGCCAGAACGATCGTGACAGGACCAGGTGAGTGCCGACAGCTTCTGGTTCGCCGTTCGTTGTTTGTATGAGATTAGAATTGAATATCTCCTAAAAACGATCAATCGTTCAGCTCTGTGGAACATGGTGGTCAAGATCGCATTCCAGGAGTCAGACTTACAGCGACCAAGCTGGCTGGTAGGTAGATAAGTGCAATATAGGTAAGTACCTTGACCGTGTGCGAATCGTTTTGCGACTTGCCGATCAGAACGGAGATGAGCTCGTTGTCCGCTTTGGCGGCAATGGCTATCTCGCGCATGGCGTCGCTGTTTTTGTTCAGGGCTTCGTTGCTTTTGACTATCATGTTCTCATTCCTATAATTTAGGATCTGAGACAGCTACACAAGCAAAATGATTAGACTCATAGCTATGGAATGGAACGGTAATGGCCGCACCAGAGTAGCGATCCCTTCCGTATGCTCTTGTATGGCCTCGATGCCTCGCTTGTGGGTTTTAATCCGAGAGATGTACGATCCAAGCTCGGTGTTATCTTCCCTGGACTCCAGCATGCCCCGAGAGCACAGATCCTGCCAGTGCGTCTGACATCTGAGGGCTATTTCGAGGCAGCAGTCTAGTACCTCTTTGCATTTGACAAGCCTTCGACGAAGCCGCTGGAGCTTTTGACTATCGGCGAAGGCAACCAAGTAATCGCATTCGCTGTACACGTCGACATCGACAAACAGTGCCTTTTCCTCCTAAAGTCAGATTAGTTTGCAAAGGACGATCATTGGTTCCCCGGGCCGCAACGAACCAAGACCCTCAATTCGGCATCGAGATAGCAGATATAGTCACGCCATTCTTGTTCGGCTAAGGCAAAAGCACATCGGTGAATATCCCTAGGAGATCTTTCCTGGTTTCCCGAAGAGAGTGAGTTGCGAAGTTCATTGGAGAAATCGTCAGGTGCCTGCACGAATATCCATTTGGACGTTTTTCTGACATCGTCAAAGCGCTGATAGACGGCCGTCTGGCGGAGCGAGAACGGATAGCCGCTCTTTCTCCCATGCCTTGCTGGGTATCGAAGTAGATAGCATAATTCTGAGATCACCAAGGTAAGCTTGTTGATACCATGTAAAGTATCGGGCAAGGTAGGTACCATAACAATTGTGATCATCTTGACCGGCCTGCGCCGAAACGTTGACTCTTCTGTCGCAGGTAGCAAAATGCTCATCGCAGTCCGAGGTCTTGAAAGCAAAAGAGGAAACATGATCGTTGAATTCTGGAAAAGCATTGCAACTATCGAGGATTTTGCCGAAGGTGTCTTCCGTGATCAGGAGACGACCCCAAGAATATTCTTGCCGTAGGAATCTGTAGTTCAATGTTGGTCAGGCACATCGATCTGTGCGACTTAGATGCGAAGGGATCGCACATGAAAACATCGACGTCTGCGTCTCTGATTTCCTGAGCGAAGGTCAGTCACTGATCGATCTTTCCTGACTTGTTCAGAGGTCAGCGCCAAAGTGGACTCACCGCCAGAATCTCTTTAAAGGCGGTGATGTTTTCTTCGTCATGACCAAGGTAACTAATAAGCGAAAGGATCAGAGCTGGAAAGCATTGTGGTTTAATAGTAGAGACCCAACAGGACTGGAGTTTATGAAAAAGCCGCAATCCAAACGGGGCGGCGATCGGGGCCAAGCATAGTCATTCAGGGGGCAGCTTGCATAGAGGAAGAGAAGGAGAAGTTTTAGCAGTGGTGTATCAAGTTCCCCTCGGTCAGTATCGCAACTGTGTAGGTGATTGAGAAGACAGAAAAGCACGGGCGGGACAAGGTCTGCATACGTATGTGGCGCACGGCCGAGCCAAACCTCGACATTCGACTGCCGTTCGTCGGGAGAAAAGATCTCTCGATCTTCGACCTTGAGCCTCATTTGAGCAGTATCAATCAAGTTTCTATTGCTTCAGGATAATTACATAACCCTCCCGGACCTATATTATTGAAGAAATGCTGGTTGAGGTCCCCATGCACTGCCCTGGAGTGACTGCCGATCTCAGCGCCCCGCTACAGTGATTGATGCTGATTGCTGATGCAGGCATGCAGCACCGCCCTCGCAGACCGCTTCACGCTAATCAGGTTTGCTTTGCGCCTGTTCGTTCTTTTGGAACAAGTCAACCGTCAGTAGCTCCCATACTCTCCTTGACATTTGTCTGAGTTTGGCTTTATAACGTACTTGGGTAAGCTTCCGAGGCGCTGAAAGTTTGAAGCTGTCATCCACGTCCTGCCGTGAAATAGGTCGGTTAGAATTGGGCACTGGAAGTTCTCTCGCAAGGCAATAGGAGCCACGCACCTTGATTGAAAAGTTTCCGACCCCGAATAAAGCTTTCAGCAGCTTGACTAGCTTTTCCTTATCCACGTAGCGCCCTTCCAGGGTTTGGCTGATCATGGTAGGATGATGACCACGGTGAACTGTATCGCAAGTGATGGAAAATTTGCGCGGTTTGAGATGGGTGTTTGCGTAGAAATGAAGGCGCAGACACTGAAAGTAAAGACTGCTTGAGGCTGAAAGGCTGACATGGCTGGGTCGTACGAGTAAGCAGGCGTCCTGCAAGATGACGTCGGCAGGGGACTGTGAAGACAAAAACATTACCACCATTTCTCGTACACACATTTTAAGACGCATGGGAATTCATCGGTTGCGTCTCCGTCTCTATGATTGCTATTCCCACGGAGGCTGACAGTGTAATATTTGTTCATTCACGTACGTTGCGATCTTTCCAATACGTTCGTTTATTTACCTCCTGCATCCTTTGGCTACACATTAATGATTTGACCCCCTTCGTAGACGCTATAGCATCAGCCGCTTGGGCTGAAGGAGCTGTGTGGCTGTCCACAATCACGATGGTACCCAAGCCTTGTGGATCCCTATCACCAAGGGTACAAGATTCTGCGCTTCTCTTTCCGCGTCGCTCCTAGCTAGACCTGGGAGCCAACGTTTGAATGCTCTACTGACGGTCAATGACCAATTGACCCAAAGCGCGAGTGTACCGATAGCAGAGACATGCGTTTGGATCCCTGTCACGGATTTGGCGTCGGGATGTCACTCGGTCCCTTCCGGCTTCTCCCATGTTTTCGTCGAGGATACCAATCTCGCGTTCGAACCTCTTCAGCTCCGCAAGATACTGCCTCTCACTTCGCTGGCTCCCAGTTCGAATGTTTTTATAAACATATTAAAATGAATATAGATGTATTACTTTTATATAATATAGTAAGTAGGAAATATAAAAGTAAGCATTAGATAAAAGGTCGAGAATGTTGAGAATATAATAATAAAAATTATACTCTAACGTTTATTAACGACTTTACTCTATATATTAGAGAACTTGGTTTGAGATGTTTTATCAGTCTACGAGATTGTCTATAAACCGATAAGCCTATATTAAGAAGAAAGGGATCTTATAACTAAGAATTAGCGAATATATTAAGAAAGAGATTTGTTGCGACAGCCGTCTATTAAATATCTTATTACTACTTAGTAACCGTTTTAATTAATATGAAACAACAGCCTTCGAGAGAATATATTTTTCTTTTAAGAATATATTGTTAAGTTCTTGTTAGTTTTAAATTGATTTATAATTTTTGTATTTGTTTTTGTATTTTATTTTAAGTATTATTATTATTATATATTATTTTTTATTTATGTATTTGTTCTTTGAATACTTTTTATATTTTATACTCTTTGAATTTTATTTTTTTTTTTTCTTTTAATTTTATCTTATTTTAATTTAAGTATTATATTAATGTAATGAATTTTATAATAATTTAGTTTATTTTTAGTTATATATTATAAATTATTTTTTTTTTTAGTTTATATTTGTTTATATATATTTGTATTTTAATATTATTGCTTTTACTTTGTTTTTTTTTATATTTATTTAAGTTTAATATTTTTATGTTATATTATTATATGTTTATTATTTCTTTTTTTTATTATTCTTTATTTACTTTCTTTTTTTTTGTCTTTATTTCTTAATATCTTATATATATATTATCGTTTTTATTATATTTCTATATAATTTTATTACTCATATATTTTTTTTATTATTTACTTAGACTATACTATTTATATATTTTTATTATTTTAACGCTCTATTTATAATACCATTTTACTACTCTAGTATTTAAAATCTTTTTACCCTTTTCCTATAACATTTCTTTATTAGATTTTTTTATAATTCTCACTATTAATATTAAGAATTCTTTTAATACTTTCTTTCTTATTTTTATGTTTTTAATTCTACACTTTTTTTTGTAGTTTATATGTATATTAGTTTAACCTTTTTATTATATATATATTTCTTGTTTATTCATCTTATATTTATTTTTTGTTTTTTTTTTAAATTTTTAAATTATATATATATATTTTATTCGTTACTTTTATATTTTTATATTTAAGTACTTAGTATTTTGATTTTTTTTGTGTTTTTTTTATCATGTTGTCTGTTGCTTTATTCCCCCATGTCTCTTCTTACTATGTTTTATACGGTTTGGTTTCATTGAGGAAACGTATAAAAACGACCGTGTCAGGATGATCTGGGCTTATGTTTCGAGGCAAGGCAGGACGGTTTGGTTTCATTGAGGAAACATATAAAAACGACCGTGTCAGGATGATCTGTGCCTATGTTTCGAGGCAAGGCAGCGCGCTTTGGTAGCAGTCCAGTGGGCTGCATCAAGTTTAAACAGGGCGCAAAAAGCAATCAGATGGCTATAGAAGGCGAAGAACTAAGAGCGAACAAAGTCTACATTTTGAGCATCAGTGACTTCGATTCTCCACCTTGAGCAAAACCTTTTGTTCGAAGGTCTCTCGCACTTGAGTTGGGTTGGAGCTGTCTCCAAAATCACTGCTCAGACACGCTGCCACTGCATCCCCATATGCTCTTCCCATGTAGGTCTTTAGCACTGGTACATGTGTCTTCACCAATGCTTGTAGCATCTCGGAGGGACTGCCTACGATGCCTTTGGAGATTGTTTCTAGAGGAGCCCAAAAGCCCAACTCTAACAGGACGAGTCCAACGCTGTAATATTCGTACTCCTGACAAAACCGATTTGGTCCGCGAAGGTAATCGGGATGCTGATACTCGAGTTGCTGGTTAGGGCCTTGGGTGAAGGCATTTTCCAAGTTCAAACGGCTATAGCTGAAGCCGATGAAGTGAGGTGAAGTCATGGCCTCTGCGATCGGTTTAGCTCGATCTGGAAAGAAAATGATGTTGTAGGAAGAAATGTTCTTGTGAAGCCAGCTCGCTTTGTGCATGGTCAGCACCATATTGATTAGGCTCAGTGCTGCGTCAAAGACTTGATCCAGAGACGGCCGCTGTTTCCTCGATCTCACCGTCGAAAGGATGTCTCGTAAGCTTATGGGCTTCTCCACGTCTTGAGAAGATAATGGAGAGGTCGGCTGCGGAGGCGGAAAGTAATAAACTATACCAAAGGCATGCTTCGCCAAGTCATGATAGTAGCCAGCACAGATCAGTACAGAGAAGGCGAGTCTCGTGGACGATGGTGCACGAAACGACGCAATGTCCTGAATTCGTTGTATCAACTCTTCCATGCGCTCGGCCCATTCACCGCCGTATTCTAACCATTCGATAAGAATTGGTTTTTCTGAACCGTCGGCAGTACGCAGTATGCCAGTGTTGTGCCAGTGAAAGGGTTTCAGAGGCTTGCTGATTTGTCTCTCGTCGATAAGCATATTCGCTGATGACTGTATTCGATCTTCAAGGGCCGAAGCGATTTGCTTCATAGCCGCCAACAGACCGATGCGTCTGTACGTCACTGCCCGCGGGGCATGGTCCCCTATTGAGAGTTCCTTCGATGTATGTGCGTCTGGTCCGGGAAAGGCAGTCTCTATGGATTTCAGCCGAGCTCTATCTTCAGTATTCAGAATGCGGTTTTCCAGAGAATTAGCCATGCTTTGTCGGATCAGGGAGGGTTGCATATCCCACAATTCGTCGACGACTTTTTGAAGATGATAGAGAACCCTGTACGGTCTTCGGCCGCCACCTTGAAGAACTCTAGCAACATTTTCCACCTCTTGAGATAATCTGGCGAGGTATCTTCGAACTAGCTGCAGATCCCCAAAATTCCGTGGTTCCTTCCGGCCATACAACTGACCATTCTGAGCAAGATCTTGATAGCCATCAACTTCACCCCAGATTCGAAACCGTTCATATTCTATATCTATCTCGAGCTCAGACTTTGCAAGGAGGGGCCGAAACTGCACGTCGACACTTTGATAGACTTCGTTTTGGGCAATATAGAACAAGCCCAGGGTGATATCCTGAGCTTTTGGCCGCGCCGTTGGCTCTTGTTGTAACAGGTCTTGTATTAGCAAGTTTAGGCTTTTTTGAGCGTCTGTGATCTTGTGCCGACCACCCAGTCTCGAAAGCCATTGAGACACTCCCTCATGTGGCTTATCGCCACCATGAAACGACTTACAAGTCCAGTATCCTGCGAGCGTAATCTCTCTTCCTTTGGAAAAGTTTAGAACGCCGGTGGGCCCGTCTTGTAGATAAGTCAATAGTTCAGACAATATGCAACCAAACGACCACATGTCACTCGACCGACCAACATGGAGTTTCTTGAAGTCGTCGTGAATTGAAACACATTCAGGAGCCCAGTATTCGCCTCCCCCGTTCCTGTATAAAGATTTGGACCCTTCATTCTCGTCACTCAGCTGTGAGAGACCAAAGTCCGAAAGTATGAACTTGCCGGAGCGGTATAAGATGTTGTCAGGCTTGAGATCATAGTGACAGCCTATCTTGCGTACATTGAAGGTATTCGAAAAGTAATCGTGAACTGCCTCAATGGCCGACGCAAGCTCATACAAAGCTTGAAGGACATTGTTGTCGGTCTCGAAGCCGGGAGGTCGACGCTGCTGGCAGAGAAAGTCTTTTAAGTCTCCATCAGCCAGGGGAAATAGGAAGTTGTGCGTCTGATGAATTGTATACGCGGTCAGAAGCTGTATGATGTTGGGATGCTGCAAGCAACGCAACAAAGAAAGAATGTGTTGTTCTTTTTGAAAGTCTTTCTCGGCGCCGCGCTTAGGCTTGATCTGTTTTCGAATAATCTTGACCTTCAATGACGAGATTCAGTTAACAGATGAGCGCAAGGGAGGATCAAGACACTTGTACCTGGCCTTTCACCTCTGGCACTAGACCTTGATATGAGGCTACCATGGTCATTTGGTGAACTTCACCAAAGCCACCCTCCCCTAATCGTTTACAGTCAATGAAAGGCAGAATCACGTTGTCTTCGAGTTCGCGGTGCGATTGATCTGCGCGAAAGAAAGGTGCCAAAAATTTCCATTGGTGCTTGTAAAATCTAGCACTCAGCTTCTCATCCCGAAGGATCAATCCCAGGGAGTGATGGGAAAGAGGCAATCTCGAATCCAGCTGACTTTGGGCGAAATGATCAGTCTCAATGAATTTCAGGATCAATTCTGGTCGAGACAAAGACAACAGCGTCGCGAATAATCGCAACCCATTGTCGAGGATTGCGTTGATGATTTCACGCTGTTGATAGACCTCAAGCACTCCCCTTCCGGCCAGAGCGCTGATGAGGGTTGCTATCTTGCTTTCTGGTAACAGATCTTTGAGAGCATCATGAGGAATAAAAGGTCTCTGCTCATAATTCTCTATCTCAGCCTCTTCGAGCTCTTCTCTCATCTCACTCATCTTTTGTTTGATGGCCAGTAGCCAATTGAATGATATTTTTCGCTTGTAGGGAAGATGTGTTAGTACAAAACAGAATCTAGATGCTTGACTGCGATTCCCTTTGAACAGGCTTCCATGCCCGGCTAGCTGCTCGTCAGCAGACACTAGTCCCAGAATCCCTTAGCAGAGGGGCTATCTATAAGGTAAGATCTTACCTAGGTACCTTGTGGTAAGTAGGTACTCCGTAAGCACGAACAACATCTACCATACCTAAAACAACTAGAAGTCTTCGGTCTCTAGTTCCATGGCATTTGGTTGGAAATCCTCTTATCTAGAACCTTCTCAATAGTGCTACATCTGGCGGAACAGACTAGGAGATATTGAGAAGAGATCGAGAGAAAGCGAACGAACGACACATTAAGACCACTAGATCGCAAGTCAACAGTTACAAAGGCCAGCTGTCAGGCATGCGGCGAACAAAAACGTCACTAGATGCCACCCCCACAGCCTTACGCGTACACCCTCCCCGCCACAGGAGCCTCCACACCCCTCGCGGTGGTAAAACAGCAATGCCCCACCTCTACTGTACCGTACAGTACATCATCATGCATGCCCATTTCTTCCTCGCCCCAAACAAGTGGCTGAGCACAATCCATCTGACCCGTGCTCGAGCTTGAAGAATATGTTGCATCCGCGGCAACGGCATATTCCTCGTCCACCCCCATGATAGCTCCAACCGCGTTGAGCTGATTAAATCCGCCTACGTCCATTCTCATCCCTTCTCGCAACGCACAACCACCACTACATCATGCCAGACAAAGCCCTCGCGTACCAGGTCGGGCAGGTCCAGGGCCAAGGCCAACTGTACAGTACCAATGCATCAAGAACCACGACAATGCCAGCGCCAACCGAACTCCGCGAAGTCGGCGGCGGCAACGCTCCTTCCACCAAGCCACCCGCTAACACGGACATGGCATACACCTCCCCGCCGCCCATGCGCGTAGTCGGCAATGCGGGTCTTGTGAGGCCGACGGATGGGTTGGGGTTTGAGCCCGACTTCGTCGACTGCCCCAACTGTCGGGAGCGGAGGGAGACAATCGTCAACCGCGTTGCCAGCGAAACAACTCGGTACGTATCTAATCACACTTACTCCTGGAGATTGATCTTCGTGTCTCATGTGGATGTTCGCTGATGATGGGTTGTCGTTGATGACGACTAGGCAGCTAAGGTTTTCGTATGCGATGCGCAGCGCCCTGCTGCTTGGTATATGCGGTCTGATACCGGACTGTATGAAGATGGGGTATGATACCGAGCATCGGTGTAGTGGGTGTAGGTGGAAATTGGCGGTCCTACAGCATGACCAGAGGCCGGGAAATGCGGCGTATGTGCCGTCGCAATATACGGCGGAAGCATGAATCGACATGGAGAGGCCCTGAAAAAGTGGTTGGAAGATAAGACGGACCTTTTAGTTCTTGAAGCAACATGTGGACTACAAAAGATCATGAAAGGTCAGCGCGCCCCATGAACTGTGTCGTAGTTCCGGTGGCACGTTTGAGCTAGGTATGTTGATTGGCGTTCGTATCCAGGCAAATGTTGCCTGCAGAGCTCAGCAGTCGGATGCCTTCCATCCCAACAAAGCACAGCTCAGTATTCATGCTATCCTGCTGAAAGAGAGATCGTCCGGGGGCTTAACATAAATCCCCCTCAACTGCCCTCTCCCCGAGGCCACCACTCTAACCAACTCCTCAGGCCTCGCTCTCCAAAACTGCTGCGTCTCCTCATCAATACATTTAAGAAAAATACCCAAATAGTGACCCGGCCCATGCTTACACTCTATACTCGCCACATACAGTCCCTCATGCCCATACCACTGGAGATAGAGATCAATGTAGATTCCCTTGTTCGTTACCGCAAAGGGGCGGTTGTTCTCCCGACTTGGCGCGTGCTTGAATTCTCTGGTGCTGGCGAAGTAATCGGGTGAGGCTGCCAACAACCCTGAGTCCGATGATAATACATCGACCCCACGCGGTCCACGAATAAATGAACCCGCATTTTGGCTCTTCCACGCGAACAATGAATGATCATCACTATACCGCATAATCTCCTCCTGCAACCTTCGAAACGCCCTCTCCGCCCCCTCTCCATATAGCAGCGGCATGTTGACGCCAAAAAGACCGAGCAGACAATACGCAATATCCTCCTCAACAGTCACTGTCCTTCCCGCGGCCCACGACATCCGGCAGCTCACACTCGCCCATCCCACGTTCCTGCTCCCGAGCAGGAACTCCGCCGGGATGCTCGTCCGTGCCGTGAGGTCGGATTTCAAAGTATCTCTATCGCCAATCCGATTCCAGGATGCGTCGAAGAAGAGGACGGACTTGGGGGCGATGAGTTCCTGCAGTGTCCAGCCTCTCGTAAACCATTTGGAGTGCGTGAAGTCGCTGACGGAAGGGGAGGGATAATCCGCTAAATACACGAAACAGACCTCCGCATACTTATACCATTTGTACATTGTATTTATCGCTGTCGACAGTTCTGTTAGGTCCCTCTTATCAATACATATTGTGTCAAGCCAGAGGTGCTTGACTCTGCCGTTGTAGAGACGGACGAGGGTATTACATGAGTTAAGGATTTTTGCGGCACTGATGCGTTTGGGGTGAGAAGGGTTGGTGAATGTGGAGAGCGGGACGGATGGGTCGATAATGTCGGTGTGGATAATTTCGGGGAAGAGCCAGACATGGGAGATAATGGCGTAAGAGGGTGGATCGAGGTAAGAGGCGACGGAGTGAGTGGTTGCGTCTAGTAGGCGTATCATGGTCGATTCGTGGGCTTGAGCCCTTATACGCCTAGATATAAAGTAGGTTCGCAACCGAACTTTCTCTGCGTGATTGTACTTTGGTATTACGCTGTCGCCAAGTGCACCAATACGGCGGACGACGGCTGACACTACGACAAAACCAAAAAAGAATTCTCTTTTCGTTTTTTCTTCGCGATTTCTAGTAACTCTCTTCAAAATATTCTCTTTAGAATATTCTCAATTCTTCGGAGGTACTTTTTGAGGCACTCTTTAGGGGCTACTCTCCGGGTACTCTCCGGGATACTCTTCGAGGTACTCTCCGGGGTACTCTCCGGGGTGTTCTTTCGGGTACTCTTCGAGGTACTCTCCGGGGTACTCTCTCGGGTACTCTTCCGGGTACTCTTCCGGGTACTTACGACGGATATTTTATGAAGTTCTTCGCACCCAAAAAAAAAAAAAAAAAAAAATTACGGGACTTTCCGCGGAACTTCCCGCGAATTTTTTTTTTTTTTTTTTTTTTTTTTGAGTGATTTCTCGAGTAAATCTTTAAGAAACCCCTCGAGTAACCCTCTAAGTGCTCTCTAAAATACCCTTCTCGAGTATCTCGAAAAGTATACCCTTGAATAATCTCTTAAATCCCCTTAAATAACCCATAAAGAATCCTCTAAAATATTTCTCTAAAATATTTCTTTAGAAAATCTCTTCAAATATTTTCTCAAAGTCGCGGGAAGAAAAAAAAAATTAAAGAAAAAAATTGGTTTTGGTTTTGTCGTAGTGTCGCCGTCGTCCGCCGTAACCAAGCGGCTGTAGCCTGCACATAAGGCTGCTGATAGTGATAACGACTAGCACAAGCCTGTACTGATCACTCTGGTAGGGTACTTAGGGTACGGTATCTTCCCGGCTAAAGCGGGCAGCCCTGGGAGAGCTCCGACTGAGCTTAGGGCAGATTTTATGTCTTCTTCTCCTGCCAAGAGAATGCGCGTTTGACGCGCTTCTTCGTCCGGACGACTATAATTAAAGTAGTTGCTCTCTTTGCAGCTTTACTCCCGTTGTCGGCGAAGCTGATCTGTTTCATTTTTGTTTCATTTGTTGCTCTTGCTTCTTCTGCTTGTTGCTCACGCGCGATCGAAGAGTGCTGTAGGGCTTACTGTAGGGCGTCTAGCTTCGAGTGACTGAGGACAGAATGACGAGGAAGCAACCAAGGTGAACAGACAAGTAGAGCGTAATTGCGGCTTGTCTTTCACTCTCCCCGCCCGGAGAATGCACCCAGAAGTTTGCAATCACACTTAAAGCACGCCTCATAATGGCTTTCGGAGAAGTCATCGATCTCCTCAGCTCTGAAGACGAGGCGCCGTTGCGCGCTCCAAGCCTTACAAAACCGATCGCAAAGACCATCGCGGCCAAGGACGACTTCTTCTATCTATCTGACGACTTCGACACCACCGCGCACCTCAATGATGGCTGGGCAGAGAGTGCGTCTAAGAGAAGGAAATTAAGTCCACCGCTTGCCGACGAAGATAACGTCCAACCACTTTCGAAGCTACCCAAATCAAGAATGCCAATAATAACAACTCAGAGCGGTTTTAAGAGCAAAGTAGAGGACGAGTACGGTTGGCAGGGGATCGAGGGATCTGATCCTATTATTTTCACATCCTCAGCCCACGCCGAGACAACGGCTTCTCGTGCAAAAAGGACGGCAATCGACGCCTTGTCAGCGCATGGCGGCGACGATTCGGATGACAGTCTCCCGGACGACATACTCTCCGCTTCTCTGCGCGCCACCAATGCTGCTTCAGCACTCTCTGAACGGACTACAGCGTTGCTTGCGACCCTATCCCAGTCTCCTCCACGCCGGAAGCCTTCCAATATCCGCAAGCCTTTGGGTGATATAGTTGGTAAGGGCAAGGCCCGAGCAAAAAGCTCGGCAGATGACCGGAAATCAACGGGACCAGAGGATGGAAAAGGAACCCAGACGAAGCCCGCTAAAACGTTGAAAAAACCTAAGCTCACAGATGAAGAGAAAGCTGCTAGGGCGCGTGAGAAAGAGAGAGAGAAAGAGACAAAGAAGGAGCAGAAGGAGAAAGAGAAAGAAGAGGACAAGGAGAAGAAGCGACTCGAGAAGGAGGAGAAAGCGAAAGAAAAGGGTATAGCGGCAGACCTTGCCGAAGTCAACAAGTCAAAGCTGGACAAGAAAGACTCGACACCGGAGATGATCGTGAATCTACCGGCATCGATAGACGGCCAGAGTGTAGACATCCAGATTCGACAGTTTCTCAAGAACCTCGGTGTAGATGCGACTTTGTACCAGAGCCCGATACCCAATGTGATTAGATGGAGGCGAAAATTGAAAGCGAGATGGAACCCTGAGTTGGAATACTGGGAGCCATTGGGGCATATGCAGATCGAGAATGAGAAGCACGTCATGTGTATAATGTCTGCAAAAGAGTTTGTGGCATTGGCTATGGTGCAACACGAAGAACAAGATGTCGAGACGCACGTTGCGAAGTTGAAGAGCGCCTATGACGATTGCATACCAATCTACCTGATCGAGGGCCTACAGATCTGGATGCGGAAGAATCGCACGGCAGAGAATCGAGCATACCAAGCAAAAGTTCTCAGCCAGGCTCAAGCCGCCGAGGCTCCCGCAGGAAATCATCCCAAACGCAAGAAAGCCCCAGTGGAGATTGTGGACGAGGACACGATCGAGGACGCTCTTTTACGACTGCAGGTCATGAACGGGTGCTTGGTGCATCATACGATGACTTCCCTCGAGACGGCAGAGTGGGTTGCGAATTTCACGCAACATATCTCTACCATACCCTACCGGCATGTCCTCCCTCCCTCCCTCCTTCCCATTCCCCCTTCCTCATCTCCCCAAGCAACCCTCACTGACACCCACCAAACAGAAGCCAAAGAATGAACCTCGAAACCTCCTTCTGCATGGAATCCGGCCAGGTCAAAACCGGCGAGGACAAAGACGACACTTTCGTCAAGATGCTCCAGGAAGTCGTCCGCGTCACGCCCCCCATCGCTTACGGCATCGCGTCCGAGTATCCAAGCGTGCTCGCCCTGGTCAAGGCGTTTCGGAAACACGGTCCCCTCGTGCTGGAGGACTTGCAGGCAAGTCTTTTTTCCATTCACTCCTTTGAACACCGACGGGCCTCGATGTGTCGTGGAAGGCTGACCGAGATGATGCCGCCGAATAGAAATCAGCGAATCGGAACGGCGCCCTCACTGACCGCAAAATCGGCCCCGCGATCAGCAAGAGGCTGTACAAGGTCTTCACGGAGACGGATCCGGCGTCCACGGATGTTTGACTCTGCCCGATCTCAGTCGGTCGCTTTGCCGGAGTTTGCCCAGGTCTTATGCTACCCTGGGTTTTTTACCCAGCGAGAATCTTTCGATGGGGCTTGTGTACTTTTGAAGAGGCTTGTGTACCTATATCTCTGCGTTGTTGCATAGTTCCTTTCTTATACACAGATACTTTGCGAGCATAGGATATACAGCATATAAACGCAGCTGCATTTGAAAAGGAATGAAACGCATTAGTGCGCGTGTGAAGCTAGCAGTGTCGGGATTGTATTCCAAGCAAACCTTCCACCGGTCCAGAGTAGCGGATTCGAGCTTGTTTGGAATGACGGCACAGTCACGTATGAGAGAGTCGCACGCACCAGTGCTGTAAGAATCTTGTGTGGAAATACCCGAGGGTTGGGGAAAAAAGTCTTTCAAAACTTTGGGGGGGGTTAGGGGGGGTTGGGGAAAAAAATTTTTTTTAACCCCACCCGGCAGTGAGTTCGAATACTTTTTGATAGCAGCTAAATACAAGAACCTTGCAAAGAGGTATAGACAAGACAGAGGCTAGAAAACACAGATTGGCAGTCGGATGTACTCATATCGAAAACAAACTCCTAGGCAAGCATTCAGATCTCCATGGAATCGAACAGTAGAAGATACGACAAAGAACGCCATGATATCCCGGTTATCTCAAACATTCATAGTTCACGCAGGCACTATCCTAGCGGTCACAGGTCTCAAGTCGCTCACTCTCTTCTTGGTGGTTTCATTCTGTCCAACATCTGCGCCACTGTCATGCACGGGGTCATCAGCATCGAGGATCTTGACTCCGTAATTCTTTTCTTGTAAATATGGTTGCATGCTATCCCTTCCCGGCCCAGTTTGTGCGGTACTGTTGCTGTATCCGCTCATACTTGTGCTACTCCTGGGCTCATGGCCACCAATGAGATCGGGTGTTGGAGGGATGCTGGAGGTTCGGCTTCGGCTGCGGCCGTTTTCATTATTTGGGGTTAGAAAACCGGGGGATTCGCCGTGGCCGCTGTCATGGTCCGCGGAGTCGTCGTTGGCGCCAAGTAGGCTGACGTCGGTGTGCATACTTATGTCGCCATCGGATTGGGTGTGCTTGTGCCCCATGTTGCTGGTGCTGGACTGGAGTTCGGGCTCGATGGGTTCGCCATCTTCATTCTCAGCATTATGCGCGAGGTGGAGACCTTCAACAGCAGCAGCACATTGGTCACTGATATTGCGGATGATGTAGGCAATGGCATCAGTCTTGTCTCGAAGATGACGATCAGCAACGTCAGACATGCTGAGACGGTTCCCACGTGTATTGCTGGTAAGTGGGGAGAAGAAACGGGATTCCATCTCTGGAGTGACTTTCTCGTCGGCGATCTTGGTGCCGTCGTTGGTGCTTGTCCGAGAGACTGAACGGCGGGCCTCATTAAGCAGATTTGGATCCCGTTGGACGGCCTCGCTGCTTGTGACGGATTCGTGGTCTTCCACGTCCTCTGGTATGTCTTCGTAACCTTCTTGGAGGTAGTTGCTGAGTTCGGGAGTGTCGTTGAGAGAGCGCACGATGTGCTCCATGTGGTGAGTCTGCCCATCGATAAGACTGCGGAGGTGCAGAACCACACGTCGGGACTCGTCGCGTTGGCGGAGAATGGTCGTGTTTGTGTGCTGGAGAGCGGAGAGCTCCTTCTTGTTGCGCTTACGTTCTCGCTCGAGCTCTTCAGCGATGTCTTGCTGGAGGACAAGTGCTTCGAGAGCATCGTCGCGTTGCTTCTCCGTACCGTTGAGGCGCTGGGTGAGGCGAGTGGCGTCATCTTTCTGTTGCTCAATGAGCGATGTGAGGCGACGATTCTCGCGCTTATGAGTCTCGATCTTGACTTTGAGCTCTTGTGTCTCTTTGGTGAGTTGTTCGGCGAAAGCTTGGAATTTGAGGAACTGCCAATACCGTTAATACATAGTCGCGAATCTTTTTCAAGAGACACGGGTACCTGTTGCTTCCAGCTTTCAAGCTCATCCACAAGGAAGTTGTTTCTCTTTGTGACTTTGGTAAGCTCGCCATCCATTCTACCCTTGAGGTTGATAAAGTCCTGCCACGCTTCCATAGCGTCTCTAGAGTATTGGTTGCGTTCCCGGACAATCTCATTGAGGTGGCGCATTGAGACCTTCGTCATCAATGGCTTCTTTACCGAAGTACCGAAGATAGCTTTCATGCCAGAATTACGACCCTGCAACGGTCCATTAGTATACCATCTTTTCTTTCGTAGCTCGCTTTTCAACTCACCAGCTTCTCGCAGACATGATCCATAACTCCCATAACGCTATCTTGATTCCACCAAGGCGGATTTTCCACACTCTCCACTTCTCCCCTCATAACTATAATCTGACCAGCTGGAATGAGCTTGCCACCGCCGTAAGCCGATCGCAAGTGCGTGGGAACACCAGCAGGGGCAACATCGCCGCTTAGAGCGTTCGTCAAACGGGAAATCATCTTGGCTCTCTGGCCCGACGTCAAGACAGTGGGAGGTGCTGAGGTCATGACATAGTTGCGGTCCAGGTCAATGACCAGAGCGTCCGAGGGCGCTGTGAAGAGGCTTCGACATTCGGCTGTAATACCGAGCATATATGGTCCTGGCTCTTGCACGAGCTCTTTCGCATGGCGTGCATGGACGACTGGCACGTATAAGCCACTCCACTCGTAGACTCGAATGCAGTGGCGTATAGTCTCGGTTGCGACAGTGAGCATTGCTGGGTAGTGGCTGACGAAGATAATCCTGCGGGTCGCGGATACTGCAGCCTCAATGACGCCGACGATATTGGGAATGGAAAGGCAAGTAAACAGGGGCCACATGCCGAAGTTCTGAAAGCCAGTGGGCGAGGAGGGGAACTGGTAGCACAGAGCGTAGTCTTTCATATCTATTCTCACAAGGTCATTCAGTCGTGGTGCTGGGAAGCTGAGTATGCGCGAAACCTCCTCGGCATGGAACAGGTTGGTAGCCTTGTTCCAGTGAATCCACATTCCTCGTAGGTAGTCCCCTAGCAGGTCGTATAGAGGGTATCTGGACAGGAAGCTCAAACAGTATGGGATCCAGTATGTCTCGTCCGAAGACTCATAGTAGTCCGGTTCAGTCTTTCTTCGCAGGTCACGGATTGTGTCGGCGCGCTTTTCGTCTGCTTTCGACCACACTCTCAGTGCAATGCCATAGAGGGTATGTGATGAATCTTGTTGTAGTACGAAGGAGTGGTGTACACAGTGTGGTTGACTTCGCCCGGTGCAAATTTCAACGTCGTGGGGGAAGCAAGCCTATCCATGTCAGTTCCCCTGTCCCGCAGCAAGTTCACCGCGGATGCCGTAGCTCACCCTCATAGCAGCGTATAGAGCGCGTGCGATCTCATTGTCCTGCTCCAATCTCGGACTGCTACCCAAAATCTCTGGAAGCCAGAATTGGCCAACGGCACCCTTCATGTGTCCAATCCTTCCCTGAGCTGGGGGCGGCGCCTTGACCCATTGCGATGGTTCTCGTCCCACTCCACATACCATATATGCATGAGTAAGAGTCTTGGGGTTCCGCTGATTCGGCTTGATGTTGAGCGTCGAGGGTATGGGTTGTGTGATACGGGAGTGGAGGGAGGAGGTTCGACTTGGGATCATAAGAGAGTGTTCGCCATGATCGCGGGTAGTAGGTCTCTCTCGGTCTCCGTTCCGAGTTCGGGGACGTGGGGAGAAGGTGTCTCTGAGTGAAGGGCCCATGTTGAAGAATTGTGGACTAGGCTCTGGCAAGGATTGGAGCGCCTCAATGCAAGCCCACTGTTAGAAGTTTACCGCCAATACTTCAATTGAACCTGTAGATATTGCACGATGATCTTGTTAGGCAATGCACACAGATTGGCAGATTCTTTTGTCCGTGCGGCATCAAAGATGTTTATCCAGCTGTCGCTTGTTTGACCTCAAGCGCGGGAAATGCAGGTACCAGAGGCACAGATTCCCAGGGAGCTGGTCAGCGGCACGATTGATCGCTGGTGCAGCTGTCAAGATTTGCAATGGAAAACCGTCGTGCAGGTGGAATAACAATTCTGCGTGAAGGTCTTATGGAAAAAAGGAAAAAGGTGGGAGAAGAGGAAGGATGGACTCCTCCACGTCGTCGTCCAAACGGACAGGGGCATCGTGGTGACGGGAAGCTGCTTCCCCTCGCTGGTTTGAATTGGTGAAAGGCTCTTTTGTAGAAGAACGCCGAGTCAGGCTCAGGGCAGGGATGCTATGGAGGTCAAAGTTAGAGGGATGACCCAATAAGACATTAGCTCTGCAGCGGCATCACCGGCTTCTGCACGTTCCCTTAGGCTTGCTAACCCGTTACGTGGGGCTTAAGGGGATGTGATACTGCACTTGCAAGGATTGTAAATTCACTGCCGAAGTCAGGGGCGGTGGGATGATTCCCAGATAGTAAAGTCAAGTACCTGTACGGAGTAGAGTATAGATAATTAGATATGCATTGTCGGAAGTTAATCGTGGAACTTGGAAGTTAAAGAGAAGACGGACTCGACGGAGTCTCTGGTACGTTTAATGAAGGAGCCATGATCATTATTCATTACTACACGTACTCGAAGTGGTCAAAACAAGTGACGGATTTCGGGTTTTCCACCAAAACTCGACGTTTTATAGCTTACGCTATGCGATTACCTAGGTAATAAACCTATCTAAAATTTTTACACATAACAGCTATTAATATATTACATAATTTCATACGCGGACTTTATATATTTTAATCAGATTTACGCTGTTTATGTGGAGGATAAGTAAGACTAAGAGAACAAAACGCGAAAATCGTCAAATTTGGCGCGTAAAAACCACTTTAGCTCAACACGCCCTCTTACTCAATCAATTATACAATTGAATAAGTTTTTGATAATATTGTGAATAGATAGAATTAATCTTCAGATATGAAACAACTTATGTAGGGAATCTTGTATACGTGGAATCCTTGGTTGTGGTTGAAACCACTACATGAAATACCTCGATTTAGGTGCGAAACGCGAAATCCGTCATTTGTTTTGACCGGTTCTAGTACTTGTACCCTGTCTAGCGTAAGCTACTTTTTCGCCAAGCCCTTCTCTTTCCACTATCCTTTGATCGCGACTGCAACTGAAGGCTTCATCAGCATACCATAATAAAGCTTGAGGTCGATCATCATCCAACATGGATCTTCTGTGGCTTGGCACCAGTAATGATAGTTGATCATTTGTGCCAGCCTCCCGGGTTGATGGACGCAGCTGAAACGGCCCCATGCAGCGGGGAAGGCTTCTGCCGGGAACAAGACCAACCCAAAACCTTCGGCCCATTTGTTCATTTTCTTCGTCACAAATTCCGAGCATCGAGGGTGCGAGGATAAGGGGCTGCCTCTGAACTGTAATCCGAACAGGCTGGACTTTTCACTCATCCGACCTTTCACTTTGATCAACTTGGCAATTGCGCCAACAACCTTCTGTCTTTGCCCGTTCCAGCAACGTTTGCGCGGGCTCAAACGTGTTAAGGGATACACACGTGGAAACCACTTAAAACTCTGGTATCTCTTGTGGCCACGACATTCACGTGTGCTCTTGTAGCCTGGGCGATAAGTGGGGTCACGCTTACCAGCCAAATGGCAGCGGTAGGGGCACTTACCACGTCCTGCATTACAGGTCGAAGATAAGGAGAAGATGAGCTTTTCTCAATCAACAGCCAATCTGTGAGGGGCTTGATACCCATGACTTGGGGGAGAAAATGAAGCAGCCAGCGGCCAGGATTAGCTTCGCCCGCGTTCATTCAATACATTGAACGTGGGAAGTATGTGGCCATCGCCCAATCTCATTTTGAGGGTCTATTGGCTCAACTGGTCGTGGTGCTTGAGTCACCTTGGGATACTGACCGTGATGCTGTCAGACAAGCTACATATTTCCAATTCGCTGCCTACCCCCGAGCCTCAATGAAGTATGAAACCGACGGTCAAACCTCTCGCTCCTGAGAATGAGATGAGCCTAAGGCTCTTATTCTCTGCTACTCGTCTACCACAATGAAATATCCGGTCATCGTGCTCTATGCTGCCCTGCATTGCAAGTGAGCTGAACGGAGAGCAACATCCTTGGAAGTATTCTTGTGAGCTCTACTACATTTGGTGCATGCCCTGTCTACTTGTGTTGGATTTTCGACATACTCTCTTGTCATCAGTCTATTATGACGATGAAGCCAAAAGAACAACATCAGAACATCCTCAAACACACGTGAACTTCGAGTCTTCTTCTGTCTCATCACTTCCATGAACCCATCATCGGTTACTATCTGTAGACGCCATACCACGTACAAGCCCGCGCAAGTCATTCACCCCTCTTCGCTGTCTTTGGGTTATTTTGATATCTCATATCACTCTTCGGTGTTAGCCCACGCAGTTTGACACCCCAAATCAAATAACTCATTCACACTTGGTTGAATTCCATTTCATACTGTTCAGCGTTCACTCTTCAATGGTCACTTGTCAACGCTCATACTTCACCGTTCACGGTTCAGTTCGCATTCACTCTTCTACGTGCTCAAGCTACCTTCAGGCCTTGAAAACACCTCAAGACACCCATCTCGCCTTCCTCGTTGCTGCCATCTTCTGTGGACGAGACCCTTTGTCCAACTCTGCCTTGTTGTGGGTTCAAGGACAACTTCACAATCCGTGAGCATCCCTTCAGAGAACGGATCACGTTCTTGACTAGATTCGCCGTTCCAGTCCAAGATGCCTTGGGTCCATGGAGATGACTATACGATGCAAAAAAATGCTGAGCTCAAGCATTTGCTCCTTCTCCGCCGCCTCCCTTACTCTGGCACAAAAGCAAAGATGACTTCGCGCCTAATTGCGCACGACCTTCATCAGTGAGTATACCGCTCAGCAGGTTTAACTTGCAGATTCAAGGCGGCTGCTGATTAGCCAATAGTCCGTTTCCTTTCCAGAAACTCCCAGCTGAGATCCGCAATGAGATCTATAAATTAGTCGCTTCACAAGAGGTGCTCGATTTGTCAGGCTCCAAGCAGCCAGGCAAAGGACACACAGAGGGTCTTGAAGGCTTCAGCAGATTCGAGGGCTTGATGGTCAATTCCAGCCTCTTCCGTGCCTGTGAGCAGACACGTGCCGAAGGCCTCATGATCTTCTACGGGTACCACCACTTCGAGCTTGCCGTTGAACACGGCGGTTGCTTCCTCGCCATTCTACTATGGCTCCAGAACATCGGTCATTTCGGTCGGAAGAACATCCGCCATCTGAACATTAGCTACGTCACCAAGTGCTCGAGCCTCGACATGCGACACATGGACCAAATCCACGAGAAGCTCTCCGATCAAGCCACCGTCACTTATACTTCCCACGACTACCCCGGCTTGCTCTGGAAGATTGGAGATCTTTACGAGCGGCGCAACTACAGGAGGGTTCCGGTTTTCCGGATCGGTGGAGCCGATGGGGAAATCACGACGTACCGATACACGATCAACTTTGACGATCTGTATCGCGGTTGGGGCCGGTTGCAGTACTCACTAGTGTTCTATCCCGGCAAGTCATGGTTCGGCCAAAGAACCACGCGCTGTCGCCACTAAGCCCGGTAGTCGGCGGAGGATAGCAATATTGAATTGACGGCCGATTGCAGAAGCATTCGCACCAGCATTGCACTCTGTGATTCTCACCTAGGATGCCATTGAGGTCTTGAAGGACATCAGGCGTTCCGGAGCGAACTGTTTCCCTCGACTCCAGTCGAGATCCTTTTTCCCCCTGACATTTCTGTCTGTACATAGAAGTGGAGAACCAGGCTGCGCTTGAAACGTTGATGTTTCAAAACCGTGTGGCACAGCTTCGTACTCATCTTCAAGAAGCAGCTCTGAGCTACCAATCGATCGGCTCCACAGCCTGAAATCCATCCGCACAGGCCACCATGCCAATTGCCCGTTAGCGCATACTGCAATTACTTCCCCAGCAGACCGCCTCCTCTCCCATACGTAACATCCTCCCCCCCCTCCCCCCCAAACACGACACCCAACGCCCCAGCTCCCGGCGCAACATCCCTCAACGCCCCCCTCGCTCCCCTCAACCCCTCCCTCCACCTCCGTCTCCCTAACCTTCCCCCCCCCCCACCCCGCCCAAATAACCTTCCGCGAATCCAAAGGCCTGACCCCCATCGCCGCTCTCCCCGCCGCCGAGCATCACAGCCTGACCGAGAAGGCGTCGTTCCGCCGCCGCACGATCCCGTGCGAGGGTCCACGGTTCGCTCGAGGCGGTGGGGTTCCGGCCGGTGATCCATGGGGCGGTTGCGGGGGTGGGGGTTGGGGTTGGGCGTGGATCCTGTCGGTGGATTCTTTTACGATCAGGTTTTTTGTGCGGGGGCGGGGGGGGGTGGGGTGGATGGGTTGTGAGGTTTATGTGCTTGGGGTAGAGGGGAGGGGTGGACGCTTGCTGTGCGGTCAATGGTCAAATAGCATGTCGTACAGCATGTTTTACGGAGCACTTGTGCTGTATGGTATCTGTGAACCGTGGTCTCGAAGTTCGTTCTCGTCTCTTCCGATCCATCTCGTGATTTCGTTTTCAACCGTAGATACCCGCGAGTGGGTAACGGTCTGGGCGCGGGACGAGGGAAGATTTGCTGAGTCAGCCGGATTGATAATGCGATATTAGAGAGTTAATAGATAAGATTAAATTTCGACGTATCCATCGAACCACCTTTTTCCCCACAGGCCAGGTTAAACCTAACGCTTCCAATTCTGTTATTGTTCTTCCGTTTACAGATTCTGCATGTGGACGTATAACTTTACCTCTGACAGCACAAGTCATCTTTCATTTTCATGACTCAAATCATAGTCAGTCAGCTTATCCCAGAATACTGCTCTTAATCGCGCCTGGCTACGTGCAAACTTAACGATAAGATTTTTCCATGAGACTGTTTATCGAACCGTACAATGAGGAAACCAACGTGGTAACGACGACTTGTTTTAGGCCCTTATTATATCTATTTTGCATGGATTTGCGCCCATCGTAACGGTATGCGTCATAAAATCGAAAACTTTCCCTTGTCATGAATGCAGAGCCTATTCTCGGATTACAAAGATTAGGAGAACAGCTCGACTTAATGCCTTTCAATTCTCAGAGATCCGGAGCGTAAATCTCGGAACACTCGTTTTCTCAACAGCCCCAAGTAGAGAGGACAGGTTTTCAATCTTGTATGTCGACAAGTCCATGTCGTACCCGTACATGTTTAACGATATCAAGGCCAGATCACATCCTTGTGCCAGCTGTGTCCCAAGAACTTGATCATCTTGTGCCCATTTCACGTAGTATGCTCTTGCTTCGTTCAATATTGCCGTCCGGGTGCAAGCTCTAATAAAGACGATAGCTCTGAGGACCCTGCTGCCGTTAAGAATTTCGAGCGTGATGGTATGGCCATCTCCCGTTGGCGCCTCTGGGGCTGCAGTCTCAAGGACGGAAGTCGCTGTAGACGCCGGCGCCGAGGGAAGAGGTGAGTGATGATTAGATTTAGCGCGCACGGCACAAAGAGCAGGCCTTGGAGGCGGTACAAGGAACTCAGCATTCTCAGCTAGAGCACTATGCCTTGGAGCGATATCAGGCTTTGGCGTTGGTTCATAGGGATCCTCTAAGTCGTTTGGAATTCTGTCATGTTGGTCGAGCGTGTGTTCCTTTGCGCTATCGAAGCCTTCGGTGATTGGCTCGGCTTGTGAAGCTTCCAGCGTCACCTGGGGAGCAACTTTTCCCTTTCCAATTTGGTCCTTTTCGGAGAAGGCTTCTTCTGCAGGCAATATATCCTCCGCCAATGGATCTTCCTCAGGCGCAATAATGTAAGGCTCATCTGTGGAGGAAGCTTCGGTGGGGATAGCTTCCTCTACTACATTATGCGGCTCTGCAGCAACACCACTACTTGCGACGAAATTCCAAGCTCCATTTCCACGGCATCCCAGATTGTGAGTGACATGTACTGGGGTGGGAGGCGCTTCTTCTGAAGCAGGAGCTTCATCCATAGAAACAGGCGCTTGCTCAGCTGCAGGAATATCCCTGCCAGATGCTGCAGCCTTCTTCCCTTTTTTCTTTTGCCCCTTAGACCTTAAAGTTGAAAGAGTCAATTCCGAGATTTCCAGTTCTCCTTCGACATTACCACCACTGTTATCATGACAAGGAGGTCGGTCATCGTGCTCCGACTTTTCGCCTTGACGAGGTGTCACTTCGCAGAGTGGACTTTGGTCGTAAGCTTGTGCTTCATTTATCCCGGCTAAGGGTTTCATTTCGTGTTCTAGAGGAGTGTTAGCAATATATATAGGAACAGGCGGGACTTGATATGAAAGAAAAAAGCATATAGAAACATACCTATCCAGCTACTCTCGTTGTTCTCTTCTGCCTTAGAGTCCGCCTTCGCTCCATCAAGGCTGGATGTATGACTGCAGCTGCAAGGATTGAAGACCTGTTGGGAGCCAACAAGGAAGCTTTCAAAGGCAGAGCCAACCTCAGTGCGTTGCTTCTTGTCCGCTGCCAGCATCTCCTCGATTGATGATCTTTCCAACTCGTCAAGTTCAGCTCTCCGACGCGCAATATCTTCAAATTGATCTGTGAGCTTGCGTTGGAGCAGATTTTGATGCTGCACAATTTCCTCTATGCTAGCTTGTAGCTGCGTTTTGAGTCCCACTACCTTCTCCGCTCGTTGGGAGTCATTAAGAGCTTCTGCAAAGGTGATAGCTGCACTGAGCATGTTCAAAATTCCGGCTGCGCTAGTTGGAAGGCGATGAACAGCTGAGTGACGAAGAGTACTTGTTCCGAAGAGCACTTCAGCGATACTTTTACCGGGAACCATTTTGATAGCGGATGGCGGTAGAAATTTGGCGTATCTCAAAAATCTCTTGGTCCATTCGGTGAGTTCAATGGACTCTGCTTCTTTCCATTTCCGCGCCTCCATCAAATCTGGAACCCAAGTGTTGCCGAAATCCAGACAGCATTCCTCAAGCAAAGATTGGACTGGGACTAGGATTCTATGTTGCGTTTTGAATGGCAAATAGACAGGGTGAAGCCTGGGGATAGACAGCGCGTGGTGTGCTTGGGTTGTCGATTGTTGGCTGTCAAGAAGATTAGCTACGTGACTGTCCTGTCTCGAGCGTTTATACTTGCCACAGTCTGACAGCGTTGATTTGAACATTGTCCCCAGCCTCGACTTTGTCTTCTAATGTTCCCTCAGGCTCAGCCTGCTGTTCGCCTTGCTCAAAGTCCGGGCACTCGTCTCCTCCCTCGTCATCGGATGTCAACACTATGTCTTGTGCTGCCTCGGCCTCGATCCGGATGACTTCTGCCTCCGAGGCCGCTCTCTCGGCCTCTTGCGTCTCTGACGGCTGGAACAACTCTGGGTAACGGAGCTTTGCCCGGGGTAAGGATTCGAAAATCTGCTCTTCTAGCAACTCTTTCGCAATTGCAGCAACGGCTGGCAAGGTAAACTCCTTTGTGAGGATTTTGATAGATGCCTTATGCTTCTCAAGAAGCTGAGAGATCTTCTTTACCTTTCGGACTTGCGCGTTTGCCCCGCTGAAGATTGATGAGCAGTGGAGATAGACCAGCCTCCCATCTGGAGAACGCTGCTTAGCCATGACGAGGCGATGAAAGTAATGTTAGGTACCGAATTAATTGACATATAAGATACTATCATATAGCCGAAGCGTCCATCTGATCCTCGTTTGGAACCGTATCTTATATGTAAAGGAGCCTTATGATACGGGCAAATTACTAATTCATATAGATTCATAACCCATCTTACATTTTTGTACCCCTCACCAAGAAAATGGGGTATGAATTTATAAGTTGCCATTCCTTGAGGTACGATTTTGTCAGTTACTATAGTGTCAGGATCAGCATAGGTGTGCATCTCCGGTCTACCAGCCATGGGGGCCATGGCTATTGAGAGGGGGGAGGGGGTAGTGTTACCAACTTATCTTCGGACAGTCCCCCTCCGATAGTCCCCCGTCAAAATATGTGCTGGGGCGCGGGCTACCCAGTAGTGAAAAGCTAGCTAAGTATTGTGGGAACACTGAGAATATCGCTATAATTAAACATGTTTACGGTACTATATTTGATTGAATCTCCGGATCCTCCCCATAACGATATCTAAGAAATAGATTACATCGTCGATCAATCTCAGAATATATGAGATTCTCTACAGCCTCATGATCACCGTATCGAATTGCAGTAGATATCGCCGAGTAGATATGTGTGTTACGATTAAATGCCAATCGTTCTAAGAAGGCCAAGCGAGACTCGCTCTGTACCCAAGAGTATACGTCCTCGAGAGCGTCAAGTAACTGCCCGTGACGTATCCCGTCCTTATCCTCGTCGTTCTCGTTCTCGTCCTTGTCCTCGTCGTCCTTATCCTCGTAGTCGTCGTCCTCGTCGTCCTTATCTTCACTCGTAGTAACGATATCGATAATATCGTTATATAGCTTTAGAACAGTGTTCCGTTCGTTGAAAATCCGAGCTTCTTCCAGCTGTTCTACCGTATCCCGAAGCTCTTTATCTCGCTGTTTTTGTTGAATACGAATAGGATTCTCGTAATCTTTTTAAGTGGGAAGACTGTGATCTCGATGTAAATCCTATACGTCAAAGGTTGAACGTTATGTAGGATCTTGACAGCGAAATTGGAGATTATCGTATCGATGAGGAGGATTGGGGAGAATTCTAGTAGATGATTTGTTAAAGCCTTCGAATGTGTATTGAGGAGGTCTATGAGGTGTTGCAGGCTGAGGTTGACAGCGTATTGTTATGTTGTAGAGTGTGGGATCTCGACGTTGCCATGGATTTTGTTGATTTCTCTGGAATTGTAGCTGATTTTGGGAGTGTAATTGCGAGAGGGCTGGATTCTGTTGATTTCTCTGAAATTGTAGCTGATTTTGGGAGCGTAATTGCGAGAGGGCTGGATTTTGTTGATTTCTCTGGAATTGTAGCTGATTTTGGGAGCGTAATTGCGAGAGGGTATGCTTATTTTCCTGTTGTTGACGCTTTTTTTGATGACGATTCGCAGTACGTATGGCAGCAGAAGAAGGGGTACCATAATTGAAAAGAGTTAACTGAGACATAATTTGTAGAGACAGAATTCTTTTTAGAGAAGAAATGGAGAGAGACGGAGATAAAGTTGAGATTATTAACAAAATTTGATGTTCGTAGCCAAGAAATTTAGTTACTTCCCGAATAGGTACCTAGCCACGCGGGTAGCAAAAGAGCCCGTACACCCTAACTATATGGAGATAAGCGCCTTCCCCTTACCAGAATTCTTCCATTTTTCTCCATTAATAACCTGTCATTTGACCGTCACCGTCTATCATAGCCTGAAGCCTTTCAGGCATACTATTTACACGCTCGTTAATGAATTTCTGAGTTATATGCTCCTCCCAGCCAACCACAATATAGTGCTTCGTAGTGTGGAAGAGCCTCGCTTCTCCTAGCCGTTTGCGGGCTAGGGTGTACGGGCTTTTTTGCTACCCGCGTGCTGGCTTTCTCGATTCAGATCTTGGCAGTACTTTTCAAAACTTGTCGACAGGAAGAAAGCTAGCTTTCCAACTAAAAAAGCCTCCCGCGCACGATTTATACGTTAATCTTATCGATAATCCATTTGTGAGAGACTTTTGTGACTTGACAGACCACTCCAATAACATATTGATCTGTATTCATACAAACCCGGTGTTCCGGCATCTGTTAGCCTTAATCTACACGATCTATTCACGCTCGCTGCAACAAATCCAGGACTATGTATTAAAAAGCCAACCTTCAGCGCGATCATGGCGGATCCACTTTTGAGCTCCCTGTGCACCATCTGGTCTGTAAATCTTCTCACTTTTGCAAAAGACATCCTCCGCTGACGATACACCTTTTCAAGCCACGTCCACCCCCACAAGTACCGCTGTCCCCGCTGCTCCACCCTCACATGCTCCCTTCCCTGCATCAAACGCCACAAGCAATGGGCCCAATGTAACGGCGTCAGGGACCCGACAAAGTACATGAAGCGGGCGGACCTTGCAACACCAAAGGGGATCGACCATGATTACAACTATCTTACGAGTATCGAGCGGGAACTTGATCATGCTGAAAAGAATGCTATATCGAGGGGGTTCATGCTGGAGGAGGAAAGGAGGAGGGGTAAGCAACCGGCGAAGGGAGAAACACAGTTCAATGCTGCAATTGAGAGGTGTGGGGTTGTTGTTGCGAAAGCACCGAAGGGCATGACGAGGAGCAAGCGGAATGCGACGATCTGCAGTAAAAAGTAAGAGGGTTCAGTGTTGCGGAACGGCTGTACTGACTCGAGTGCCGGATAGGAATCGTACTCTTCAGTGGACCGTGGAGTGGGTACACCCTGACGGCAACAAGACAATGGATAAACTGTGGGAGACGCAAAGCATATCTGCTGCTTACGACGACCATCTCAGATATCTAGACAGGAGTCACCCAAAAAAAAGACGGAAACCTGATCATAAATACAAAGACTCGGCAGCGTCGGCTACATTCGTATCATCGAGCGTACCAGCCCATGACTCTACTGTAGGAGAACAACCAAGTGGGTCCACTACGATGGCTCCTGTGGGTAAGCGAAAACGTGAGGAGGATGAAGCTCGTGTGAACCGCAACGCTGAGGGAGAGAACCCGAATATGGCTGTTGCCGAAGACACTGGCGATTCAGGAGCCATCAAAAACTCAGCATCTATACCTGCGTCGTCCGACGCTTCGCCGGTGACAGAACCAGCGCCGAAGGTGGATTTCAACTTCTACCTACACCATCCATCTCTACCCTCACGACATCCAGTCGTAATACCACTTCCCCCGGACGCCAAACTAGCAACCTCACTGACCAACAGACTTGTACTCGAGTTCCCAACAATATATGTATTGCGCAGCCAGCCGGATGGCAGATTGCCTGAGGGATTGGTGAGTGAAGAGGATTTCTTTGCTTCGGCGAAGAAGGAGTCGATCGAAGAAATAGCAGGCGAGAAAACCTCCGTTGGTGGATTTGATGGGAGATTTGAAGAGAGAAAGGCACATGATCTAGAGGATGGCGAGGTGGATCAGGGTCGTCTGCTAGAAGTCTTGGGGAAGGATTTGAAAGGGATCGCGGGCTCGCTGTAATGCTGGACGACCCAACCACTCTCGTGCTGTTGTTGCTTCATTTGCCGCAGAGATACCCCGTCAAGGTTCATGACCTTTGAGTATTCAGAATACGAACGATTTGAATCTGAGTCTATTATATACCTTTTTGCCTGTGCCGTTCCCCGACATTCTTTCTCGGGACTCACCTCCTCACTTGGGTACACCGACTTCATTCTCGTAGACAGCCTGTTGTCCCTATGCCCAGCTCCTCAACCCTATCCTCAGCGCCATGTCGCCATTCCTCCACGGCCTCCGACGCTCAACCCCACCCCTCAAACCGCCTTCTCCAGCTCGAAGAGAATCCCTCCATATCATCACCCTTACGCCAACTTCCCAGGCACAACGGGATGACCGGCACTCAACCCGCCATCCACCGCCCACCCCTGCCCATTAACATAACTCGCCTCGTCACTGCCCAGAAACAGCGCCACCCTGGCCACCTCATCCGCAACCGCTCCCCTCCTCAACGGATTCAACTGTCCCACCTTGCCCTCCGTCCCTCTCGCTCTCGCCATCGTGAACAGCGGCGCCGTCATGCCCGTCTCGATCAACCCCGGCATAATCGCGTTGACTCGGATCCCCGTCCCGCTCAGCTGATACGCCGTCGTCTGCACCAAGCTCCTGACGGCAGCCTTGGAGGCCGAATAGTCCGTCGAGCCGGCATTGCTCCTCAACCCGGCCACCGAACTCGTGGCGATGATACTCCCGCACGGGAACTTCTTCTTTCCCCCCTCCCCCTCCCCCTCCCCCTCCTCCGACGTCGTCGTCCGCATCATAGCCGCCGCCGCGTACTTGATCGCCACGAACACGCTCAGCACATTCGTCCGCATCGTCTTCATGAACTCCTCCCCTCCCACTTCGCCAAAATGCTTGTTCGTCCCGACGACGCCCGCGTTCGCGAAGTATATGTCCAGCCGTCCGTATCGAGAGAGGCATTCGTCCACGACGGCTGCTACGGCGGCTTCGTCCCCGGCGTCGAATTGCCGCGCGTGCACTTCGACCGTCGGATACAACGATTGTAGTTCTCGGACGTGCACGGAGAGGTGTTGGTCGCTAAAATCGCATATGTAGATGGCGCGGGCCCCATTGTGGGCGAATTGGTGGGCGGAGGCGCGGCCGATGCCGAGGGGGGAGTTGGTGCCGGTTATGATAACGACTTTGTCCTTAACTCTCCTGCCCATCCACGTCTAGATCAGCTTTTGTCCCTCAATCATCAATTGGCGAGGAGGAAGGGCAGGGAGGGGGGCCATACGCTCCGGCAGAGTCTCCCGCTATGCGGCGTATTCTGGGTATGTCCTCGAATGTGCCAGGGTCGGCGGGCTTGACGACGAGCTGTTCGCTAAGGGCTTGGAGACGAGTTTTGGAGACTGATGTCATGCTGGGGTTCTTGAGGGCGTTGAGGAGCTGGTGGTCCTCGTCGGACGACATTTCAGTCGATGCGGGGAGGGTGGAGAGTTGCGGGGATGTTGGACCGAGGCAGAAGGGGAAGCCCTCAGTGCCAAGGCGCTAGGAATCTACAGCCAGGCAAGCCGTTAACTCAGGAAAAGTGGCAGTCGAAAAATGTACAAATCCACCCAACGCCAAGAATCGACTTGAGAAACAGCGGTTTTTGACGCCCAACAGTGACTCTTGATGGGACAGTCTTAGGAAAGGTGGCAGACGAACCGGGTACAAATCCTCAAACTTCAATCAAAGGAACATCAGCCAAAAAGTTTCTAAGCCATTCAACGCCCTTCCCAAGGCCCTTCTCAATGCCATTCCCGACCATGAAGAACAAATGCTCTTGGTTCGATGCCCAAAACCAACACGAGAAGGCAAAGTTCTTGGTGCCCTCGACCGCAACTTATCTGGACAGCTTGCCTAAGCTGCCTTTCGGTTCCAGAAGGGAAAAAATGAGAATTTGTCGAAGTAAAGAACTTTCGGTAGGATCTTCAATCATTCGTCCCATACATGGAAGAAAGCCAAGCTTCTCCGACGCGGAGGTCAGAAAGTTACAAAGTTGCTGCAACTTGGTGACTGCTCGTTTCAATGTGTTGCCATGTCAATATAATGGCATCATTTCTGCACACCAAGAGGAAATTTGCTCAATTGATCGCTGTATGCCGTGGGTATCATTGTAGCCAATAGAAAAGAAAGGGACGAATGATTCATCACTTGATCATTTCCTCCCCTTCGAAAAAAGGCCTCGGCTCCTGGAAACTCAGCTGTCCTCCACTGGTCCCACTGCTGACCGCCTCACTAGCACCACTGCTTCCCCTCGTCCTCCCCTTCTCCCTATCCCTCTCCTCTTCCACAGCCTTATATCGCCTCTCCTCTACTTCACTCCTCTGGACTACCTTCTTCAACGCCTCACTAGCTCCAATAAGCCCATCAATACTGATCGCATGATCTGTCATCTCGTTACCAATGTAGCCGTAGACTCTGGCGGCGCTGTCGCATTCTAGTAGCTGGGGTTCATTCAACTTGAGCAAGGCTAGAGCAATTTGGAAGAGAAAGGTGCTGCCGTCATTGAAGCAAAAGATGACATCCCAGACACGGAAAAGCGCTTCGGCGGAGAGACAGTCAGTGAAGACTGAGAGGAACCATTGGAAGGTTAGCGCTTCCAGTTCGATTCCTAATTCATCCAAATGTGCAGAGAGCTTGGGTAGGACTTCAGCAACGTATTGGCGCAGGACTTGCTGGTCTGCGCGGGAGGCTAGGAGTGAATGATCGTAGTAGTGTTGGGGAAGAACATTCTCAATGATCGTTGTGAGCAACCAAAAAGCGTCTTCGGCGGTCGGCATGACAAGCAGCAGGGAGGCGGTAATCAGATTCATACCTTGGCAGTAGCCGACCTGCGGGTTGCGCCGGGAGTAGGCAAGGAGGACTTCGTTGAGCTTGGTGACACCGGGACCTTTGCGGAAGAATACGTTATCGGTTAGGGTGCGGTGGATGTCCATTTGGATCTGGGAGACAATGACAGGGTCGTCAGTCTCGCTTGCGACGAGATCGTCATAGTGGCCAGGGACACGGAGAGCTGTGGCACCGCTGCATTCGGCCCAAATCTTTGAGCGGTACGCGACTGGGATACCGGCCAGAACGAGCTGTCTGAATTCCTTCCATTTGGCACGTCCGACTTTGCCCTTGTTTCCTAGGCCTGCGACTCCGATCAATTCACCATCTGTAAGGAGCATTTCTGGCATAATGGCTTGTTTGAAACGAGAATCGGAGACTGTTGCTGACTCTCCTTCCTTTTTTCGCTCAGCCCGGACCTTCCGTAAGAATCCATTCCATTTCACAGTCCTCTCGCGCTGCAGACTGTCATGGAGCTCTGTGAGCTGCGCCAGTAGGAGCTTGACAGGTTCACCTTCGGAGGAGGTAGACGTGGCTAGGGCATTCGAAGATTCGAGGAGTATCTTGGACATTTCGGCGTTTCCTGCCGTGACAGGTGACATCTCTGGTTCCGGGTTGAAGCTCGTGGACGGTAACGAGCCTCGCGCATCGCCAACAGTTGGCGCCCGTTTCAGAGTACCAGGGCTGTCGGCGCTTATGACCTTTGTGGCGGGCTTTGCGGATGGAGTATGAGAAAGCAGCTCGGTTGGGAACGTCGCAACTTTGAGATAATCCTGCCAACGCTTGGTTGGCTTCTCATCCGTCTTATCATCTACGGACACTGGAGTGTCTGGTCGCTGCACAGAGTTGGCCTTTGACCTTTGAGACATTTGATCGGGGTCTTTATTCTTCAGAGATTCCAAAGTGCCGCTGAGTAGCTCCACGTTCGCGCTAGCATTCGATTTCCCTCTAGCATGAGTACGGGTAGACTCCGCCTCTCTCTTCCTGCGACGCTGGTCGTAGATGAACCCGAACCTGTCGGTAAGAAGGTCCGCGGTGTCTTTGTAGTTGTTGAATTGTGTTAGCGTGGGAGGCTTTGAGTCGGGCGGGTGGATAGTGTCCATTTCGACAGGACCAAGATTCGTGGCAGCATCGACAACATTGAGACTCACAGGCGTCTGAGAGATCGAGGGCTGCGAAGAGACTTTTATAGTACCGCCTTGTGCAAGTGTAAGGGGTCGCACTGTGTTTCGAGAGGACTGAGCAGAGGGTTCCATGCTGTTAACCTTCATCAACGCTGCTTTGGCTGACGTAGGTGCTGGACCTGAGGTCGTCGATGCCGTTCTTGCATTCTTGGGTTGCCCATCGCCAGTAGTAGCCGATCTTCCTCTTATTGTGCCTTGGCCTGCCTGAGTATTCCCAGCGAAAAGTTTCATGGTCCAGGACGCAACGGATGTTGACGACTTACGTGATTGTTTGGTGTCAGAACTTTGGGTTGTTGAAGCACGAGCAAGCGGCTGGAAAAGATCATCATCCAGACCTTTCCTGCGAGCGTTGCTTCCGCTGAGGCCCCGAGCTCGCGTAGTGTCTTCCCCGTCCCCGTTGGAGTCGCTTATGATGCTGCTCGCTCGACTCGTCTTGCGGCTTGTAGCATTTGCGCTCCAGAGATAGTCCTTCCACCCTCGGAGAGTACTGTTTGGCCGACCTGAGTCCATACTCGATACTGTGGATCGCCCATCCGACTCTTTTGAAAACACGCTTCGGGCTTTCAGCGTAGCTTGCCTATCGACCTCGTCCAGCGAGTCTAAATATCCCTCGTCCAACTCAGTATTGGGGCCCAGATGATCCTGCATGGCCTCTCCCATCATTTCATCGATGCCATTCGCGACACCAGGCATCCTATCCTTTCCGCTCATTCGCCCTGACTTCTTCCCATCTGCTCTCGAAGGTGGATCTTGTAGTTTTATTTCATTTTCAGCCCATTTGTCGAGACGATGAAGCCTGGTTTCAATATCCAGATTGGACACCTCCACCTCCCTCAGCATCTTCTTGAGTTCCCTTTCCCGCTCTTCTGCCCGCCGTCTGAGTCTTGTCATTTCAGCATCCCGCGCCGCCAAGTCCTCTGCGAGTTGTCTAACCAACGCGACCGCACCGTTCTTTCTGATAAGATTGCGTACGTGATCATCGCTGGCGTGGTGAAGGGCGCCAGGGAACTCACTGGGAGGGTTTTTAGGTGAGTCTTCGAAAAGCGCCGAGCGGCCTCGAAAAGATGGAGTGCTTGTGACGAGAGACTCAACGATAGATGGGTTCGTCTTGGACGGCCTGCGAGGGATTTTATCTGGGGACTTGGGCTTCGGGCTGGCAACAAGCTGCTTGTCTTGCTTCAAAGCGCTGGGCGAGATTTCTGGGGACAGCGAAGGGAATGACTCAAGTGTTTTGGCTGATGTTGGTGTGACTAGAGATTGATTTCGTGAGCGTACTCTGACAGTGCCGGACCCTCGTGAAGCTGTAGACATCTGGGAGGAGGTCCGCTCCAGGGTCTTGTCATGACTGGAGCCAGCCATATGTATGTATGTGGGTGGATGATAGCATCAACGCACTTTTCAAGAAATCAGAAGAAGGCTGAGAATGCTTGCGACCCAGACCTAGAAGTCATAGTTGTCGGTGACGATGACGAGGGTGCAGACAGGACTTTCGTCATAAGATGGGAAGGATGCCGCACCTTCCCTCCTTGCATCTTCTCCGCACAGCGACAGCATCAGGACGAGGCCTTCAGGAAACGATGCATCTGATTCATATGAATGCTTGTTGAAAGAGAAACCGATATCTGTCACCATAAACTCTTCTGGAGACTGAAGGATTGCGCAGGCGGCAAATTCGCGTTTCGGGGTTGTTCACTGTTGGCAGCTTGGAATGGCCACGGATATTTGGCACGCGCAAGCCCTAAAGCCCGATGATGCACCTTATCGCCGTCTTGGCGTGACGGTTTCTGGTCGTACTTCCCACGGCTTTCCTCAGTACTAAATAGGTACAGTAGCACTGAATCGGCTACGACCCCTCTCCCCATGCTCTCCATAACATATTTTCGTGTTTCCGATTGCGTTCGCGGGTCGATGTAAAGAGATACTCTTGCTCGAGTTGTAGAAAGTTGCTTGCCTGCCACAGTGACGGCCTTGTCGCTCTACCTCACACCCTTTCAACTTTGGGTAGAGCTGAGGGGTAAGTCGGGGCTCTCTTGCAGGTGCGCGCGCTAGATATCTGAAAAGATTTGCCAAACCAGCCAACGCCTCCTTACCCTAATCTAGCAATGGGTTGGGTCGGGGAACCTCGAGACGAGCCAGAGCTTGAGCGAGAGGAGGCCATGGGACGGCATCTTGCATGCCCACCTCGTATGGTAGATTTGTCAAATCTGCCGGAGTCAAATTCACAAGCCTTAAGCCATGGAACCACTAAGCATCACTGCAAGTCCGGTTGCCATCACTCAATTGACTACTGACTTTATCATTGTACCCTGCTCTCTCTCTGCTACCATGAAACGCTAGAATTTAAGACGAAGCTCACCAAAGATCAATCGAGGGTCAAAAGGTCTCTCGAGTGGCCTTTCGAAAAAGAAGAAATCAAAGAAGTCATCAGGCGGCTGAGAAGTCTCAAGTCCTTGTTGGATACTGCCTTCGCTAGCGATCATTTGATAACTTTTACTCTAGCATTGTCGGTCCACTAGTCTTGTCATCTTGATCCATTGAGAATCAAGTTATAATACACTGATACAAGCCCAGGGTCTTGAGGCTCGACAGTCGCGAAGACATGTCCGACGTTGTCAATTCACTGCACGCGGCTGCAACCAAAAACCTGAATTCACGCCTGGCTAGCTGGTTCTCAGCTCCAAATTCATCTTCATTCCTGAATACTGCGCAGACTAAGCGGCAGCAAGACACTGGAACCTGGCTTTTGGAAAGCCCTATCTTCCTCGGCTGGAAAGGTGCACCCCATTCTTTCCTTAGGCTGCATGGTAAAGCAGGTTGCGGAAAGACTATCCTGGGCTCTACTGTGCTTTGTTCTCTGCTCGATGATAGTAATAGCAACGAAATGGTTGCGTGTTTCTACTTCGACTTCCAGAAAAGCAACTATTTCAAAACTTTCTGAACTCGTTAGTAGTCCAGCTTTTCAGCCAAGATCCTTAAGTGTCCACAATTGTTGAGGAGCTTTACATTACGTGCGATAGTGGAAGCAGTAGGCCAACTATACAAGACACTTGTGATGTGCTTCAACGTATTATCGACGAAAGTGCGGCCTCAGTATACATAGTCGTCGATGCTCTCGACGAGTGCCAAGAAACTTGGAAGGTCTGAGAGACATGCGAAGCTGGAATCAAAAGAACCTTCACTTCTCCGGTACTAGCCGACAAGAGACTGAGATTAAAGACATCTTGTACTCTCTGGCAACGGACATAATTCCGTTGGAAGAAAGCGTCGTTGATGGAGACATCCTTACATACGTTCCGTATCAGCTGCAACATGATTTCAAGCTGTTGGAACGGTCGGAGGAGACCCATAAGGAGATTCAGATTGCTCTGTTGAACGGTGCAAATGGAATGTTTCGATGGGGAGTGTGCCAGCTTGATGCCATTCGAGTTTGCATGAGACTTGGTCTTCTCCGAAAAGCTTCACGGAGCCTTCCTAAGACATTGGATGAGACTTATGCTCGTATAACGACCAAAGTTCCTAAAGAACACGTCGAAGACGCTGGCAGGATACTCTCCTACCTGATACGTGCGTTTGGTCCAGTCACAATTGAAGAAGATGCCGAGACTACGGGCGCCGATGTCAGTGCAGCCAGACATGGGATTGATGCGGCGATTCTGTACGGACCAATTCTCCAAGGGAACATTGACCTGATGATCACACTCCTCGACGCAGGCGCAGATCCTAACGGAGATGACAAACCGGAAACCCACTTAATTTTGCACTTCGATGGGGGCAGGCTGCAATGCGCCAAGCTGCTCATCGAACGTGGAGCTGACCTGGAACGCATAGGTTTCTGCCTCATTTCCGCTCTATACAGCCAGCGTGACATGAAAGGCTTTCGGCTTTCTATGGAGTTAGCGCTCAAAGCGAAGCCCAATCTAAACACTGAATTGCTGTCAATTATACCAGCGAACCACGGGCACAGCAACTTCGTCATTCTAGTGCTCTTGACTGGAACTGCGCCAAATGTTCAGGACGAAGACGGCGTTACAGCAATACATGGCGCAGCCTTTACGCCTGCAAACAGCACTCAGATAGTTGAGCTATTGCTTGATGCCAATGCCAATGTACACGGTGGACCTTTTGGGGGTACTCTTCAAGCAGCAGCGTTGTCAGGAAAAGCCAAACCCATCTTGATTTTGCTCAAGCGTGGTGCCTTGCCTGATTATACAGGAGACTCATATGGTACGCCCTTCCAGATCGCACAAAAGAGGCTCAAAGACTTGGAGAGAGTGCTATAAAATAGAAAACGGAATGGTTATCTCAGAGACTGTGGGCCAGATGGCTTTCATGATGGGACCCCTAAGACAGCTTCTGTTGGGAGAGAAAAGAAGCCTGCAAACCGGGTTGGAGATGACTACGTCCCTCATCTCGACTTCTCTCGCTTGCCATACGCAGACTACCAGGCTATCATTGATGTCCTCCAGTCTCGTAATGCTCTTTAGGTGACATCGAATCTGTTTCCGCGATCGACATCTTGGAACGTGATCGTAGCAAAGATGCTAGCGGCAACCCTGGAAATGTTCCTAGCTTTACGAATCCGCTGCGAAACGGTCTGTGGTCCAACAATCCCACATGGACCTGTCCCTTTTCTGAGATCAATAGTGGTAAGTTTTCTCCGCTGCAAGCTGATAGGCGCTTGGTCCGAGTCGCGCCTGCAAAATCTGCCTAGGAATCGATTATCTGAAGTTTTGTCGACACGTTCTACAAAGAATTGACAAATTGTGGGATGAAGGGGATATCAGTCTCTGTGATGTAATTGAGGAGGAAAGATGGGGATTTCATTAATTGCCGGCAAGCAAAGCTCTTGACGATTACTCGTCCGCGAAATTGGAAGTGAATAAGGCTTCCAAGTTGCCCGGATCACTGAACAAGGTGGGTACTTCGCGTTGACAGCCACAAGGTGCTTGCGCTACCTTTTGGACTCATATAGCGCAAAGTGCATTCATCATCGTGCATTCATCAGGAAGACAAGCGTCTGGCTCCCAGTCCTTAGCCATCAGTATAAGCTATGTGGGCCTGTTCTCGATGATGTTATGAATTCGTTCAGCATCGAACCCTCGTCACCTGTGCAGCCCTTGATACTAAATCCCTTTGGGACAAGGTGGGAGCACAGCCGTCACCAAGCTCAGTCGTTCTCTCCCCTTAAACCACGGCAGCACCCCTACACCCCGTAATTCCATATCCTTTTCCTCTCCCTTTTGCCTGCGCCACCAAACCTCTCACTGCTTTTTGAAACGCTTTCGGCTGCCAATCTATGGGTATCTCATTGATATGTTCCTTCCTAAACGTCATCTGCTGGCCATCCTTCAATCCAATCCAGTCCGACAGTCGGTACGTGCCTTGAGCTTTCCCCCAGAAAGTGCCATCCTTGATTTTGGTGATTTCGAAGTAGATAGCTTCGCTGCATTTGGTGGTGGAATTTTGAATGATGAGCCGAACGATGCAAGAAGGGAAAAGCTTGCAGGCTGTTTGAGAGGGGAGGATGATGCCAGACCAGTCAGTGTTAGTGTCTTGAGTTATTGGGATGAGGGTGCGTGGCATGATGGTGAGAGTGAGCTTTGCTATGGCGATAGGCGATGGATAATAGAGTAAGGGTAGGAGAAAGTGCTTTCGATAGTGCAAGATAAGCGGTAGACCTCGATGTTGAAGTTACGAAGAGGAAGGGCTTCTGCAGATTGAACCAGGATGGAATGGAGGTAGCTGTATTCATAGCATATCTGGTTTTTGAGATTGAGTCATCTTCGCGACAAGACAGCCGCAAACGTCGCGCACAAATGAAATGGCCGCATTTACAATACACTGTCTGCCGGCTCTAAAAACAGGAAACACCAAGACTGTACCAGTGTATCTTAAGACGTTGTAATGTTACGAATGGAGAAAAATCTGTGTAGAGTGTAGACTCGAAAATGGTCGTCGTGCCAACGTTTTTGCGCTAGTCCGTTTTTGGATCATTGCGATACAATCAAGCGCGATCAATAATTTGCCCCGCGTGTCATGGGCAGGGCAATGGCAAACGAACGTCGACCGCCACGGAGACCAACTAACAACAGCAGCATTGGCATTATGTTTAGATTATGATTATCTGATATCTTAACTTCAGGCTTTCGGCCTACAAGAGTGCGACGACAGTTGGTGACACGAAGCGAACTCTCGAGCGGCGCCGACACCATGGATCAATGGCTCGACTCGTTGTCTGAAGACTGGGTGTCGCAACCTGCCTCTCCTCGCTCAACCTCAAGCAAGCAGACTTCAACTTTGAGGGATGCATCGAGTCCAAATAGCAATGGCTCGCAAAGCCGCATACCCCGCTACAAACCTCGCTCGGCGTCGAACCTGTCAATAACTGGTAGGAAAGACGACGGACTGGACTCATCGCTGCGAAGAGCCAACAGCAGTGAGACTGCGCTGAGGGAGAAGACGTCGTCCAACCTCAACGCCTCGCGCAACCGGTTGCACAATGGACAAGTCAAGTTGCAGGGCCCAGGAACTGCGTCAAGAAAGGCACTTGGGCGGCAGGTCTCTGCAGAATCGACGCCAACGGTGCCGCAAGATACCGTTCAAATAAAAGCTTCACCGGCAAAGAATATCGATGGGCAGGCTACACCGGATTGGAAGAGGAGGGTACTCAAGGAAAATTTGGGAAAGGGAGACCTGTTCAGTCCCATTGGTTTGGAGAGTGTGTTCAAACCACCCACGATTGGTTCAAAGCAAAAGTCAAAACCTGCGATGAAGAAGAAGCCCTCGAAGATACAAGACTTTCCGTCAAGCCCTCCTCCATATCCTGCACTTACACGCCAAGGTCCAAACACTCCTGATGGCGACCCCAAGAAGCCCAAATTGATTCTGTCGCCCCGGTCAGAGCTTTCAGGAAAGGAAGATTCAATATACATGGCTCCACAGGAGATTGAGCTTCCTTCAACGATTGGAAAAAGGACGGAAAGGGTTTCCAGTGCCAACATTAGAACTTCCGGTCCAATACCATCGCCAGATGCAATTATGGGCAGATCACCCGTGTTACCTACTGCTCCTACTCCTTCTCAACTGGGAGCGTATGACGGATCAAGTCTTCAGTCTGCATCAAATGGTACGAATGATAGCAAAATCTCCAGTGTTCCGGAGAAGGCCCGTGATGAGAACATCAGCCCTTTCTATGTCTCTCGACACAATACCGTGGATGGACGTGTCGAATACGCCGCGATCGATATGTCTATGCGGCGGCTAAGGTCGCAGATGGACAAGCTACGTACGCAGCAGCAAAACATACCTAGCTCTCGCTCGAGTGACCACGAGATCGATTACGCGGATTCTCGGCTCTCTGATAGGTCACCCTGCCTAGGACAATTGGACGAGCTTACGAGCCAATCTCTGCCGGATGATCTGTCCATGGGCACAGATGCATACGCTGCCAACGGAGGCTTCGTCAGCATACACAGAGGAGGTTATTCCAATGATGGATCGTTTCAAAGACGTCCACTGAGCCCATCACTATTGCAAGACTTGGATGGACCAATTATGAAATCTCAGACGTCCATCACCCACGATGTGGTACCGTCTCCTAAATTGCCTGAGATGTTTTCTCAAACCAAATCGAGCATGCCCACTTCACCACCAAAGACTCCTAGCCACCAAAAGAATGACAGCGCTGGCAGTTATGAGAGGCCTAGATCTTCTGGCAGCCCCTTGAAGCTATTCGATAAGTACGATACATTCACAAATGATAGACTGGCACGGCGTATGAGTAAGTTTGAAGAGACACTGCAGCGGGATCTGCAAGAAGATTCGAGTGCAAAGAGTGTCAATGCACGGTCTTCTCCTTCCCCGGGGCCGAAGAGACGCTTACAAAGAAGCCATCATCAACAAAGCGACAACGGTAAAAAGAGTCAAAGGATCAGTAGCTTTGGAAGCAGCGACCTAGATGATCATCAATTTCCGGCTTATGAAACAACAGGATCGCGTTCGCAAGACGCAGATGCTCCTGAATCACCACAGTCAGACCCTAGCGATTTTCGATTTGAGCGTCCATCTCTTGATCGCTCCTGTGGGAAGATTGCGAGAGACAGCAGAAAATTTAAGGCCCGAGGAAAAGACGAGGGTGACACGCTGGAGCAACGTCATGAAAGCCGTCCCAGAGGAGCGCGGGCAAAGAGTACCAAGGAGCGCCATCATCAAGTCGAGCTTGGGCAGCGTAACGTCCTGCAAACTAACACAGGAAAGCGATTGCCTTATTCTCCAGCAAAGGATCCTGCACCAAAACGTCGAAGAACTCTACGTAGCTCCGAGGAAATAAATCAGGATATTGCACAGCTCCGGCAGCAAGTGGAAATCAAGGAACAGCCCGTCTCCATGACAGGCCGAAAGAGGAAAGACGCGCTCTACAACACCGACAACCAAGTCGCTGACCCAAATGTACTTGCCATGCGCCATATACGACAGCCCAAATTGCCAGCCTCGAGTCCGGTGAGCTCTGCAGTGCAGCAGACCACCTCAAGAATCTCTGGCCTCCCACCTCAGCCGTCTCCAGTCCCAGTGCACAACCAGGATGGCGCCTCTGCCATAGATCCTCCTACACAAATCGTGGCAGGAGCTTTAGCTACTATCGCTCTCAACACAGTGCAAGATATCACTTATGGATCCCGCAAAGCTTCTGTCACGACAGCAGATTTCTTCAACGAAGCTCAACAGATCATGCAGCTAATCCGTAACCAAGGACGCCCACGAAGCAGTCACACTACTGCAGATGCGTCGGAAGTAGGCCAGCCAACAATTGCTGAGGAATCTGTTGTGGAAGACTCCACCAAAGATGAGTTCTCAAGGCCACCTAGCCGAGAGGGACATAGTCCTCCACGGTTGAGGATTCCTGCGCAGACGGATGCGAGGGTGATCAGCCATCTTCGCAAATTTGAGGAACAAGAAACCTTGGGCCTTGCACTTTCTTCATCGCTAAAAACGCTGCAGATCGGTCAGTCCGGGAAGACATCAGAGTGTTCTGCACCTGCACATGAGGGGGGTGACCCTCATGGCGGCACAGAAAGTGACCCACCAAACGTTCGCATACGCGAGAATAATGTCCAATCTCACAAGCGCAAGCATTCGCCTTCAACACATGAACTGTCGATTTTGGGATCGGAAAGACAGATCCAGTCCAAAGAATTTCACTCAAGTTCAGGTCCATCGACCAGTCGCTCTAATCCCACGGGATCATCCCACAGCTCTACGAACAGGTTGGTGATTGCCCCTCAGACCGTCGCTCATCTCCTGTCAGACCAGATGGCGGGCATGGTGTTTGATCGTCAGAAGCAATTGTGGGTTAAGCGCAAAGGTTCAGCCAACGTCGACAATGATGAGATTCACGATCGTACTGTGAGCGATGGGACTGAGGAGGACCTCTTTGGTGATATACCCGACTTAAGTGTGGATGAGATGGAGGAGTTGAAACGAGTCAAGGAATCAATATCGTCTGTTAAATCCTCAGGCTCAGCAGTGAATAAAGATTCCAGTCACGACCAAGCAATAATATGCGAAGCTATCGCTAAGGTATTAGATATCTCTGAAGCAGTTGGAGAGGCGAGACCGAGAACTGCAGATGGCAAAATGTTAGAGACCGTCGAAGACCGCTCAGCGCCTTCGAAATGCTCTCAATCTGCTTGGAGCGGTCCTCAGTCCGGTACACGAGCTACGTCCTGGGTTGAGGAGGCTTTACCGCCTAAAGAGACTCCACCAGTGTTCTCTACAGACCCTAGTGATCAGCACGAAGCAGAAGTCGAACACGAGATCAGTATTCTCGAGGGCCGTGAATCCCGGGTTCCTAAACACCAAAGTGGCAAACATCGCCAGGCACGTGTGGTCACGGTCGCCTTTTCTTCGCCATTAGTAGATCAGAGAGAACCAGCGCACGAGAATGATGACGATGACCTCGACCTCTGGGAAGGACAGAGTGAATTTGATCCAGAAGAATCACCCATCCGCTCAGCTTATCAGCCATCGAGGTCCAACAGCAGGCGCACATCTTTTGGTGTAGTGCAAAAGTCAGGCCGACGCGGTACTTCGCGTCGAATGTCATTTAGCAACCAGTCCTATCATGCCCGCCCAATGTCTCGCCTTGATGAACAAGATGAGTTGTCGTTGGTTCAATACTCAAATCAAGGCCATCCTATGACTCTGGAAGTAGCAGTATCAACCCCTCTGCCGATGTCAAGGAGCTTGATGGTGCCGCCAACGACAGGCAACCGGTCTAGCGTAAGCTTTCACCTGAGTCCACTACCTGACTTCACCGTACATCAGATCGACAAGCCTCTTGACAGTGACCTTGGTCAAGTGACGAGGAGACCAAAGCAGTCTCGGACATACCAGGCCGACAACATATTGTCGCTCGCTGCCCAAGATCTGGTCAAGAATCTTACAGACTTGGAACCTTATGAGCCATACTGGGATTACATACGCAGTGTCGACTTACATGACCGAGAGTTGAAAACTCTGCACATGCTTGATGAGTTCTGTGGAGGAATTGAGGAGCTCGATGTTTCGAACAATCAGATCGGGGAGTTGAATGGCATTCCCAGTACTGTTCGGCGACTGAACATCCAGGAGAATTGCTTATCGGACCTTGCAGCGTGGAACTCCCTATACAATCTTCAGTACATGGACGTTTCAGGGAATAATCTTCAGAGTGTACAGGGCTTCCATAGCCTTGTCCACTTGCGAGCTTTGAAAGCAGACTACAACGAAATCCGAAGTTTGAACGGTCTCGAGGACCTGGACGGTCTGATAAGCCTAAGCCTGAGAGGTAACAAGCTGCGAGCTGTTGACCTTGACAACTTCAATCTGTACGTTCCTAGCAACTCCGGCATTGCCCTCGCTAACGGAGCACAGTCAGCGGCTTGCTGATCTTGATCTGCGTGACAACGAGCTTATTCAAGCATCGAATCTAGATCAGCTAGCAAGCCTGAAGACTTGCGATCTCAGTAAGTTCTCTAGAGTCATTTGCTTGTTGTAAAAGGTCATATCTAAGAGTGTTAGGCTACAACGACCTTGAGATATTGGACATTTCCCGGTCCAAGCCTCTCTCCAACTTGGAGACTCTCAATATATCCAACAATTGCCTCTCATTTCTTGAAGTGGCAGCTATGCCAAAGCTCAAAATCCTCAACATTGACAAGAATTCCATTGCGCAGATTGAGGATCTTAATTGCTTAAAGCAACTAGAGACCCTGTCATGGCGCGAACAAACACTCACGCCTGCTTCTAGCCTATTAGAAATCCAATACAACGACTGTTATGAAGTCCGCAACTTATTTCTCTCCGGCAATCCCCTCCCAGAATTCGCCCCATCGACGCCGTTCCTCAACCTACACCACCTGGAGCTTGCTTCAACAGGCTTGCAGAGCTTTCCTCCAGATTTCGGTCTACAGTGCCCCAATGTTCGCATTCTCAACGGCAATTACAATGCCATCCGTGATTTGCGTCCTTTGCTCGGGATAGTCAAATTAGAGAAGCTGCTCGTCGCAGGCAACCGTATCTCTAGATTGCGGCGAACAGCAGCTGTACTTGATCGGGTAGGAAAAGGCTTACTCGAGGTTGATCTGCGAAATAACCCCTTGACCGTGGGCTTCTACACGCCACAGGAACCTGCACGGGAGGAGAAGCGTGTCGTGCCTCATGGTCGCAACTCGATAGCAAGCAACGATGAGGTTTGGTCTGATTTCCAAAACACGGTAGCGTACCTCCTGCCAGCTGTGGATAGGGCAGCCGACAACCTCTCACGTGAAAGATTGGATGAGGACACGAAGTTGAGGAGAAGGGTTTATGAAATGCTGGTCATCAATGGCTGCAAGACTCTGGAGAGACTAGATGGACTGGAAGTAGACAGAGAGATGGTGGGCAGGAAGGACGGCATTTGGGAGAGGCTGATTGATTTGGGCGTTTTAAAAGCCAAGGGAGGTGAAGACGAAAAGTAGGCCGCTTGAACCTAGGTAGTTTGAAGATCCAGGACACTGTGTCTGATGATGAGGAACGTCTGCATTGCATGATTGGGCGTTTATAGAACTGAGGTGTACAGGAGTCAAAAGCGCGTCGACTACTGTTGTGTACAGTAGCGAAGTCTTTCGGCTTCCATGCTTGGACAGAATGTATAGGTCAAGTGTCAACATCATTACCCATTCCGGTACCTGTCCTTGAAATATTTCACAAAAAAAGTCCTTTGTATCAGTGGAGCGAGGGTTTCGTATTGCGGGATCAAAATCAGTGGAGATGGTAGTCTCTTGCACGGGAGCCCCGTGGGAAGACGATCTTCAACGGCCCGCTTTTGCTCCTCGTTGCGTTTGACATCGAGATAATCATCCTTGCCATGATGACCAGTGCTCACGGTCGTGATGGTCGCCATCGTCGAAGTCATTTGCAGCGCAACAGCTCTTGAAGACCGCGCTTTAGTATCATCATACATGGAATGTTCCATGACGAGACTTGAGATTTGGGTTTGGGGGACCGATGCCGACCGTGGGAGTTTTGTTTGATGTCCGGTCGTTGTTGTTGAGTAGTAGAATAGACAAAGATACTATCCCTGAGGTGGGTTTTTCCACCATTTGATGCTCCTCCTGGAGCAGTCCTCGTCATGAAAGACAGTGTTTCCGGGTAGACCTTTCCAATCGACGGTGAAAATGAGAGTGTGGCGGGCGAGGAAGTTACGCTCGGCGGAGCACTCGTTAGTGTAGTGGTTGAACAGGGTGAGGGTTGCGCTGTGCTCACATGAGGGAAGTGCTCATAAGTCATGCGTAGAGGGAGATTTGGGCTGGCGGAAACTTTGAAGTCTCTAGGTCGTACTGAGAAGGGAAGTGGAGAATACTCAAGTCCCATAGTGCAAGCGGCATAGTTGCCTTAGGGGAATTGGGGTGTCCTCTGTGGATGACTTATGGCCACTTCTTTTACCGGCAGAGTCAAGCACAAGGCCATGTTGGGACTAGCGTAGTCGTGTATTTAAACATTTAGAACGTACCGAGTATTCACAACCTTGGGCCTCTCTACAACCATCGAACCCTTACTGTAATCTACAGGACCAGACCTTCCTTTCTCTGGAACATCACAGCCCGTTCTTCAACCTTCCAAGCTTTCAACCTGCTACTCGTTGGATCTCCTCGACCACGCAAATTACGGTTAACACCTTGAGGCATAAGGTACGATTGGTGACTTCACGTTCTGAATAAGCTCACTCACAGAGCCGAGTCATTTGCAAACCTCGGCGACCTGCTGCAAACAGTCGTCTCAGTCAATAATCAGTCACAAAGTGTTATAGAGGTAAGGCGAATCCGCCGGGTTTCAGCCATCAGGGTCCACTGAAAACCATTCCACTTGTTGTAGGATAGTAAATAAGAAGAAAGGTTCAAACAGACATGTCTCGTCCAGACCTCCACTTGCGCGAGCAAACCGCAATTCTCCAACCAACCATGGCAACAAGCTCAACACCAAGCCTCGATCCACCTGCCGCCACGCCTTCTATAGAAAATGCAGGGCCGTTCATGAGAGCACCTCGTGAGATCCGAGACAACATCTATCGCTTCCTACTTTCAACCAAGCACACCAAGGAGTTTCATGGAGAACCTGCAACGGCAAGTTCTGCCTATTCTCCCAATAACCTGACTGAGCCTGGATTAATTCGTTACGTAGGATACATTGAGATGCAAATACACTTATCAGTTCCATACTTCGATCCTTTTTACCAACCGACAGGTATACATTGAAGCCAGCAACATATTCTACATGGAAAACCTCTTCATTCGTATCAATTCTGTGGCAGCGAATGAACTTTTACACCCGACTAATTTCGGAGGCTACCAAAATACCGGCTCATATGCATATGGCCGTGGGCTGCGAGTTCTGTCGACAGGCACGAAAGCGCAAGCCTGTACACGTCACGTGATGGAAGTCAATCTGATTCCATCACCCCTGTTGTTTGATCACCATGGTTACCATCACTTCATTTTTGCTTGCGACGATCTTCCAGTGTTCTGCAGAGCTTTGCGATCGATCGATAGACATTATCGACGTGAGTTACAGCCGCTGCAGGTTATGGATCTCTGGTTTACCATTGGTGACGAGGTGGGCACGGCTGGAGAGGGATATCTTGACTCGAATGCCTCCACAGATGGAAATCCAGTGGGATATCTGACCGCGGCCACCAAGCTTGCCGCGGCTAATTGTGCAGGTCCAGATGAGAATCGAAGAGCCACTGACGAGAGCAATGCATCTGTCTACGGAGAAATGAAGGGCAGTGGCAGCGCAATGGTCAATGGAATCAAGGATGCCAAATCGAGATTGTTAGAACGGCCCATCTCCATCGACAGTCCTCGATCACGGAGGCTTCTAGAGCCACTTCGAGCCGTATACAATGTTGGATATTCGTACATCGACGCCCCGATCAGCGAGCGGTATCGGCAGGAGATCCACACCAGTTTATCCAGGGCCCGACCAAGCATTCACGATCAATTCCTGGCCGTATCCTCAGCCTTTGAAGAAGCAATTGCGGTATACGATGCCGACGATATCGCTTTAGCCATTCAGAAATCTAAAGGCACACTTGACATCTTCAATGATTTCGAGTATCTTAGCAGAGACGGCGACAGTACCAAAAGCGTGCCGACAGGGCGATATACCGGACTCATGTACCGGGAAGCCATGGACAAGATGCGTTTGATCATCTATAGCAACCTAGCTCGTGCGAACTTAAGGTTTCACAGCGACTTACAGCAGGTTCGCTCAGCACAAGACTTTGTATGGCTGATCAGGGGGATACGCGCCCGCGATGCAATGTGGCCCGAACACCCAGGAGGGCACGAGGATGCCATGGTCTTTTACCTGGAAGCTGAGGTATGGGAGGCGTTCGATCAGCTTGGAGAGCACAACAACCGCCCCCGTTCCGGCGCCCTTCGAGAAGTCGTCAATATGCTGACGGAAGCGCTAAGACACGAGCCGGGGAATGACATGTTGCAGAAGGAACTGCTCGGAAGACTGGAAGAGAAGAAAAAAGCAGAAGCGATCGAGGCGGCGAGGCAGATGGAGCAGGAAGAGAGTAGAGTGCAGAGTAGGGAGCGGACCGAGTGAACGGCAGATGGCTTCGTGCCCTTTTGCATTTGGTAAAGAAGGGCTCATTAAATTCTGTATTATGGGTCAGAGTTTGAGATGCGGCTTGCACACAGTTCAGGCCGTGTGGCTGAGCGATATGACTGTACAATAAAAATAAAAGGTCTTTCGATTGTCTTGATGCCGTAGGATCGCATTTTTGATCTCGTTGCTCTACGACCGCTTCGGCATCCCAACTACGGACGATGATCAGCGCGGTACCGATTCCGTCACGGCAGGCTGCAAACTTACGGTGAGTATCGTTGCAGAGGGGTCCGCCACCCTGGGCCGACGAACCGGCCTGAAGGGTCGCATCGGTGCCCGCGCCATTCCATGGCCTTTTTTCGATGACCCTTTTACGGCTCGTGGTGTCGCAAGACGGGGGTGGGTGAGTGGAGGCCGTTTCTCCACTGCTTGCCGTGATGGGAAAGATCCAGAATAGCCTTCTCGAGGCTGTCGTCGAACGATGCGCATTTTGATCCCTGAAGCGCGTGCGAGGGCTACCTGTGTGCGGTTGGATTGAGGGGGTAAATCTGTTCGAAGGATTTGGGCAAGTCTTGTCCAGTGCGTGCGCGGTTTCAAGTTGGTAGACAGACTTTGACTGATCAGGCGGGACTGTTGGTGATGCTGCACCCAATTTCCGTCCGGATCTCTTATGCTGGACTGATCACGCGGGGCTGCTGACGACGTCGCGCCCGAATTCAAGTCCGTTTCCGTCGTGCTGGTCTCCATTATAGGACCAAGAGCGTGTCCCGGGATGGTAGAGTTGATGATCCGAAAGCATATAGATCGACTTAGAAGAGATGGGCTACCAGAGAGATTGCCAGCCTTGAGCGCTGGCTTCATTCGCGTTGCGCAGAGAAAGGGGACACAAGCCGGACGACCGTAATTTGAAATTTCGTCTTTGAGACCAATATCTTTGGGACATGAAGCGCTGCCAAGGCCATCTGTTGTGAGAATTCGTTTTGGAGCAATAGTACTCTACAGGCTTGCCAGCACCACTTCCAAGCCAATGCAATGCCTGCATGTTGGCCTTCTCGGGTTCAGAGCGTTCGCTTAAGGTAAGCAAATCGATGTTAGCGTCTTCTTGCTTTGGACCAACGACCGGATACGCGTTGAGCAGCGGGTCGAGCCTCTTACAATCGCCGTGTTGCTCATTTCACATATTCCAAAAAGGTTGCGAAATGCTACCCCATCATCCACTGGCAGGGTGTAAAACTTATGGGTTCCGACCGAAGGTTAGAATTATCCTCGTTGCGATTCAGTGTAGTCCAACGACTGCGTCGAGACCAAAATTTTCAGTGTCGAAATAATTCTCCGTAAGCAGATCCCAAAGCTTGTAATTTGCTTTGTAAGATTTGCCGTTCGAAATTTCTGGTTCTGCGAAGAAAGCGAGTTTTTGGTGTTCTGCCGAGACATTTTACACCCCAGCGCCAGTGGATGGGATCGGTTGGCTTTCCAGAGTCGCAATCAAGTAGCCAGTATATCTTTCCCCCACGCAGATTTTGAAACCCTCCAGCAGTGACTTGCGGCTGGCGCGGCTTCCTCGAACACAGTCCCCGGTCCCGTGACCCAGGGCGGTGTTCCCTTGAGTCGTGGCATCAAGAAGTAAGAGACATCGTCCTTGAACCATAGATCTGGCGTGTCAGCAGACACGTGCGAGAGCACCTGCAGGATGCCAAAGAGAAGGATCCATCGGCCTTTCCTCGCATCACGAGGGTCCGTCTCTCCCAGATGGTCCGTCTTCTCGAAACGCTGGAACGCTTCGACTAAGCTGTTGGTGGCGACGTCGGGGCCTAGAAGGAGAGCATTGCTGGCTACCGAGTACGCGTGGATGATCTGCTTCTCCAAGGCTTTGGACTTGCTGGCGAAGAGGGATTGCTTTTGCTGCGCCTTTCCTGTGTCGCCGACGGGCGTCGAATCTGGCAGTAGCGGGTACGGATGCGGAATGTGAGGATTCTTGTGCTTGTGGTCGAAGTGGACGAAGAGCTTGGCGAGATCGAGGCCATCATTGTTTATTTTGGAGACCGCTGTGTTCTTCTTGCGCACCATGACTCGATACCGCTCGCTGGGCTCCTTGGTCTCGGCCCAGACGACGTCTCGATCAACATAGTAGTCATAAAGCGAACCGAAGTCCTTTTGCAGGTGGGTTATGACGGCCCTTGTCAGCCAATTGCCATTGCTATTTTGGATCCCGCGCGGAGGCCAAGTCTTGTAGGCTCTCTCATAGAATTGGAGCAGAAATCGGCGGAAGTGGTTGAATGTACGTCGAGCGGCAGGAGGCTGAATTGTGTGAGAGGGCCACATGTCGTCAAAATCGAAAGCTGACAATCTGTCCTCCGCAACCTGGATCCTAGCCTGGAGTTCAAGATGTGACCGCTCAAGAAGCGTCCGAGAGACGTGGCTGACATCGCGAAACTCTGGTAGCTCTCGCAGCTTCGTGTACATGCCGCTGCAGTGAACGAAACCTTCCCGCCAACCCTCCGGCCACTGCACCTCGTCATCTTCGCTGTAAGCAAGTAGCCCAGCTGCAGCTGCGGGGTCATTGCAGATATTGTGCAGATGATTCCTCGTCAAGAATCCGATCACCACGTCGGTGCAATTAGATTCCCTTGGCATAAACACTAGGAGGCGTTCGTGCAGGTCTATGAGCGCTTGATAGAACGTTAGGCCAACGAGAGGCTTGTTCAACAGAAGGGCGAAGAAGTTGCGAGTGGTGATATGGTGCCGTAAGATCTCAGTCCTGGAAGCACCATCGGGCGCCGGAAAGTGGATCTCATGTCGGATCTGAGCCTCGTTTCCGGGGTTGCTGATCACCGAAGCCGAAGACGGAGCCCGACGACCAAGTCCGAGTCTCTTGACACCCCGTTCTGGAGAAGAAGCGGATATTACGGATGGTGCAGATTTCGGGGTACGCTTGTAGCTTTCCTGCAGCATTGAGGCGAGTGTTTCCGATCTCGTTTCCTCCAAAGTCGATGACTTGACTCGGAAGGAAGCTTGGGGACGTTGGTAGCCGTAATATACCAATGTATCTCCAGCAGGGTCCCAAAGTTCAGGATCCTAGATATGTCAGCTACCCTCGTCGTCAATAGCAAGAGTGATGTTTAGGTCTACCTTTGCGAGCTTGCCCCATGGTTCAGCAGGGTTCCCGTTACCTGGCCACCTTTTCACACTCGCGGCTTGCTCAAGCCCCTTCATCGCATGGCGCTCCCGTGTCTGGACTTTCGGCGGCTGTGCTGCTTGAATGAAGACACTCGTGCCAAAGTCGGACGAGTCATGACGTTGGCCTACATCCCAACGAGTTCTGCCATCTTCACTTTGGTCTTCGGCTGGTTTGTTGCCAAATCTGGTCAACAGATTCCGTAGCGCCTTCTTCTCTTCGTTGCTTCTAATGGAGAGTGCGATTTCTCGGTGAGAAGAGTTGTCGTCTTGCCAGGCATCGTTGGGTGTACTTTCCACGTGAATTGAGGTCCGTCGGAGTAGCCATGGACCACGGTTGTAATTTGAATTGTCGATGATTTTTACGTCACTTTGTAAGGTCGCTTCGGTATACTGGGGAGGAGGAGGCAGTGCGGATTGGAGCTGCGAGAGTCTCAGACTGTCATCCGTGTTGGAGGACATCGTTGTGCGTCCAATTCTATTTTCCCAAACAGCAGCTGTATACGACTAAGTATTATGACATTGTCACGTAGTAGAGTTCCATTCGATGATCCCCCAATACCGAGTATTGCCCCTTATTCGTCCAAGTGACACCTCTGGTACTCGAGCCTGCGATATTTGATTGAAGGGACCCGTGAATATTTTGGACTCTGAGCTGGCCTGTGCTTTTATTCTCTTCCAATTTAGAATTATATCATTTACCCTCTGCTGCCGTGTTCAATTCTGAACCCTAGGCTATGATCTTTACAGTCGTTTGCAATTGAGAGCGCAACTGCAAGGGATAACAGGATCTTTGACATCATGAGTACAACGTCGCATATGAAGGTCTGATGGTACTGCTTTGGCCTCCGAAAAGGCCTGGATCCCTTGTCCGACTGGTGCGGATATGATAGTGAGCCGTGCCTGGCTTGATCATCAGATGAAATGTGGTACGCTACTCCTTCGTTTCATCACGTGATGTCCAACAAAACAGGCAAGTGCCGGTTATGTGGCTTTGAGGAAATCTCCGAAAAGGTGCCTATCAAAAGCATGCCCTGACGGTGTCCGTCTTAACGTCGTTGGACATCGCTCGGAATTGCCTCGTACTCTTATCATACTTTCGATAGCATTTCGGACATACATACTTTGCCACGTTCACCGGCCACGTTTGAACCCTCCTGAGACCATCGGAGCATCCGAAAATTCTCCTGTTCAAGTTCGTGTTCAAGCCTGTTTGAAGTCTCGAGCACGATCTCGCTGATATCAAACAATAGGCCTGGCGGTCCGAGTGTCGTTGTAGACTCACTAGACTGGTTGGAAATGTGACGGGGGGAGATGATTGGGGCGGCAAGGTATCGTCTGCCGCTTCCCCACAAAGTGTCCGCTGGTGCGTTTTCCACGAAACCTTGCTACCATGTCCATACTTTTATGATACGATGAGAAATTTCCGATCTGCAGCAAGAGATCCAGTGGGGCTCCCTTTGCGGCCTTTGGGAAATCCATCGCTAGCTGCATGCGACGATTCGATGACTTTACAGGTGTTATAAGTATTCATTAAGGTCGGTAAGGGGTTTTTCGTAATGGTCCATATAGGCTAGTTATATAACAACAATACTATGAGTAGCATTTAGACACAAGGATTTGTTATAAGAATTTAACGTATCTACTCTAAAATCCTTTTAAAGAATCTTCTTATATCAAATATTTTTTCAATCTAATAATATCGTGGCTTGAGATTCCTCTCGAGAGTCTTCTGTAATTATTTTCGTAAATACGAGTATCAAGCCTCGTTTTCGGGATCTAGCTACTATAAATTTTATCTACGCTTTTTTATTTCTAACTTCAGATTTAAGCGATTTAGCTAAAATCCTCGCGGGGTATTATTCTCGAGGGGCTTATGGGGACTAATAAGGTGGGGTATAATAGGGGTAGGTTATAGGTAGGGGTATGATAGAAGAGGCTGATATTACGTCAAGATGTAAGATATACCTTAGTCATTAGTGGTAAAATCTGAGAAGATCTTTTGATCTAGAGATCTTACAAGTGAAAAGTCTCTCAAGATTTAGAAATACTCCTAGGGTCTCTGTAGGATACGATCTTTTTTCACACTATAGCTACTTATACCCTATGCCTTATTAATACGGGTCGAAATACTCTCCCGCCTACTTTCCTACAGCTTCGCCAAGATTCTCCGGGGATGATTAGCAAAACCCCCTGCCGACCTTAAAAGTGATTATCCACGCGTTTTGCCGCACGCCCACCAATCGAGACTTCGTTCAGCCACAAACCGGAAGAATATGGATCGACTATTTCAAGCGTACCGACTGACCTGCATTTTTCTTCACTCTTGCGACCCAGTGTACAAAGTTCGTATTGGACTCTTTTGGGTGGAAGTATGATGCCATCCAACAAAGTCAAAGACCCCCTGCACCCTTGATCGGGACTTGAGCGTGAGACTAGACGGTAGCTAAATTCCATGCTCCATGTCCTCCCTTGTACCTTGCATTTGACAGGGTGGGCAACGGAGCAACTGCTGGTCAACATCCACCAGCTTCAGTTGTGCATGCTTCCTTTCGCTCATAGCTCATTGATTCGCTTCAGTTGTGCATGCTTCCTTTCTCTCATAGCTCATTGATTCGAGCACGACGAGGTGGAGCAGGCTTTCTGGCTCCCTATGATTTTGCAAGCTATAATTCTGCAAGACCTCTGCTTCTGCAATGCATTCCTCGATAGCCTCGCTATGGAAAGCGCCAGATATCAATCCGGTTAACCACAAAGCGAAATCCATACCCGCTTTGAATCCTCTCAACATCTATGGGCGGGTCTTCCTGCTCTCATGGTGGGGCTTCTTCATAGGCTTCTGGAGTTGGTATGCTTTTCCGCCTTTGATGACGGAAACCATCAAAAAGGACCTGAAGCTCTCCCAAAAAGACATCGCGAATTCCAACGTCATCTCTTTGGCCGCGACAATGCTCGTCCGCCTTGCTGCTGGTCCATTGTGTGATAGATATGGGGCAAAATGGACATTTGCTGGCATTTTACTTGTCGGCGCAATTCCTACCGCCCTTGCAGGCACGGTCTCAACGCCTCAAGGCCTCATCACAGTTAGGTTCTTCGTTGGCATTCTTGGTGGCAGCTTTATTCCGTGCCAAGTATGGACGACAGGCTTCTTCGACAAGAACGTCGTCGGCACTGCGAATTCTTTAGCAGCTGGATTCGGAAACGCAGGAGGTGGAGTGACCTACTTCGTCATGCCCGCCATTTTTAATTCTCTCGTCCAACACCAGCACCTAACAGACCATGTCGCCTGGCGTGTCGCATTCGTGGTTCCATTCATTCTCATCACGTTTACCGCATTAGCCATGATCCTGACATGTCCCGACACCCCCACAGGCGCATGGTCAGCTCGAACTCAAGAGGTACGGCGCCATCTTGACATGCGTGATACCTTCTTCAGTGGCGTTGGCAGAGACCGCAAAGGTATTCCGCCAAGCATGGATTCTCATGCCTCGCCAGGCCTGTCGAACGACACCATCAAACTCAACTCCGCCCGCGGCCAAGGCCACTTCTCGGAAACGCAGGCGCAGGAAGACGACCTTCTCGCCGCAGCAAGCTGGGAATTGGTTGAAAAGCCCACGGTCCAGGGGTCAACGAAGGCGATTTTGTCGCTTCCAACCTTGGCTCTTTCGGTAGCCTACTTCTGTTCTTTCGGAACTGAGCTTTGCGTCAACACCATCCTTGGTGCTTACTATGCCCAGAACTTCCCCAAACTTGGCCAGACTGGCTCTGGAGACTGGGCTGCTATGTTCGGGCTCTTGAACTTCGTCTTCCGGCCCGCGGGCGGTATTATCAGCGATACCATTTACCGCTACACCCGCTCACTATGGGGAAAGAAAATCCTTATCCACAGCCTTGGGGTTATGACAGGAGTATTTTTGCTCATTATTGGCTTCTTGAACCCTCATTCGAAAGCCACGTTCGTCGGACTCATCACTGGATTGGCTTTTTTCGAGGAAGCTGGTAATGGAGGATGTTTTTCTCTGGTCCCGCATGTACATCCTACGTCGAACGGTGAGTCCCCTCGGGATATTCTAAGATCAATCTTGTTTATCAAGGCTGACAGTATCGTAGGTCTCGTCACCGGTGTGACTGGTGCAGCCGGTGATCTTGGCGGCATTGTGTTCTTGCTGATATATCGCTACAGCGATACAAATTATGGAAGGGTGTTCTGGATAGTAGGTATCATCACCATTGCTGGGAATCTGCTCGTGTCATGGATAAGACCAATACCGAAGGGCCAGCTTGGTGGTCGATGATGGGTGTTTAACTCTTGACTTCCTTAATCTTCATGTACATAGTCTTGGTAATACCCGTATTCTGTGCATTCTCATACCAGATCGTCTCCCAGAGTTGACAATGGCAGAAGAGACGATCGTTGCCGCTCCTGGACCTTTGGCGCGTCAGGCGCCGTCAGCTGAAATGCAAAGTCCACGTGATGACTTAGATCCAAAATCCTCCACCGCTGGTCCAGAAGCTACATTACTTCCCTTCCCTGGCGAGTCAGCCGTTTAGATCGTAAGTCTTCCTTTCGTTGAACGGAAAAGGCGATGTGATAAGGAGCCCAACCGTGAGTAATGGTAGAGTATGAACCTGGTGTCTGTCCCACCTCGCTTCAACCACTCGGAAGCGCGTTGAAAAACCAGAAACGAGGCGGCGAACAGGAGGGGTCAACCGGCAGCCCGAAATTTGCCTTCAGCAATCAGGTGCGGATCCGCCTGCCCTGAAACATACTGCCTGATCGACGTTCGGAAGCGACAGCGAATCAGAGCCTGTCAGCACGGCTGGCACGTCGCCCAACTGAAACTTGGGCAGGCAAGACAGCAGGAGAGAAGACCTCCGCCGCATTCTTGTAGGGCTGGCCACCTACTATTTAGTCGGCTTCACAGCCATTCTTCTTCTTCTTCTCGATACAACAGCTTTCACACCACATTCCAACACTTAGACGTCAAGAAAACCTCTCGGCGCACCTGATCTAGGACTGTGGGACCCTCTTCTTCAGCACCACTTCGTACACCTCGATCGGCAAGTGAAAAATGGAACGCCTTTGCTACTACCCGATTCCAGGCATCTCGTTCAAACTATACCACGTCCTCGACCGCTTCCACGACTCTGCCACCCGCTGGTCCCCCACCACGGGCCTCGCAGCCGAAGACACTTCCACAACCCCCGACAACGAGAAAGACTTGGTTCAGAGCATCTTCGACTATTTCTGCAACAACCTCGATCGCCCAAACCCTACCCCTTACGTACCCGTCGTTCTCCGCCAACATGTGGACATCGAGGCTTTGAAGCAGCGCGTCGGCGAAGAGATCCTCGTGCTCGAGATCGATGTGGAGAAAATGATGCCAGGGGCACGGATTTATCCTGTCCGCGATATCGTTACGGGATTCAATCTTGAGTGGCCGGGCGGTGCGAGGGCGGAGTGGTTGAAGACGTATTTGATTCTGCATCGGGTGCCGAAGGAGGCTATTACCGTTTTCACGCCTGATGGATTGGTGGAGAAAGGTGAGCTCTGCTTGTTAATGAGGCTCGACGGTGGAGGCTAAGCGGTGTTTAGAACGGGAAGTCAGGTGTCAGAAAGATAAGGCGATTGAGGATAAGACTTTTGGCGCACTTCGAGCTCATCAGGCTGCAGAAGCTCAGGCTGCAGAAGCTCAGGCTGCAGAAGCTCAGGCTGCAGAAGCTCAGGCTGCAGAAGCTCAGGCTGCAGAAGCTCAGGCTGCAGAAGCTCAGGCTGCAGAAGCTCAGGCTGCAGAAGCTCAGGCTACAGGAGCTCAAGCTTTGAGCCCAGTTCAGGATGTTGGAAGTAGCGAACGGATCGAAGGAAAACGTCAGCCATTCTTCAGCCGCTTGTTCAAGGGAAGGAGGCGATGATTGTGCCACAGACTTCTAGTCGCCGCCGAACAAAGGGGAACTTGGGCACAAGGAGCTTGGGGAAATATCTACCCAAATATTTGTAGTCATAGCAATAACCAATTGCATGGGACTGTAATTTCATATCATGCCTCTACTCACGTTGTTGTTCCACCAGCATATTCTTACAGAAGTGTCCGACTTCTGCTGCAGACCTTGATTTTATATCTCTGGTCTACAATGACGACACTCCGGGCTTCGCTGAAAGCAGCACATCCTTGAGAATAAGGGGCCAATGCCTTTGGGATTGAGTCCAGTCGCCTCTGCGAGCCGCAATTACATTTGGGAAGCTTGTTCGGTCCAAAGGAGGCCACTTGAGACATAGAAGCGAGATCTCGTGGTAAGAGTCACTTCTTCAGCTCGCTGGGATCATTATGTTCAGCCGGGTCCTTTGAAGGCCTCGAAAATGGACACACAGGAAGTTCTAGCATGGGGACCTGCGGCATGGGAAGCTGAACCACAGAAGAGGAAGGCGCGAAGAACCTGTTCATTATTGACCATACTATTAGCAATTCGGAGTACGTGACGATCACATCAATATACCTCTTTCACAATCCTCAAGCTCGTATATACGGGAAGCTTCTGCTGGCACACGCTTAAGGATTAGGTACTCGTGCTCCCAGTATGGCCTTTTGTTATATTTGGAAGCAGGTATTTCAAAGGCGACCAATATACGTAGCGAGTTAGACGGAGGGCCGTTCGTCCCATCGGAGCCCATGATAGTCATCGAAAATACTCTTCACCTGGATCCAGAGGTTTGACTGAGGACGAGATACTCTGGTCCCCCAGTCAATGGCCATCTGGTGAGCATTGGCCGAGATAAAAGGACTCTAAAACCACGGCATGGTATGGAGCGGGTACGACAGATGTTTACTGACAATACCTCTATGGTTGACCTGTCATCAACGGAAATGGCATGATTTTCGTAGATGTTGGGTTTTCTGTCGTGGCGATGCGTTACCGTGGGGGTCCATTGGAAATTCGTAGTCTCCGTGTACTCGAAATACAATGGCGACTTGAATGTCTACCTCAGCATCGTGTCTATCGTTTGAATATCATGGGGCTGATAGGTCCACGTCAGTAAACCTTGCAGTTAAATGCTTCTGGTCCACATACAAGTGAAAATTGCATATATTTGAGAACGAGGTGTTCTTCAGTATTACCTCTGCTTCGTGACTTTGTGTCTTTGGGAGGGCACGAAGGTTCCATCTGACTCGGGGATGGCCCATCGGGTCATTGAGCTGTCCCGCTATCCCGCTGCTCGCAAGCGCACTGTTTCAACAAAGTGTAGTTTTGGGGAGAAAGAAGAAAAAATGAGCAAAAGAATGCGGATAGTAACGGACACATAAAACTACATAGTATCCATTTACAGCCAGTATCAGAGAACAGAAGAGCTGGAAACACTGTTTTGAAAGGCGACGATGTTGGTGGTGGGCATTTTACTAATGTGGGAGGAGCACGTAGCCCAGACGCTAGAATTCCCAAGTAAGTGTCAGCCTTATGGCCTTGGCGCCGCCACCTTGCTGAAGCTTCATGCTCAGTCCCAATGATCTTATGAGCCTCTCCCATGGCTCTAACGTCGGTAAGAACATGTGCGCTGAGTGCTGAGTCCCCGGAATACTGATACCGGCTTGATAGTGGAAAATTTTCAATTTCTTCGACGTCTCGGAAGTCAAACCGCCGGACGACGGAGAAAGCTCCTCAATCTTCGATGTCAGTCAATATCCGACGTGCACAGTCTGCTTCGATGCTGACGTGGCAAGAGCAATGATCTTCACTGCATCTGTTCCGGGTCCGACAATATCTTCGTCGGCAGCAACGATGGCCATGTCCGCATCCTCTCCCAGTCCTTCAAGATCGTACGGACGTTCAAGGCACACGACAATGGTCCTATCACACAGATAAAACAGGTGGAAGGCACGGCGCTACTTGTCACTATCTCCGAGGATCTATCAAATGAGCCAGTACTCAAAGTCTGGGCTCTAGACAAGACAGAGAAGAAGACGGGTGCACCGAAGTGCTTGTCAAGTTTGGACATACATAATGGCAGGAAGCAATTTCCTGTGAGCGATGCATTGAGGAAACCGAGGTTATTGCAGCAATGGGACTGACGGGGACAGATCTCGGCCTTCGCAACACTCGAGAACCTGTCTCAGCTTGCAGTAGGGTTCGCAAATGGCGCGGTTACTGTCATAAGAGGCGATTTAATACATGACCGAGGCGCCAAGCAAAGAACTGTCTTTGAGTCCGAGGAGCCGATAACAGGAGTCGAGTTTCGAGAAGGTCCCAATACTACACTCTACCTCGCAACTACTGGGCGAATACTAACCCTGACGATAACGGGAAAGGGGCAAGGACAACCAGCAAAAGTTTTGGAGGACACAGGGTGCGGCGTTGGCTGTATGACATTTGATGATGCCAATGGGGACATCGTGGTAGTACGAGACGACGCAATACATTACTATGGGGTCAATGGGCGTGGTCCGTCGTTCGCCTACGAAGGACCTAAACAACTCGTCAGCATATTCGGCGACTATGTTGCCCTCGTTACTCCTCCAAAAGCATCCCCTCCCACCAAAATGAGTACACTTCGTAGATTTGTCGGCAGCCAAAGAGATGATTTGTACAATACATCTACTTTTGCACTGCTGGACACGGATTTGAAATACATAGCTCATACGGAGACTCTCATATCCCAAGTCAAAGCCCTCTTCATTGAGTGGAATGATCTGTTCTTGTTGACCCTGGATGGCAAAGTAAGTGATTGTCAAAGAACCTGGGAATGTAAACGCTGATTTGGCAGCTCTTTCGGTATCACGAGAAGACTCTGCAGCAGAAGCTTGAGATTCTCTACCAGCGTGATCTCTATGTCCTTGCTATCAACTTCGCCCAGAAAGCTGGCGTCGACACTGCTCAACGCAACGTGATTCTCCGCAAGTACGGTGATTACCTGCATAAGAAGGGTGACTACGACACTGCTATGCAACAATATTTGAAAGCAATTGACAACACCGAGCCTTCACAGGTGATACGCAAAGTACGCATATGTGTGCCTGCAGTTGAATCCTGTTAATTGAGTGCCGCAGTTCCTCGATTCCCAGCGGATCAATAATCTCATTGAGTATCTTGAGGAACTACATGATCATGACAAAGCCACTGTCGATCATACTACACTTCTCCTCAATTGCTATGCTAAACTGAAGGACACCGAAAAGCTTGAGACATTCATCAAGTCCGGGACGAATTTCGACCTAGAGACAGCGATTAGTATGTGCCGACAAGGAAGTTATTACGACCAAGCGGTCTTCCTCGCCAAGAAGAACAGCGAACATGAGCTAGTCATCGACATATTGATCGAGGACTCCAAGAAATACGAGGATGCTCTAGACTATATCTGGCGGCTTGCACCTGAGATGGCCTACCCAAATATGATGAAGTATGCCAGAATCTTGCTTGAGCATTGCGAGGAAGATGCTACTCAGATCTTCATCGATTACTACACGGGCCAATATCGACCGAGGGAGGACGTGCCAATACCCACGGTGCAGGAGCCCCAAGGTGGTGGAGCCTACAACGTCGCGAACCTGACCTCCTTTATTCCTTTACCATACCGCCAAGCAAGCGTTAATCCATCCCCTGGGACAGCCGGCAACCAGCAGTTGGCGGGCGCCGACGCAGCAGATGCGGAAGCTGGTCAAGCTCCACCCGAGTATGACAAACCAAAGCCGCGAACAGCCTTTTCATCATTCGTTGATCATCCCGAAAATTTCATCACTTTCCTCGAGGCATGCTTGAAGCAAGAGAACCTCGACAAGAGCGACATGACCGACCTGTATACTGCACTATTTGAGATGTATCTGGAGACTGCTAATACCAAGAAAGGCGAGGAGAAGGAAACATGGGAGGCGAAAGCCAAAAAATTGATTGACGGCAAAGACGTGAGTGAGACCCTAATTGTTCTGCAGTCCGAGCTAATAGATCTTTAGATTCCTATAGACGCTTCGAATGTTCTATTGCTCTCACATCTCTCAAATTTCCGTGACGGTACGACCCTAGTCAGAGAGCAGCAAGGTCTTCGGTTCGACATTTTTCGGTCTTATACCTCTGCCAACGATACTGCTGGGGCGATCAAAGCATTGAGGAAATACGGCCCTGAAGAGCCCCAGCTATACCCAGCTGCCCTTGCGTACTTCACATCTGATCCTAAGATTCTGGAAGAAGCGGGCCATGAATTGGACCTTGTCTTGAAGAAGATTGACCAAGATGGCCTGATGGCACCATTACAAGTAATACAAACATTGAGCACGAATGCTGTTGCAACAATGGGTATGGTCAAGAAATATCTCAGTGACACCATCGAGAGGGAGAGAAAAGAGATTTCAAATGTACGTCATGCACCATTGACTACAGCATAGGCTGCTAACAGAATCTAGAATCGTCGTCTCATCGAAAGCTACCGTACCGAGACCGAGTCTAAGCGAAAAGAGATGGACGATCTGGGCAATAAGCCTGCTGTCTTCCAGGCCACACGATGCGCCGCGTGTGGTAGGAGCCTGGATCTACCAACGGTGCACTTTCTATGCAAGCACTCATTCCACCAAAGTTGCCTCAACGAGACAGATGGGGTGGAGGCGGAGTGTCCAAAATGTGCTGCGGCAAATAATAATATCCGTTCTTTCAGAAAAGCGCAGGAGGACTCGGCGGATAGGCACGATATGTTTCAAGACGCATTGCAGCGAAGTCGAGATAAATTTGGGACGATCAGCGAATTCTTCGGTAGAGGTGTCATGACGGCGCCAACTGCAGAATAGAACGAGTGCACAAATATTTTGCGAACACTAGAATTTGGCTTCCAATCTCTGGCTGTAAGGTATTTTGAATCAATAAAGGGACGACACGTGATTACGCGTATTTTGGCTCCGACGTGTCTTCGCGGCTAGCTCCCGCTTCGCTTCTGCCCTCAGCGTCCTCACATGCTCGCTGGATGTCACCGCGTATAATGCATCAAGGAAAGCATTGGCAGCTTCGCCTCAATTTTTAAGTATACTACGACATGACGAAGCGCAATGTGATCGAGGACTCGGACGACGAGGAGAACGCGGAAGCCACCCCGCCACACCCATCAGCAACCGGGCTCTCAGACATTACGTTGAGCACACTCGTCAGCCTCGACGGCTCTCCTTCGCACAAGATACAGGACCAATCTGCTGACCCAAGTACAAGCTCTACCGGTCTGTGCTCTTCTCTATGCCTACATGTTGCAATCGACTGCGGAAGCTGACCCGTCCAAAGAGCTATTTAATCGTGAATCGCGCGCTGCACATAGAAGCCTCATCGAGCCTACTCCCAAAAGCACACTTCCTGCGACTAGGGCACATGATGTTTCTTCACAGCAGACCCCTACCTCACCTACGACGTCGCGGCTGAAGACTAAAAGATCGAAGACGAGCGTGGAGAAGCCGAAAGCTAAAAGACCGTTGAAGACGTACGGGAGAAGTAGTCAAGATATGTTTGAGTTCTATGGCGGCAGCGATGGAGAGCTCGATTTGACGCCACGGATCGATCTGGGGCACAACGCTGGAAGGCGCGACAGGCATGGGAATTCAAAGATCGCCGAGACCGTGGGCAGTCAATCTGCTCAAGATGAGAAGGTTACGAGAAGGCCGATCACTTCGTCTGGCGGAGATACAGAAATGCTTAGTACTGAGCCCAAGCCGTACCAGAGCACTGAGCCAAAGCCGTACCAGAGCTCAATGACAGGCGATGTTCATGTCTCTCTGCAAAGCTCAATGCCCCCTCCGCCGTCTAAGATGACCTCGTTCGAGCAAACGCAGTGGTCGGAAACAAGCACGGTGCCTACGATCTCTAACCCAACGCCTCAAAACCCCACTATGAGCAATTCACTCCCTCCTGCAGGAGCAACGTGCTTTGAGACTCATTCAGACGACCAAATGCCAACTCCTACAAGATCTTTGCGCGGTGCCGTCGATGATGGACGTTCCCCAGGCTTTGTGCAGAGCGGCAACCTTCATCCAATGCGCTCAAAGGAAGAGATGAAAGCTACCGATCTACAACCTAGGGAGGAGCCAGCACCAAGCTCAAGTGCTTCTGACATTTCACCTAGCAAAACGATTACTGTTAAAAGAACAAGTCATACAAAAAATGTCTCACAAGAGTCGAGCTTGCATTTTGATGATGCGCATCTTCGGCCACAGCTCGAATCTGACACGTCGACAAGGGTCAATCCTGTTGTGCTATTGTCAGCGCCTCCGGACACTGGCGAAGGTCACGATGAGCTTTCACTCTCCATACCTGAGCAGCCCATCAAGAGCCCGACTAAATCAGCGAAAGGATCCAAAAGGAAGAGGACCAACGAAGAAGGCGCTGTCGACCAGCTTGGCTCCGACGACAATGCAATAGGCGTTCCGAAAGAGCAGTACAAGCCACGGCCCAGTAAGCGAAGGTCTGGAAATGGGGATGTGGAACTCGTCGTCCCAACCGATTTTTCGAAGAAGCCAGAAGCGACTGGAAAAGTCAAGCATAAGACTAAACGACATAAGACTACTGCTTTTCAGGAACTGCTACCTCAGGCAGAAGATGAGGACGAAGAAGTCAAATTGACACCTGATCCCAGGTTTGAGATTCCTGAGAAGAGAACGTCAAAGATCTCCACCGGAAGAGATGAGGCAGACGTGGACAGGAAAGATGATGCAGAGGAGATCAGAGCCGAAGCCCAACCAGAGCCGAAGCCAGCGGCTAAAGCAACAGGCCAAAAGAAACGAGGCAGACCCAAGAAAGTCGTGACGAATCTCTCGGAAGAAGACATCGTGGACGAGGCAGAAGCCGATGATGATCAAGAAGACGTTGAAGCAGAGGAGCCTGTCGTTTCAGCAACGGCCAAGAAGTCCCGAAAAAGGACGCAGACTAAAGGGACATCGAAACCAATCATCGAAGAAGAGGAGCGCAACAATGACGGTACTCCTGTGGCTAGAGACGACTCTGAAGATCTGCCAGGCAATATTCTCAACGAGACTCATGGCAACATCATCGCCTCAGAGCTTGCTACGAAGCCATTGCCGGAAACGTCGCCAACGAAAGCCAACCCTCCACCGGAAACTCCTCGTAAATCTGCAACGCCTGCACCAAAGGGACCAGACAAGCACAGCCCGATCAGCAGCGGGAAAGTGGCGTACCGAGTTGGCCTGAGCAAGAGGGCGAGAATTGCGCCGTTGTTGAGGATTGTACGGAAGTGAATGCAAGACCTGACTGATCAAGTCAGGCTGCAGGGTACATTGCTACGAGTATGAATATGAGGTAGTGGATACATGAGAGGCGTTTTGGAATCAAAACAGCTGTCAGGTTGGTGGAAAGCAAATTATACCCTTGGGCAAAGATCGCTTTGATATTTAGGACCATTATAGCTGTTCAACATGCCAAGCTTCGCTGGTAGTTTTGCAACTTCTGAACTCACTGTGCTTCTAGGAGAATGTAGCAAAAGTTATGAATAGAAGGACGAGTGCGGTGGGAGAGGGGGGCTCTAGGACGAGAATTTCGAGAGGATTCTTGTCAAGTCCCGTGTCCCGCAAGATGCTGTAAATTTTATAGGCACGTTGCCAGAAAAAGGTGTCAATTCTGTTCGATAATTACACGTTCCATATACTTTGTTCATTACTCCCTGACAAGAAGAGCCAATTTTCCTGGTCGATACCCCCAACAATGTGGACGCTAAATCATCATTCGGCGAGAGAGCCGATTCAAAGAGAGATCAGCTTGACTGTGTCGAGGTGGATAGGGGACCATGAACAATGATGCAGCGTAAATCTTCCCCCTCTCCGACTGATTCGGAGAGAAGAATATGAGAGAGATGAGAGAGACCACTTTGGCTGAACCAGGCTGGCTACCGTGTTTTATCCCTTTGCCACAGTCTATATTGGAAAGCTTGCGTCATGTCACGGCATATACTGTCGCTCGATGAAGGAGTCATGGCTTCACCGTTCATCAGTCGCATCACGAACCGCGCGCAAATAACAAGGAATATCCCAATGGATGCAGTCACAGGGGGTTAAATTCACTTTTGATAGGCCATTTCGCATGATGGGGCTGACAAGCCTGCAGCATTTTGAAGCGTATCGACCGAGAGAACTGGGCCTGATGCAATTGCATCGCTCAGCCTTTGACCAGAGGATCGTAAAGCGACCTTGGCCTAAGTCCCATCCTTTCGTCAAGTAAATGCACGTTGGATCCTCCACCCACGGCCACGTCGTTCGCCAAGTGTTGAATCCCTCCCACCTTCTATGCCTCTTGCGCCGATCTGAGCCCGTGACTCGAGCACAACTTTGTCTCAAAGCCTCACAGCTGCTTTAATCATCAACCCCAATAGCCAATCTAAGTCTGAGACTTGGATCCTCCGTCGAGATAGTAGTGTCCGGAAGTTCTCGCATTCCGGACTCTGATACTACTAGCCCAGCAAGCGAAAATGTATGCACCCACCTAGTTCTTCATGACTGCGTCCGCTTCTACACCATAGTCCTGAAATAGCTGCCGGATTAGCCTTCTGCTAGTCGCCGTTGCCTTCCCACTCGAGGTTTTTGGTTCCCGCTTCAAGGTCTGGAGACCTGCTCCATGCTCAAAGAGTAAGTGTACACCCGCGGTATTTTCAGCGTCTACTGCTAGCATCGGGGCTGATTTTGATTCATTGTCCAAGGCATTCACATCTGCACCATGCTCTAGCAGTAGTCGCACCAGCCGAGCGTGACCAACAGCGGCTGCTAGCAGAAGCGGCGGTTTTGACTCTCTGTCTAGGACGTTTACCTCTGCACCGAATGTCAGTAGCAAGTGCGCGAGTTGACGATGGCCCACATCCGCTGCTACCATCAAGCTTGTCTTGTGATCAGATGAGATCTTGGCTACGTCAGCGCCGCAAGAAAGGAGTATCTGACATAGTTGGGTGGATCCAGTCGACGCGCTATACATCAAAGGGGTCCATCCGGGTTTTCAATCGCCGACGTTGATTTCAGCACCCTTCTCGAGCAGATCATTCACTATTCTGCAACGACCGTGTCGAGCAGCAAGATGTAAAGGTGTTAACCCTTCTTCGTTGAATCCGGTCAGCTCTATGCCTTGATCAATGAAGAGCGAAGCGTGCTGAACAGCGCCCCTGCGGGCGGCTTCCTTCGTGCGGAACAGTAGTTCCCAGATAGTCACAAGCAGAGATGCTTATTCCCTGTCGTATCAATAAGTCTGCTCCATTAAGATCATGGCAGTCGAGTGTCTCAAAAAGCGCTGTACGACTGAGATCGTCGCGAGTTTCAACATTAGCACCAGAATTCAGCAATATGGCGACCATGTTGTTGTTCGAACACCTAATAGCCTGGCGCAGAGGGATTTGGTCGCTTGGTGACGAGTCTGGCTGGTCTGGATAAGAAGAGCACGCCTTGGCGTCCAACAGCATTCTACGAATCTTTTCGTGTCCCCCGTGGATAGCAGAAACCATTGCCGATTCCCCGTGCTTCCTTGAATTTGCTAAATTGGCATCACCTTTGGGGAATTCTCGGATGTCATCCAGTTTTCCAGCCTCTGTAGCGTCACAAAACGCTTCTTGAAGTGCTAAGGGATCACCCTTGTCCCCACCCACAAATACTCTTTCAGTCCCGCTTGGAGGGTCGCAAGACCCTGACCGCTCTGGAAGGGATCCATTTACACTGTTCTCCTTTGAGAGCAGTGAGATGATGTTGGTGTTGTGGAGCGTAGTGTATCGGTGCCTTCTTGTCTTTGTCTTTTGGAGAAGGTGGAGCCCCGGCCTGTAGCAATATGCCAACAAGATCATCCCACCCAGCGCGTGCAGCTTCATACACTGCTCATGTTCAAAATCGTCATGACTGAACACCAGCTCCGGTTGACTTTTCATGAGTTCCCGAGCGATCGCAGAGAATCCATGATGTGCTGCTACTGGTAGCTTGGATACACTCCTAAACTATTTGCGTGCAGCGCAAAATCTTTCTCCCTGCTTTGAAGTAATACTTCCCGGGCTCACCAAGGGCTCGAATTAAGATTGCAAACTTGGAGTGAAGATTCAAGGTTCATTCGATCGTTCAGCAACCCATTGAGATTCCCAACGAGTGTCTGTTTGCCCTCTTCGGCACCGGCGTCTTGAAGTAACATAGCCTCGCGAGCGTTTGGTGACCCCAATGGCGAGAAGCGTAGTCTAGAAACGGGTACTCCTCAAGACGTCTGGTAAATGCATCCGCTTGACGACAACAGAGAAAGCTTCCAGAGAAAGATAAGCCAGGGTGATGTTTGCCAGCATCAGTTTCTCTTTCCATGAGAACAGAACCTCCCAATGTGTTTGCATGTATTGTGCTATATCAAAATGAGCCAGCGTCACAGCTCTGATGACTGGATCGATCGCAACTAGAGCCATGCAGCATCCGATGATTGATGCCGGGTTCGGTATTTCATCCTCGCTGAGCTTCGAAAGACATCTGTGAAGTCCAGGACGTGGGACATACCAATTGCGTGACTCATTGCTAGAGCCGTTATAGGTGCTGACTCTGTGATACGTGATTTAGAAGGGAGATGCAGTAGAACCTGTTTTGCATAAGCTGAGAATGCGAGGCCGGAAACTAGGAAGCCGTCTCTTACCAAGGAACGTTGACTTACATGCCATGAGCACGAGAGGTCAGAGTCTCGATGACTTCCAATCTAAACGCTCGATCGCTCAACATGTTGTCGACTGGCTCATTCCCTCTGAGGGCCCTGTCAAGAAAATTTCGGATATCATCCTCGACATTTTCATCTTTGATGGAGAATTGGAAGCAGCCATCACAAGCCTGGGACAAAACATCTTGATCAAATCTGCTTGTTACCAAGGATTTCTAGGATGTCTTCTTAAGGCCAGTGAGGACCTCTATGAAGTCTTTCCGCCCATTCATATTGCATTCGTCCAACCCATCTGTTACAATCATGATCGGTTGATCTATCTCTCGTGATGTCTCTCTCAGTGCTTCGAGCATGTCATCCAGCTCCAGCCGAGCGTTCGATTAACTCGGCTTTCGTCTGATAGTAGTAGGTTGATAGAATTCTCGATTAGAGAAACTCCCTCACTTCTATAATTAGACAGGCCAGATCGCGGATTATCTCCTTCGTAATCTGAGGCCACTTTGATAACTTATCAAATCATACCCCAAGCAATGGCAAATTACCGAATCATACCCCATATTTGGGTGAAATTTGGTGTAGGGGTATGATTCGGTAAGGATCCATACTTTTGGGGTATGAATTAGTAATTCGCCCCTGTCGGGTGCACTCTTTCTCATCATAGATGTCCCATATCAGGGTGGATTGCCATGTAGTGCACATGATGTCCCGCACATGATGTCCTTTATTCTACTATCTTCGCGTCCATTACATGTGGGATACCTAACAAGAAGATAGGAAGAGCATATTTTGGAAGAGAACGCAGCAAGAGTCATCCATCAGGGGCGAATATTCTGTACGAAGTCGTACAATTTAGGCCCGGTGCCAAGAAAAAGAGACATTGTCAATGAAACTGTCGTTCGACCTACAGGGGAAGTGTCCTTTGTTCGTTGCGGAAGTTCTATGATTAGGAACTCTGTCACAAACATAAAATAAGAAATGAAGAAAACTAGCTCTAAGAGCTTAGATCCTTCTATTCTAACACACTATTATGGTTATCAGCCAGACTAAACTGACGTTTGTAGTAAAAAACGACTTGATTAAAGGGTAGTCGAGGCACAGGTTACCTTTATTCGAACCGATAGTTAGGTTAGATTTGTTTGTTGCACAAGTGTCGTAATTTCCTGACGGCGCATCTTTTGAGATTTAGAGAAGTTGTCTCTACGTCTAACTTTTACTGTACCCTCTTACAATGTTCTTTGACGAGAAGAGCCGATCTGTTCTGGTCGATAAAGAATGTGCACAAACGAAGAGAACGAGGGGTTTCTCCCGTTAGGATTTAGAGAATCTGACATTCCCTCTATGCATGACTTTTGCTACATTCTCTTATGTCGCTTAGGGTCCGGAAGTCCTTAGCTGGGGCCGTAGCTTTCCTATGTGCATTTGCCTGTACTTTTCTTCCAAGATCGGGAGGATGGCCCTTGCCCGGCTTTCCAGGCCAGAAGCTATCACCATCGCAGCCGGAGGATCATCCCACGCTCGCACCTGGCAGAGTTGGGTCAGTATCCTGCGCACTCGGGCTGTTTATGAACTCTGCGGATTTGCGAGCCTGTGTTGATAGAGTTGTCCCGGTACGGCCCAAAGACTGGGGGGCGGGAATAAGGCGGATCGGCAATTTTGAAGGATGCAATAAATAGCGGTACTGGTACCGGCAAGAGTTGGAAGGACGACAGGGGCGAAGGAGGCTGTAAACTCATTGCAGAGGGTGCTGAGTTGGCCGCAGCCGTTGCTCATGATCACTGAGTAGAAGACGGCGCCGATGGTTGGAGATTGCCTTCGTACCTCGGTTAGTGGAGAGTGTGGTGAAGAATAGTGGAGCTTACTACAAGAGCAATTCGGCGAAAATAAAAGGTGTTGGTAGGATGTGAAGTGTAAAAAGATAGGCTGTGTTTGAGGATCCTTGAGGATGGTAGATAATGGACACTGACTAGGGCTTGTTATAGTCTGCCCAGAATTTTGGAGTGCCAGAGGGAACTGACGACCACTGCATTTTCGGCATTCGAGGAACAATCTTGAAGCAGGACAGCAGGTTCTGTAAGCTTCGTAGTGGGCTGAGACAACATATTAAGATAGGGGGCCAGCTCCAATATTGCAGTCAGCAAACAGGAACATGAGGCTGTTGACAAACATGAGCGCCATGAGTACCCAGATGAACGCCATGTTTGAGTGGCTGTCAAGTGTTGAGGCTACGCAGCATACACATAGGGAATTTCGAAGCCTCCAAATTCTGAGAGGAGAAAGCTCTCTTTCTTTTCATTTACGCGAGTATTTGGGTATCGATGAGAACAAAACGGCTCTTCCGATCAAAGGATAGTACACCTAAGGGATAAACAATTCCCTTGCAGGTAAAATGAAGATTTCTCAAGTAAGATTTCGTGAACATGGGCTGGGTTTTTTGGCACCGCACCTAAAATGTAGTATTCCTTTGGCTTCTCTCTTGCAGGTAAAAGGACGATTTTCAAGTAAGGTTGGTGGAAATCGCCACTTTCTTCTGGGACCGCGCCTGAACTGTAGGACTACTAAGATTAGAGAATGTAGCAAAGTCATGCATGCATGACGAATATTTTGAACGAAGTTGTTGAAGGAGGGAACAGTTCAGGCGCGTTGCCTGAAGATGTTGATATTTTTTCCGAACTTTCCCTAAAAAATTGTATTTTACCTGCAAGGAATGTGTTTCAAAGCACTCGATCTGAAAAGCCGATTTGTTCTGATCGATACCCACAATAACATGCGTAAATGTAGAGGAAGAGCCCTTCTTCCTGTTGAGATTAGAGGGGTTGAAATTCCTTTTATGCATGACTTTTGCTAGGTTCTCGTACACGTGTGGAATTGCACACGCATTCTGCGAATGGTTGCAACTGATCGGTGGTTCGCATCTCACAGTCACCTGCAGATTCATTGAAGATGAGACAAAGTGTGCAGGCTACCATAAAAACAGGTGCAGCGCCGAAACCCCGATCTGCTGAGCTCCTTTCCCGTCTCCCTCGCTGATGCAACGATTTCATTGGACAACGATCCTTGATAGAAGCGCTGATAGCTATGTATCCCTTACAGGATCATAATAACTCACTTTGCTAGTGGAGTCCTGTGTGTTTGCGGTGGGTGAAGACTCGCTGACAGACTCGGTTGCTGTGACTAGCTCAGCATAAGACTCAGAGACGTGCATGGAGGACGACTAACTCGGTTTTACCTTCCGCGCTTCCGCTCGCCTATTCCTTTGAAGCTGATACAATCGCCATTCGAGGGCGGGCTCCACATCTCTTCCGGTGAAAAGCCCTTTTTGAAAACATAGCTCTTTCAGCTGACGTCGAAGAGCAACCTTGACATTAGGTTCCATCGAGCCCCAAGCGCATATCGTATCAATCCCCAGTTGATCATGAAAGTCTTTAGAAAGACGCTTTGAAGAAATATTAACAATAGAAACTAGCCATCGGTCAGCTAGATACTTACTAAGAACTGCTGCCAAACGTCTCGATCATGGACGCTATTCGAGAGGCCCAAGAAAGTCTGAATCTTGGATGATGACGCCCTGATGATAGTTCCCTCCCATTGATTCATTTCTCAGACGAAGTATCTTGGGTTGCACAAGGCGCTGTTACCTCGGCAGATGTTGGAGTCTTGATTGCTGATGTGTTATCGATAGATACCTAGCGTGGGAATCGGTAGCGTTTCCTCTAATGCAACTAACGCTGCTAGTGCTGCTTATCGCTCGAATTGGGAGCGAGGCTGCGAGCTCGATGAGGGCGAGTCCAAAAACGCGTTAGACTTACATTTGTCATCGTCTAAGTATTCCTCACGATGGATCTGTGCGTTGACCCCGGAAACCTGTCATTCCCGTCATTGATCGGTCGTCTATAATAGCTTCAAGAAGAACGTAAAACAAGGGTACTTTTGCTCAATGATGCTGCTGTCGTCGATATCTGTGGGATTGGTAATACTCTGATTGCCGCTCTCTTTTCGCACCTTGGCTAACAAACATCCACCACGATACCCTCTTTGACTCCTGCCGCCATCCTTGTAGCAGGGCAGGACAATCCGGTGAAAAAAGACCATCTAAACCCATCACCAGCTGCGCTACTCTCTGTTTCAGTTGTCCTCCGATGCATCGTGACATACACTTTTTAGTGAGCCAATGGCGTCGATCGCACATAGGGTTAGACGTATGGGAATGCGCAGAAAGCGAGAGTCTGTACCGATGCCTGCGCGTGCAATGATGGGAGCCATGTACTTCTACCCATTCCTTAGAGGGGTATAAACTTCCGTCGCCAGTCACCTTGTTTACCAAGCACTAAAGCGAGTGAAAGCAAACGTTATATGTACCATCGCCAGATCATCTAGAGGGTGAAGACTAGCTGAAATCAAATCTTAACCTCCTCAACGGTACCATGCGTGACGTCGTAGATGTACCCAAAGACTTGAACATCTAGAAACGGAGAGACTTTAACAATGCCCATATCATGCCTCACACTCTGATGCACGTCTTTGAATAACTCGAATTCCATGCCTTCAATCTCTTGTGCCTTCTCCGGCGCCCTCCCCTTCAACCTCGCTCTAATTGACTCGTCACTAGTATGGACCAAGCCACAATCAGTATGATGCACCACAATCACAGTCCCCACGACTAGAAGATCATCCAGAATGATGATGCTTCGCAAAGCATCCGCATTCACGCGGCCACCGGCGTTGCTGATGAGAACGGCGTCTCCAGGCTGCAAGCCAAAGAATTTACGTGGATCGACACGCCCATCGAAGCATGAGATGATGGTGATGCGAGGGTGGACTGGGGGGTTGGCAAGGAGCTTGGTGAAAAGGGGAGCAGGTTTGTAAGTTTCGGCGAATGTTGCGTTCCGTGAGAGGAAATTGGCGACTCGACTGTCTTCGGGTTCTTCTTCAGGCATCCTTAGATTGGTAATTGGTCTTTACGTGTGGGATCAGGATGAAAGCCGGAGAGATCTATTGAGATGATTTGACCGAAAGATTCAGTATAATGGTGGCACTGTCTATCATACAAATAGGTCAGGATTGGAAATCCTTCGGAGTTACCGTAGGACCGTTAAGGCCGCTGGTTTCATACATTCCCTTGACTGCAACTAGATGGAGAAGATCTCATGCATGGTTGCCGTACGTTGTCCAGCGACCAGGTATCAACAAAGTTTCATGCTCTTGAGGCCAGGCAGCTGGACCGAAGCAACGCTTTGAGAACTGCCTCCTGTGGGGCTAGCGAGTACATAGATGTATCTCAATCACTTCTCTTAGCAGGGTTCCAAGCCTTGGAAACTCTAGCACAGGCTCTTCGCTGTCAAATATGTTTGTTGATGGCCGAGCAAGCCGGTCTGATATGATGCTATCTTATGATGGATCTTGCATGATCTTGGGGAGTCGTCCTATTGGGCCGCCTTGAAGGTCAGCTTCAGGAAATAAATAGGACTCAGGTGCTGGATAATAGGATCTAAGGGCAGCAAGTCGACTATTATATACGCAAGAAAGATCACCCTAAAAGGTATCTTATGTGGTCGTCAGAAAGTTGATCACGTGCAGGCGCGAATCGGCAAAACGCGCTAAACTCACAATCGCGCTAAGACCAACCTCCTGCCTCCACTTCCTCACAGCAACTCTCTTCACAAGCAGATGGCATCTTTCTCTTCAACTTCGATCACATCCTCATCAATCATCCTACCACCCTCCAGACCAACCCTCACCATCAACCCCACCTTTACCACCCCACCTCCTCCCACCAACGCGCCACTCCCTCCAAACATCTCCACCTCCCAATCTCTCGCTCCTCAGGAGCACAAACACAACACGCAGCGCACCCTCCCAACAGTTCCCCGAGACTCATCTTCCGCTCGTCGGAATGTCTCCACGCCCCTCGCACGCACCTGCGCGCGTCCTTCCGCCGCCCCCAAATCCTCGAGCCTCACAGCACGGTCTCACATGAGCTTTTATCGCGGTCGGATTGCACGAGTGTGCTGCCTTCTCTCTCGGGGGAGGGTAAAGGGTAGTGCGGGGAGGATGGGTTTCGGAACTTAACCCTAAGTTTTCGTCGGTTGAGCAAATAAATATTGCAAGTTTCGCGAATATAGCTGTCGGGTTCGTGACTAGCTTTTCGATGCTTCTTTGATACTTTGCCTGAGGGTGGAGTGGACCGGGGCGGAGAGGAGTGAAAGCGGGCTTGGACGTCCAGAGCCCGTGAGGGCAGTAAAGGGGGATACGAAGCGCCGTAATTGGGAAGATCTCTGGATGGGGACGCGCTTTTAGTATCTTTCGCTGGACATCATGCTCTGGTAATTTACGGGATATTTTGTTGAAGTTAGGGCCGAGGGAGGGCGGAAGACAGTGGGTGGGATGAATCGGGCACCACGATGTTGTGGTTGTCTTTGAGATCTTCGTGGTCATGTTGAAAGATGTCGAGCACGTCTTTACTTCTACGGTGGTAATTGCCTTACACGAAGGTTGCGTTACACATACATTTCGAGCCTCGGTTCACCCACAGCAAAGACCCACTCGCCGGACGTGCTCTCCTTCATATGTTCCCACGGCCTCGGCCTAGAACATGAACGGCTTGCGCAGCGAAGTCTACGCTTACAAAAAGAAATGTCATGTGTCTTGCAGCCGCTCTCAGCGCTTCTGCCACCCCCGGTGCCAGCACTGCAGAGCTCATGGCACGACGTCACGCTCCGATAAATTGTCAATCATACGAAGACCTCTCGCACACATTCCCTACACCCCGCAAGGGAACTCACTCTCCACTTCCCCTCCCCACTCCTTGCTCACAAGACCTACGCCACGGCACCAGCCACCGGCCTAGTCGCTGCCTCAAAACAGCGTGTCCCGACCAGTCGCGTCAATCATCTCCCCCTACGATCTGCGTAAGGGTATCGATCGATGAGCGCCGACATCAAGTCGTCTGCACTACGTGCAGGCCGAATACCTCCAATAGGAGATGGAAGCGGTTTTTGGAGATGTACTTTGTTCGCTTCATACAATGCCCCTCTGCTGTCAAAGGCGGAGGCGGAAATCAAAGACTAGTCTCTGAGGGTACTGCAATTACACAAAGAGAGATTTGGGAGAGAGATGGGGGTGGATGTGAAGGTGGTCAGTTGTGCAGTAGGAAGGATGGGGTCGGTGAGGAGGCTGAGGGGTGGGATGACGGCTTTTTGAATGAGGTGTGTCATTCTGAGTCAAGGTTGCTGACTGCCTCCAAGAACAATTGGTGATGGGAGGCCTTCAGTCTAAGCCAACGCCTTCACAAGAACTCTCTTGCAGAAATCGTGGACGCTCAGCCTCTCTCTCATTCTAGCAAATTCCAGAGATTTCAGCAGTCACCATCGACCCATCCCCTCGAGTCACTCGCGGACACCACCCCCATCACCGTTCAGACTCGGCATGGCGGCTCTCTGGGACATGAAGTATGTCTTCCTTTCCGCCTTGGGATCCGGCCTCGTCGAGCTCAGGGATCACAGACACCAGGACGGGACCTCTCTCGCGTGAGGATCAAAGCTTAGGCTTGTCTGTCCCTGGCCGTCTGCCTTTTGCGACGCTTGGTTGGGTTTCTCGGTGGAGAGGCGGCGTGTGGAACGTTTCGGAGTTTCAAAGTGTCGGAGATGAGCGGCGGGTGCTGGGGCCGTGAGGGGCAATGATGATGGTTTGTGCGTTGGTACTGGGAGGATGCTGGGTGGAGGAGTGGTTGGGTTGAAGCGGTGGATGCGGGGTGGGAATGGGGAGGTGGGTGGCGGTGGCGGGGTCTCTGGGTGAGGGAAGAAGTGATGGAGGGCCGAGGAGGCAGGTGCTGCTGTCTCTACTTTCGGGTGGGGATGGCGGCGTCTTTTCATTTTATAAGTCTTCCAATTCCTTTGTGCGAGTTTGATAGGACTGACTATGCGGCAGCATGAATGAAGTGTCTGAGAGTACAGCTAGGCTAAGGGATTTATATCGAACTGGGTGGCAGACTGTTTCCAGAGAGTCATAAGTTTATACCCGATATGTTTTCGAAACAAGAATAAACTCTCAAATGCTCAACATGTACCGAAAGGAAGATCGAGATTGGGGAAAAGGTGATTTTAGCAAAAAATCAGAGCGAAAATGTACCCTGCAGAAAGTCGATTTGATTCATTGAGACGAAGAGCAAATTCAGGAAGCGTTCCTCAATGGGCAAATCGGAAGTCAAGCCTAGAAGAGACGCATCCATCAGTCCCACAATACCAGCACAAGAAGTGCAAAGATCACGTACCGTTTATTCCCCTTATCGGTCGTCGTTTCAAGATACCTTTGCTTCTCCCAAGCCGTCATCGCATCCCACTTTTGCCGGCGCGAGCTTGCAAACCATTAGTGCATCAACGCAGAAAGAATGAACGATGGACATACCGGTTCTTGGCCACATAGAAGACTTTTGCGCCGATGAAAAGAACCATGTTGTAGACACAGATTGCAATCAAGACTTTATTCCCTGTGCGGTAAAGAGGCTTGTCGTTGTTACGATAGATCTAGAAGACATGTCATGTACATCAGCCACAACGAACAAGCTCGCTCGTTACGACATAAAGCGCGATGAACGATGCACTCACATTCGACCCAATCACACTGCTAGCCTGCACACACATGTTATACAGCGCCGACGCCACGGTCCTCGTCCTCACGGATCCCGCATTCCGACTCGTGATCGCGACGATGATGGCGTGCACATAGGGCGCGCCCACAAGCAGCGTGCTCAGCGCCCATTTCACCCACGGCCCCGTGTGCCCGGAGATGGTCTCCAAGGCGATCAGGACCGGCAGCGCCCAGATCTGGCTGACGAGACCGGTCAGGAAGCGCTGATCCGTCTTCTCGGACACCCAGGTCCACCAGAGCAGCTGCACGATGAAGAGCACGTAAGCGGGTATGGTGAGCAGGTTGGTTTCGAAGGTGCCGAAGCCGGCGGCCTTGAGCTGAAGGGTCAGGTACTGCGTCATGGGGTAATTCGGTATCAGCCAGGAGAGGCCGAGGAGGTAGATGGGCCACATGTCGTAGTCGGTCAAACTGTACCAAAGTGCCTTGGGCGACAGCGCTTGACGGTTGTGCATGTCGCCTTTGCTGGGATCGTCGCGAATGATGCGGTTGACCATGATGAGTTCCTCGCGCTCGTCGAACCAGCCTTCTTTCCCCCGGAACCAGCTCTTGGTCTGGGTCGGCGACGGGGGCAGGTATAAGAAGGAAATAAAACCAATGCAGCCGGTGAGGAGACCCTCTGCGCATTATTCGGAGTCAGCTTTGCTTATACGAGGTAGGCAATGGAGTTGCGAGCCAGATCTCGGGAGTAGACAGGTCCTTTTGCTCCCGAAACATGTCTTGCGACTCAAATTCAATACCAACTGGAAAGATCGGCTCCGAAATGTACGTACCTAGGGCGAAGAGCCAGCGCCAGCCCGCGAGGCCGTGGTGGCCGCGCAGGTGGAGGATGCCGAAGGCGAGGAAGGCGGAGACGATGCTGGTGAACTGGTAGGAGACCCAGAAGAAGCTGAGGCGGATGGGCAGTTCGAGGCTTGTGTAGAAGTAGCTCAGGTAGAGGATGTTGTCGGGGATGAAACCGCCTTCCAACAAACCCAGCAATGCTCGACAAGCGAAGAACGAGGAGCGTCCGCTGAGGAAGGCTTGCATGCTTGCAACGATCGACCAAGAGACCATCTGGACCGGGATCCAGCGGTCAGGACCGAGCTTTTTGGAGATCAATTGGGATGGCAGTTCGGCGCAGAGAAAGCAAATGTAGAAGATTGTTTGCCCCGTGTTGTAATCGTCTGTGTTCATCTTGAGATCGTTGAGCATGTCATCGGAAAGGGCTTGGGATATATTGCCACGATCGAGTTGAAGTGCAAAGAACATCAGGCAAACCCAGGAGCAGATGCGGAGATCCAGCTGGATAGATCAGCGTTGGGCGATTCTGTTACTGACGGTGTTGGAGTGTGCACACACCTTGCGCACCAGTTTTTTCTCCTCCTTGGGCTCCCATTCGAAAGTTGGGTCGTAACGATGTTTCCCTTCATAGTCCTCAATCGGCGTGTAGAACGTTTCATTACCGAATGTTTCAAACGTTGCATTGTGCTTCGACGGGTCAATGCCATGGCCTGTACCGGGAGAATGGTCGAGTGTTTGGTGTCCCTTAAACGCGTCCTTCTCCAGACTGCTACTAGTCGAGGAGTTGCCGCGCGCTCTGGATAAAAGAGGGCCAACAGCGATCTCTCCAGAAGCTTTGATGTCCGCGTTGGTTATACTCATGATGCAGAAAGATGCGCTCAGGCGGAGTCTTCTGGCTCAGTAGCATTGCGCCTTTTCAAGGCACGACTACATATATACGAAGCCATTGCCACATCTGAGGCCTGCAGACACCCACTATAAGCGGTTGAATGATGCATTGCGATAGAACAATTGCACAATACCTGCAGTATTTTACATGCAGGTTACATGCGAGACGATATTCAGTTTGGCTGATTGGATGGGGCACGAAGCACGCCATTCCGGCTTGCGCGATAAGATTGGCAGGTCCTACAACGAACGTCATGTCCGCTGCACCTGTCAACATTTCCACCAAGGAATTCCGGCAAAGCACGCAAGTATTCGCAATATCTTATCATCCAATGATGCACTGATCGACGCATATTCACCTTCTTGTTCAAGAATCGGGCAATCCATGCGACCTCTTCAAGCGATTGATATAAGCCCACTCTTCAACGACTGTTCTAGGTCCATCCTCTTTACTAGGGAAACAAAGCCACCATTACGAAATTTGAGACAAAGAAGCAAGCATAGTCCGGCGCAAATTTCACAATGGCTCCTGGAATCGTGGACCCACCCCAAACGGCACCTACCTCGGATTTTGCGAAGGCTTCTGTTGGACCAAAAGAGGCCTTCATTGGTGGACCGCAAGTCTTCAACAAAACTGCAGAAGAGCAAGGCACTGAGAAACAACCTCCTGCGACCCATCCAAAATACCTACCCGTATGGGACGCGGATACCATGTATATCCCTGCTAGGCTTCATGATTGATATTGGTATCGTTTACCAACCAAGTGCCATAGATATCCGCCTCTTGAGCCATTCACGCATTACGAGCATGGCAAGGACGCCGATCCCATGTCTCCGGAATTGTTTCACGAGGCCACTTCAGTCACCGAGCTGACACCATCTACCGGCTCTGAAGTCCGTGGAATCCAGTTGAGCGCTCTGACCAAACAAGGCAAAGACCAGTTGGCCCTCTTCACAGCGCAGAGGAAGGTTGTCGGTAATTCTTCTATTCACAGCCTAAATCCTCAGGCTCTGATGCTCCTCTTCTAGTATTCCGCGACCAAGACTTAGCCGACCTTCCCATCCGTGAAGCACTAGATTTCGGCTCCTACTTCGGGCGCCTGCACATCCATCCCACTAGTGGCGCTCCTAAAGGCTACCCAGAAGTGCACCTGGTCCATCGCGGTGCGGACGACAATACTGCAATGGGGCTTCTCAAAAGTAGGACCAATACCGTCACCTGGCATTCTGACGTGACGTATGAGAACCAGCCACCTGGCACTTCGTTCCTCTATGTTCTCGACACGCCTACGGCAGGCGGAGATACTTTGTTCTCGAATCAGGCTGAGGCGTACAATCGTCTGAGTCCAGAGTTCCAAAAGAGGTTGCATGGGTTGAGGGCATTGCATTCTGGTATGCTTGTGGCATGAGCTCACTAGATTTCGAGTGGGGGGCTGATGCTTCAACCCTAGGACACGAGCAAGCCCAGAATAGCAAGAGCCGAGGTAGTATTGTGCGGAGGGAGCCAGTGACTTCAGTACATCCAGTGATCCGTACACATCCCGTAAGTGTTTCGACACCGGATTTCCCCTGTGTGAATATTGACTCTATTTGCAGGCTACTGGCGAGAAAGCGATTTATGTGAACCCGCAATGTAAGTCATGCATCTTCGTCTGTCTTGATTCGGCTGACACCATCGCAACAGTCACTCGCCACATCGTCGGGTACAAGCAGGAAGAGAGTGACTTCCTGCTGAAGTTCCTATACGACCATATCGCCCTGGGCCAGGACTTCCAGGCCCGAGTCAAATGGGCACCCAGGACTGTAGTTGTCTGGGATGTAAGCATATCAGGTTGCCAATTGTTGCGGACGGGCGCTGATGCAATGGGTTGTAGAACCGCGTGACGGCTCACTCTGCAACGCTCGATTGGGCGAACGGCCAGCGGCGTCATCTGGCAAGAATTACTCCACAGGCTGAACGTCCGACAGAGACTTCATTCGAGGCTCATCCGGAGAAGGGTAGCGAGTTGACCGAGAACCTTGTGAATGGAAAGAATGGAGTGGCGACCTAGGTTTGGTAGATGGCCTTCCGTCATGGTAGCAGGTCGTTACGACTCAATTAGACATACTTGACATGACGTGGTGTTGATGCCAACAGTACGAGGTTCTTCTCTAATGTCGCAAACGAGAATGCGCCTATTCTCGATCCAAATTTTCATACTCCCACTGTGCCTGGAGCCATTGTCGCTGCTGCTCCCGATCATACTGAAGTTCATTTTCAGCAAACCCTGTGTGTCCACCAGAGGCCAGGAAGCGGTTAACTTTCGCGGGGTCATCACTATGCCAGTAACCTCGCGTTGAACGTGGTTCGCCGTCGCTGAGAGGTATGGAAATACAAAGATTGTTCAGAGCCAGTACGCTCATGCTTCGAAATGCACCTTTCCATGACTTTGGGGTCCAATCTTCAAATATGCGATCTTGAGGGTGGTGTTTGGAAAGAATCATGTAGTCCAAGGAGATCGATTCAAGTGTGCTGATATGCCTCGTAAGGAAAGCCACGAGCTCATCTTCCTCCAAGATCATGTTGCTCAGGCCGACATGTTGGAGACACGGCCAGGCAAGGTGTCCAAGCAGCTTCGCAAGCTCACGAATTTCGGTGTAAGGCATATCGAACCCTAAGTCCAGATGCTTAAGGCCCTGGGCAGCAGTGAGCATTAGAGCAACGTTGCCACCGCCCAAAAACTTGATCCAATTCCACTGGGAATTACCATTTTGCGTGTCGATCTGCAAGCTGATAGTTGCGAGATGTCGAAAGGCGTTGCAAGTATGCATAAGCTCTGTGCTGGCCATATCTAGCACTGTGTATGAAATACCCTGCTTTGCACTATCAGTGACGAATGATCGAAGCTGCTTCAGGTTCAACATTGATGCTGCTTGTGTGAGTACGTAGAAGCCACGATACCACAACCTGGAGTGCTCCCAATCAACGGCATGCCAACCGGCATTATGAGGCCAGTGCTGTGGATGAATTTGCACTGTCTGCCGACTTCGAACTGTCTCCGAGTGAACAATGTTGGATTTATCGTTGAGATCGCAGAATGTAGCGTACTCTCGGCAGTCGTGCCACCAGTATTTGGACTCTGACCATCGACGGTCAGAGATGCCAAAATTTCTCACACTTGGCATGCGTTGGAGAGCGCGGAGGAGGCATAGGAGGTCCGCAGGTAGATACCTGTCAAATGTATCGACATCTAGGCGATGTGGTACTTCCTCGCTTCCTTTCGCGGCTGTAAGGAGAGACCCAAAATTAGGCGGAGCGTCTGATGACCGCATTAGGTGCGCTCCTTCGTAGGCTTGGAGCTCAATCTGTTCTTTGCATCTCGCCTTATACTGAGAAATAGCATATCGTAATGCGTTCTTCGGCCAGATAGTCCTCGATCTATCTTTCAGGAATCTGCGTATATATTTTCTATAAGACCTATCATCGTTGAAAATGCTGAGTAGATCTGGGTCGTATATAGTGCTATCGTAGTATATCTCCTTGACGTACTTGCTGAAGATTTGATGTAGCGAAATAGCTGTCAGAGTCTTCTGGTCCTCGGAATTTGAGGATATCCATACCCGTTGCAATAGGAACGGGGATGCTACCTCATTGAAGAGTCTGCACGCTAGGCGTGTGCTCCTAATATCGTCCTTTTTAAGCCATTGACAGACTGAGCCCCACAACTCGAAGGGAAGATAAAGGATTCGCGCCGCATTGTATCCAATGTCCATGTTTGGAGCACAGTCTTGTTCTAAAGGCTGAGCCTGGCAAGGTGTCAAACAAAAATGGCAGTTTGAGGAGTTGAAACTCTCGTTTTCACATGAACTTGAGTATCAACTTGTGACAATATATCGCCTGGTAAACAATCATCAGGAAAGACGTTAAATAGCGCAAGAAGCTCCACGTTAAAATTTCTGTTGCCGTGGAAGATTTGTACACTTGGGCCAGACTGCCACAACTTCTAGCACCAAGCCTAAGAGCCCAATTCTTTGAAAAAAATAAGTAAAGAAGACAAGAACTTTTGCAGATAATCAAGTCCAGCATTACTCAATACATGGGCTTCAGCGGTTCTCAGAGTAAATCAAGTGCAAAGGAAATGGAGCATTCTTATGGTCACGGATAGAGTATGATTGAGGGAATATTGGCCGTAGGGCTGATATTGTACTAGAGTGGCGAGAGTGGTTGCATTAGCGCCAAGAAGCTTTACGCGATACCGTCACGACAGCAACAGACAAGCGCCCCCGCTGCCTATTCATGGCAAAGTGAGCTTTCGACTCTTCCACACTTTGACTCATTGTGAAGGCTGACCATGGCTCATAATACACAACAGATGGTGACTTTCAAAACATGAATCTAAACCCTCGATACTGACGGCGAATGCAGAGCTCATTCCCTGCTCTCGCCTCACGTGCCCCCTTGATACACCCCTTGTTGACGCAGCTATGGTCCAAACCTTCATGAAACGACCTACATCACCACTCGTTTACGGACCCTTATATACCCCCCCCGAAGACATTCTCTACCCTGGAACAGATGAAGAAGCAACACCAGATGAGCGTGAAAGGAAGAGATTGCGAGTGGAGATCCAGGGGCAGCAATACCTAAATGGGAGACCGCTATTTATACTAAGTGCGGGTTTGAGAGGGCCTTTCGAGAAGGGATGGGTCAATCCGTGGAGGAGCAAGAAAAGGAAATACGGGATCGATGACATTAGGCGCTTTCCCGAGGCGGGAACGGAGGCCTTCCCAAGGCATTCACATATGGAGGCGGACCCAAGCACCGAAAAAAGGAGATCTGTTGCGGTCTCTGGCTACGGATCGCTCGACTACGGTTCAGATATCGGAGCACGGTTAGTCACAGAGGCGTCAGGGCAAGAGGAGCCCACCGCCAAACGGAGACGGCATGGAGAGCTCGACGAACCCCCTGGCTATCATGGGAGCCAGAGAAAAGTTGACCAAAGAGTCGCTGCACCCGATAGGGATCAGTATCACTGGCTCAAGACGGACAAGGCCTATCCGCAAGCATGCTTAAGGGAGCACACAAGGTCTTCTACGCCAACTCCAGCAGCCAAACTCCGGAGCAAGTCCCATGCAACGTCTTCTCCGCACCCCAATAATTTGGTTAGAGCGACAACCTTGCCTCCCGGGTCCAATCACCGAAAGCGCCTTTCACGGAGCAAGGAACACGGGCTTAACGTTGGGCATACAAACTGGAGTACGACATCAGCGGCGAGTGAGGAAACCCACGTGGAAACCGTCGAGCTTGCGACGACCGACCTACTTCCAAGCGCAATAGACACAGCCAGTGACATGCCCTTCAATGTCAGGGAAAGAAGCCTCTCCAAAACAGATACCCTCACTAGATGTGGCTACGATGAGGTCAAACGACTCTCCCAACGAGCTGTTAGACGAGCAGAAATAGAAGATGGGCAGCTCCAAGCAAAGAAATTGTCTGAAGAAGCAGTGGCGCGGGCGCTCGAGAGCGACCAGAAAAAGAGCCCGAGTCGATTGACACCATATGTGTCAGAAGCTGTTTTAGGCAATGATGCCGCTAGCAGTGCTGCCTTAAGAGCTGCAAAGGCTCCAAAGCCGAAGCCTTCGCCGCACGCAGTGCCGCCATCTACATATCAGCCCGAGTTCCAATACCGCTATGCCAGGAAGGGGACGTCAACCTCTACATCACCACAAAGAGCTCTTTTCGTCGATGCGCCCGAACAGCCTCAAACCAGACCGAGATCTGATTCATCCTCCTCATCGGGAAGTAGCGCATTTGCCGAAGCACTCGAGGCCGCTCAAAAGAAAGCAGCTTCTAAATCATTTGCATCGTCTAAATCGTCTAGTCCTGCCATTGAAGGCCCGGAGACCAAAAGCGTGAAGAAGAATAGACAAACATTGAGGAGGCTCACATTCACCCCCTCGGGTAGAGCTAAAGTTGCTTCAGCGCGGACGTCTTCAAAGCCTAACTCAAGCTCGTCTACAGCCGAATGTGGTAAGATTGAGATAGAATATCAAGACAAGCCTCTGTCGAATGATCCTCCTATACTCCTCAGAACGTCTACCAAGTCTTCAGCTCGGTCTCTCACTAATGGCAACCGGTCACGAAATTCGATCATCTTCCCAGAAGCTCAGACAGATCCAATTGCACATCCACCCCTTGCACAAGCGCCCTCAGGACCCTCTACAGATCTCTTAGAGACCGACAAACAATCACCGAAAGTCCCGAGCTTTGAGGAAGGCGATTCGTATCTCGATCTGTCTACACAGGCTGCAGCATTGAAGGCTCAACGTTCTTTCCAAGCTGATGTTGTCTCAGCGCTCACCCCTCGCCGTCCCAAGAGAGAAGAGTCAACCTCCGTAGGGTCCATGTCCAGGAAAGCAGAAATCACGCCAGTGGCTCATGGCCGACGCGAGACCGAAGCTGCTAATGCTCAGCTTATAAAGCTTTCCGACGGCGATGACGCAGAGCCAATGAGTACCCAAGCGATGGTAGACGCTATGTCACCTTTCGCTGTCACTACCATCAAGAAGCGTTCTCCAGCTGTCCAAAAGCGTACCAGCATCATTCTTTCTCCCACAAAGAAAAGGAAGGCAAGATCTCCTACCCAAGCGCCAATCCTTTCTCCCGAATCTCCGACTACGGCCGAATTTCGCACCCACTCCCCTGGCATGTCTACATCACCATCTTCGACGCCCTCGCCATCTCCTGAGAAGTCGCCACCGCCGATCCCGCTCTCCCATCCCACCAGCAACTCCAAGCCTCCATCATCTCTGACGTCTTTCTCCATTTTGCCAAATGGAACGTTAACGGAAACTAGCTTATATCAGCAGGATGGCCAACAACGACAAGACCTCCCACACTACGATATCAGTCTTCCACTCGACCCCTTTGGCTTTGATGATGCTGGTGGTGATGGACAGAGGCAGGGTAATACCTGGGATCTAAATGCCGCAGTTGAGGAAGCAGAAAGCTTTCTGGGGAACTGGGATGTAGAAGTTGAGGCGAGGAAGGAAGGCAATTCGAGCAGGAAGCGGGAGTCTGGGAATAGGAGTATCTTGAAGGGGAGTTCATGATGTTCGAGGCAGTGGTCATGTGTTAGACTTTCAGAGGTGCATAGAGTGCCTCGGGCCACAAAAGCTAGGTACTGGTGTTGGAAGGGATTGTATATATTCAACGTCATCTAGCGAGCGAGTGCTGTAATAGATACCCCAGTGCGAGCGAACAACTACCAACACTTTCACTGTCCGATCCATCTCCAAGGCCTGTCCACCATACACTGACATTAAGATTAATTCCATACTATGCCGCTATGCCCGCCCTCAGTGCAAACTCGCGGTACTCAACCTCAGTCCGGTCCATGCTATGCACGAATCCAAACGCAGACAACCCCACTCGCGACGCTTCAGACAGCAATATCCCTCGCGCGCCACCTCCTCCACGCCCACGCCCACAACCCCACAGCCACCCAACTCGCAACCGCCATCGCCCAAAACGTACTCCGATAGCACCGAGCCCCATAGCACATCTGCTCCTCCTCGCCCATGATCTGCGACCTCTCCACGCCGGCCTGGTACACCCCGGAATAAACAGCGCCCCAGATGGCGGCCCCGGCCGCCGGCACCACGGCCACGATCCCCCAGTTCGTGCCGAAGTTTTGCACGCCCCATACGACGGAGACGATGATTGGGGAAAGGGAGAAGATGGCGCCGTAGCCGAGGCCGACGAGGGCGGAGACGAGGGGGAAGAGTGGTGGGTGCGATTGGATGGCCGTGGTGGCGAGGATGAGTTGGCCGAGGGAGAAGAGGAGGGTGCTGGTGAGGAGAAAGGACATTCGTGAGACTGTGAAGGTCTTTTTGTTTGCTTGGGCGTCGGAGTGGGAGGAGGTGGGGGCGAGGAGGTCGCTTAATGTGCCCGTGAGCAGCCTCGCGAGGGTTGATGTGAGGGCGACGATGGATACGTGTGTTGCGGGCGAGTTTGATGGGGGTATGGAGGCCGAGGGCGGGTATAGAGTGTGGATTATAGTGCCGAGGTTGTTGATGAAGGCTTCACCAGGGCCCGTGGTGAGGAAGAAGCCGGCGGCGAGGAGCCACATTGTGGGATCCGTGAGGAAGATGCGGGTTTCGGTGTTCAAGACCATGGTCTTTTTGATGGCGGTTTCTGTGTTGTGAGCTTTTGAGGCCGGAGAGGACGCCTCTGCGTCATGGTGATGTGGCGAAAGGGTGCCGTAGCCATTGCCGTTCTCGCCATCGTGGAGTAGCGAACGCTGGAGGTACGGGCTGTCTTGCAACAAACCATCCCTTTCCATTTCGTCCACAGCATCATCGATCATCTCTTCCTCCCCCACAACCCTTAAGCCCACCGCCCCTACCATGCCCACGGCAAACAGTAGCCCTGCCAGGAACAGAAAGTATCGGAATACGTCCACATCCCCATTCCTCTCATCCTCTTTCTGAGCGAAGAAATGACTCCCAACCTGACTCTGCCACATCCCGCTCAGCCCAAACGCTGCAATCGGCATCGCCAGCGCCAACCCCTTATGTTTTCCCCTGCCAAAATTCTTCGCGCAAGTCGTCACCGCGCTCAGGTACATGCAGCTCGTACCCATTCCCACTCCCACAAAGGCGAGGACCATAATCGTAAACGGCCATCCTCCCTCACTTCGCGGCGGCCCAGCACGATATGTCAATGCCGCGAGCAGATATCCAACCCCAAAGAACAGTCCCGCGACAAGGGACAGCGGTCTTGGATTATACCGGTCGCAGAGATACCCAAACAGTGGCACAGGCAGATACATCGCCAACTCCGCGGTCGTGCTCACTGCGTTGACCTGGAATTGACTATATCTCAAATGCTTCAGGAACAACGGTCCGTACAATGAATACGCGGTGATGCTCCCCGCGCATAAACAGCTGAGGATTGCGCTGGCAAAGCTTGCGTATTTGAGGACGTGGCGTCTCATTTTTTTGCGGTCGCGCTCGATGACGCCGTCGACTATATTGCTAAAGAAGGATTCGTCGTCGCGGAGAAGGAGGCCTGCGGGGCCGGAGGATTGGAGGGAGTCATGGGAGGTTGGTGGGCGTCGGTGGGAGTCGAAGTCGAGCTTGTCGATGTGCGGATTGGAGGGGCGACTGGAGCTGCGGGAGGGCATCATTGATTCTGCTCATTGTGACTGTGAGCGGGAGGGAGAGTTATGGAGGTGGAGGAGTTTTCTTTTTTCCGTTTCCCAGCCTGTCCGATGCATCTCTGCCTGATCGCCTCACCTGTCGTGATTATATGTACTCCGTACCTTAGGGCCGACAATTTGGCCGCAGGTGATGCACGCTAGTACTAGTGTGGATTTGGATACATCAAGACTCAGTCACAAGGTAAAGTGATAATCGTTTAATGCATGATGGTAAAGCTAAGTACAGTGAAGGCGAAAGGAATGCATACTGTAGCAACGCAATATGGGTATAGTCTGCCGCCTACGAAACTCGCTCCGATCAAATGCATCAACGTAGACCTGTCAAAGCTTCTGAGACAACGCATTTCACATGCTCACGTAACCTTGATCTTCCGCAGGGTCATCAGCCTTCCAGGTTGATGGCATGGTAACTAAGCTCTCTGCTCTGCCCATTTCCGCGTCCTCTTGATACTTAGCATCTTTCCAAATGCGCTTCAAGTACATCCTCAGCGAACGCAACCCTCGCAAGTAGCCCTTGTCGATCCCATCAGGATCGTGAGGTGGACAGGGCACACTCTCGGGCAGCTCATCTTCGGCAGTAACGCAGTTGGCGAAGTCGACGATCTTGATGTTGATGCTCGACTTTGCCTTTCGGTGAGTGTCCCCCGAAGCAGTTCGTCCTGTCTTTGCTGATTCGGGACTCCCTTTGACACTGCCATCATAAAGCATGAGTAGGCTGCTGGCGTAGAAGCGATAGCCTGGAAGGTCCCGTATGATGTCCTCAAGCTTGGATATCTTCTCCAATAGAATTGCAACATGTGTGGAGACGCTTGTATAGGAGAGCCCATCATACAAGAAGCGAGTAAGAGCGGCCTGAAATTCATGACCAGCTTTCAGGTCTCGTCCGTAGTACTTGTCCTCGAAGAGATAAGACTGCTCCTTCACGTTCCATACCTGCATACCACACAGACGGACGCCGAGCTGCTGTGAAGTAGTCGCTTTACACTTGCGCCGTTGGGACTTTTTCTTCTTTTCGTCAGCATCGATCCCGTATTGGCGAGTGCCCATCTTCAGGTCCAGCACACAAGGTTTATCCATGCCAGATGTCAAGTCTTCGAGCAATAAAAAGTGCTGGACCCTCTCATCTGGCTGAAGCTGAGCTTGCTTAGGGTTAGAGGGCGTCAAAGAAAGCCTTTCCATCCCGAAGGAATCGTGTGGGGCGAGGGAAGAATATTTGGCAGCATTCGATGTGTTCTGGCCTTGACCATCATCGGACTTGCCCGGCGTTTGAGAGTCAGTAGGAATTGGACGTTCTCTCTTCGCTAGAGCTCCAGCCGCGGATGGAACATTCATATCCATGGCAAACATAGCATCCTCTTCGTCACCCCCGTACCCATCTTCATAGTACTCCAGCTCACCTCGGTCATTGCTGTCCATGTTGCCCTTGCGGCGCAAATTCACATCTGAACGGCGTCGTTGGATTACTCGAGACTCAGATATTGGCATGCCGTTTGATTCCCCATTGACTGCTAAGCCTGTCTGAAGGTCTTCCGTTTTGGCATTAGCTGGCTGACTTTGACGGACCAAGTCGTCATGACATTGCTGAGACAGGGATGAACTCTCGGCACCTGCCTCCAGCGTCGCCTCAGACTTTGAACCTGTGTTAGCGTCCTTGGTATCTAGTTCACCTTGACTCTTGTCATGTATTGGACTAAGGATCGATGTTCCTCTCGTAGGCGGACGCCTATGGTCGCTTTCTTCACTCACTCTCTGCAACCCTTGACGTCCACTTCGAGGTCGGCGACGAATTGGCGGGCCGAAGACCTCGCGAAGAATCTGTTCCTGCAACTTCGTATTCACTGTAGTAGCGCCCCAACTAGCATTGTGCTTGTGAAGCGATGGTCGGGCTTCTTGTCCATTGACTTGGTCTCCCAATCCGGAACCACCGCCCTGTCCACCTGGAGCATTCTGGTCAACGTGCGAATTGTGATCGCTGATAGATACTCCACTACTTAACCCACTGGTACGTGACGGGAGTGGATACAAATTTTCGGGGATGATGTGTCGATTATTCGCAAAGATGACCTGAGGGACGGGTCCATTTTGCTGTGAGCGACTCACCATTCGAGGCGGCTCCTCGGAACTCTGAAGCTTAGATTCTGGGTGAGGCTGACTGCGATTCTCGCCTAGAGAAGCCAGACCAATCTCAGGCTCATCACGCTCAAGTCCGGGCGATGGCTTCGCGGCACCCTCTGCTGAAGCCACTTCGCCTTCCACATTCGCCCTTTTAGTCTTGGGCGCTTTGCGATAAGTTACATTCAGAACTCCGATGTACCTAATCAACTCAATTAGCAAATGACACCAACTTGAACTTGCGAAGGAGAAGGCTGCGCATGCCTAAATATTCGGGACTTTGGAGCTTGCACGCATCTGTTGAGAATTGTAATGAGCATACCTAGGTAGAAATTTCAAGAGATCAGGGTGTTGACGTTCAATGACTTCGTAGAACTCATTTTCTCTATTCGTGAGCTGTTTGCAGACTGCACGTTTCGAGAACCGAAACACCGTTGTATGTCCGCCTACTTGATGATTGTAAGGTTTCAGTTCGACCGCACCTAAAGGGGCTTTAGGGCCACGATGGGCCTTTCGCGACCGGGCCAGCAGATAAGATTGCCTGGTTTTCGGCGACGCTCTTGGTGTTGCCTCGGCATCGTCTGTCAGACTGGAGTCTTCGTTTAGAGTTGAGCCCTTGGTCTCGTCTAAGGATTCGTACTCAGAATCTGAAGCTGATGAGAATCCGGTCTCTGAATATCCATCGGTATCCGGCTCTGCAGAGGATGAGCGAGCTTTCTGTAAGTCCCCATGCAAGTAGCGGTTCTTGTTGTGGACTTGTAGTGCTATGTCAACATCTTCAGCTTTTTCGCCCTCACATGTGATCGGCAATGCTGGATCTGGCAGATTTGACTCTGTTTCTAATTGAGCATCTTTGCGTTTTCTCGCATCATCAATACTGATATCCTCCAAGGCGTCTGGGGAAGGCGCCTGATGGGGATAGTAGAGAGCTGATGAGATGTGCTCAGACTCGTCTTCTTCGTTCTCTGGCTCCCCCGTTAATTTTGGTAGATCTGCCATGTCAGAACCCTCTTCTCTAGGACTTTGGGCCTCTCGGTACTGTCTAGTATTCTGTTTGTCTTTCGACATGAGGCTGATGCCTGTAGACTTGGGTTGAGTAAGCCTAAACTTGTCGTGGAACGGCGTAGTGAGATTGTGATAATCTCTGATTTCTTCAAGGAGTCGCGCAGGAATGTTGTGTTCAGTTACAACCTCAGCCTTTTCCTGCCCTTTTAATATTGCGGGTCTGAAATCGTCTATAGCGAGGTCTGTGTCACTTTGAGACTTTCTTAGGCCGTTGGCGCTGGGGTTTGCGGTCGAAGATGTTCGCGACAATTGCTGATGCAATTGAGGCTGTTTATTTTGCTGGGTATGTCTCTGTTCCTGCGAGGAGCGTACTAGAAGGGGCTCCTCAAGAGACCCTGAAGCTTCGTCTCTGTCATGGCTCTCGCTCAGGACTTGTCGACCCTCATGCCCCGATCTGAAGGCCTCATCTGCTCGCGTGCCGGTCCCACCAGGAAAGGGATCGATATCGTTATCTGAATTTGTTCTCTGTCTCTCCTGGCCCTTTTTGATGTCATGGGAAGATTTGTTCTCTTTGAAAAGACCAAGCACGTGGCTTGATTTCCGGCTTCTGGCGTGCGAAGACGGCTCCGCATCTGCCATGGTTGCCTCAATTCTCTTTTCAACGCGGCTCTGACTGCTACGGCTAGAACTGCGATTCCTTTTCTCCTCAGAAAAAGCCTCCTCTCTTGCTCCCATAGCCGAATGACGCTCGCGACTTGGCCCAACCGGAGTCTGTACCCCCTCCTGACCCCATGTTCCTGACATGCGTGTGCTATTTGCGATTCCGTTAGACTTGGTGCGCGGTATGCATGGCAGCGGTGTAATCTTGTTGGCAGGAGGATGGTTGTAAGCTTGCTGAGACTGTTCCAGCCAAGATCTGATGTGCGACCTGTCTTGACTGTATGAAGATGCCGGCAATTCTTGATTACACCCTGTCGGCTTATCAGGAATCTGTGTGCCGGGTTCTGAAAGAGAGCTTGAGAAGAGGCTAGTTGCTGCTCCGGAGGAAGGATATGGATATCTTTTGAAATCTAGTGGAGATGAGACTGAGCCTGAATACGGTTGATCTGGGAGATCTAATGATACCGCGGCTTCCTGTGGAATATTCTCAAGATCGGTATTGCCTAAGTTGGTGGGAGGAAGGCGCGGGGTGTTTGGGTCGCTTCCCTCATAATCATCGAGCACGCCATTGCTGCCCAGAGTATGAGGATGGCCATTCTCGTGATCGAAACTGTCTGCTATTGGTGGGATTGCGTCTGCCTCATCATGCTGAGCGAGCGCGGAGCCCGTTATCGCCTCTGGCTTCGCCTTGGATGTTGTGCTCGGAACATGATTGCTGTCACAGGCTGCCCCAAAAGACCTCACCAATTTAGGAGGTGAGGAGTTTTCTGAAGCAGGAGAAGGTTTTGACATGAGTTGAACATTGGCAGACGGCTTGGGAAGCCTTCATCAGTGGAGGGAGAGGGAAGGGTTGAAATTTGAAAGATATGGAAAAAGATATGATGCCTTAGGGCTCGGCGCACCAGGCGGGCGGGGAAGATCCGCAAGGATCTTGATTCCCTTTGTTGACCGCTTTTTGTTGCGACGTGTTCCTGGATTCCTTTCAAACGCTCTAATCTACACCTTTCTGGTGGCCACGTTTCTCGAGATGCCGTTCTACAGGTTGCACTGGTTGGAGGACATTGACAATCTACTCGCTCAGGATGTTTCAAGGGCAAGCCAGAGGATGCGGCGGGAGCCCGGAAAGAAGTCAGGAACATGGAGCCTGGCACCCGGAGAGTATACATCTGACCTCTGCTGCAGAGCACGGAGCCGTCTCCAGAATCAAAGTGCTCAGACTGTCTGGATCGCATGTCAATTTTATCGCTCATGCAGAAGCCCCTGCTCCCAATAGTGCCTCGCTGCCAATCATTGCCCAACGTGCCTCGTGCTTTGTTCGCCCTTGCAGTGTCAACGTGCGCGTTGATTATTCGTGCTCCGCAAGGGGACCCTTGGACGTGTCATATAATCGTCCAAGAAGTTCCCAGTCTGTTTTCCTTGTTTGGCGCTTGGATGATCTCTAGTAGTGACGGTATCCGTTATCAAAACGCCTCGGAGTCTGTCTTCCTTCGAGCGTGGTAACCACATGGAAAGCGCGAGCGCTTTTAGCAAGTCTAATCATAGCCATTATGGACTCAAATTAGGACGCTGGCTCTTCAGGCCATGCGGTCTGTCCAGTCTGTCTCGGACGTGCGTCGCAGTCAGATCACTTCACGTTCACCATCCAATTTGCACCCAGGGAGCTGTTCGGGGATATAAAGCCAGGAAGGAGCTGACCATCGGGGTCGGGGCGTTCCGCGCGCTCTAGGGAAGTACTGATCTCTTGAGATTAGTGCCGACAACAATCTATAGATCTCTGAGTGAGCACGAGCTGGCTATCATCGACACCGTACTTTCTCGTCAAGCCAGGAAGCAAAATACGAAGCAGGCAAGAATCGCAGTCGTGAGCAGCTTACATTGTGACATCATTGATTGGATCAACAACGCAGAGCAACAACGAGTTGACATGCGGAGGCCACCGAAGAAGTCCCGCAATTATATAAGGAAGTATAACACAAATGCGTCAAAATATCGTTGGTGCTCATGGAGAAGTGGCACTTGGAGGGCCAGAGAGCAGTAATACGAGCGAGACGAGGCTCTCGCAGCAGCAAATCCGTGGGTATCATTGCAAGGCGTCCAGAGCCCACGTTCTAAGCGGCTGTGACGTTTAAACTTTTCTAACTTCAATCTTCGCTCGCCCTCTGGACAAATACTGATCGTTGTGAATCTTCCGCAACAACACAGCCTTTTCTTTCCTCAATCCATCTTAATCATCAGACTTCCCATGATCCTCTATCCCTCCATCGACACGTCCTCCTGCTTCGCACCTTTCCCACCTGATATCCAAAGAACGTTGTTGCACCTAGATACTCAACGAATCAGCACTTATACTTCATCTCCTCAACGCGCCTTGGCCCCCATCAAGCTTCCTAGCTTACCGTATCAGGACCTGCCCCAAAGTACCTGTGCTTTTGCCATCAATGAACTCTTCTGTATTCGACAGCTGGATGTTCATGTACGAGTCGACGCTTATTAGGCGACCGTGATATTCGGTCTGGCCCCATTTGAGACGGATTATGACTGGCTCGTTGACTCTGTAGATGAGCGGGACCGTTAGCCGGTAGTCTCGACATACGCGCAAGGGCCTTATGTCAAGACATAGATTGGGACCTAAACACAAATCGACATCCAGGCCACATAGATCCTGAGGGAGGTCAGTGCGAAGTAGACCTACAGTGACTGCAGCATGGGCCGCGGGTTGACTGGGACTGACTGTGTCCAGTCAGCGATCGGACCCAAAGCGCATATTCTAGGAAGAAGGTGTCCAAGCCGAGAAGATTGATAGGAAACTTACTGCCATTCCGTAGAGACAGACAATTGTTTGACCGGTGTGCTGCAAAGATTTGGTGCTGGCTTCTGCTAGAAGCCCGGAGGATGGTTTGGCCGATCCCGAAATGACGCGCGGTTATTTTAGGCGAGAGCATACTTTAGGCTTCCCACCTACTTTATGTATCGCATACAGCAAACAGCGATGGACATGAGGCAGCATCTTGTTGTTTTCTCCCCAGACGACTGAGGTAAGAGATTTGGTTTTGAAAAGCTTCAGGCAACGATCTGAGCGATCATGGCATCGCAAACGCCGGCCGTTGTCATCGACAAGTAAGCGTCAGGCATGCCTACAACTTTGCCAGAGTCCAATATGCTAATATTGGATCAGTGGTACAGGTTTCTCAAAGCTGGGTATGTATCTTCAGTTACAAGACTAGCACAATCTGCGCTGGTTCTGATGTATACTAGGCTTTGCGGGCAATGATTCTCCTTCCTTCGTTTTTCCAACAGCAATAGCAACAAAAGGCGGTCCTGGAGGAGCTGGTGGCTCTGGGTCTGGAAGACCCGCCGTTGCAAACAAGCCCTCGTTCCTTACTGGGGGAACAGGTTCTGGTGGTGCCTTGTCTTCGAAGAGGGGTACTGAGGATCTGGATTTCTTCATTGGAGACGAGGCATTGGCTGCAGCGAGTGGGCCTGGTATGAGAAATATACTGGATGGCGCTCGGCCCTGAACTGACTCCAGTAGGCTATGGCATACATTATCCTGTAAGGCATGGACAAGTTGAAAACTGGGTTGGTCTCCCCAACATTGGCGCCGGGATGCACCAGCTGACATATGTAGGATTACATGGAGCGCTTCTGGTCCAACTCAATCTTCAAATACCTTCGCGTCGAACCAGAAGACCACTACTTCTTACTCACGGAACCTGTTCGTCCCTTCTGCCTATAACAACATGCTACCACTAACAACGTATAGCCATTGAACCCACCCGAAAATCGAGAGAATACCGCAGAGATCATGTTTGAGTCTTTCAATTGCGCCGGTCTCTACATTGCCGTGCAAGCTGTCCTTGCGCTGGCAGCCTCGTGGACATCTTCCAAGGTCTCAGATCGTTCGTTGACCGGCACTGTTATTGACTCAGGAGATGGAGTAACGCATGTCATACCGGTAGCAGAAGGATATGTTATCGGCAGCTCCATCAAGAGCATACCTATCGCAGGCCGAGACATCACATACTTTGTACAATCCCTGCTCCGAGACCGTGGGGAAGCAGACAGCAGCTTGAAGACCGCGGAGAGGGTCAAAGAGGAATACTGTTACGTATGTCCAGATATAGTCAAGGAATTTTCAAGGTTCGACCGGGAGCCAGATCGATTCCTAAAACACACGGTCACCTCGCCAAATGGACGAAGCGTTACCGTGGACGTCGGGTATGAGCGTTTTCTGGCCCCTGAGATCTTCTTCAACCCCGAAATCTATTCCTCCGACTTTCTCACACCGCTACCTACGGTTGTCGATGGGGTCATTCAATCGTCGCCAATCGATGTCAGGAGAGGTCTCTACAAGAACATCGTGCTCTCAGGTGGCTCCACCCTGTATAAAGATTTCGGCAGACGATTACAACGGGATATCAAGCATATGGTGGACGCGAGAATTCGAGCATCCGAAGTCCGAAGTGGCGGAAAGAAGAGCGGTGGTCTGGAAGTGCAGGTTGTGACGCATAAGAGGCAACGGCATGGCCCATGGTTTGGAGGAAGCTTGCTGGGGCAGACCCCTGAGTTCAGGAGTTACTGTCATACCAAAGCAGAATATGATGAGATTGGGCCAAGCATCGTGAGAAGGTTCAACCTGATCGGAGGGCCTGGCAGTACGTGATATTGTGCGATAGCTATGCTTAGCGTGTATAACATGAAGCAAAGTGGGGTTCGCCATTCTTTCACGACCAACTAAATCGCATCTTCCATTGTGTGTGCGGTCCCAGTCGATGTTCGTTGAACGCAGCTTCCCATATGTTGTAAGCCTAGTCCCCTAGGTGTTCATTCTCCGGCGGAGAAAGTACCCCGCAACCCCCATTTGGGCGCATAGAAACGTATGGGCTCAACGGACTTCCAGCTTCGATTCTAACATGATTATCATCAGGGAAGTGCCTCTAAATGTCTGCCATATGAGTAATTACTAGTTGATTCCTTTGAGCCCAGTGAAGGTTGCTCTCGAATCCCGCCACCGGACCCCACCGCAAGCTCGGCCGAACCCCTGTCATTGAATTAGTGAGCAACGACATAGGTACCCTCGTACCTCCATTTTCAGACATTCCAGGGGAATCACTACCTGTGTACCTTTCTTCTACATCAACTTCAGTCTGATCTCATAACGACGTCTAGCTAGTTCTACACTTTACGATCCTTACCCACTCGGCCATCCAGCCAAGTCCATACCAATCATGGGTCCACCAACACATTGATCTACATTCCTCCACAACCAGATCCAGAGAAAATTCTTAAACAAAACCACCTAATACATCTACGGCACTCGAGACACAACCAACCCCTGTACAGCTTCGACATTGAGTGGATCCGCCGGCCACAATGACTCAGCTCTTCAGCTCTTCATCCTCGAGTTCCTCCGCGATGCACAATGAGAAACGGAACCTTTCTGGCATGTCGAGCTCCTCACGGCAGACGAATGGCACAAAAGATTTTCCTCAGAGAATTAAGAATTTTTTTCGCATCACCAGTTCGGGAAGCAACACTGTTATCGGCACTGACGGCCTTCCGACCCCCAAGTCCGAGACAAAGTCCTTTAGACAATCACGCTTTCTCGGTGGTATAACTCGCAATAGGTCACAGACAGTAGCCAGTGAAGGAGATCCTTTGGAGAACGGCATGTCGCCCACGGCGCTGGCGAACCCCTATTTTGCTCACCAAGGACCCCCCACATTGAGACATCACAATGACAGCAGCGTGCCTCCTTCGCCACCAGATACACCTGTTCATACAAAGGTGGAAGCTGTGAGCGGTGCGAATGATCAGGCCACAGCAGCAGGGAAGGAAGAGCTGGCTCGACAATTACGACGAGTGGCATCTGCTCCCAATGCTCAAGGGCTGTTTCAGAGCTCAAAACACAATGAGAGACCATCATCAGCGGGGTTAGGGAAGGAACCGCTGGCGCAGAATGGAGAAGATTCGTCACTAAGCATGGCGGACCACAACAAAGGTCATCTGTTACCTGTACCAAATGCGGATGGCAAGCTACCTTCTCCGGGACAATTACGGCAATCGATAGCGTTTCGGAGAACATACAGCTCAAACTCGATAAAAGTTAGAGAAGTGGAGGTTGGACCTGCAAGCTTTGACAAAATCAAGTTAATCGGCAAGGGAGACGTAGGGAAGGTATACCTTGTCCGCGAGAAACGGTCAAGTCGATTGTATGCCATGAAGGGTACGCAAGAGTTCTATTCTGGAGGCTCAACGCTCTACTGACATTGAGGCAGTCTTAAGCAAGAAAGAGATGATCAAGAGGAACAAGATCAAGCGTGCACTGGCAGAGCAAGAAATCTTGGCTACCAGTAATCATCCGTTCATTGTCACCTTGTACCACTCGTTTCAGTCAGAGGATCATCTTTATCTTTGCATGGAGTATTGCAGTGGAGGGGAGTTTTTTAGAGGTCAGTTGGAGATGTGATTTTTAGAAACCAAAGCTAATGGATGTAGCACTGCAAACACGGCCAGGGAAATGCATTCCGGAGGACGATGCTCGTTTCTACGCAGGCGAAGTCACGGCAGCACTCGAATATCTACATTTGATGGGCTTCATATATCGAGACCTAAAGCCCGAAAGTCAGTCGCGTATATTCCCTCACAGGAGCTGCAAGCTGACAACGATAGACATCCTGTTACATCAGTCTGGCCACATCATGTTGTCAGACTTTGACCTTTCGAAACAGTCTGGCCCTGACGGCGCCCCGAAAATGATCATCGGCCGCAACGGTGCCACTCCGACCTCCCTACCCACAATCGACACCAAATCCTGCATAGCAAATTTCCGAACCAACTCTTTCGTCGGTACAGAAGAATACATTGCACCAGAGGTCATTAAAGGTTGCGGTCACACAAGTGCAGTGGACTGGTGGACGCTTGGGATACTGGTGTATGAAATGCTCTTCGGCACCACACCATTCAAGGGCAAAAGCCGGAATCAAACATTCGCCAACATTCTCCGCGATGACGTGCCATTCCCAGAACATTCCGGTGCTCCGCAAATATCGCAGTATGTCCCCATATTCTCCCCTTTGGCTCAAAATCCAAGGTCAGGTGCTGACCCTATGCTTCTAGCCTCTGCAAGTCTCTCATCCGCAAACTCCTCATTAAAGATGAGCTCCGCCGCATCGGTTCCCGCGCCGGCGCGTCCGACGTGAAAACGCACCCATTTTTTCGCTCAACTCAATGGGCTCTCCTCCGTCACATGAAACCCCCCATGATTCCTCACCAAGGCCGTGCTATTGACACTGTAAACTTCCGAAACGTCAAAGAGTCGAATAGCAGTATGGACATGGGTACTGGGACAGGCCTAGGCGGAGGCGTTAGCAAGGATGGCATGCTGGGCGTACCGGGAAGTGCGCTGAAGGGCGTACCGCTGGATAGCGGTATTGCGACGCCGGCAGGGGAGATAGCGGATCCGTTTGAGGAGTTCAATAGTGTTACGTTGCATCATGATGACGATGATGGGGGAGGAGGGAGAAGAAGATGATGAATGCGCTAGGTCCATGCGGGAGTATACAGGGACCGTGGAAAGGGAGTTTGCCCGTTTAGCGTAGCAATCATATGTATGAGACTGCCCTCTCTATCACGTGATGAACGGGTATTAGGGTCTTTGTTTGGCAGGAAAATCACACGCAATTGCAAAGCTAAAAAAGGGGTTTCTCACGAACAACGCTCCGCATCTGCAAGCCCGGCATCTCACTCCTGGCAGCAGCACCACCCTGGGCGATCCAGGAGATAATGAATTACACATGAGTAAGCGTCCGAAGATTGAGGATCACTGTGGTGGAGTATGGCATTGAACAGGTTCGCTTCCTCAATGACCGTACTAGCTTCGTCGACTTCAACAATGCTTTGGATCTGCTACCCGAAAGTGTATGGATCCCCACGAGGTACAGTTGACAAAGCTTCCTTCAAAACACTCTCAAGACAAGCTCCCAGCTCACGAAGCTCCAGCCAGGCGTGTCCCAAGGCGTCGAGCATTGGACAGAGACCACAACCCGTAAAACATATCCACAGGATTTGACCATCTGTTCCCTGGCATTGGTCACGGGTTGGACCGCTGATCTAAAAATATAACGTGAGCAGTCTTCAGGTATCGTCAGGTGATCGTCCTTCTACCTGAAGTGCCTCCATTTACGCTGGAGTACTTCGCATTCTGCTCCCCTCGGTCTTTTGTATCTCCTGTGACGAGAAAGTGACGGTATTGTTCATGCTCTTGGTGAAAGCGTTTCATCGTCCGCTTCTCCAGAGTGTTTACGCCCCTGTGGTCTGGCCGTTGTCATGAGAAGTACGGTTGGCTTGCGCGAGCTGGCAGGTCCAGGGCCTGGGAGCCTCCGACTCATCAATGATGGGGGTCAGACAGGGAGTGAGAGCACCTTAGGCCATATTGAATGCAGTGGAAGAGGCAAAATGTCGCAAATAATGTCCGGATAACAGAGTACGACTCGAAGTGCTGGTTGAATCCGTGTATATGGAAGAGCAGATTTGCTCGAGACGCACGCATGCTTGTCGTGCAATCACTCGGCTTAAGTCGATCAAGGAGGCCTGCAATCATTCTCACTGTTTGAGAGGCCCTCCTTCTTAGCCCACACTCCCGGTTCGGCTTATACTCCGCATGCTGGGCCAATCGTTGCTTTTGCATGAGCGGACTTCAGATCCATGAGGCAGTCCATGCCTAGTGGAGGGCTTTTAGGTCAGATTTGAGAGGGTCTCCAACTTTGCTTGAACCTCGCAACTGGAAAGCCCCCCACGATTGGGAGTAGAGTATCAGTCCTGATCAGATGAATACAATCGCTCATTAAACAAGACAGGTGCGCGGCGATGCGGCTCACAAGTTTCTGGCCTCTGTATGAAGGGTGGGCCCGGAACTTGTGCGATTGGCCAATTGAAGAAAGAGGCTTAGAAGAGACCCTCAATCCCAGCCTCTCCAGACGATGTCTCTTGTGCATACGGGTTAAATACGAACTAACCCGTCGCAGTCTCCTTCCGCTTCAGATTCTCGACAGCCTTGCAGGCCTCTTGCGAGTATTTCACGGTCGATTTCGTGACGTTCTTCTAGAAATTTCCATGAGCAGCCACGTGTCTAGCGACCTCACTCCGATTACATAAGCAGCTGGCTAGCTTGCTATTGTTCAAATATGAACACTTTCTGCCTCAGGATTTACTTGTAGTCACGTCGCCGGCCATCGGCGAAATCTCTGAGGTGTCAGGTGAGACAATTGGACTTCTGCCAAACTTATCACATCTCCAACTATTCCATCTCAACTCAGAAATGGCATCCGAAGATCCTAACCCCGATTCGGACTCAGATCCGCATCAAGCCCCAACTTTGGCATTGAAACAAGCTCTATGCTTTTTCTGCTGGGACGTATCCTCCAATCTCAGTCGATGCAACGCTTGCAAACGGGTCTCATACTGCTCAGCAAAGTGCCAAAAGCAAGACTGGAACAGGAATCACAAGAAAATCTGCAAGAAACTTGTTGCTTTGAACAAGCAGAAGGGATATGTACCCTCAGCTGGCAGGTATTGGAATGACTACTATGACGAGCAGGTACATTAATTGGCAAGACGAGCGAGCAGGTTCTGAGACACTTTACAGGTGCTAGACTTCTTAGGATCTGGTAATCTGAGTCCTAGTGAACTTGGAAGATTGGTTGGGTATGTCCATTCTCCCGTCACCGATGAAACCGATCGCCAACAAGCCTGGGCACTATTACCATATTATATTAACGTCGGAGAAATTCTTAAGCTGACACTTACAGTTAGCTACGAACCATATTGCTATCATTGCTACAGAAGAGAGTCTCAACTTGAAGATGGGGCGAAGTTGAACGCCTGCCAATACTGCTTTCTCACCTCATTCTGCCCCTCCTGCCAGCAAACACATCCTTCAGCGGAGTGCGCCACCTTGCAAGATATTGCGGCCGACGACAAGATTATTGTAGATCTCCGCCGGCGAACGGGAAAGAGCTCGACCATTTCTTTCACCAAATTTCCCAGAAAACAACATTTTTTACTCTCTTCCGCAAAGGACTGGTATGACTACTACACGAGGCTCTCAGACATGGGTGGCTTCAGGTCCAAAATGAACCGAGATCTGAAGTACCTCGCAAACGACCCCAAAGAACGAGAATTCGTCGAATATATGAGATGCGGTACTAACACGACAACAATTCAACTTACCTTAATCGCTGCCTTGGAGGCGGCGATACCCAATGTCAGCACTCGGGGTTCGATCAACCTTCACATTATAGGCGCAGCTGGAGCTGAATTTGCCTCTGTTCCTGCATTCGAGGAGCTATTGCACTTTCTACCATCGCTGACTGCCCTTCGGTTATCTTTCGTGGGTCTGAATGTGCTCGAGGACCTTAAACACGACACAGAAACCCAGAATCCACACACACTTCAGTGCTGCACCACGTGTACCAAGATGGGACGGACGATTTCCATTACCACCTGGAGAGGTCCATATCACGCATACGTCGATACCGAATTCTACAAGACGCCAGATCTAGCAGCAGCCTTCCACTCAGGGTTTTCGGTAGACGAACAAGCGGACTGGTATCCAACCATCAAGTATCTTGCACATGCTCCACATCCAACACTCCTTACTGCGGCCAGATACTTTGAGATTCAGGGACATATGGGAGTTTGGAAGAATCTGGGGGCTGAATTTGTGAAGAACGCTGAATTAAATAAGTGGAAGGGGATGTCTCCTTCGCTTGCAGTCTGTGGGGACAAGCCGAACGAGGTCGTCTATCAAAATTATTGGTGGTATATCGTGAAACAAAGGTAATTGGGAAATATGAAGGGTTATTGTGTGGAAGGAACGAGAATGGACTTGTCAAGGGAGGCTGCCACCTAGCGAGTCTTGATGTGAAATTCAGAGCAGATGTATGACGCCTTACCAACGGATCCCCGCAAACTCATTTCGCGCCCAATATTGTATAGAGTGACTGATTCAATTTCGGCGGCACCAGCGCCTGATGCCGGATCTCACTGATTGGGAAGCTCAAGAAGTGGCTGATCTGGAGAGTTGTGGAATAAGGGTTTGAATGGGTTGATAAACAATTTTGCAACTATTAGTATCACTTTCGAAGACCTATCATCCAAGATCGCTTCGCAATGTAATCCGAATGATCAGAGGTATAATAACAATCTGACTTTTCCTCCTCGGTGGTGCAACGTTCCCTTTCGCCACTTTCTTGCTCGTCCCTCATATCCATCAAGGTAAGTCCGTTACGGTTAAAGAACCATTCACCCACACCACATCGTCCGTCGCATTTGATGACGAGGTCGAAAGCTCCCGGTCGCGGAACGACACGGTGGGGAAATTGGTGCATGTGTAAAAGACGCCTTTGAGTCGCAGGATTAGCCCAGCAATCTAGACACCATGACTCCGTTTACTCGTGGACTTGAAAGCAGAAGAATTCTTTGCGTGGAACGCGCGATGGAAAAGTGTGAAGGGACGGGCGGACATACTGCCAGTATAATATACGTAGTTATTCGGCATATATTTCTGCGACCCCGCGTTCAACTCGAAACAGTCGTTGATACTGTACACTTCAGTATACGGCACCCTCTTGTTTGTCGCCGCTACGAGGTAGACGTGCGCGAGCTCGTGCAATAGCCACGCCCTTGAATTTTGCGCGAGAGGATATCCCAACCCTCTAAATCCATTCGTCGCTCGGTCCACGGCGATGCACGGTCTCTTTTCCTTTGGCTCGTCTGGTCGGTTGAAGGTGAACCAGCCGGGACACAGGGCTACTATGTTCGTGCCGCCAATGAAGATGCCATAGACTCTTTCGCCTCTGTCGTGGCAGTCCTGCTTGGCGAAGGCTTGCACCCAGGGCGTCAATCCCACAAGCTCTGGGTCAGGATTTACGATAGGGGGATCAGGTATGCACGCGATGACTGGGCTTGTCACTTTGCCAAAGCCGGGCTGGGCGAGGCCGGGGAGGACGGGGGCGCCGAAGGCGATATTTTGGAGTATCTTGCGGACGAAGGGGGCGTTTTGCACGTCTTTGAAGAAGGTATTGTAGGCGCCGCTTGTAAAGGTTTTTTCGCTGTCGGTGATGGCGGGTTGGAGGAATGGTGAAAGCGATGAGAGGATTGTGGCTATTCGCGATGCATTGGTGCCGCAGCCTTGGATGGAGTAGAGGCCGCTCATTACGACGTCGCCAGAGGCTGAGTCGGGTCAGATAATTGGGGCGAGGAAGGGAGTTGGGACACACTTTGCCTTTGCTGGATGGTTGGGCTGGCGGTACAGAGGGATGCTGCGATTGTGGAGTATAAGAAGAAAGGGTGTCTCATGATTGCTACGTTGGCGGTCCCGCGCTTCTTTCGACGGACGTTGTGTGCTCTTCGATTTTTGACACAGCACTTGGTGTATGTAACTCGTGTGAGTACCTCTGAAAGAATTTTGACAAACAAACTGTGATGCGCGTCGACCGTTGTTGGTTGAAATTTTTCGCCTCAGCGGCTGTATGCACATGAAGTTCGAACGCGCGCCTACCCTCTTGCTCCCAGCTGGTCGATATGCGTCAATTTTCCTCAGAATGCTTTATTTATCTCAATGCGTTCGGCACAAAGAGAGGAACTTTTCAAGAGGCGCTGGAGCGATTAAAGGGAAAGGAAGGCTTCCTCACTTTTTCTTTTTCTTTTTCAATTTTTCCGCGTTGACTAGAGTTTTTTACAATTTGACTGGCGGTTGGTCGGCCTCGAGAATATACCCATCAAGATGGGGGGGTAAACTTCGAGAATACTCATCAAGATTCGGGACTCATCATCTAGCTATCTTACTAGATGCTCCTCGTCTTCTCGTAGTTATTTGGCGAGAACCGTTTAGCAGGTCTGTCGGCTAATCAAAATCTTTTCATAGATTATATTTGGCACTCACTCTATGCTTTATATGGCTGGGGTAGAATGTGCTCCAGTTTCATGCACAAAGATCCTAAAGGCCACTAGGAAGTTGGTCTTGGAGAGTCTCACAATCTCCTCAAATTATTTCTACACTTCGCCCTCTTCCCATGAATGCTTCAATCTTGCCCGTGATCTGACGTGTTTCAAGGCCAAAGAATGGGTTAACATCACCGGGTGGTAGGGACTTTCCAAAAGAAGCAATGGTGACGCTCGTGTCCGCATACCTCCCCCATCCGGTCGTCGCGTAGGCTTCAATGGCAACGGCAGGTGTTCCGCTGTGTCTCCGTAGAACATTCTGTCAATACTGTTGTGGTTGCTGCTCAAAGAGTCTGCGGCAAGGAAAGCTGACAAGTCTAGCCCTGATCCCTACCTCCGCCAGGAGAGCTTTCGTAGTGACAGCAAGAGAAAGACGCCTACGCCTATCAGGGTGAGATCCGCCTGCTCGTCCTCTATCAACACCTATGCCCCATTGGCGACTTCCTCTTGCCCTGTCATGTCAGGATACTGGGGCAAATGTTGTGCCGACAGACTGATGATGGTTGGGGTCTGCTTGGCTTCGATGGCCACTTTCCAAGCTCCAGCTGTCTCGTTGCTGTCGGCCAGCCTTATACATATCATATTGGGCATGGCTCTGAACAATGCAGCAACTTCTATGGGCTGATGTGTTGGCCCGTCTTCACCCATCCCAATCGAATCGTGAGTGGCGACGGGGATGACTTGAAGCTGTTGAAGTGCTCCCATTCGGATGGCGGAGGCGCCGTAAAGGACAAACCTGACGAAAGTCGAGGTCACCGGTATGGTTGTGCAAGGATTGAATGCCGCGATCCCATTGGATGTTGCCATCATGGCGTGCTCGTGGACACCCCAATGGATGTAGCATCCACCATAGTCACCGTGCATGCCGGATTCGAGTGACACTGCAGGCTAGAAATGTCAACAATATGGTCTCGCAAACAGGTATGCCAGAGTTTTCTCACATGCTGAAAGTCCGTCTTTCTGATTCGATATCATATTGACACTTGAGTCCAAATCCGCGGTGCCAACGATGAAGGAGTTGATCTGCTCCACGACTCCATGAATGACGAGGCCCGCGCTCTGAGTTGTAGACATGGGGATGGATGGGATTGGTCTGGGATTAAGCTCTGCCACGCCGGGGGAAGATCTCCTGCAATCCGTCGGTCCAAGTCTGCGCCTACAATGGGATACTCCAGGATAATTCGCCAGTAAATGATGCCATTTCAGGACTTCAGCATCTCCGCATGGGCTAGTGTCATTAAGTGATTGATGACCTCGTCCGGTATATGGAATGTCGTCGGATCATATCCGTACGTCTCTTTGACCCTTTTAACCTCCTCTACTCCCAGTGGCGTTCCGTGAGCTTTCCCGGTGCTCGCAATTTTGCAACCAGCACCCATCACAGTCCGACATCAACTTTCAGGGTTCCAAGTTTCACACCGCTCTTCAGGAGGCTGCCTGGTGGGGCCAAGATAAGACAGTGGCATTCATCCTCGATCACGGTGCTGACATCGATGCTAGAGCTAAAGACTCTAGTACGGCGCTGCAATTGGCCTCTTCGAACAACCACGCGGTCGTTGTAGAAATTTTGGTAAAGCGAGACGCCGCAGTGGATGCTCCAGCTGGAGACTTCGGCACAGCTTTGCAGGAGGCTTGCCGACGGGAATCAAGAAATCCGTCAAAATTCTGCCGGAGAATATGGCCGGTCCGATTCTTCAGGTTGACAATTACGGGACTGCCTTGCAAACAGCGTCTCGATGGGGCCATTACAAGGTATTCCGACTTCTGCTTGACCGAGGCGCGAACATCGACACTCGAAGCGCACGTCTTAGTACAGCCCTGGAGGCCGCCAAGCATTGGAGACAGGATGAAATTGCCAAGCTACTGACTGATCGAGGGGCGGCAATGTACAATCAGAGATGCCCAAACAAACGGCAACGGATTGGGCGGATAAAAACATTATGCTTGCTTTGATTCGAGAGCGATAGATCTAGTGAGGGCAGGCTTATGAGATATGAAAGCTGACAAGAAGACCCATGAAGCATCTCTGGGCTCTGATATTGACGAAGCTACTGTGAAAATGAATGAGTGGAGACGACATAGGAATTGTATCCCCTCTACATCGCGGGCGTAAGAGGGTTCCAGCAAATCCTTTGAATGTGTTCCTACAATTTCTTCACTTCTTGGCAAGTTCATCAACCTGTCATTGGTCACAGCGACCAAGCCGCATGAGTGGTTGGGAACCATCGATACCGTAAGTCACTTGGGAGTAAAACCTTGCCGTACTCTTGTGTATGTTCTTTGGGCGGGAAGACGGCATGAATGTGGGTCGCCCTGGGTGCAAGACGCCTAAAGTAGAATAAATCGGTCCATCCGAAGACCAATTCAGACAGGCGCGCTAGACCGCGCCTGCCTCACAGACGCGTAAGGTACTTTACTTTAGTTTAGTAACAAGCTTCTTCATCCACCGATTCTCTGACCCAAGACCCGAAGACTTGACGAAATCAATGGATGCCCAAATTCAATGGCAGATACTCTACACTCCTCTGATCAACCCACTGCGTGTAGTCCCCTTGAGCAAGAAGTCCTAGACGAATATGCGCTCCTCCTTGACAATCTAAACAAAGTACATCCCGCTCTGCTGCCTTCGCACAGTCATAGCATCTCGAGCCTGATTGCTGACTTAGGCGACTTTCTAGCTCTCCAATGTCCTCTCCTCTCTCGCCGAGCGGCCGACTGCAGAAGTTTTGGATGGCCTACGAATGCTGGAGAGGAAGACGAGTCTGGTGTGCACGTTGCTGAAGGCGAGTGTGTACAGTATTGTGTTGCAGCAGCAGATCTATGGTGGGGAGGAGGGAGAGGGGCAGGGATAGAGAGACAACGAGGAATGACAGGGCGTTTAGGGTTGGTTGGTGGGCGTTATAAAAGGAGGACTGCGTGGAGGGATACCCATTGAATGAGTGACCATGTCGACTGAAGGAGCTCCCAAGATCTACGGCTAGATGAGAAGCAGTGTGTTGGACGTCATGAGAATGACAGAAGCTCTCGAACATCCTTGACGCCTTGCCAAGATGCATTATGTACAAGCTCTTACGATACAATGCTATACATTCCCACCATAATACACCTTGCGTACATCTACTAGTTTCTTTCCCAACCCTCTTGCTACCTCGTCCGGTATCTTTTGGCTCAGTAGCGCCTGAAACGTCGCTTTGATGGTATTCATAGGATTCCGTGACCGCGTGACACGTGCTGCTAGATCCGATATTCCTGCGCACCGGCACATTTCGAAGATTTTGTCCTGACATCGAATTCCGAACCCTGTGAATAAATTCAGCGCGATCCTATACACCGTTCATGATGGTACATACCTGGCGGTCTCGTCATCAACTCTAACTCCACAGCCCCCATCTTCACCTTCACATCTCCATAGATCGTCCGATCCTCATACCGAGGTATAGGCTGCACATTCCGTATCGCAGCATAATGCGCCTGCCTCCTTGCGTCCTCCGCTTCTGCAGATTTGCCCTCCCCGATTCCCAACAATCCCCTCCCGTTTCCTGCAACAGTCAGGAAATACATGCTCTGTATCTTTCCCATCTTCGTCTGATTGACCACCCTGTGTACGACCAAGTTCTTTACCCTGAATCTCTTGATCTCATCTAGAGAGAAACCCGTTTGCCGCATCAACCTCTTCATCGCAGGATCAATCTCAACTTCGCCTGGCTTGCCAATTCCGGGCTGTTTCAATGATTCAAGTCCCTTGGGTATCTCTGGTGCCAGCGAGCTGACCGGCTTCCGCTCTGCCTCCTCTTTGCCCACTGTCAACCGCACGTTATCCGTGAACTTCATGTAGTCCAACCTCGTAGCACCCTCAGGCATCTCTTCGATAAATTTCACAAAGTCTTCGGCTATCTCGTCTTCATTCTTGTACCGTAGCTTCGGGTCGTAGTTCTCCTCGGGTGCTCGGATAGGCTTGTCAACGACAGGGTGGATGGTAGCGAAATCATCATAGTATTCGAAGGCAAACGGGTCATCTCGCATCATAGCCTGCTCAGCCAAGTCTTTTGGGTCTATGGCAGCTTCTCCGGCTTCGATTGCGGCGAGCTGGGCTGGGGTGTATTTGAAGTGCGTAGTAAGCTTTCTTTTGTCCTCCTCTGAGTAGGCTTTGAAGTCATCGGCGGTAGTTACCGTTCTGGCAACATCCTTACGTGGAGCGCCCCTTGGGGCTTTGGTGGGTATCTTTGGAAAATCGGGGCGTTGGTGGAGTTGCTTTGATGAGTGGAGATTCCGTCGTAGACATCGATAGGGCGCGGCAGACTTGGAGAAGAGGCAGCGCAGGGGTGCAGGGCCACTCATGTCTGCTTTGAAGAATTAGGACTTTCGCCACCGATCCCCTCTCCAATCCTTCCCAAAGTCGTTGATACCGCTGGATACAGATCAAGCAAGACTAAAGCACCTTACTTTACTCTTCCCTAAGAGGAAAATACGCGCGCTTTAGCGCTTAGGAAAGTTTGCCGAAAGATGAGTTTTAACTTTCTCATCTTTCCGAGCGCGTCCATTAAAAATGCTATGTGGCAGTCGAAGACTTTTCTAGCAGTAGTATGTACATATCTCAAGATTGAAAACAGGTCCCCGAGGGTTAGTGGGATCGTTGCGATGACAAAGAAGCAGTATCACCAAGGCAAAGCTGCGAAGCGCCAGAAACTTGCATCGAAGCCCGTCAATGACGGATCAAATGAAGTGGTGCTCTTAGCGGACATAAAATCTCTGCTGTCACAACATAGAGCACTGGAGCAAGCTGAGCAAACTGACGAAAGCACTGGTGACGGAAAACCCACAGAAACCCTTTCATACTCTCCGCCAGAGCGTTTCACGGTCGTCGAGGTGAAGATTTCTGAATTATCTTCTACTGGTGACGGCCTGGGTCTTTCATCCACGTCTGACCATGTCTACGTCGTACCATTTACAGTGCCTGGGGATCTCGTACAAGCGAAAGTCATCAATCAATTTCCTCAGGCGCATTATACACTGACAGATTTCGTCAAAGTCATTATACCTGCGCCTCAGCGCGATGATAGTCTTGCTGAGTGCCCGTATTTTGCCAAATGTGCGGGCTGTCAGATTCAGATGCTGCCATACAATCTGCAATTACAGCACAAGAAAACAGTTGTTGAGAAGGCATACCGCAGCTTCTCCGGCTTGACGCCAAATGTCATCCCTACTGTTGACGAGACAATCGGATCGCCTCTGCAGTATGGTTATCGCACGAAGTTGACGCCGCATTTCGATGGACCGCCAGGGAGCATGACGAGGAAAGCCAAGCGGAGCGATCCATCAGAGCGAAAAAGGTTTGGGGAAGTCCCACCAATAGGCTTCCAGCTGAAGGGTACCCGCAAGACAATTGATATAGAGGACTGTCCAATTGGCACGGATGCAGTCAGAGAAGGCATGAGGACTGAGCGGAAGCGAATTAGTGAAGAGATCGCGAATTACACGAAGGGAGCAACCATTCTACTCCGAGAGAGCACCTGGAGGAAGCCAAAACCACAACCAGAGCAAGAAGAATCAGACTTAGATCTTGGCCAGGCTGACAACATGGGTGCTTCATTGGAGACGGAACCTCCGTCAAAGACTGCGAACGAAGCCAACGTAAACGGTAGCCATCATGAACCTTCAACATTTACGGAAAAGAAGACCTGCATAACAGACCAAAGAGCTATCTCGACAGAGTACATTGACGACTTCGAATTCCGCAATACAGCTGGTGCTTTCTTTCAAAATAATAATTCAATTCTCCCGAAATTTACCGAGTACATCCGGCAGCGCATAATTCCAGGATCATCGAAAGAGAATGAGAAACCCATCAAGTATTTGATCGATGCTTACTGCGGCTCTGGGCTCTTCACCGTTACTCTTTCATCACTGTTTTCTTCATCGATGGGTATCGACATTGCTGGAGCCTCAATTGTCTCCGCCAGAGAAAATGCCGCCGCCAACAAAGTGTCTAACGCATCATTCATGACCGCAGATGCATCAAAGCTCTTTGAGCAAGTGACATACCCACCTGAAAAGACCGTTGTGATAATTGATCCGCCGAGGAAAGGCTGTGACGACCCTTTCCTACAACAGCTGCTCAAATTTGGCCCTCGCAGAATCGTCTATGTCAGCTGCAATGTACATACACAAGCCAGGGATGTTGGAGCTCTGGTCGAAGGTGTGGGAGACTGCAGGTACGAGATTGAGAGTCTTCAGGGATTCGACTTCTTCCCACAGACCGGTCATGTTGAAGGTGTTGCTATCCTTGCTCGGACTACCGCTCACAACCCAATGTGATGATGGCTGGTCATTTTATCACTGGTTCATTGAGTGAAATGCCCCCCTGTAGGATGCCTTTCGTTACGTGCTTGCATGTGAGTATTCATCGCTTCTAGGCAAGCTAGGATTACTTTCCAATTCAAGAGCTCAGCGGCAGGCAGGATACCACGCGATTATCTACTATATTCGCCTCCTTTACAGAACAGACTTGGTATCCGCCCACTGCTGTCTGTCAGGCTCTGTTGGCAATGAACCCTTACCCAAAAGCTTGGCCATCTATTTCTCGGCGTAAAGTTCCTCATATTCCCTCAAATCCGCTACAATAGGCCACCTCACCTAGAAGCTAAGCTTATTAGGTTCCAATTGAACAGCATGGATGAATTATTATCTGTGGATATTCGGATTTCCCAGATATTCCAATTTTCAGATCGCATAAACTCTCCAGATGTGCCCTTCTCTTCTTCCTTCTTCAACCTCACGACACAACAACATGCAGGACACTTGGAATCATCTCCTCCTAGTCTTAGGCCTTACAGCCCCTCAAGTCATGGCGTCACTCATGAAGACCGCCGCAATCACTTCTCCCACGCCCACCACCATGGTTACCATGATGTCTGCAAACCCTGTTGCCAACGAGTCTCTCGTCGAAGTTTTTGTGTACCCAGTGCCCACCACCAGGCCAACCCTCTCCGTCATCTACGACCACAAAGTCCCAGCACCCACGCCCGGCTCCGTTGGTATCCTCAACGGCATCCCCACCAGGATCCTCAACGACACCATCAAAGAAACCACTCCCATCCTCGCCGACGCCGAACACTCCCAACTTTACCAACCCTGGAACACCTCCTACCCCGGCCCCATCAAAGACGGCGACTGGGCCAAATACCTCCAAATATGGGACCCGGTCTGGTGGTCCACAAACCTCGACTCCCTCCGCCAAATCTCCTGCATCTGCTCCGCCGAAGACTACAACACCAACCCGCAAGCCCAAGTCGCCGCCTACATGAACTTCGAATACTATTCCCAAAGACTCGACAACATCTACAACTTCGACTGGGAATGCGGTCCCGCCCCATCGCACATGAACCTCGGCGAGCGCATCACGAGCGCCAAGGACCGAGCCGAACACTGCTGGAGCATGGCCGGCGGTGACCCGGACGATCACCAATCCCTGCCGATGCACGACTGGTGGTGCGACCGCAACGAGGAACTGTGCGTCAAGCCGTGGCACGACGGCCAGCGGTCCTTGAAGTTCCACGGCCACGTGCGGAACTACGACCGTCACGGCGTGCATACTTGGTCCGAGATCCAGCAGGTCGTGCGCGATGTGTGCGAGCCGGTCTGCACGGACAAGTTCCGGATGAGGTTTGATGATTTCAGTCATCATAATCCGAGCTTCGTGACGACTTTTTGGCCGGCGAAGCCGATTGATTTGACGGTCGTCGGCGATTGAGGATGGGGGTGGGATCAGTGCTGATGGGGGGTTTTATTTGGTGATTGTTGCGTGCATGGAAAGACTGGGGCGATTTGCGGTCGGGTTGGAGATTAGACTGTCTTGTCTGGTACTTTAGATGCATACATTAGATGCATATCCATTGATCATTAATATACCTTTTTCGAACCTTGTGCAATGACACATTGTTGAAAGGCCATCAGATTTAAGGATAATACAGTAGCGTTTGTCTGGTTCGCGAGATAGCAGAGGTGGTTCCCAACAGATTCGATGTTGGAAGGATAGCCTATGTGAGACGATGAGTCTGTATAGAGCTATAGAGTTAGAAATAAATAATCCCGTATGTACAGTATCCACCATATTTACACATCATAAACAAATGCTTCTGTATGTATAGTGTGCACGACATACACATCATCCACCCTCCACCGGCCGCGACATACACACATCTGATGACGTCATTTGTATCGCACTATACAAAGATCCGTGATTCTGTCCCTCCTTGTCAACGCCGGTACCCAGGGAAGCCTTCCTAGAACCTGTGACGGGAAGTGTATCCTGCGTGGTGTCGGTTGTTGGCTACTTGGGGATTAATGGCTACTGTAACAAAGCGAGTGCTATGCCGTAGCAGCCATTTTCTCCTCAGGCTCTTTCCAGAATGAACCATTTGGTGGATTCGTCATTTGCGGTGAGCTAGGCTGACTCCATTGGGCCAGGTCGCGTCGTTGATCTCCTGGCGGTAGATGAGACACACACTCAGCTTCATTTTGAGGAAAGCCAGCTGTGATCCCCAAGTCCACCAAGTTGCCACTCTCGGCATCTCCGCCTTTAGCTCTTCTTGCCTGGGTTCTCTGAATCTTCGTATCCCTCACCACGTCACTACAGGAGGCATACACAACACTACTGGCATTCTGCTCGAATTCCTTTTCCAAACGCTTGACTCCCTCGGATAGCCAGAACTTTACAGAAGATAAGTGCTTCAAAGCATACAGCACGTGGTTGGCTTGGAGGACGGTGTGGTCAACTTCTGAGGAAATAACATCCAGCCTCTTTTGAAGGGCAAGCCTCGCCTCCCACCTGTTATGTGTTCGGTTGATCGTGCGACGCAGCGTATCTTCGTCCTCGCAAGCATGGAGGACGTTCTCTAAAAGGAAAGGACTCTTGTCGCCTAGATGGTGGCTTATTCTTGCCTTCTCCAACGTACCGATCGCTTTGCGTGGTTGAATATCTTTAGCACGCTCGATGAGGAAGGCAACATCTTCAGCTTTGGCATGATCAGGAAGGTCCAACATGGATGCCGGTAAAGCGCCGCAATGTACTCCATTGCGCAGTATCTGGTCGAAATACTGCTGCTGTCCACAGCACTGGCAAAGACGCAGCATCCACTCGTATGTGACAGTACTGATCATCTCCGCGGTCTCTTCCAGTTGTTCCAAAACCACTGTCCCCACTGTCCAGTCCGACCTATGGCAGCAATCCTGAAGAATAGCCAGCGAGATCGCGAGACCGGGGCTCCAGCCTTCGCTGATCATGTTGCGGTAGTAGTGCATTGCGGTCTGGCGACCAAGAAATTGTAGTGCGCCTACGATCAGCGACTCGTATACTTGACCGTTCATGCGTCCCTTTTCAGCAGCTTTGTGGTGTTGTCGTCCAAAAACCAGGTATCGTTCCTTCACACCCGGATGAATGTTCAGCTCGGGATTTGCCAAAGCTAGTCCCCCACGGTGTCCTTCCATACGCCTCCAGTACTCGAAAAACCCAACCCGATTCCCTGTTGCGGTGAAGTGTCGCAGAAGAGTAGCATGGGTGATTTCATTTGGCCGTATATGAGATGCGCGCATGGAGGCCAGTACCGCCTGGACTAGGTCTTCCCTTTCAAGTACACAGAAGCGAACGAGGAGCATGTTGTAGGTTTGGGTATTTGGTGGTGTCCGAGCTGTTAATAGATTGTAGCATATTTTAGACATTAGACTACCCAAATCTGTTTCCTGCTTCATGAGCTCCAGTAAATTTTGCAAAGATGTGTTCATGTCCGTTGTTTGTTCATATTCTTCGATTGTTGTGTCATCGTAGTTGGGAAGTTGTGGGGATTCGAATTCTTCGTAATAAGGGCGACTCCTGCGCTCGGCGTGTAGAGTGCGTAGACGTTCACTTGCGTGATCAAGCTTGCTTTGTAAGATCTCTTCGTCTTTGGCTAATTCGCGCAGCAAAGAGTTGGTAGGACGACCTGAACCTTCCCGAGGTTCCAAAGAGTTCTTGGAACAGTACATGAGCAGCTTTAAGACCATCTTGGCAACTGACCATTCCAACGTTCTTATCTTCTTCATCGAAAAAGGATACCTGGGCTGTTCATCCACCAAGCTACTGCAATCCGGCCCTCCATAGAAACGTCGAAGAAGCCGCTCATTTGACAAGAGCTCATCGAGCTGAACCCTAGACAGAGTCTGAAGCAGACTCAGCGGTGGGCCTTTCCAATCCTGAAATCCAGAGGCTTCTCGTAGTTTTTGCTGTTCCCGAGCCCAGTCGAAGACATCAAGCCAAGTATCAAATCTATCGTCAAGTGTGGGAACCCGCCGATCCCGATCTTCGCTGTCCTGGACATCCCAAGCCTCCACTTCCTTGAGTGCTCTTTCTGTCGTAGAACGATATTCAGCTGCCCCGGTTTTGTCCAATGCTTCCACTCTGGCGTCATCTGACAAAGCTGCAAGCCGGCTCTGTTGCTGGATCTCCGTAGCTTCTACCGTTGCTCTTGCTTCTCCAATCACTCTGTCCCATTGCTTTCGCCTGTCATCTTTTTTGCGGGAATCTGCGAAGGCAAGCCCGGCTGCTAGCGAGGAAACAGAGAATGTGAAGACATCGCCGACACGGATTGTTCGTCGGGCTGTAGCCGTTGTTGCCCGTCGAGCAATGCCACTGGTGGTCAATAGACAGGAGGGACAATTACAAACACATTGTGCTTGCGCAACTCTTGACCACACGGTCTGCATAGCGGTCCAGCCAGACGACGCTGCTCCGATGTATAATTGTACTTGTTCGAGCGGGATGATGAAGTCAATTAGCGCTCCACGGCATAACTTCGGCCAATCGAGTGCCAAATGTTTGTCCAGAGAGCTTCCTTTCTCTGACTTTGGCACGCACATATGTGGGTAATAACCCAAAAGAATCGACTGTCGAGTGAAAATCAGCGGGTTGCACTCTGCATTCGGCCAAGCCAAGGCCGTTTTCTTTGGACTTAATTGACAATAGTATTAGATTTATTCCCTATACTGTTCCCTTTCCTTAGCATCGAGCCTCAACTAAACTTGACAAATCCCCACTACTTTCGATTCTTCCCCCATTCTGAAATCAATCGGCCTGGTGTGTACGCTTCGCTCACAGGCTTTAGACCGAATGCACCACCAATCAGACCCGCTATTCCAAAACTACCCACCATGTTGTTTCTCAACCATCCCTCTCCACCCATTACCACCCTCAGCCCCATGTCTAAGATCACCATCCTGGTATCCAAGCCTTGATATATAATCAACATATGGATGGGTCTCAGAATCTCTCCCACAATGCCCGTTCGAGGTTCTGAAACCGCGCTCAGCATATTTCGGAAGAAGACCTCCTTCTCGCCATCTGCAGGCGTTCTCCATTCTTCTGCCTCATCTTCCGGTGCCCTCAGCTTCTCAAGCTCCTTTGACTGTCCCTTCGCTAACTTTGGTGATCCTTCCGCCCGAGACAATCCCACCGCATCAATTCGTGCCGCGCAAGGAATTGTGGCGGCAGGAGGTGCACCTGTCACGACAAAGCTGTTCTTATTGACCGTGACGAGTATGGCCCCCGAAAGCACTTTGAAGTGTTCCGCATGATCGTTGTGCCAGTGGCGGCTTGTTGTAAAGGTTGAGCCAACAGGGTATGTCGCATGGGTTTTGGAGGGGTTGTTGAAGGAAAGGCTGGCCGCCTCAGGCAGGGGTGATGTGAAGGTGGAGAGGCGGGTTGTGCGGATTAGGGTTGCCATTGTAGTAGGAGGCTCGAGTGAAGAGTGAGTCTCTGAAGATGAGCACGTCCTCCTAACAGTGAGCCCTGGGGGGCTAGCTTGAGCTTTTGCAGGCCACTCGAGAGCGACCGAGCTGAATCAAACATCCGAGCTCGCTTACAACATGTCAGACTGGGTGCATACAACGGACTGTGCCGCTGTCACGAACGCTGGTCCTGCATGACACTTCAATCACTTGGGTGATACCATTTAGCGTGCGGAACTATTGGGATAAACTGCAAGCATCGACAATTCGTAATTGCTTACAAGACTCTGGTAGCCCCTCGGCCAAGAAATAAGGCTGAGTCACGTGATAACGTCTCGGCAAGCGCTGCGGCGAATGACAAGGTTAGCTTCCAAATAGCAACAGCAATAAATATCAAATGAATATATCTTTACGATGTTGGCGCTGGCCTTGACAGCAGATCTTACGGGGTAGGCCTATCTTAGATTCAACTCTTCTTGTGCTGATAATCACAGTGTCACGGACCTTCTTCCTCTAGATACGCCCGACGAGCCTTATTTCTACACCTTCAAAGTGCAGTGCACTTCATGTAGAGAGACACATCCGAACTGGGTCAGTGTGAGTCGTTACGTGTGTATCTATCGTGTCTCAACTTTCGATTGGGAAGGCTGAAAACGTTCAGGAACAAAGCGAAGTCTCTGGAAGCAAGGGAGAAGCCAACTTCGTATGGCGATGCAAATCATGCAAAGTTGGTGACCATCTCAAATCAAGCATATCTTCCATTTGCTGACTTAAGTCCAGAGAGAGTCAACAGCGACGATCAAGAACCCGCCTCACGTATACACATATTTTTCTCCACCCAAGAAGCAAAACATTATCGAGTTTGACTGTCGAGGCCTAGAATTCACAGAATTTAAACCAGATGTATGTTAAGATGTTTCCATAGTCCGTGTTGTTTTGTTGACCATGTAGCAGGGAGAATGGCAGGCCAAAGGGCTGGAGTCGCCAACCAAGTTCTCGGGGATCGATTTGCAGGAGGGTGAATGGTTCGAATATGACGAGAAGGCTGGCGAGGAAGTCAGTATCAAGGACATGAAATGGGAGATTAAAAGAGCTTGAAATGCACTAAGATTTAATTAGCATTTAGCACAAGGTTCATGACTGGTAGAGAACGGCCAACGGTTACAAGATGAAGAGGGATCCTATGATGTTCCTGACATGGAGACACCTGCAATCAGTGAGGATGTGTACATTGCCCAAGCATCAACATGTAGACTTCAGGCCATGCGTTGGAGCAACTGACAGGGGAAGAGCTTTGTTGGAACAGAAGAATGGACAGCGCGCTTTCAGCCCTATGAGAATTGAGGTGAGCTCGGTCAGCTCGTCAACAGGAAGCAACGTCCATCATGTAGACCATGTGCAAAGGTTGCAGTAACAATTGGATAGTCACTAAATTAAAAATGGGAGGAATCACTGGAGTTGGCACCAAGAAAGGTAGCAGCGTCACTGTCAGTGTGCTCAAGAATATCCTCGTCCCTGCTTTGGCGTCACCACATCCCTAGCATCACATCTCTATCAACAGAACTTCAACGCTCTGTGTGCGTCTCCTCACCGTTGGAAATCAACGCTGCTGTAATCATAGACTGAGCGCGGGCCGCTCGTCGCCTACATTCATTTAAATCAGGTCGCGTCTCGACCAGAGCTCCTTACTCTCAAAAACCACCTATAAAGCCCACAAACATTCCACTTCGTTCTCTAATACCCCAAACGTCAGCTTCCCTGTTCTTCCGTGCCTCGGGTTGATGCTTTCTTCGCGGTCATCAACCTATAAGACTGTTGCCTAAGCAAAATCCAGAACCTCATCTCACCTCACCGGAACGCCCACCACTCCGATCCAGGTCGCTTTTTGACAAACGCACTGATCACTGTGAAAGAGTAGCGATCAGAGAGGTCTACCGAATGCCAACTGTCACGCCATCGCAGGTTCTTTCTTTATTGAGCCAAAGAACTGGCTCCTCCACTTCTCCTGTGGATCCATAAGCGCTTTCATTTGACGAAAATGAATTCACCAATTCGCCTATCTAGCGCTGGAAGCATATCCAGCTCAGAGAGTTTGACTGACGCTCAAGTCGACGGGCCTATCGACCTTGCAATTGCGGACATGCCGCAACGCCGCCGGCGCTCTGGAGATGTCTGTGCTATATTCGTTCATGCTGGTGCAGGCTATCACAGCTTTCAAAATGAAAAGGTTCACTTGGCCGCTTGTGAGGAGTGAGTGTTTACTTTCCCAATACCGAAAGGCTATTGGCGGGGCTTCTAAAATACAAGCCTCCCATCGTCGATTAAAAGATAAACCCCTCTGATACTCATCCAGTTCCGCTAAGTCCGCCATGACCTTCTTGAACAACGGTGCAAGCGCCGTGGAAGCTGTCGAAATGGCTATCAGAGTCCTTGAAGACAAGGAGATCACGAACGCAGGTTTCGGTAGCAATCTATCAATGGATGGCACTGTCGAATGTGATGCCACCATCGTTGATCACTATGGTCGAAGTGGCGCGGTTGGCGCTGCAGGATGTACGTGGACTTCCATCTGTTCGTCGCACTCATATGCATACAGTCAGGACTGACCCTGCAAGGCATCCGAAATCCCATCCATCTTGCACGACTCATCCTGGAACATTCAACAAAGCCACTATCTCTTCGCCGGGTTCCTCCAAATCTGCTGGTCGGTCAAGGAGCTACAGACTTTGCCTATGACCTGGGCATGCCGGTAGTCAATGCTGATTACCTTGTGTCTGCAGCTGCTGCAGAACGCTATGCAAGATGGAAGATAGATTTAAGAAAATCGCGGAGGACCGGAGAGAGCGAGAGCGACTTTGAGTCCGATGCACCAATATCAAAGGATGAGAGCCGCAAGGTCGGACACGAGCATGACAGCCACAACATGGATTTGGCTCCCTGCTGGAACGAGAGCCAGCCTTACTCGCCGCGCTTAGGTGCGACTGTTCCACCTTACTCCGAAGCCAGCTACACATTAGATTCGATGGCTCAACCAGCAAAGAAACGTCACGTTTGGAGTTCTAACGAGCCAGGCAATGATGGACAATTCTCGATCAAGACTCACGTTGACGATAATGACAGTGGTGACAGTTTTATTGATGAAAATCCTTACTGGCTACAGTCTCAAGGCAAACGTTCCCCCAAACCCCGTACCTCGTCCAGTATGGCCGCAGAAGTCGATGAGTCGATCGATGATGGTAGCCGCAGGCTTCCTGTAACGCCGACGCCGCCTCCCCCTACGAGGAGCCACTCACCACGGTTCTACGATAATACTAAGTCTGAGGACCATGACGAGATGATGGAGAGAACGGCGAGCATGACCTCAAGGCCAGACGATATCACTGATACTGTCGGCGCCATTGCTATAGACTGTCATGGACACATAGCTGCCGGATCCTCATCTGGAGGAATTGGCATGAAGCATAAGGGTCGTGTTGGCCCCGCAGCGTTAGTCGGCATTGGTACTGCTGTGATACCGGTCGAACCGGAAGACAAAGATAAAACGAGCGTTGCAACCGTCACCAGTGGTACGGGTGAGCACATGGCTACCACAATGGCTGCTGGGACGTGTGCCAGTCGGCTTTATTCTTCCTCAAAGAGGGGTAGGAAAGGTGGCTCCGAGTCGACAGATGATGACAATGCTATGCGAGCTTTCGTCGAGAGGGACTTCATGGGTATTTACAATCTGCCGATCTCAACGAGTATTTCTGTCAGCTAACGTCGCCCAATCTCAGGACATCCTAGTGTGAAGCAAAGCCATTCCGCTGGTGCCATTGGCATCTTGGGTGTCAAAAAGACAGTGGATGGGGCGTACTTGTACTTCGCCCACAACACTGACTCGTTTGTGAGCGCGCTCAAGATCCAGGAGATGTCCAAGCAAGCTGACCGAATCTAGGCTGTAGCATCGATGGGCACGAACGACAAAGACCCCAGATCTGTGATGTCTCGTGGCAAAGGCGATAGCCAAGTAGTTCATGGTGCTCGCCTCATTAAGCATCACCGATGGACTTCCGGATCTCGTGGCACATGGCCTGCAGACGCAAAGCTAGAAGATTTTCTAGAACCTGATACTGAACTGGACCCCACGGCTAAGCGCCGGAAAACGAAACGTGCCTCGAAAGAGCGCGTCGGGAGAACACAAAAGATACAAAACCCAGCTTGATCAATGACCCATGCGGCAATGCTACAATAGGATCCGGAGCCGAGGCTCTTAAGGGTGCCGTTTTTTTTCACCAGAGTGCTAGATTGCAACAGGCTACAGAAGGTGATTCAAGCGTAGCCGCTGTACTCGAGAAACTCAGTCAATAGAGCTTAACTTTAGCGAGGTGCTCAAGCGTGTTTATTAGAAGGTTGCACGATATCTCTGGGCTGAGATTAGTACCAATTCATACACTAACTTGAGTGCACCATGAAGGCATAGGGGAATTGGAATTGCTGTGATTTGTATCATTTCATCAATATTCCTAGGTCACGACTTCCATCTCGCACAGCTTCTCATGTTTACTCATCCGCCCCCTTCTTCCGCTTCTTCTTCCTCTTCGCCACAACAGCCGGTTTGCCTCCATACTCCCCTAGCTGCAAATACGTCCCACAAGTCAGACACACAGCTCCTTCTGGCGGTGAACAAAAAACTGCGTGATCATTAGCCTTTACGCCATTTTACTCTCCAACAACCCAGCAGAGAGCAGACTTACTGCTCAAACAAATGCTACAAACAAACCCCACATCCACCACCTTCCTATGGCAGAAACACGCCGCGCGGAAATCCACTCCTACGGCCGTTGGTGGTACCAGATATTTTCGGCTGCTCTGATCAGGCAGGAAGCCGAGCATGAGATACTGAAGCAGCCCCCGCGGGTGCGTGAGGGCGATGTAGGTGCCGTGGGTGGCGTCGGAGGCTTGTTGGAGGAATACGGAGTCGCCGGCTATTTTGCAGATGTCGATGGGGATGGTGAGGCGTTGGCCTGGAGGGTTGTGGGTTTTAGCATTCGAGCAAATAGATTTCGTATTGGAGAGCGGTGGCTCTAAGAACGATGTGAAACTTACAAGCGAAGATCGTGTTCATGATCGGGATGTATTGGTGCGCGAGGTCGCCGGAGACGGAGAGGATGAGGATTCGCGGGTTCAACGTTGCCGGCTGGATTGAATTTGGGTCAGAGGGCGCGAGGAGCGGATCGGCGTTGGTTTTTGAGGATGTGGTTGTGGAGAAGGCGATGGACTGTTTGTTTATGTAGGTTAGGGCCAGGGTGAGCGCGCCGGCTATGGAGGTCGTGGGGGTGAGGGATTCGGGGGAGGTGGTTTTGTAGAGCTTGGACATGGCGGAGAGGAGGGTTGTTTGAATGTGCCGGAAGGGGCGGTAGTGGTTTGCGTCGTCCGCTGTAGCTGCATAGTTGGCTTCATTGCCGTCTGTCATGTTCATGTCGCCGTCCAAGCCGTTCTGTGCGCCATTGTGGGTAGATCCGTTCGCTTGTCTGGAGTCATCTTCTGATGGTATTGGATATAGAAACTCGGCGCGCTGTGTGTGCGAGGCTATGATTGCTACTTTGTTGCTGTTGTTGAAGGCGAGGTGGGCGTTGATGAAGACCAGGAGGTTGGCGATGGCGGCGGAGAGTGGGAGGGTGGGGGCGAGGAGGGCCCAGGCGTGGGCGTTCGTGTCGAGAATAATGGTCAGCAGGGATGGAGGGGGCTCTGAAGAAGTGAATCAGCATCTCTGTGTGTGTGTTGTAGCAAGAGACTGTGGTGGGTGTGCCACTTGCCGTCGGAGGTCTTGTTGTAGTGATCTGAACCATCGACTGCGTTCATGGTGACGATATTGACGTGGGACGATATTCACAGTCTAGACCTGACCGTGGATTGTATCATGCTGGAGTTGAGTATAGACAATGAGGGGAAGAAAGCTTGCTAGATATAATGTTGAGGCTTGGAGGCGCTGGCATCAAAGTCGCAATGTCGGCGGCCAATTTGAGCTTTCGCCGAGATGCCAAGACCATTCGTTCTCTATTCTATCGAGTCCATCCTCAGCCAACATGGCTGACGAGGAAAGGGAAGCAAGAGCTGCTGCGCTGGCTTCTCAAGCGCTGGAGCTTGTAGCCTCTGGAAGAGATGAGGTTCGACGGTGGCCCTATAGTGCGTGCTACCTTCGCTGACTCGGCTACCACAGGATGGCTCTCGAGCTCTGCAGGAAGCAGCCTCACTTGCCCCGAGCAATCCTCATGTCAAGGCCGCCTTCGATAAGATACGGTCAGATGACTTACAACACCGCCTACAGAAGCTTTGCAGCGAATTTATTTTGGAGCATGACGAAAGTGCGGGCAAGGAAGCTCTCTCTTATCTCAACAGATCGGCAGAAGTGCCTGGAGATGTAGCCAAGGCATGTTTGGAACTCGTTGTAAGGACTGAGATTTTCAAAGATGGGGAAGTACAAGATGGAATTGTAGCAGGCCTTCTGAGGGAAGCTCCAGCTGCAAAAATCGCGCTGGCAAAGAAGCTACATGACGACACGACTATGGTTGCATTCGAGAAGATATTCAGGTTGGGTGACGGATCTTCCAATGGCATGACCGATGTGGTGTTGGATCCGGCAGCTTGGTCAACCGAGTCAGTACGGGAGGAATGCGAAAAAGATGTCTTCCAATTGTACCTTGCAAAGCTGATTCAGGTTGGAGATGAAGAGAACTTCAGAGCCCTGAAAGGCATTGCTAGGCTCCTGGCAGCAGACACGGAACGTCTCCGTACACTCATCGACGAAGAAACATTTGATGTGGTTCTGTCTTCGTTGGACAACCGCAATACGGTCGAAGTACGCAGTCAAGCAACCCTAGTGACTGCGAAATACCTGGAAGCTTCCGGAGACAACGGCCGAAAGACTCTAACACAATTCGTCAGTTCTCGACTTACACGACAGAGAAACGAAGATCTAGTCCAGGCTTTCTCTGCTGCTGCAGGTGTATTCCCTGTTGCATCATCACCGGCCTCGACGTTGTTCCTCACAGAGGGTTTCGTCCAGACGCTGGTACCCTTGTTGAAGAAAAAGGCGAAATCAGAAAAGGTGGAACTTGCTGCTTTGGACATGTTGAGTGCGGCTTGCATTGATAGTGCATGCCGTGAAGCCATCAAGAAGCACTGTACAACATGGCTGCAGCATATCCTAGCTACGGGCAAAGATGAGAGACCCGGTCTTGCAGCAGTGATCCTGGCCAAGATCCAAGGCCCGTCTAGCCAAGGAACCGATTCAAAGGTTCAAATGGCAGCCGAAGAGAAGAGTGTCGCGGATGATCTTGTACCTAGACTTAAGAGCATGATGGTTGAAGATCCATTAGATTCCAACCAGAGCTCTATTGAGGGTCTGGCGTACGCATCTGTCCAGCCTAAAATTAAAGAGGAGCTCGCAAGAGACGATGAGTTCCTCAAAAAACTCCTGAGAAACTTGAGGCATAGTCCGCCCGGATCTCCAACAAGCTTCGGCGGCCTGGCGCTCATCGACAATCTTACTCGCTACCTACCAAACCTTTCGGAGGAGCAGAGACGGATGGCTCAGCTCAAAGCATATGCTAATGCATCCAAGAACGCTCCTCAAGCAGATCCTCTTGACGAAGATGCTGCTGTCACAGAGCGTTGCAAAGCTATCGTAAACGCTGGAGCTATCTCGGTCCTTGTTGGCATGCGCAAGAATCTGTCTCCCAACTCAATGAATATCGTTATCAGGATTCTACTGTCGCTTTCACGGACATCATCTCTCCGAGGCATTATTGCTCAACAAGGCGGAGTAAGGCTACTGCTACAGGGTTACACCCTCATCATTGGATCCTCCGACTCGGACATGGAAGTCCGCCGTACTGCAGCTCATGCTTTAGCTCGCATTTTGATATCGATCGATCCATCTCTCGTTTTCCCTTCATCAGGCTCCATGCCATTGACTTCTGTCATCCGACCAATCCTCTCACTTCTTCGTGAAGACTCTGGTCCAATGACTCAAGGTCCCCGAGACCTCTTGCCAACTTTCGAAGCACTCATAGCTCTCGCCAACCTAGCAACTGTTCCTTCAAGTGGCGCAGCCGAAAGTATCATACGCCAAGCTTACCCTACGATTGAAGACCTTTTGCTTAGTAACAATACCCTGGTCCAGCGTGCAGCGACTCAACTCGTATGCAATCTTGCCAACTGTCACCTGGGCGTTGAGTTGTTCGCGGATGAGTCCCCAGCTGCCGCTAGACGTATGCACATATTGCTTGCGATGGCTGACGTCGAAGATGTAGCTACTAGATGTGCTGCAGCTGGGGCATTGGCTGTAGTTACAGAGTTCGAGGGAGCCGTGAAAGCGATCCTGGCGAGAAATAGGGCCATGGAGATCATACTTGCTCTGGCAGATGATGAAAGCGGTGATAGAGGAATCGTTCATCGAGCTTGTGTTTGCGTGATGAACGCTGTCTGCCAGGAATCAGATACAGGAAAGAAGGCCAAAAACAAGGTGAAGGAACTTGCTGGTGTCGAGACATTGAACGACCTCATGATTGATTACAAAGACGACGATCCTATTACGCAATGTGTCAGGCAGGCGTTGCAAGCACTGATGAAATGAAACGACGACAGGCTCCGAAAGAACGTTCATTAAATCGATGGCTGGTGGAAAAGTCAGATCATGGATCTATTTTCACCAGCGTCTGAGTCTTGCTAAATGGTGAGCTGGATTTCTGAGGTAAAGGTGTATTCACAGGCTTTTGCGGTGTTGAGGGATGGGCTTCACTGGTAGACTTTGAACTAGAACATTCGTCACGCAGGTGAAGCCGGCTATCGGTGAATGACTGGCATCTGTGGGTATTTATACTTCTCAGCTGCCGCAAAAACGTCTCTCCTACATACTTTCTCTCCACCTTCAGAACGGGTTCCGACCATCAAAACATCCAGAGGCATAGTACACCTTCAAAGATACCTGTATCATGTACCTGTGGCATGAATCAATATTTTCGTCTTTGAATAGGTGTCTCTTCTACTTCTTTCCTGTTCACGTATGACTTGACAATGCTGACTCGACGGACCCTGCATGAGAACGCAATCTAGTTACATATATATCTCATCTTGAATCGAAACCCTGCTATCTTATCCTTGATGCTGACATTGGATACGTCGGGCGTACATTAGAGATATTGAAGAAGGTACGAATGATTGGAAGCTTGCTTTCTTCCTGGCTCAAGATAAAATCACTTCTGTCCAAGCCTCGCTGTGAGATCATTCTGGGAAACTCTTACCTTATTGGGAAGTAACTAGGATTTAGTGGGTCTTGGCTAAGAACATCAATTTTTCTCTTTTTTTTTCTATTTCTCTCTGTCTCTTCTTCAAGTAACATGTCTCATAATTTTAGATTTTGGCCTGTCCTCTGCAGCTCGACGTACTGCAAATCGGCATCAAAGAATCATCAAAAACAAAATACCGAGCGCGCTCTCTCACAGTTACCTCTCAAAATCAGCTACGATCTCAGAGAAAAACCAAAAATATCAACGTCGATTCTTCGTGCGATATCGCATTCATTACCTCGCCTCGACACCTCAAATCTTCCAAATCTCTCGAAGGCTATTCTCTACGTTGATTATACGAGATGAAATGATATCTTCAGAGCCCGATACTCCAGACCCCGATATCAGAACGCCTACAGTCGATTGCTACAATACACATCTACGGAAAAAAAAGGCGGTTTGAAACGCGCTTACGGAAATGGCGAAACAGGTCGTTTTCATCTTCAACTTGCCGCTTCATTGCAATATTTCCCTATCACGGAGATGCGATGGAGATCTTAGGACTATTATAAGCAACTTCGGTTTATGATTGATGATCGTTGTAAGGAATTTCTTCAGAGGAATTATAGTTTTGATGGTTTAGTTTCTCTTTTCGTTTTCTCTTTCGTTTTCTTCTCTTGGGTTTTCCTACTGGGTAGCGCCCCAACATATTTGTTCAGGGGTGTGTTGGTTTTAGAGGTTTTTTTAAGAAAAAACCCGAATTTTTTTTTTGGGGGGGGGGGGGGGTTTCTCTATCACGGAGTTGGTAGCATTGTCACGGAACTTCCAGTCCTAGCTTGGAAGGTTTGCAAGTATCGCGGGCGAGGAGCTCGTGCCTTACTTTGGACTGAAGGGAACGGCCTACCATTTCAAGCGTTTTCATCACTCAAACAGCATTGGCTCAAGGCCCTTTGGAGATCGCCAGATCAATGCGCACTACCTGTTGCGCGACCTGGGACTTGTCAATTAAGAAGTCGAGTTGGAAGCTGACATTATTCAAGCCATTGAACATGTACTGGACTAAATGTGTGATTCGCACTACCCGTCAATATCGCAGGGTGGCCCGTAATTCTGGAAATGATCATCTCTCTTTTGGTTCGCACCTGTTCTATGAGAGACTCGCCAAAATCAAGGTAAGGTTCCTTTGCTTCACTAAACTCCTTTTGCTTCACTGACACTGTTCAACTTTGCTGCTCACACACCAGCATCTGGTCTCTTCCAGAAGAGTTCAGAGAATATATCCAAAGGTAAGCCGGTCTCCCTGATGTCTTGTGCCTCAAAGGCTGAGCTTCGATATAGTGGATATTCTCCGACTGATGAACAAAATCTACGAGCAGGTTAATTGTCTCTCTAACAAATCTGATAATGATGTTCTGGCCCAATTGGACCCACAGGTCTGGATTCTGATCAAATTCTCTCCCGTTACTTGTCAGAATGAGTTGGCACCTTTCTGCCTCTGTGGGCCTTTCAACGAGATCTCTTAGGTCCGAAGCACCTGGAAATGCGGACGAAGAAGATGTGAAATCGACCATGACATACTTGGCTACCACGATCTCGAGTATGACCGTGCCACCAGCCAACCCTGTCCAAACCGTCCTGAGCTTCCCAATCACGTTCGTGGCAACACTTGTTAGCCACCAAAAAAACGTGGAAAAGTGGAGTATCTACAGCGGCGAACCAGGTTCTGGGGAAAGAAAGAGCAGAATCATAGACGGGCAGATCATTCAGGGCGGCAGTCAATGTCTCTCCAAGGTAGGCAGACCTATTTTACAATTCACACCGAAGCTTATAGCCTGCTCTACCATCAATATAACTTTACTCAAGGGAGACCGATTCCGTTGTAAGCACAGGATCACTGCTATGTCTCAAGATGAGCTCTTTATCGAATCTGCTCACACTGGCGTCAGCATAATCTTGGGAACCTTGATTAATTTTTTGTTGCAGCGGTGAGTAGGATCAGTCTGGTGTACTTTGAGTCTGTGAGCCCGACTGATACGCCGTCTAGCAATACTTTCTTCGACGAAACAATGGACGAGGCACAGAAGGTGAAGAATGCAAAGGGAGCTAGATACAACATAAAGAAGCTGTACTACCATCCTTACGCCCTACGGACCTACGCTGTGCGACCGAGGGCGCTACTGAAGCATTCTCCAGAGGTCCATCAGTCGTGGGAGATCCCGGTATGTTCTCGCACTAATTCACTGATAATCTTTACACTCACATCAGGATTCGAAGATGGAAGGTAGGAGACCAGATTATGCAAGCTGCTTGAGCGCCACTTACCTCTGGCTTCTGTGCCTTGGGCACCACTGAACAAAACCCGATCATCTCAATCTCAATCGTTCAACCGTCCCTTCTTCGAAAATATTCTCCACGAAACCAATGTCACTGCCCATTTCTCTTGTTTCGTGTTCCAGCCTGCTTGAATTGCAATTATGAACGAACAGGGGTCAGAGAAATTCAAGCCAGACTGCGACGAGATCTAGGCTGCAAGATATTTGACGACCGATCAGAATTCTGTCAGACAACGAATGCTGTTGTCACTGCTCTCCTTACTCATTCATTTTGTCTCAAATCTGGCTGTCACCTCGAGTTGTGAATTTGCATCATGGTCATGGGTCTGAAGTCCACTCCTTGAGACCAGCAAGTCCTTTACACTGAAGACGTGTCCGGCATGGGGTAAGTTTCGAGATTGATGGGTCTATCTCTGTCGGCCAGAAAAAGCCGAACATGAGGCTATTTTTGGCACCACATACAAGACGGTAGTCAAAGGAGGAGGTAAACACATCCAGTATGCTCAAGGTAAGAATCCCAAGTCCCATGTGACTGTCATTGCTCATGTCAGGCGAAGTGACCTAAAGCTCTCATCGACATCTGGATGTAGGGTTGAAACATAGGCCTGTGAGTCTCTTAGACTTATCCCAAGAGTGGGAAATCCGAAAATTCTACCATACCAACATAGAACTGAGCGCTGTGCCTATGTTGTCAGGTATTCACACCGGGTGGCAGAAGCATGTTTTGGATTCCCAATGATGTGGATACTGCTGAAAACGAATAATCACCGACAAAGCATGGTGAAAGAGAGCAAGACATTGCCGTGGAGGCGATTCAGCGAACCCTGAGAAGCTCATAGCTCCAATGCTTAGAGAACTCGTCAGTGTCCTCAAAGTAGCGCAAGATATGCCATCGACGAGAGCCAATCCAAGGTGAGACATCTGCTACCGCATAGCTCTACCGGATATTGAGGATGAATTTGTGAGCCCGGTCAAGCAAGACAGCTCGGACAACTCCGATTGTTTGACTGACTCTGTTGACGACGACGAAGACTCAACAATTTTGGACGGTTCACCCGATATTTGTTATTGTTTGGGAAAACGCGGACGGAGCACTCTGGCACGTCCATCACGGTCCAGGGGAACTACCGGACATCGACTGGAGTCAGGAGCAAAGTGACTTCCAACTACATTCTTCACCAACCCCTGATCCGGCAGCACCAGCGCCGCAAGTACCATACTACTCACCAACCCCATCAACGCCGAGTTCCTCACATCCGCCAGCATCAACGCCGAGTCACTCACCAACCCCTGATCCGCCAGCATCAACGCCGAGTCACTCACCAACCCCTGATCCGCCAGCATCAACGCCGCAAGTCCCGGATCACTCACCCCACATGACCTTCGTTACTCCAAGGGGGTTTAGGATCCTGACGGCAGACGTGAAGGACCGGGATATCTCTTGTCACCGAACCCCGCAGATTGATAAATCGCCGGTTTTCATAGTTCAAACGGCGGAGAAAAGTTTAGATGCTGTGTCACAGCTTCGAACCAACTACGCCGAGAAACCGGGTGGCCCATCATATGTTTCCTGCCTATATTGCGCCGACATTATCAACACGTCCTAGGAGGAATTTTTTCTGTTGTGGGATCTTTACGGTCTTGCCCGTTTTTGAAGTTTCTGTAATGATTACGTGTCGAAACAGGTCTGAGTTTTGGAAGCTTGACTTCATTCGGAAGAATAGCTGGCCTAAAACTTCTGCCCTATGGGCACCGGCCGTGCAAAGGATTGATGGCGTGCGCTTTGTTGTATGGAACTATTCACTGTATGGGGACCTCGGGAACGCTGGGGCTTCCGCGGTCTCACCATGCTTGAAGATCATGTGGCCCTATGGCGAAAGATGCCAAGGAAACGGTGCAATACTATTGTCTGAGATGTCTCCGAATGGCTATGGAATCCCCGGGGTTTGGTGGGCGGGCCTGTTTTGTGGCTGGTGTTTGGTTAAGATGTTGAGCTGGCCCGGATTGTGCCGAGTTCTCGAGTCTCTGTCGTTTGTTTGGTGGAAGGCTCCCCAGGACATCCCAGTCTCTTGGGATTCCATTGTCGTCCTCACTTATTTCATTTGCACAGCCACCCATCTTGCAAGCATAGTTACAGTATCATTTGCAAAATCTCATCAGCAAAACATCATCAGCAAAACATTATCACCTACAAAACTGCCTTGCAGCCTGTTTTGAGGCTTGCAGAAGGCTTGGACAGGATGGTTTCATCTGTTTCATCTGTATTAGTTGTTGGACAGGCTGTTTTGTGGGCCGTGCAGTGATGCTTACCCCTGATTGTAACTCCCAAGATCCGATTAAGCCAATGCTAGAGCAATGCGTACTTGGCTTTGGGAAGTCATTGGCAAGGTATACGATAAACTTGTGCGAGATCAGAACCTGGACTTTCACAAACCCCAGTTTTCGCAGTTCAAACAACGCAATATCGCACTTTTGAGGTTCGCAATGCGTTCCAAACAGCCATTGCTTTAGCAGAACACGAAGCTTACATCAAGGCTCGATACAGTCAGGAGGCAGCTCCGCGGTAGTACATTATCTCTACTTGAATCTCTTACCCATATTACTTTTCAAAAGAAATACGTCTCGCAATCCTAGTCCAGCCTGAAAAAGTTTCTACACACCAGACGCCACAACCTTCAGATCCAAATGCACCGTCAATTATACGATAGCATCGAAGTCTCTTCCGAGCTTGTACCCCACCTTCTTCTTCTTCGACACTCCCCTCGTTTCCTTCAACATACAGTCGTACAGAGGTTGGAAAGCATCCGGAAGTCCGGAGTGTTTAAGAGGTGTTCAACATCTCGTATCGACCCTCTGCCGAGCCCATGGCTGCAAAAGCTGAACCCAATTCTTCTTTAAGACCAGCTTTTTGGAGAGTGTAGCCAACTACGAATAAGTCCAGATCACCAGGGCAGACATCGCCACTATTGTATTTACTGACGCTCTGGCAACTGCGACACCGAGTAGCCCGAAGAGCTGACTCAACGGTAGCGTTATAGACACCTTTCTAGAGATCACCGCTACTGCCAGGAACAGGCGGGATCGCACGCTGAACGGTAAAAAGTGCATCGTGGTTATCAACATCTTTGTGATGGATCGGCTCACTGCAACGGATCTCAAAGCCAGTGCAAAGTAAGCTAGTCTTGACGCTTCTGCTCTGCCCGAAATCGGCCTGGTTCTTTTCCACACACGTGAGCAAGCCACTGGATGCTCATCGCTGCATTCCTCAAAACGCGCTCCCTGCAGCTCTACGGTTCCATGAGGACTGGTAAGACAGGCCAACAATTTGCAGTGCGTCACTGGATCAAGGCCGTGAATGGGGGGAAGCCGACTAAAGCATGGGATATGAAAGAGATGAACTACCCCCAATGAAGTGACAACTCTATGTATCACTCTACCGCCATTACATACACGAGCTCTCACCCATCTGAGATTATGAAAGTAGCCCTCTGGCTCTTCCTTTCAGTTCCCAAGCCCTTTGTCCTACTGATGGTGCTGCAAACCATGTTGCTAAGTCTTGGGGTTACATATTCCTGTTCACTTTTGGAATTCTGATAGTGTCTTCTTGAGGTCTTCATTCTACAGTACTCCCATCAGCGCAGAGGGAAGGCCGCCAAGACATGTCCCTGAGGATATACAACGTGCACTCTCGTGAGCGATAAGGCTTGCTGAGGTTCGTAATTTTCGAGATTCTATGTCTCCAAAAAATCAAAATATCAAACTTATTAATATTTGCTAATTCGAATTTTCGAAATTTAGTTCCCTGGTGGTCTGGGCCGTACGAATAAGGTAGTTGGTATGTTTTTTGAAACTACGACTTTTTCGAACTTATTGCTAATTCGAATTTTTCGAAGGCGAAGTAATCCTCGCCGCCTTTGGCGGTAATCTCGATTATGCCGTGGTACGTACTTTTCGAACCTTTTAAGAATTCGAATAATTCGAAGTAACGAATCTTAGATGGAACTCATTGGTCCCAGGGATATCTTTTGTCAACAAATCTTCGCCTCTGACATTCCGAAGGTTCGTTTTTTTCGAACTTTTATATGAAAAATCACTAATTCGAATTTTTCGAATACTTTCGAAGCATTTCTCCTCTGTTCCGAAGCTTCTTTGTTCTTGCTCCAACAGAACCCAACAGGCTGCAAGCTCGTGGTCAGCCTCGTTTCGCCCGTTCAAACCCCCATTACGAGCGTCAAAGTCAGCGCTGTTTCGGTGAAGCGCAGGTCGCAACGGTGTGACTTGCAGATCTGGATATCTTTGCGGTAGATGGATATCTAATCAGTAATGAAGACTAAGGATGCGGATTTTGTGGGTGATACGCGATGGGGTGAAGGTAAGCTTCTATCAAGATTCGCAGTGAGATAAGACGACTTACCGACTTCGATAGCTCTCTTACAGCTAATTGAAGCATAGAACTTCTCGTACTTCTCTAAGAATACTTACTACCTGGAAGAGAATCGTCTACGTCTTTTCCGCGGTCGAAACAGACTACTCTCAAAGGAGAAATATTCAAGAACGCTGCATCTCAGCTACGGGCAGATTAACACTCATTAAGTATTCCATTCGATACCCTGCTTCATTGCTCCACGCGTCCGAGCGAAATCCGTGCGGTAGAAGGTCAAATCCAGGTGAGTTTACACTCAGTTGCCCAAGTCCGAGTGAAAATTTTGGTTGACGCGACTTTGTTCACAGACAATATCCACTGTCATTCTCCATCGGCCTCAGTACACCAGGAACTACCTCAAGATAGCGAAAGGTAGTAAAGGTAAGGAAAAGGAAACCGCAGCCCCTATCACTCCGACAAAGTGCCCAAAACTTGCCCTCCCAAGCCGTGGGAGGAAGAATAGAGTAAAGGAAACCCCAGGCCAGAAGTCTCATAAACGACAGTACGCAATAACGAAAAACGCGCGAGATGTTTTTGTGCTCGATGCAGAAAAGATAATTTACTAATCAATATGTAGCTCCACCAGCCAAGGAGCAGGCAGCTGTTATACCAGCCAAGGAGAAGACACCAGTGCAAGAGAAGAAGGTTTTGAGTTCGGCGCCGACGGCGCTGCAGACGGCGATCGCACCGGTCGACCAACCGCAGTCACCAACAGCTAAGCAGTCGCAGTTGACACCAAAAGAACCCCAGCAGCCAACGACCGAGACTCGGCCATCGACACCCTCTGGGCAGCCCGGAGCAGCCTTGGGGGGACCAGCCGGTCAGGCCCCTAAGCGGACTTCTCCAAAGTCAACAACACTTCCGTCTGCGCCTGTGCAGAAGGCGCGCTCCGACCGGCCGCCGCGGTACTCTCCGGATCTGCTAGGGTCTTCGCCTTCGCCTCCGTCTACGCCTGCGTCTCCCGCGGGTTCCGGCCTTGATGAGAGCGTCACGCGACAGTCACACCAGCGGCGGAAATCGCCAGATTTGCCAGTATTGGCGCCTGCGCCTTCCCCGACTTCCGGTTTTGGGAAGTATTCAGTGCCAGATCTCTTTCAAGATGAAGATCCCTCCTTTGACCTTCCAGCATCAGGAACGTCCTCGCCTGCATCTTCCTCGTTTCCCCCGTCTTCCGGCAGTGTTGAGACCCCTACACGAAAGCCAGCAGGCGATCAGACCGGGAAGCCACCACCACCAAAGATGCCTAAGCTCACGCTCAAGGGTCCTAAATCTAAGGATAAGACCGAGCACCCTTCTCTCCCCTTACCCGCCACCTTTGATGGTCCTCTCCGCGATTTCTACTCACGGTTGGTTACCATGAAAGTCATTCTGGAATAGAACCCGGATTTCGTCCATGAATGCGTGTGAGATCAGGTCGACCCAGTGAACAAGGCGCACAACTTCCATTTAGAAGATTGGTATCGCGTCTACACGGTGCTTCGTTGGTATTGGCGGAAGCAGACAACGGCGCGAAAGACCGAGCAAAGCGAGGGGACATCTAAGGCACAAGGCAATGCTGCGCAGGGAGTCGACTACTACGATCCGCAAGACTCGCGCGCAGGGACTGACGATGGGGCGGTGTTATCTCTGGACAAGATCAAGAACATCTGGACGCTGGAAGACGCAGGAATGGATGACGACACTATCGAATTCGCATTCCCTGAACACATTGCTATCGACCCTGCCGGCGACGTCACCAAGGAGCAATTCCTTGATCACTGTGGAACTTTCACAGTCCTACCGGATTTGTGGGGTGTCTGCCTCAGGTCCGGCTTAGCTTGAGGAAAAGCCCGAGCGAGGAGTGGAAGGATGCTACGACTAAGGAAAGCACTCGAAGTCTGTCCGAAAGTCGCACTGGACCTTCATGCCTTCCTTTTCCCCTCTTTTCAGTCCGATGTCTGCCTCAGTCGCCTTTCCTGGACCTTCATGCCTCCCCTTTCCCCAGCGGGGTGTCTGCCTCAGTTCCGGCCTAGCTTGAGGAAAAGCCCGAGGACGGGATGGCTTTTTACAAGAAGGGGGGAACTTATTACGTTTCCGTGACTTGGCGTAGCTTAGCCTAGCGTGGCTTGGCGTGTAACTACTTTCTTCTTTTCTTTCATAGCTTTCGAGCACGGAACAATCAATCAATCAGAACCATACAAAGAAACGTCTTTCTTCTTCGTGAAACTCCTTTCCCGGAGTACATGCTTGCTTCTTATATCAGTAATCTTAATAATTGGTAGCAACACCGGAAATTCCACGCCATGAACCTAGGCATTGAGAACCGATCTGAGTTCTGGAAACTAGATCTTAACTCAGAAGGGTGGTTAGCTGGGAATTTTATGCCACATGGAGCACCTGCCGTCCGAAAAGACAAGGACGGCAAGAGACATTTCGTGATCTGGAACGCCTATCAACTACACGGTGATGTGGGGGAGCGCATGGGACTGACTCGGAAGATGTCTACCGGCGCCAAAGTGAGAAGGAGCGGAGGACAACCCAAGGTGAGTACGTACAGAACGTTTGCCAGCATCCACTAACGCAGCATAGGACGAAAACTTCCTTGGTAAAGTAACAGAGCTTGCCTTCCCTCCATGTGAATCTTGGCTACAGGTCTCGATCGTGTGAGTTTGCACCTGTCGTTGACCTGGCTCAAACTAACACGATTTAGGCTCTGCGAGCCATCTATGACTGCGTCGATGAGGAGGGATTATCCGACCCAGATATCGAGCACAGGGCTTATCGCATCCTGTCGTTCATTCGAAAAATCATCGAAAACCTGAAGAAAGCAAAGGCAGAGGCTAAAAAGGCCACTGAAGAGTCGGAGCCAGCTGTCAACAATGACACCAACACGTCCCCCTCTGCTCGAAATCCTGAATCTAGTGGGAAAGACAGGGCTCCCAGTCAGGAGCCGCATGATGATGGCGAAAGCAACGAGAGCTTTAACCTGTCAAGCGAGACGGCTAGCCAAACGACAGCGGATTCCAAAGTCGCTCAATCTGACACCGGCCGCGAGACATGGAAACTCGGCTCCGAGTCAGAACGCATGGTTGCCAGCGACCATGAATCAGAGTAACGCGTGTCTGATAACGAAACAATCCCGGTATCTTTATCTGTTGTCTCCTGCTCTATATAGATCCCGGCTAACGTACACGTGTTCAGGTCACGCCCAAGAAGCGTAAGCCGATTACTGCGCTCGTACCAATGACCCCATCCAAACGAGCCCATATCAGCTCCCACTTCCACGGTATTCTGGATACTTTACTCGCCCAAAAACTCACGCTATCCCAGCCACAGATTGAGGTTCTCACCTATTTCAAGATAACATTATCCAAGAATAATCTCGTTCGCGTCCAGCAAGTTTTCCGCTCAATACAGAGCGCTCCCTCCTATTACGTACCCGCTCCTAACGAAACGTCGGCCGAGTTAGAGAAGATCGTCCAGCAGTGCCGTATCATCTTTAGCGAACCCGCACAGGCTGCGTGCGCCGAGTATAGCAAGTTGTATGACTTAGCGAAACTTGCTTCGCTCATGGTAGAGCTCGAGGAGGCCTTGAACGACAATCGTGATACCGAAGTAGTCAATTACGTCAAGAAGATCTGCGAAGTGCATAAACTGGGACCAAAGAAGAGAGGCCCGGATCTTGCCTCTCAATATGTCACGTATCCAATCTGAGAAGCAGCTCGAGAAGAATGGTCTTGGGTTAACAATCACTATCATAACGGCGTGTGCATCTGTGGAGTCCTGCTTATCATGTCTGCTGAAGATTGGATATGCCTCGGACCTTGCCGCTTTCGGTGGATTCACACAAGACCACAACAATCGGTGGATCCAACAAACAGATCGTGATGTCCAAAAATGGTGGAAGGGTATCTCTGCCTCTCGGAAAATACACATGCAAGTAAATACCTCCTATCCTTCCCCTCAATCAAGGCTCGTCACGAGGTGTCGACTCGGAGTTTGTTGATAGAGTATTACTCACAACTTATTTACAGAAAGCGGTTATGAGATTGCGCGGGGATGGAACAGAGACCAGCGTCTTCGGAACCCATTCCTCGAACCTCACCATCGCACGATTCCACCAGACTCATACCTGACACTTTTCTACACGGTATCCGTATTTCTTGAACTCCTACCTTTCCATTCGAAAGACCCTTCAGCATCAATTTGGTTGCCAACATGGTACCTCCCAAGGCCACAGAGCATGCCGCAGACCACGATCACCCCGTGAAATAAATCTAGCCAGCCGTCCAGACGATGGGTGAATCCTCAAAGTTGCCTGATGAGATTCTCGTCTAAGCTGCAATTCGATATCCTGAATGGATCTACGACCCAACAAACGCTGTCATACACGGCTTTCCACGGCCTCTGAGACCTTCTTTCTACTTTGGTGGAGCATCAATGATTGTTCCTATGCATCTCACAGCTTTACGCCGATATGCACGCTCACCCTTATCATGTACCTGTGAGGATGCGAGCGCATGATCCGTCCTCATTCCTACAAATCTGAAGTCAAAAGGATCCACATTGGACTTCAAGTAGACAGAACGCTATTGGTGCTCTGAAATGCCTGCTGGACAAAATAGAGAGATTAGAGCCCGTCTTCAAATTCGAGGCAACGTTCACAAGCACGTGATATAAATATTTAAATATCCAGAACCTCATTATCTTCACTGATACAATTCCGACGGCCGACCGAGGATGGAAGGTGTGAGAGCTATATGGCGCTAAACTCTGAAGAACTCGGAAGTCCTTGTCTACTTCAGACCTTCCTTCACACCCTCTTTCAGTTGTTCTCTGCAAACGTCAACCCTGCCTTAGCCACGACGTTTCTGTCATCTTTTTGAATGATGATACAAGTGAGGATATTATCATCGCCGTGTGTAGGTCATGGGTCAGAGCCACCGAGCAAATAGCCAAGCAACACCGCCAATACGGATGGTGTATGGCGCGCGGAGATGAGACGTTGGAGACTAAGAAATTCCCATTCGTATTCTATCTAATTTTAGAGAAAGGGTTTGTCCTTCTTTGGCTATCAATGGGGCGAGCCTGGATTGGGAAAGTCGGCGACAGCCAATGATGATCCTTCATTCGCGTTACTCATTGGGATTCCCAACCCCGGAAGGAGGATTTGGACAACGTATCAATAGTCATTGTTGGAATGTTTTTCCATAGTTCTTTTCGCGTTTTCCAGGATTTTGTCTCTTTCCCAAACCTCAATCTCTTTACCCTAATTTTCGTGATCTCAAACTCCACACTCTTAAGTCTCGCGATCATACGAACACATCGGATTCAGCCACTGACGCTCTATTACACAGTGTCTATCTTCTCTGCACACCTACTTCACCGTCAATATGACCCTTCGACATCAAATTGACTCTTGAGATGGCACCTCCGAAGGCAACACAGCCCTACCTACGAATGAAGGCAACGTCCGCGACATAAACGATGCTCCGTTTGCATTAACGACGACCTTGTGACCGGCGCGGATCCTCCCCATAAACGATGCTCTTCGCCTTCGTTGCGCCCGTGTTCGTGCTCTACATCGAGCAAAGTAAATGTGCCCTCAGTCGCTCGAAACACTTCGAGCTCCAAAGGTTGTGCGGTGAACGAAAGCATCTGTTACATGGCAACCATGACCTCAATGATGGGACTGAACCCAAAAAAAACCCCTGTCAAAAGCACTATTGGCTGTCTCAAACGTGCCCAAATTGAGCAGGCCGAGAGGCGTTGGATATCCAAGATGCTTCAGCATAGACAAAGAGAAAGCGAAGCGTGAAAAGAAGGACGACAAGGACAAGCCAAAAAGCGACGCTTGATGTTGCAAATCGAAGTGGAAGGGCCATGGCTGCCCAAAGTGCGCAAAGATCTAAAAGGAACAAATCAAACATGGCGCAAGGGAGAAGAAAGAGTATGCTGGAACTGAGGCTCATGATCTACCTAAACCCAAGAAGAAAACAGCACAAGTAATACAACCACTGCCGCCGACATTGCTGGACCTGTTTCAGTGAAGGCAACAGATATAGCCCGTGGACAAGACCATCTTTTCATCAATTTTCCTATCTTCTCATCCCTCCTGTAGGATTACTTGGAATGCTCCCGAGAGTCGCGATGTTTCTTTTCTTTATTATGCCTCCAGTTACATTGTGCATGGAACACGCCACAGACTTGCCATGAGTAGCAAATTCGTTTGGCGATGCGAATGAAGGCTTCCGTGCACAGATTTCATTCTTCTTCTCCTCCTCCCAACGATCACCATCCTCACTACACAACTCATCTGCAAACGATCACCTTCCTTACTATATCGAAGATTGTGGCGGAGCATGAGATTCCGAAGCGTCAGGGGGGAATGGAGTAGAGAGTCAATCGGTCTCGTTGACCGTTGAGCCGTCTCCGAAGATAGAGGAATGCTTTATCGCATCCACCAATTCCTCTTTGTTCTCCTGGAGAACCTGTTCCTTTTCCTCGAGACCCTTCTTGCGATCCTTCTTCTCTCATCTCCATCATCGTATAGCTTGTCGAAGTTGTCAGGTTCTCGCTCTTGCCGTTCACGGAGTTCCTTCGTGACACTGCCGTCTTTTCTATGAGTTAGGGTTCTCTGTGCTAACGCTCGGAAATACCTTTGGAAAGATACCATCGTCTCGTTGACAAGAGCGATGAGTTCCTGTAAAGCCTGATGACCTCCTTTGGCCCCTTGTTCCATTGTCTTCCTATCGTCTCTCTTTTTGATCACGATCGCGTTTTCTTGATTTAGGTTGGTTTTTGCACAGTACAAATATATATCACCCTCACCCCCCTTCACCATCCTAGGCGACAAGGAAGTGCGATGACCGAGACATCGAAGTTTTTCTGGATAGCCAACCGGAGCCAGAATCTGGGAGACTTGATTCTATCCACCAATATATTCCGGTCGCGGATACCACCAGAGGCATGAACTTCGGACATGTGGGAAGAAGCACGGGTTTAGGAAACGCGGAAGGCAGGTGAGTTGGCAGAGACATTGCGGAGATGGGGGACACAAGAGAGAAGCTGACAGATTTGAAAAGTAGCAGCCAAGGGCCACAGCTGCCATTTCAGACCTCCACCTCCACTCCAGTCATAGATGGCCCAAGCTCAAGTGCAAGTGGGGGAACGCCTACTGCGGACGGTCAAGACGGCTATAAGATGGGACAGTCTGAAGAGGGGCGCGTGCGTGTTGGGACAGTCTTTAGTAGCGGGGCAGTCTAGGCCAAAGTCGTCACGCACCGGAATGGGACACAGAAAATCACATATCACTGCCCGGAGACCGAGATCGACGTGGCAGGAGAGGATATTGTCTGGTCTAGGGAAGTTCTCGCTTTTAGAGAGCGGTTCTTGACGACTAGTGTATTAGCTGATAAGCTAGACTCGTGTATGGCTTTGGCTGGGTGAAGTACGGGAAATAGTCCGCATCCCTACCAGAGGTATATGCTCCGCTATGCTTATAATCAGCAAGGTTGAGCGTTTACGATATGGCTCTTGCCATATATGATAGAGAGCAAGTGCTTGAGCATGATTAGTATTATTATTAGGAATAATAATAGATTGATTTTAAAAAAAAAAATAAGATTCATATATAGAAATATATATAATATAGCTCAAATTAAAAAAGCCTGTTTTTTTACTAAGATATTTATACTCTATATTACGTTTATATTTAATATTATCTAACTAATTAAAAAGCTAGCTTTCTTCTTATCGACAAGTTTTAAAAAGTATTATTAAGATCTAAATCGAGAAAGTCTTACTATCTATTCGAAAAGTAATTAAATTTCTTAATTATAAATATTAAATTTTATTAATAATCTTAACTTTATCTTCGTCTCTCTTTATTTCTTCTTTAAAAGAATTTTATCTCTATAAATTATATCTTAATTAACTCTTTTCGATTATAGTACTTCTTTTTCTACTATTACGTATACGTACTATAAATCGTTATTAAAAAAAGCGTTAATAATAGAAAAATAAATATATTCTCTTTTAATTACGCTCTTAAAATTAGCTATATATCTATAAATCTAAAAAGTAAATTTTCGTATAATTTCCGCCGGGTCCGTATTATAAGTACGATTTAGTCTATTAAGTAGACTTTATCTATATCTAATTCTTTCCGCCAGTTCTATTAGTTTAGTAACTTTAAAAATTTTTAGTAACTTTAAAAATTTTATATAATGCACTCTAATATACTCTAAGTATTATTCTATATATATATGATATTAATATATATTATTATTAATATACGTATTATTATACGCTATATTAAAGTATTATCTACGCGACTAATTTTATTAAATCGTCTAATTTTATAGCTAAATTTAAATTAATATTAATACTTATCGTCGTAGAATCTTGCCATCGCAACGTTAATTATTAGAACTTTTCTTTTTTTATATATATTACTATTAAATTAATAGAACTAGCGGAAAAGATTAGAATTGTTACGAGCGTACCCTTGACACACCACTCAGCCCTATGGCCTAGTGCCTTGGCAGGGGGCATCCCCTACTATATCATGCCTCCTTCCCACCTACATAGTTCGGTAGCCTTATTATCCTATCTACCTCACCCATACTGGTATCGTACCTATGCTGGTCCTGACATTATAATAAGGCTCCTTCGTACACCCGGCGAAGAGAAACACATACGGGCCAATCAACGCACACTCACGCCCATTCGGATTAGCGGACGAATGGTTAATAAACAAACGCGCTGGCAAGGGCTTTGTCAAGATACTAACTTGAGACCAAGACACCACGACCGGTTGAGGTCAAGACAGGAACTTGAGGCATCGTATCCTTGGGTCAGCCCACCAAACGGGTAACTCGATTCCAAAGAGCCTCACGGGACAGCGGAACGGCCTCTGGACAGCAGGAGGGATAAAGCACCGCTGGACCATTCGTACTGCAGGCGAATCAGAAAGAAACTGACGGAAAACAACACCCCCACACACAGTGAGCCTGCTACAATGGCGACGGGAACAGACCCGGCAATACGATCATGATCCGACCTCTTCACTGAGCATGTCGACAACACACATAGTGAGCCTGCTACCAAATGGCATTCAACACATTCGATTCTTCACCTCCCACGAAACCCCACGGATCGGCAAGTGCTTGAGTTACGGAAGTGGTCTATGTCAGTCAGGTCATTGGCTGCTGAGTACTCGCTATGGCAGCTTAGGACGGGTACATGGGACTGGCAGCTTAGGACGGGTAGGCCTACGGGGTACTGGCAGTCGAAGCGGGTACGTGGGATCGGCAGTCGAAGCGGTAGGCTTACAAAGCGGATGGATGCAGTGGACAACTACCAAGCAAGATAGCTACAAGTTGAGACAAAGGATGCAATGGATTTTTGATGGCAAGGGCATGGGAGACACAGGGCAAATCTACAGTGAAGCTCCCAGGCCAGGCTGCCAAAAGGTGTTGGAGGTGAATGCATGCGTTGGAGTTTCTTCAATTCTAAAGAAGGATTATGGCAAGAAGGACTATGGCAAGAAGACTGGGCAAGGAGAAGAACTCGGAGAATCTTGCTGGTACGCAGGCAAGATGTGGCTACATCTCCAGGATCTCTGAAGGACAATGCAGGCATGGCACAGTCAAGACCAGCATGCGGCCCAGCATACCGCTACACCTCGGCAAATCATCTCCGGTCGAGACCTACACGGACTATAGATGTTTGGAGATACAAGGTAAGCAATAGGCCTACATCTCCGGTTTACCAGCCATGGGGGCCATGGCTATTTGAGGGGGGGGGGGGGATAAAAACGCACCCCACAAACAACCCCCCCCCCCCCCCCCCCCCCCCCCGGCAGGGCCCACCCCCACAAAACACCCCCCCCCCACCAAAAAAATTAAACACCCACCCTAATAACCCAACCCACCCCCCCCCAAACCCAACCCCCACACGACCCTAAAAAAAAAAAAAAAAAAAAAAAAAAAAATAAAAAAAATTTTTAAAAAAAAAATAAAAAAAAAAAAAAAAAAAATAAAAAAAAAAAAAAAAAAAAAAAAAAAAAAAAAAAAAAAAAAAAATAAAAAATAAAAAAAAAAAAAAAAAAAAAAAAAAAAAAAAAAAAAAAAAAAAAAAAAAAAAAAAAAAAAAAAAAAAAAAAAAAAAAAAAAAAAAAAAAAAAAAAAAAAAAAAAAACCAATCGCCCAAAAAAAAAAAAAAAAAAAAAAAATCAGTAATGTCAGGACCAGCATAGGTGCGATACCAGTATGGGTGAGGTAGATCAAGGATAATAAGGCTACCGAACTATGTATGTGGGAAGGAGGCATGATATAGTAAGGGAAAGATGCCTCTCGCCAAGGCCCGCTAGGCCATAGGGCTGAGTGGTGTGTCAAGGGTACGCTCGTAACACTACGCCACTACCCCCTCTCAATAGCCATGGCCCCCATGGCTGGTAGACCGGAGATGCACGCCCATTGCTTGCCCTGTGTCTCCAAACATCCATAGTCCGTGTAGGCCTCGACCGGAGAAGATTTGCCGAGGTGTAGTGGTAGTAGTCGAAAACATCGGATCGCATGCTGGTCTTGACTGTGCCATCCATGCCTGCCATACCCACATTGTCCTGCAGAGATCCTGGAGATATTGGCCATATCTTGCCTGCGTGCCAGCAAGATTCTCCGAGTTCTTCTCCTTGCCCAGTCTGCTTGTCATAGTCCTCCACTTTTTTGCCTTCAACACCTACTGGCAGCCTGGCCTGGGAGCTTCACTGTAGATTTGCCCTATGTCTCCCATGCTCTTGCCATCAAGTCCATCGGTAGAATTGAAGAAAATCCAACGCATGCATGTGTCATGAACTCAACTCCAACACCTGTTGGCAGCCTGGCCTGGGAGCTTCACTGTAGATTTGCCCTGTGTCTCCCATGCTCTTGCCATCAAGTCCATCCTCCATTCCATCCTTTGTCTCAACTCAGCCGCGCTTGTCGATTCGTAGGTTTGGTAGGGAGGTAGGGAAAGAATTGAATGTGGTGAATGCCATTTGGTAGCAGGCTTTACTATGTGTGTTGTCGACATGCTCAGTGAAGAGGTCGAATCGTAGTCGTTTCGGGGCTGTTCCCGTCGCCATTGTAGCAGGCTCACTATGTGTGTTGTCGACATGCTCAGTGAAGAGGTCGTACGTTTGCTGCCCTTGTAGTAGGCTCACTGTGAGAGTGGGAGTGTTGATGTAGGTGGGTTTAGGTCGGAATTTATGATGTGTTGAATGTAGGTAAAGATGGAGCGGAGAGATCTCTGAAGTTCGTTTGTTGTAGGGAGGAAGGAAGGAAGAAGTATCTTGGTGTCGATGTAGGTGAGAACGGAGTGAAGCGGAGAGGTCTTTGAAATTTTGTGATGCGGAGCGGAGAAGGATTTCTTGTATTCGATGTAGGGGACTCGTTTTTTGATGGATTGGGCTACCGTTGATAATGTAGGTTGTTTGATGTAGGTTCTTTCGAGTGATGTAGGTGGTTTATGATTTGAGTGTGTGGTGGGGCTTCTGTATGGTAGAAATACCTAGCGTTTTCTTTATTAGGCTCGGTCGCTTGCTTCGAGCAGAAAGTGAAATATTTGGTAGCTGTTTAGTTACTCTGCTATCCTCGAGTGTATTCGTTTAAGTTTCTCTTCGCCGGGTGTACGAAGGAGCCTTATTATAATGTCAGGACCAGCATAGGTGCGATACCAGTATGGGTGAGGTAGATCAAGGATAATAAGGCTACCGAACTATGTATGTGGGAAGGAGGCATGATATAGTAGGAGATGCCTCCGCCAAGGCCCGCTAGCCATAGGGCTGAGTGGTGTGTCAAGGGTACGCTCGTAACAAGTAAATCTAATTAGAATCCGCCCAAATTCCGTCGATTTAATAACTATTTTAATCTTTTTCGCTAGTTTTATTAGTTTAATAGTAATATATATAAAAAAAGAAAAGTTCTAATAATTAACGTTACGACGATAAGATTCTATAATAATAAGTATTAACGCCAACTTAAATTTAACTACGAAATTAAAGAATTTAATAAAATTAGTCGCGTAGATAATACTCTAATATAGCGTATAATAATACGTATATTAATAATAATATATATTGATGTTATATGTATATAGAATAATACTTAGAGTATATTAAAGTATATTATATAGAATTTTTAAAGTTGCTAAAATTTTTTTGAAGTTGCTAAACTAGTAGAATTAATGAAAAGAGTTAGATATAGGTAAAGTCTGCTTAATAGACTAAATCGTGCTAAATCGTACTTATAATACGAACCCGGCGGAAATTATACGAAAATTTACTTTTTAGATTTATAGATATATAATATTATAATACGCTATTAATCTTAATCTATAATATCTTATAAATCTTTTTAATATATATTCGAAGGCTTTAATAAATCGTTTACTATACTTCTTTTTAATTCTTCTTATTAATATAATAATCTTAAATTTCGCTATTAAGATTTTATATAACGTTTAATCTTTAATATATAGAATTTATATCGAGATTATAATCTTCTTACTTAATAAGACTATAATACTTATTATTTAGAGAATTCTATTTATATTTAATAAAATAGTAAGATAAAGAGCTTCGAGATACGATAGAATAGCTAGAAGATACTCGAATTCTCTACGAATATAATATTATTCTAAAGCTATATAACGATATTATCGATATCGTTACTATTAATAAAGATAAGAATAATAAGAATAAGAATAATAAGAATAAAGATAATAAGAATAATAACGATATACGTTATAACTAGTTATTTAACGCTTTTAAGAATATATACTCTTAGATATAGAGCGAGTCTTATTTAATCTTCTTAGAACGATTAGTATTTAATTATAATATATATATCTACTCGATAATATCTATTATAATTCGATATAATAATTATAAAGCTATAGAGAATCTTATATATTCTAAAATTAATTAACGATATAAATTATTTCTTAAATATCGCTATAAAGAGAATTCGAAGAATTAATTAAATATAGTATTATAAATATATTTAATTATAGCGATATTTTTAATATTTCTATAATACTTAACTAGCTTTTTACTACTAAGTAGCCCGCGCCCTAGTATATATTATACGGACTATTTCCTCTTAGATTTTCTAGTACATAGAATAAATCGTAGCAAGAAGAATGGACATCTTCACCCACTCCAAGTATGAACTCTTCATCTGGAGCCGAAGGCGGGGCTTGAGGGATTTCTATGGTGTACTAATCACGAATTACCTATACAATCGTTGTGCTTCAATCAGCTGCAGCAACGTCGTAGAGCAGTTCAGCCAGGAGGCTGCTGTGAGTTCTTCGACTATTGTTAAGCAGCTGAGGAGGCGATCCATATCCCTTTCTGGTATCCAGATTATACCCAGACTTCAACCTCTAGATACGATACGATACGATACCTCATCCCTACAACATAGACAAAGCCAGAACCCTAGTATTCCTCCGTACCAATGCAGCCTACAGATCAACAAGTCACGCTCCCCAGTCAAGAGGGTTACTCCTCCTCTCTTTGCTACCCGAGGTCCAGCATTCTGAACGAGCTCTGTTGAGAACTCATCGTCATCGTCAGAGACTTCACCTGTCCAGACACCATCCTCTTCCACGAACGCAGACGAGTTCACGCCTAAGGTCACAAGGCATCAGCGCTTATTGCCACCCCCCAGAAAGGTCTTTTTTTTACCAAACAATTTTTCCTTCCCCCACCATCTCAAACCCTACCCCCCCCCCCCCCTCTCCACTTTACCACCAAAAAAAAAAACAAAAAAAAAAAAAAAGTAGTAAAAAAAATTTTTATTAAAAAAAAAAAAAAAAAAAAAAAAAAATATAAAAAAAACCAAAAAAAAAAATTTTTTTGGTGAGGAATGAAAAAAAAAATGTGAAAACAACAAAAAAAAAAAAAAAAGACGTTCCCCTTCTTCTTAAAAAAAAAAAAATGAAGGGGAAAAAGCCTCCTTTCCCCCCCCCCCCCCCTCCCCCTAAAAAAAAAAAAAAGGACGGGGGCCTTGCGTCCCCTCCCAAACAACAAAAAAAAAAAAAAAAAAAAAAAAAAAAAAAACAAAATTCTCCCAACAACCCCAGTTTTTTTTTTTTTTTTTTTTAAAAAAACTTACCCTTTTTTAAAAAACCCCAAAAAAAAAAAAACCACCCCCCCCCCCCCCCCCCCCCCCGGGGGAAAAAAAACCAACAAAAAAAAAAGAAAAAAAAAAAAAAAAAAAAAACCCCCCCCCCCCCCCCCCCCCCCCCCCCCCCCCCCCCCCCCCCCCCCCCCCCCCCCCCACCCACCCAAAAAAAAAAAAAAAAAAAAAAAAAAAAAAAAAAAGTCGAATAAATAGTTAAATAGGCCCTCGTTAAATTAGAAGCTGTAGTATAGTAATTAAGAAGTAAACTTTTAATTTTATTTTACTAAAAAACTTAGCTAACTTAGCTATAGCAGCGATATTAATACTTTAAAAATATTATATATCTTAATAAACGCGTAGTATTATATAGAAATTCTCTTATAATTTAATTCTCGAGGTAATTGCTATAGTACTCGCCGAATCGATAATACGACGTATTAAGAAAAATGCGTAGCCTT